GATTGTGGAATACGGGAGCTCTGAGGTTAGTGAAGAAGGAGCGGAAGTAGACCGGAGGGATCGGAGGGATTGGAAGTCGATGGCCAGGGATGGATATGACATAGTCATAATAATTCGTTAAAATTCGTTAAAATTCATTAAAATTCAGGTCCTTCTATTTTCTCATATCTACTTGTTGTATGAGGTTTTGTGATTTATCTGGCATATTTCCATAATGGGTTTCCATAGTGTGACCGTTATTTCTCCTACACCATCCTTCATATCCAGGGTCATTAGTTGGACTTTGGCATCACCCACAGGATCATGAGGATTGAAGTTCGTTGACAAACTCTTGATAGTTATTCATCCATTGCGGATGAAGTGTAGAATTTTGATCGAATAATAGATCCAGCTCGAACCAATTGAGGGCCATTCCCTTGAGGTAGGACTGCACAAAGATGACCTTGGTGCAGTCGCTAGCAAAAGCAAGGGGGCAGTCCTGGAAATTCAGTTTGCATTTGACCAGAAATACTCGGAGTTCTCAGGGATCTTTTCGAACTGTTCAGGCTCACGGACCTTGGTCCGGAGAGTGGAGGATGGTGGAGGAGGTGGACGTCCGGTGTGACGAGCCAAACTGGCGATGGCTTGGGCTAGCTGTGTAATAGCCACATTGGGGATGGGTTCGGCATCGTTGGCAGTTGGGACAGTAGGGATGGGAGGATCAGCAGGAGGAGGGCCGACAAAATCAGGGACCTCGGAACCGAGTCCAAAGAAGTGAACTGGATCTATGGGCTGTTCCATGGTGTCTCCGAAGTCGGAATCTGCAACTGGTGATCGATTTCTAACGGGATGCATGATTGGAGTCGACGGGAGAGGGGTTTCTAGATTAGAGAAGCTGCGAAACTCAACTGGGTTTCTCGCCAGACGACTAGGACCAGGCTGCGAGGGTTCAGGGGACGGTGAGGCAGAGTTGGGGACTAATGTGCATAGTTGCGAATGAGTGCGAGGGGCTTTGGGTGCCATACAAGACATGTACTAGTCAGGGAGTGATAAAATACTGTCAGAGACCGGATCGAGACAAAGGATTTGTCTCCGTGGCGGAGGGCTTTGGCCTCAGCAACTCAAGCCAGGAGCGCTGTGCCAAGTTACACGTCTGTGCCCTAATTTACTTACTGGCAACAAGAACTAAAGGGGGATCAACTCTAGTCGATTTTATCACTGAGGTGTAACCTATGTACAAGTTAAGTATATATAGTTACAGTGAGGGCAGGCCCGTGAATGGCAGGGCCAAGCGGAGCAGAGCTAACAGAGTTAAACATTAGCCGATTGAATATTACTGACAAGTCGGGTTACGGGGTTAGCGGAATGGCAGGCAATAACCCAGAAACGGAAAGGAGGGATAGGCCCAAAGGTGGGCTTGCAGGGCAAGCAAGTGAATTGCCCAGTGGAGGCAGGAGTGCACTAGCAGACATTGGAGCTGTCCAGAAGCCTTCAGGGCTCTGCACTTAGGGAGGCATAGGTAATATATTGAAAAGAGGGGGTGGTGACCATCGAGGGATGCAGAAGTGATTGCAGAATACAGGAGCTCCAAGGTTAGTGAAGAAGGAGCAGAGGTAGTCCGGAAAGATCAGAGGTAGTGGAAGTCAATGGCTGTGGATGGATATGACATCTCCCACATGCTCCAGCCACTCCTGATGCTCCGGAGCATAACGGACTTTTGCTGATGCAGGACCCTTTATAACCTAGGTTCCTCTTTTCCCAATATGACAATCACTTCCGCTGTGGTACCACTGCGATAAGTATTGGAATATCAATATCCATGCGTACTGATATTTTCTTTATTGACGCGATATCAATTGAGGATATCGTATATACCTTTTTGTCTTGATGTCCTCTTCATTGCTGGTTATAGCAGGCAGTCGCTATAAGCAATATTAGCGCTAGGTGTATAAAACACACTGTGCACGGAAATTTTTCACACCCCCTCAGTTCTCTTGTTCGAGACTGAAGTGATATCCTTTTTCTTTTACTTTATTCCTTGTATGCGAGTTCTGACTGTATTTACAGACCGCGCGTATAGGTAAAGGAACAATAAACTTAGTTCTCTTGTTCAAGACTGAGACCGCGCGTATAGCTTATTTACTTTAATAAGACAAATCACTTGACCTGTTAGCTCAGACTTCAGACACCCAGTCGGCTCCCTATGAGTACGAGTTTGACTAACACTGCACATTCCTCTTCTCCACTCATTATTCTAATCTCAGTTTGAAACGTGACTCTTTCTGCACACACTATGGCTTCCTCTAACTCCATTTGCATCACTTCTGATTCAACCTCTAAACCGTGCACACAGGTTTGTGGTCATACTCATTTTTGAGTGTGCCTCGGACCTCGATCCATCCACCATCACTAATTACACATACTGTACTCACACGACCAACAACCGGTTCCCACGGCCTCCGGGAATTGCCGGAGGCACCCAATCAATTCAATTGTGTTAATTTTTAATTCAATCCAAGACCTTCGCGTGACGCGTGACCGGTTGTTGGTCGTGTTAGTACAGTACCTCCATGATTTATATTTTACCTTGTTAACGGCGCAATGCCCTGCATTCTTTTAATCGGATAAAGCTAGTGGAATAGAGAGCGTTGGGAAAGCTAACTGGTGTTAGGTAATAACTAATATAGTATATATGCTCATGGCGGACAAAAAGAGGGGAAAGAACACCCACGACAGCTCAATAAAAGTTGTGCGATGGTAGAAAGAACCTCAGCATAATGGTGCAGAAAGACCCGATGGTTAACCTCACATGCAGAAGGCTTATCACAAGGGCTGCACGGCAGCCATTTCTAGTTATGTAATCGCGCTTCACAAGTAGACTGGTCCTCTATTAATGGTTATTATAGCCCTGCTCGCTCCCACATGCTGAGCTGATGTACTTCTCTGTACCCGCACGCCACAACTTTATCGCTGGATCTTCTGCCCTCCGTTCCAATTGCACTGTTTGCCCCTCACTTCTTCAATCACTCCTCAAATGTGGACAACCCAGCTGGGGCCCAAGCTCCGTGGCCTTGTTCTGCCGTCTAGAATAAATTAACAATTCACGGCCTCGCTTCGTCTGAGTTCGTGGGTTATAAAGGTCTGGTGACCAATGCCTTCAGACTCAGTCTCTATACTGTGTCCTATATGCCTCCTGAAAACCTCTCCCCTTGCAACGCTACTGCCCTTGCGAGCTCCAACCTGCCACCGTGTGAGTCACATTATATTATTACAATGGCCGGAGGTTTGGGTGCGCTCAGATTCTGGGTTACAATCCACCGCTCTGTGCCTTTGCAAGCGGCTCTGGATTCCCCTGCGTCGAAGGGGAGGGGATTATTTAAAGCCAGGCATTATCCACACCTCGGTGGGATCTTGCGAGCCGTCGGCGCGCACGGACAATACATTGGTCAGCGCTTTCATGGCTAAACACCATGAAATTCAGCCATACACTCCATACTGACATCGGGAGGACATACCCATCGAGAGGGGGTTTCTATTATTGTATTAGGGTGTCATTCGTCCCGCTCACACTCACGGAGGGAAGTGCTGCAAATGTTGATCCGAAAGGGGCTACAGGCAGGAGCGTACTGATCATCAATGATCCAAATTCCTTCGTCAACTAGACAGGGATGTTTGTTGGCAAATGTGAGGTTTCCGTCAACTGGGCCGGTGAACCTATCCCTGGGGATTAATGCAGGCACTGGTGACCTTTCCGGGCGCCTCGTTCAAATGTTTAACAACACAGGTTCATATATGCCTTACCCTCAGCAGTTAAACCCGGACCAGTGGGGGGTGAAGTCGGGCCAGGTGCACGCATGCCAGCGGAGACCAAGTGGCCCAGTAATAAGGATTTATCGCGCATGACTACTGGGAAAATGATGTGACTAGCTCGACCGCCGGGATCAAGTCTGGTGATTCCCGGGTGGTGCGTGTTTGATTTGGGCCCACAAGAAAATGCAACAATATATGCCCTTGGAATCCCAGGTCGTCATGCAGCAGTGACGCTGGGAGTTGTCTTACGCGCATAGGATGAAAGGTTGAAATGGAGCCTCTGAGGCTTTAAAGCCCAATATGAAAACTATATATAGTCTACTGTGCATGGTGCTCACTCGGATGGAAATTCCGTACCTGCATGGATTCCATAAGCTCGTGGAACAAATGGCACAGTCATCCCGGCCAGCTGCTGAGAAATTTCCTATGACTATTCGGATACGAACACACCCACTTGGAAATTCATTCAGGCGGCGCCGGTATTTGAGCCCAGGATGGCTCACAATCCCTACTCCGATCGATCCACACCCACGAATAGATGCTCACTAGGGACAAAACATCCGATAAAAGAGCATCGCGACGGCAAGTGGCACAAATCCCTGAATTTTTGCGCAGCATGGCCAGTGCCAGTCAACCACAGAATTCAGAAAATCCCTAAGGGCCATGGGTTGGTATTAGTGATTGGGTACTACCCGATATATGCAGTCTCAATCATATCATATGCAAGTCACCGGGCCATTACAATTCGTCGATGGCGCTATCTCTTACGGGGATGGCGCCATCGTCAATTCCGCTGAGCGCGAAGGTTTGAGAGACTGACATGGATGAATCGAAGATGAGTGGACCTGATTTTCTTTTAGCATCCTGTCAACTTCCTCCGACTCAAGATCCAATCACGAAAAAAGCGATATCTTGGGCGGGCGAGACTTCGGTTCCAGTACTGGAAGCCGTCTCGGGGGCAATTGCAATAGCAAATAGTCGGAAGTAATTATCTGTGACGCCATCTTGGACAATGCTAGGTGCAGAGTAGCGCAGAGTAAAGATATGCCTCGAGCCCTTAGGCATATAGGACTTCGGAATGATTGTATATTAGCGATGCTCACTGATCAGGAGCACGAAGGGGAACCCCGTTAGATTCCCAGAGAAGATCAAGGATGTGGAGAAATATGTCGCTGGTAACCTGCCCGTGCCGATGCGTGAGAAATCAAAGACGCGACGATGTCGTGCTCAACCAATATGGCCACAGTTAAAATGGCCGTATCCCACTCATTTATCAGCCAGTCCACCATCATAAATCTCGCACCGTGTCATGGCAAACATACCTCATGGTGGTGTCCTGAAAGACCTCATAGTCCGTGATCGTCACCTACATGATCAACTGCAACAAGAATCGGGCTCGCTGCCATCGTTTACCCTTACTGAGCGCCAGTTATGTGATCTTGAGCTTATCATGAATGGCGGGTTTAGTCCCCTGGAGGGTTTCTTAAACCAAAAAGACTATGAATCGTAAGCACGCATAAAACTGCTCTTCGATCTTGCTGCGATGCATACATGGCGTAGTGTCGTAGAAAACCTTCGTCTTTCTGATGGACTTCTGTGGCCGATACCTGTCGTACTTGATATTTCGGACACAGAAATTGAACATCTTGGCATCAAACAAGGCTCCCGTTTAGTTCTTCTCGATAGACGGGATGATGCGGCACTCGCCATTCTAACCGGTTAGTTATTCGAAGCAGTGTTCCTGCTCGTAGTAACTCTGAATTCTGACAACCGCTTGACTACAGTCGAGGACATTTATGCTCCGGATCTTACCAAGGAAGCCATCCATGTCCTAGGAGATGATGATATTGCCCATCCCTCGGTAGCCTATCTCCATCACCGAGTACAAAATAGGTATATAGGAGGGAAAGTCCAGGCCATCCAACTACCCACTCATTATGATTATGTTGACTTGCGATGTGTGTTTCGTCTTGAGCCATATTTAGCGATCTTCGCACTGAGATCCTTCCCTTTTAGACACACCGTCCGAACTCAGGGCACGATTCGCTAAATTGGCGTGGAAAAAGGTCACTGCCTTCCAAACTCGTAACCCTATGCACAGGGCCCATCGGGAACTTGTCGTTCGTGCCGCTCGTGAAAGCCGGACCAATGTTCTTATCCACCCTGTTGTTGGCTTGACCAAGCCCGGCGATGTGGACCATTACACGTAAGCACGGAACATGATCTTCTATTATTCCGGCTGAAACGACACTTCTTTTAGACGTGTTCGTGCGTACCAAGCGCTCCTTCCATCTCTGCCGCCAGGGCTGGCCGTCCTATCGCTTCTTCCGCTCGCGATGCGCATGGGGGGTCCACGAGAGGCTCTGTGGCATTCAATCATCCGCAAGAACTTTGGCTGCACCCAGTTCATCATCGGGCGCGATCACGCCGGCCCTGGGAAAAACTCCAACGGCCAAGACTTTTATGGTCCGTACGACGCGCAGATCCTCGTGAGCAAATATTCGGAGGAGCTAGGTATCCAAATGGTCCCATTCAAGATGATGACTTATTTGCCGGACGGGGACGAATACATGCCCGTTGACGAAGGTGGGATGAAAAGTCTCTCGAATGGATAAACAACTCACCATTGTGATAGTTCCGGAGGGCGCCCAGACACTTAACATTTCTGGTACTGAGCTGAGGAGGCGATTGCGCACAGGAGCCGTAAGTTTTATCTCGAACAATGAAACCGAGGTTGACATTTCTGGGATTGATTAATAGTCGATTCCAGAATGGTTTAGCTACCCGTAAGTCGTAGTAATTGGTCACCTATCCCCTTGTAGTCACGCTACTCTGCCCCCAAGTGCTGTGGTGAACGTGCTTCGCGCAAGCTACCCTCCACGCACGAAGCAAGGATTCGTCCGTGAGTGCAGCTCGTTGGTTCGAATATCCGATCGCCTCACTCGTCGATGTAGTGCTCCTAACTGGCTTGCACAACTCGGGACGCGATACTGTCGGTCGAGCTCTTCAAACCATTCTCAATCAGCATGGTGCCAGGAGCGTTAGTCTACTCCTTGGCGAGACAGTCCGCTCGGAGCTCAGTTCAGGTTCATATGCTTCACCTTCCTTTCCTCATGCTCGCTGAGCGGCTGACGATGTGTCTAGAACTCGGCTTCTTGCCCAGCGACCGACACCGTAATATTCAACGCATCGCTTTCGTTTCCGCAGAGCTGGCTCGGGCAGGCGCAGCCGTTATCGCGGCACCTATTGCACCGTATGCGCACTCGCGAGCGGCCGCTAAGCAAACTATCGTTACGAATGGTGGCTCGGGGGGTAATTTTTTCCTCGTTTATGTTGCCACGCCGCTAGAATATTGCGAGAAAACTGATAGAAAAGGAACATACAAGAAGGCTAGAGCTGGAGAGATTCAAGGCTTCACTGGAATTGGTAAGGCACCTCTTCCATATATTTATAACTGCTGGCCCTAATTGAAAATATCTAGACGATGTTTATGAACCACCGACCGATGCAGACATCGTTGTAAATGTAGAGACTCAATCTATCCCGGAGATAGTTCATTGTAAGTGTCAGTGACTTATCCTTGTATCGAAATGGACTAATTGTGCACTTTGCAGCAATTGTGTTGATGCTCGAGGCTACGGGGTTGTTGTAGACCCAACTAGCGAGTCATGTGGTCGTATCTTGCCGGCTCGGCGTGGATAAAAGTAGGGATCAAAACTATGACACAACCCAACATTGAGCACGGTCCTCCACCTCCAAGTAGTCTGACAACCGTAACGACCTCATCTCTCCCTTCAGGGAACAACAAATCCAGGTTACTAGTTCTGCCGTTGAGAATGGGATGGTTGATTGGAGGCTAGGAGACATGTTTGGGATTTCAGACTGAGACTGTTGCTGCTGTTGCAAATTGTCGCTAAACGTATGCGAAACGAAAACCACAAGTCAAATCGAATCACTAATAAATTCGGCCAACCCCGGCGCTAGTACATAGATTTAGTGTACAATGTCATACTGTACGCCACAGGCACATGCATGCACTATTCAAAGGATAATTTGAATTCCATCCAACTATATGCCAAGTAACTTGGCTGATATAAACGACTCATGGATGGGCTGCTGAGATAGGGACGGCAGAGGATCGATACCTAGCTGCACTGTTCGTGATGCTGTGCAGGGGATGCTCGACGCATGGGGCAGCAAGCACCTCCTGCGATTGCGTCATAGCCCTGAGGAACACTTATCAACGACTGGGTACGAGTCTGCACTTATCGGGGACTATGACGTAAATAAATGTAAACACACGATCTCTGGGCCGGTTTCTAGCAACTACGGGGGTTCCGCCGCTTGCACGCGTTCTGTACGCGCGTGCAGCTTTCTATTAATATTATCGGCTGTGCAAGGAGCCTCGGCCCTTGGAAATAGTCGCATACATATAAGAGGCCAGGTCGTCTCGCAACAGTGCAATCATTTCACACCCTCACATCAATCAAACTGTGCGGCTTCCGTAGAGACAAAGGCTCAGGCAATAAGCAAAGCCCCCATCCACGCGAAGCCATGGCCGCCTATCCCACTCACTTCCGGGATGTCGTGGAACAACTGCTCCAGAATCTGAGATCAGAGAAAGACTCAGAGGCACATAGGGTGTGAATCATGCTTTGCCATTATGAACGTTATCGCTGACGAAGCGGCGTTATAATTTTGTGTCGCTAACTCCCTGCAGATCTTCCGTTCACACCCTGGACACAAGTCTAAGCACATAATCCCAGAAACTGTCAACCCTAATGAAGAGACTGTTCCAGGGGTGCAACACCCAGGATCGACAGGCGTTATATATTGCACTGACCGTGCTATGGCCAATGGTTTTACATACGGAGACCCGCAATGGGTATGGCCTTTCGGATCTCCCTACTTGATAGGTGGAAGGTGTTATTAACATGTCCGCTATCAGGCCAATCTCGGTCAAGGTGCACCAGAAGTAGGGGAAATACCCGATGCACCACCTCGCATCACTAGTTTCCAAATACCAGTGGAAGCACTGGAGTACGGTCCCACCACAGGCGTGAAAGCATTCCGTCAAGCTGTCGCCAATCTGTACAATATACAGTATCGCCAAGGGAAAGTACGTTATGACAATCGTACCTATTTTCATAGCGTCACTAATCGTGGCTTCCAACCCACAGGAAAGCAAGTATACGTATGAGAACGTATGTATCGTCCCTGGTGGGCGTGCTGGCATGAGCCGCGTGGCTGCAGTTGTCGGCGATGTGTATTGTGGATATCAAGTTCCAGAGTACACAACTTATAGTGAGGTACGCCAACAGGGGGGGGTGCGGGGTTGATGTCACTGAGTGAATTCATCATAGGTCCTGTCCGTGTTCAAACGCCTGGTTCCTGTCCCCACTGCGTGAGTGCTCTTCCGTTCATGGTTGCCAAATGTTACAAGCTCTCTCTTTCCGAAATTCCAGGCTGAAACCTGAGGTCTGTCGAGTTCCACCACCACTCGCCACCCATTGACTAATCAACCACCACAGAACGAATATCGAATCGACGTCGAACAGTTGAAGGTAAGTCTCTGGAAACAGCGTGAGGTGAAACCAAATTCATACCGATCCCTGCATAGGGAGATATCAGGACGCAGGGTCTCCAGGTTATCGTTGCTTCTAACCCCAGGAACCCCACAGGCCAGGTAATCAGAGGCGAGGATCTCAAAGCATTAATCAAAGTTTGCATACCACATACAACTCTCGTTTTGGATGAGGTAATTTTCTCAGAGCATCATCTCACCTAACTCTAATACTGGCCTCTACAGTTCTATTCATGGTACATCTATCCCAAGGAAGGCGAGGATTATGGCCAGTCTGTCAGCGGCGCCGCTTTCGTGGAGGGTAGGCGCTTTTGCTCTATTTCGGTGCATCGGTCTTGAATGTCTCCCACTCTAAGACGTCAACGAGGACCCTGTCGTTCTCATCGATGGTCTTACAAAGAATTTCCGTCTTCCGGGTTGGCGCACCTGCTGGGTAATTGGCCCCAAAAACCTCATCAGCGCTCTATCTCAGAGTGGTTCTTTTCTTGATGGAGGTGCCAACCATCCGTACGTCTCTGCTGTCTCCAGTTTATTAGCCACTACTTGCTCACGGGGGTTAGGCTGCAAATTGCTGGATTGCCATTACTCGATCCTGATCGCGTGATTCAGGAGAAACTCGCTCTGCAGAAACACTTCCACAAGAAGCGTGACCATGTATTGAAGAGGCTTGCCGAGATTGGGTTGCCCGTGAAGGTGATTCCTCATGCGACGTTCTATATCTGGTTAGACCTGTCCAGTTTGCCTCATCCGTTGGATGATGGCTTGGTAAGCAACAAAATTCAGTGCGCCGTGAGATGGCAATATTGACGGCCACCTATAGACATTTTTCGAAGAGCTTCTGAGGGAAAAGACTATTGTCATCCCAGGGATCTTCTTTGAGATCAATCCCGCTCACAGACGCGATCTCTTTGCTTCTCCTTGCCACCACTTCATCCGTATCTCATTTGGTCCTCCGTTATCTGAACTTGATAAAGGTGAGGGTTTCAAGTGATGTTGGGAGGGATGCAATATAACGTTATGCATTCATTCAATTAGGACTCGATGCCATTGCCAGGGTCCTAGAGCGTGTCAGAAGGGAAGGGGCGAAAGACTTTGGCCACAGCTACAAACACTCTGGAGGGGAGAGTGCTGTTCACCAGTGAAGAATAACGGCCCGTCCAGCGACTCTAAAGATCGTTTGTTCGTAAATGTATGTTTGTCATCTACGTGAGATATTGTACTCGTACCCGCGTTGATACGTGGCAATGCGGCTATCCCAGCACATGAGGGGATCGTCAATACATGACTGGTTGATGTCGTCGAGTCCTCTGGCTCGTGTTGTTTATAGTTGTTGACGTGTCACGAAAGCAAAGTCACTCCATTGTGTCGTCATAGTCCTATTGCGTATGATTCACTCTTATGGTCAAGAATATAAAGAGTCACGCCAGTCAGGTTAGTTGCGCTCTTTCAAACCACGGGCTGACGATAAAGAACGTTGGACGTAGACAACGTGAAAGACGGGCCACAACAACAATGCTAAAGGCTCAAAGAATGCTAGCTTTGGGGTTTGGGATGAAGTCGCAGCTAAGTTCGGTGACACGAGGTGCGATATCGTGTGCGTACTTTCTGGAACTGTGGTGCTTATCTCTCGATCTTTCCATGTTGCGCAACCCACTTGCATCACGCGCACACAGCTTATTCAATGCACCCCAAGCTTTCCATCGCACCAATGCGTACCTTGCATATTCAGCAACAATGGATCAGGCCACGTTTGACAGCTCCTACCCTCCTTCAAGTCCGCTTCGCTACAAGTGGACCTGTCCCTCGGGATGCCAACTCAGTTATTCAAAATGCAGCTGAGGAGATGAAGAATATGTCTAGTGATCTTGCGAAGACAATCGCGGGGAATAGGATCGATACGACCTCAAAGGACCCTTCGGTTGTGAAGAGAGAGGCGGTTTCAGGGAAAGCCCGTGTAGTTCAAGACTTTGTGAGCTTGCGATTGGAGTAACAAGCCCTACATACATCAAATGATTCATATTCCATTTTTTCAACTCAGGTCGGCATCACTACAGCGATCGCTTCGGAAGTCCCTAAGCACATTTTATATGCTGGTCTCGCTGGTACACTTCCATATTTGGGAACGACGTTCTCCACGCTGTATTGTGCTCGAACGGCTGGCCTCGTTCCAGATCAAGTAACCATCGCTTTATTGGAATCTTCGACACACATTCAGGTCACGTATGGTGCAGTTATCCTCAGTTTCCTTGGTGCCTTGCATTGGGGAATGGAATTTGCTGGTTACGGGGGGTACATGGGATATAAGCGTCTAGTTTTTGGAGTCACACCGTTGCTTGCTGCATGGCCTACGCTTGCGATGGAACCACACACGGCTCTTGTCGTTCAGTGGTTCACCTTCACGACTCTTGTGAGTGAATGTCCTCCAGCTGAGCCGAAAGTTTGAATGGATATTCATCTTGATATTTAGTGGTACGCTGATATGAAAGCAACCGAAGTCGGTTGGGCGCCACGTTGGTATTCTCAATACAGATTTTACCTTTCTATCCTCGTTGGATCCTGCATCATCGCCACTCTCCTTGGAATCAACTACTTTGGCCCTACCACACAAGATATCATCGAGCATAACCTACCTGACTTGGGTGGTGTCGGGAGCGCCGTTGCGTTGATAAATCGTGACACAGTCAGCAAGCGAAGAGCCTATGAAATTCAGGAGTTCACGATTGGTCCTGATGTCCCTGTTACAGTGGAGGATGGTACCGCATCGGATGCTGATGCATACCTTATTGTTAAAGCTGGGGAGAAAGAGGAAATCTTGACTGGGGACAATGAAGAGAGTGGTGCGCCGGAGGAGAATACCCAGAATCAACAAGAATCGGAGTAGACCAAAAATAGCGGGAATCGAGATCCGGAAGTCGACAGATGACGGGATGATGTCACAAGAGTACAGGTCAGGAGGGAACGGCCTCTGCCAAGCAGCGATTTTTCTTGAGCATCATGACCTCATTTCAGGTCAGTCGCCGCATGGTTTGATCTCGAGGCGCATTTGCTGTACTAGTAGGCCACTGGTATCTTCATCGTGTACATTTTGATAAAATATTACAGTATATGGATAAACAAGCCGGGATAAACTGGTGCTTCAGCATAGTCCCTCATCTCCAAGCAATCTGATAACCATAGCGGTCTCGTCCCTGCCTTCAAGGGGTGGCCCTAATATCTGCCAACACATCCGACATACGAGAGTGATGGGCTCGCCAGTTCGCACGTCTCCGACGATAGATAGTTCTGCGGGGAGTCTGTTGCAACTCCTGCATAGAGGCTTCCTGCTCGTTATGCTGGCAGGGGACAGTTGGATTGTCAGAGGATAATTCGCGGGGGGGTCAGTGGGTGTCGGCAATCTAAACAAAGCACATTAGGGAGCAGTTGACGGGGGGCATTATCAAAGAACACCTTATTTGACTGAAAACGATGAAGTGTTCGCAGTCTCCTTGGTGCAGAAGATAATAAGGTTGATGTAGTCGGAAAGCCAGGTTTGCAAGTACGACGCTGTGAATTCCAGCTCCCAGGTGGACAAAACCAGGACCTCTCTTGTTGATATACGTCTTCAGTTTTCTGTGGGGAAGTGCGTGAATATAATAAATAGGTAAGACTGGGGTGATCCTGATCGCTTACTCGCCATAATCATGCGCACCTAATCCATCACCATGCACAACACCCTCCACACATATAACAACTCCTTTGCCTTCTTCGACATGATCTTCGTAGCCCACAAGAGTTTTCCCATCATCGCTTAAAATTTCTTGTGGGAGGAATTTCTCCAGGCACGGCATGTTGTCGTACACATCTCCCAGAGTCTGAGTGGAAAGAGCAACATGCGTAGAGGATCGATGGAAATGGTGAGGGAAAGAAAACCCGCGGGAGAAAATTGCGTATGTGATGAGCGCAATGGGACTGCCGCTTCCAAAGATACCACTGATCGAACATAAGGCGGAACCATCCTTGCTTGGAACCGAGCTGTATTTCTGGGAAGAAAGTGGGGGGTCAGCTCTAGAAGGTGTAGTTGACCGAGGTCAGCACAATATTGCTTAAACTATTTATGTCCTCATTACGCCGCAATCGGGAATAAAGGTTGGCTTCCGCAGACACGCTGTCACGTTCGTGAGGGATGAGGATGACATTGGCTTGGCTTTGGGACTTACTTCCAACACTCCAATGGGATATCCCGAATAGTCTTCTCGAAATGAGTGAGGTCGGGCTCTGTCAGACGATTTCAGCAAATTTACGCGAAAGTTCGGTAGGAATACTGTCTACCATCACTTGCAGTGCTTGAACGACCCAAACGCACGGATGAAATTTCACCGCGCAAGCCAGCGTGTCCTTTCCGCCTTTTCATTGCACCATTTTCACCAAATTCTTCATTCAGCTGAAGGTCATGGAAGCTTCGCAAAATCGCTTCTTTTTTAGGATTTCCTAGGTTGTTCCTTATGTCTTCCGCGATGTCATCAACTCTGCCCAGTTTATATACGGCTAAAATATCTGAAAATCTATAGTACACGCACCAACATACCTACATTCTTGCTCTATTTTGTCGTGCGTGACGTCGTCAACGCGATTCCACTTCAATGAATCCTCGGAACTTGGGCTATCCCTCCCCAATGAGACGTCACGGTTGAGTGATGTAGCTTCCTCTATAAATTTGACGATCGATATTGGATGAGATGGAGGACCGAATGTCGCATTCTCGTCCCAGCGATGGCTGGGTTGCATCAGGGCTCACGTTCACATCACGTTACATATACTTTGTCCGTCGTAGCGGCGCTTTCCGCCAAATCGTCCATCAAATATTGGCAATATTAGGCAAGACCCCATAGTGGAATATAGAAGATAGGTTGGCAATATCTTTTTGCCGTCGCGCAGACTGTCGCGTACCTTTATTTTTTTCCCCTCCACCTATATACTGCTGTACTCTAGTGCTTCACCAGAGTAATTTTCTTTGCCCTGCTACGCATGAAAGCACTGGACACAACAGGAGGTTCAAAAGAAAAAACCGCGACGGGAAAACATGGGCTTGAGGTGGGGGGAAGCTATATCAAGTTATTCTAATTAACCTGCCAAGGGGAAGCAACCACGGGAAGAAGTGCAAATTGAGAAGAAAGGTAAAAGATGGGCCGGAAAGATCCGTTGCGACGCCTGGTTCGGCATTGCCTACGTGTTGAGCCGCACCATCGCACGGATCATTGCTTCGCAGTCTTCACCCTTACTGACGCCATGCGCCCACTGAGACGACTTGACGTCTTGCCCGCATTCCTTCTATCTCTCATCTATTCCTGGATAGCGAATGGCGAATTCATCCGCCCGCGGCCAAATCCTTTGAAGCAGGTCCTGGAGCATACGCCAGTGAATCAGCCCTCCGAAACTTGCGCTAAGGTGTGATACTACATAGAGGATTTCCTGGCGACTTGGATTGAACCACCTCACAAGCTCCGATTGAAAGGACCTATAGAAACCACACATTGTGATTATGAGACTGTGGAAAGCGTGAATGACGAACTGGTATCGAATCTAAGCGCTCTGGTTCGGAAACCATTCTTCAGATACTATAAGGCATGTCCTTCCCCCCTCCCTCCCTCCCTTAACAAATTTAGTTGCTGTCCCAGGTTGATTTATATCGGGAATGCCCGTTTTGGCGAGAAAATGGCTTTTGCATGCATCGCACTTGTGGAGTGACGTCCATAGATGAAGTAAGGCAGGTAATGGGTATTGAGGTCGCTTTCTAATTACTCTTTGCATAGAGTCAAGTACCAAGGGAGTGGAGAGCTGAAGCACTTAGCCAAGTACGAGGAGCCCAAGAAGGCATTGTGGTGCGTCTACTGTTCCATCGCTCCGTCCATGATCTGAACATGAATTACCATTCAGAGACTTCCGGGATGCTTTTATAAAAATTCGGATTTCTGTTTCCTCGACGATAACGAAGGTACGTGAGGGTCGGTAGCGCCATTCAAGTGGTACATTCACATGTTCATCCAGGAGGAGAGTATGTCGACCTTACTGAAAACCCCGAAGGTTTTACTGGATACGCTGGCGCATCTGCTCATCGAATATGGGGCTCGATTTATAACGAAAATTGCTTTGGCTTATCAGAAGCGACCCTTCTCCAACGTGCTGAAATGTCGCGATTTGATCGGTCCCCTGCCAGCATACTCGGACTGAGTCGTTTACCGGCAACAGCAGATGAAGGGTGTCTGGAGAAGCGAGTATACTACCGCATCATATCTGGTCTGTGGATCTGCACAGTTAATATGCTCCCAACACTCTATTCACCATACTCTCTAGGCATGCATGCATCAATATCAATTCACATTTGTCACCGGTGGTTCAATCAGACTACGGGAGTATGGGTATGTCGTCAGGCTTGCGGTATTTACGTCCCTCTAATCAATTGATAGGGCCCAAATCTGCAATGCTTCGCTAATCGTATAGCACTGCACCCTGAACGTCTTCAACACCTTTACTTCAACAACGTTCTCCTTTTGCGTGCTGTTTCTCGTGTTGGTCCATACCTATCCGCTTATAGTCTAGATGATGAAGAGAAAGGCGCAGATGAGCTCCTCGATAATGTGTTAAATATAGCCAAATCAGCGGGGGCTTTTGACGAAACTGCATTGTTCCGGGGCAACGATGCTAAGGTAAGTTCAGAATGTCAATTGATTTGATTCTGGGCTGAGCTATGGCTTGGTAGATACTAAAGGAGGAGTTTAAAGACCATTTCCGCAACGTGTCTCTAATCATGGATTGCGTCGGATGTGACAAGTGTAGGCTTTGGGGGAAGATTCAGGTGACAGGCATTGCTGCTGCTCTGAAGATTCTCTTCGAAATGGATGAGAATGCCCTTGAGTAAGTTGCATCTGCTTTCTATATTTGGATCTCAGTAATGTTCTCCCTTTGCTAGCCCTCAGCTGAATCGCAATCTGCTCACGCGCTGGGAAGTGGTGGCTTTAATCAATACACTGCGTCTCTTCAGTGAAAGTCTGAAGATAACAGAGGATTTCCGTGCACTTTGGCATGAGACACACGATGCTGAGAGGATAATATCTGAAGCAGAAACAGAAGCACTTATCACTGCGAAAGTACGTACATCATGGGGTGCTCATGTGTTGTTGGTTCTTATCCCCATAGGTAGGCAGGCCAAGCCTCAACTATTCCTCGGCCGTCACCGGCATCTCTGATGCCTCCTCAACGGCCGGAATATCGTGTTCCGTCGTATCGATTTGAGGTGTTCGGAGAAAAGGTAATCGATGTGTGCAGGCGAGGGAGGGGCTGTGTGGCAGCTGTCATGAGAGAGATAACACGGCTTACACAGGCTGCCGCAAGGATATTACGGACTATATTTGCCTTGTCTAGAAAGGACCACACAAACGATCTATAGACTAAGCACCTCGACCTAATCAGTATATACTATGTATATTCATTGTTTGTAGTTATATCCTATTTGCGTCATCTAATCACTTGAACATCCGCATTAAATATAGTGCATCCCTATCCTCGCATCTTGGAACTAGGTTAGAGTGAGCTGCGAGTCAATTGAATGAATTTCCCACGACTCTCCGAAACTCGAAATCCGTCTACGCCCATTTTTGTGGCGGCCATTCAACATGCCAAATATCCACCTCTCACCTCGAGCTGAAGCCCTGAAGCTGGAGGCCAACCGTTTATTTCAAAATCAGGACTGGAGTATGGCCTTCATAACATACTCCGCAGCCATCTCCGTAGAACCTAGGAGTGCAGTGCTTTATGGCAATCGAAGCGCCACATCCATGAAGATGAACAGATACCATCAAGCCCTTAGTGATGCAAAGAAGGCTATTGAGGTAAGATCCCTCGTCCAATCTTCATAATCAGGGCGATCTGCAATCGATTCCACTCTCGAAGCTAGACCATGGTTGGGACAAAGCTCACGCGCGTGCCGCCGCAGCTCATGAAGCTTTGAGTTCAGTCCATCATGAGTGTGGCGATATAAAAGCTTAGGGTCATTCGAACTTTATAGATGAGCTCACGAGCGCCCATCTTAAATATTTGGAAGCGGCTAAATTCGCTACGAAGCCGGCAAGCAAAGACGAATATGAGAGACTTGCAAGGCTTGTGATCGAGAAGGCGCAACGGGCTTCCGAGGCTACAGTGGCCCAATCTTACGTTCAGCTGAAGAATCCAACCGACAAATTCATGCAGATGGTCGAGCAGGGACACATTTTCCCTCTCGACTCCGCCGTCGTACGGAACGTAAACACTGTTGATAGCGTCCTAAAAGCATGGAAGGTGGTTAACCATACCCATCCATACGGACAATAACAGAGTCGCTGAGCCTCGTTCGTCAGGATATTTTGGGTCTCGCAATCACGAAGACTGATGCCAATGGCAAGCCATTGCCCCAAGCTCAACATACGGCCAAAGTCAAAGTAGGGGCAGTTTCAGACTTCGTCTCCTGCGTACTACAGGATCCGATGAATAGTTTCGCGGTTACGAGTTCCACAGAGTGGAACAATCCAGTTGACTTGATCCAGCATCAGATCCAGTGGGAGGCAGTGAGTACGCATCTATATATTACCTTGGACATTCAAACTCTAGCCGCGTACTTCATTAGGCAATCTCAAAACTTCCGTCGGTGTGTTCTCTAACCTTGGTGACTTATTTCCGTGCTTATCGGTAGCACAACACTTTCAGTTCGAAAATACACAGAACTTCGTAAGATGATAATTACTATTGCGTGCGATGCTTTAATGTCAATATCATAATAGATTCAGTATTTTGAGAGTATAGTATCTGCTCATGGCTGGGATCATGTCCACGGAGGACCTCAAAGGCGAGTTTACAGTGTTCGGCGAATAGTGCGCCTTCTTGACCCAAACTACAGCTGCTTCAGGGTGCGGGATAGCCTATCACTTGCCATTCGCATTCCTATACTTGCCGGAATGGTCTACGAGCTCATCGCCGGCCATTATGGGACAGCGGCGCAAAAGTATGAACAAAGTCTAGCATATATTGACGCCATTCGAGCCAGATGGCCTGATTTGGGCCCCGAGATCGTCGGAACTAGCATCAAGGAAACGTTCAGTAAGGAAAAAAGTAATACTGTGCGACTGGCTCAACAAAACTACGATTTCATAATAGGGAGAGCCGTTCAAGCCAGGTACTTAATGTGTCTTGAGCAGCGAGCATCAGCTCGTCCGAAACCTCTTTCGTCGGAGTTCGAGGAGATCAAAAAGGTGGCAAATGAGCTGCTGGAGTCGTGTAGAGCGCACCCCGTTCACCTTGGCCCAGGTGCATCCCCATCGGATATAATTCATTGGGTTGCGTTCGACAAGAGTATTCGTGCTGAGGTTAGTGCTTCATTACTTTAGGATTTCCGACAAGTAGTTGAATATACTAGGCACACATGGCGCTAGCCTATGCGTACCGAAACACCAGAGATGATCCCGAAGATGGAGTAAAGTGCTTACAGAAGTACGTGCCTTGTTCCAAGTCGAAGCTTTGGGACGCCGCTCATTGATAGACGACAGTTATCTTCTAGCCGCTGCTTGGTTTCCGCTAGGTGAGTCAGTTAATCCTGTTTATCATTCGGCAAATCTTCAATTCTCTTTTAGATGATTATCGCTGTGCTATGAATTTGTGGTATGCACTCAATATCTCCATGAGAGAAGGTGGTATCTCCTTAGAAGGTATGAGAGACTATTGCGGATTTTGGCGGGGGATAATGGCTGTTGCAGATATTGACGCAATGATAGCAAAGGCTCAGGCTGCTGAGAAAGCTTCACAACTATTTTTCGATAAACGAGAAGATCCCCAATGGTATGACCGGAATTCATGCTTCAGCCCCATTTTAATCAGGTATCGTTCATCAGTCGTCAATGGGTATTAGATTGCAGGGACGAGCTCAAGAAGTGGGCATCAAAAATGAGAAAGGCGAACCCTCGCAATGTTTTCTTAGGACCAGTGATAGGACAAGCCGACCGGATTGTCTCAGGCAGGATCCACGGTTTGGATTTGTCTCAGCTCCGGGGAAATGGTTCGGGTCGAATTGGTATTTTTGCTGAAGTCCATGTGGTGGAGACTTACAAGGCGGCGAAGGAAGAGGCAAAGCAGGAATCCGAGGGAGTGCTGGTTCTCTCGGTTGATTAGTCGACATTCGGAATTACCTCTTCTCATCATTTGTTGCCAGTAACACAGCGCTGGCTGATACGAATCTCCTTTCTTGGATATGTAGAATTGAATTGGATGGTGTTCGACACCAGCGAATGTGCGAGGTACAGTAATGTAAAATGCAGCGATACAGGCGATTAATAGATGGAAAGTAAAGGAGTGAACGCAATCATCTTAGTATGGGAGTAGTTGAGCCAGAAACGAAGCAAAGGGAAAATAAGTTGTGTCCAATAAGAATACCTTTGACCCCATGAGCAACGATCACACCCCTGCTATGTGCCGATTTGCCACGCAGATGGCCACTCATCAATTCCTTGAATGAGCGCCGAGTTTTCTCCGTCAAACACGAGGATTGACGTGGCTAGGTGTGATGCGACGTTTACCGTTCCTAACTTCGCACGCATACTATTGGGAAGATCGTTCCACGATGCTGTGCCATGTTGGGATTGCTGTGGGTCATCGTCATCCTGGGAAACCAAGACAGACCGCACATGTTTGTTCCCTGAGGGATCTTTTACGCCTGGAGCTTGGGAAACTTGTGCTATGGAGTCTTTAGCCATACAGTGGAAAGAACCTGCAACAAAGAGTGGAAAGGGGTTCAAATTGGTAACGAATGCACTGTGTGAAGCGTCGACCATTACCTTGAAATGAAGGTGGGACACGAGCCAATACTGGCGAGAGCTTCGTCTCAGCAGACATCTGAAGTGCGACAGGCGGATAAGAATATGGATAATCTACGATCACGGCAACCGGTGCATATGTGGTGCATGCGGATAGATGGATGGCATAGGGGTCGGTCGAACCGCTACGCCTCTTGGGGAGATTAACGGCTTTAACTATAGCATCGATCGGACTAATAACCAAAATTCAGACGCAATCAGTAAGGACCGTGAGACAGAGGGATAATTTGGAGGTGTACTAAATGTGACACATACGCATGATCGGAATGAAGAAGTACAGTGAAGGGCAAGCCCCTGTACACAAGGGTGATGTTGGCCATTATTTCAGCTGACCGGGCCTGGATACGCAAGTACTGAGACACTCGCATCAGCCCACGGATGGGAGCATATGTATCAATGCTGAAGTTTTTAACTTCGTTCTGCACACATCTCCCCGTAAGTAAATAAACGAGAGATTGCCCACAGATGCGTACCATTTGCATGGAGACGAGAGAAACAGGTCCTTCTAGTGAGAGGGATTCGATAGAGAGGGGGTGTTGTGAGTTTCTCCGTTGAAAACTGTGACTGAAACGGGGAAGGTAGGTGGAAAGACAGCGCAGCGACACATCTCTAGGGATGATTAGGCTGATGGTCACATCGAGAGGTATATTTCTTTCATTCCTCTGTTCTTGGTCATTCACTCAGTCTGGAGAAATATGAAGAGAAAATGACCACGCACGTTGCGTATCTCCAAACCATATTCACCGTCCCCTACACCTTTCACCATGCACACATGGATGTCCCTCGTAGGTGCGAATTGGCCAGGCACGTATACCTCAATCAGGATGCCCATGTCTGGCCAATTATGAGCCCAGACATCAAGTTGTCCGGTCAGTAACTCAGAGTCAAAGGAACGAATGAAGAAAGATGTCGTATTCTTCGGGTAGAGATACCGAAGCTCGGGCATGCTTGGGACGCTGAAATTCCATGCATCACACGAAGCATTTTGACCCCCCATGCATGCATCACACGGAACGGTTGGCGGTCCCCTGTAATCAGCTGCAAGCGGAGGATAGGGTGGGGGGGAATGGGGAGGCGGAGGCGGGGCGGAGGATGGGCCAAATTGTGGACCCGGAGGGTCATTCCAGAAATTAAAGCTGAACTGTTCGTGGTAAGTTGCGTCACTCCATCGTCGCTTCCAGGGTTTCTACATTGGGGATATCATCGATATCATAAACCCAGATATCCTTCGTAGGCATGTTGAATTTCAAATGCTTACCAGAATCAAGAGGGCTGTGAGAAGAGCAGAGTACACAACGAAGGCTATGAGAATATATAGAAGCCATCGCCGACGTCTCTTCCGCGGGAATGTCTTGTCTTTTTCGACGACGGTAGAAGTATCATCATCATCGTAACCAACTCCCGAGTTGTCATTGATTCTGGTGGTCGTTGGAGCTGACGGGATATAGGGAGGCGGATGCTCAAGGGAAGTGGTGGATAGAGGGCGAAGGGCAACAGGCTGGCTTGATGAAGGGTCAACCTTTTGAGGCTGTTGCTCGTCGAGGATGATCATGGGAACATTGGACAAAAAGTGGTGTTACCTAAAGGACACGGAATAGAATAATTCCGAACGTGATTGCTGTGCGGCAATTCCCGCGGAACTTGCTAACTCCGTTCTTCTCCCGCTTCAATTCCTGATAGACTCCTTTCGGAGGGTTCAAGAATATCTATTGCGTTCTACATACACATTCATCCAGAAACAAGTAGATAAAGAATATAACTATTGAAACTATAAAAATAAGAACCGACACGGCGCAGTTCATCTTGTGAGGCAGTTGCAGAAAGGCGGATCCTGAGAAGAATACACCATCTTCCACGGCTGTCGAGCCTGCACGATCTGTCTCTCGTATAGGAAAACCCAATTTTGAAGACACGATGAATTCCGCGATTTGACCGATAGCCTTTGTAATGCCTTCCCAGCCTCAAAACATTCTCCAACCCATTCATCGAGGTGCTTCGGCTCATCCATCCCAGCTATACTGCCTTCCCAAGCCAGCTCTTCCAAAGATGATGCTAGGGCTGGAATAAGAACATCCACAACTCCCGCGAGCCCATTGACGAGTTCGGCTGCTACAGTGGGAAATTTGATTTCGACACTTCTGAGACGTTTCAAAGCGGGTATGCGAAAGAGGTCCGAATACGTGCTAGGCGCGCAAAGGGCAGCCGTGGATGCGCCGTGGAAACCCATACTCAGGTGGTCTAAGGGGTCGCGTGCTTTCTCGTCCTCGTTGGTTGAGAGGGCAAGCTCAAGTTGCTGGAGGTTTGTTGACATATAATCAATGGAAAGGCGCTTGATTGGTTGACCACGGATGATGTTAGATTGGGAGGGCGTGCGGACATGGAGGGATTGGAGGGAGGGCAGGTAAACGTCTAATGGAGACGCTTCGCATATTGATAACGGGAGACGTAGAGTATGCAATTGTGGATGAGCACGTAAAAATTTTCCGAGTCTTGCATCGCATCGATCCATGTTCGCCGTGAAGACCCTCAGGTGCGGAGCGAACCCCAGATTTCTCTCAAAAGTCGAGGTAACGGGGTTGTGTTCCACCCCGTGCCGATGCGAGCAGACTTCCAAATGCGTAATGTTACGTGCATAGCGCGTAAGCTTCCCAAGGATGAGCTCAAGCTCTTCGGAAAAAGGGACATTCTGGTTCCCTTCACCGATCATCGAATTGCCGACTTCGAGGCCGAGCCCGCTGGTGCCGAAATCTAGGCAAAGACGGCGAATGAACGTCCCCGAGATGTCCTGGACGAATGTGGCAAAGTTGTTAATCGTGCAGGCAGAATTGCGTCGAGCTTTGGGGGAGGTATAACGGATGGAACGCCAGAGCTGTGGCGCCGTTGCGCGGCGTAGCGACGAGCTACACAGGCTAAGAGACTTGAGTGAGGACGAGTCCAACAACCCGAAAAGGATGTAATGGACGTCGTACGTCGCGTTTTCGATGCGAGAAGACGGCATGGATAGGACTCCTGGCAGGTTTGGGGTAAAGGTCAAATTCTGGGCACTCTTATAAGCACTGCGGAGTGTTAGGTAAATAAGCCACGAGTGCCAAGTGCCCGATCAAATTCCAAAACGGTCACCTTGTGCGTCCCCAACGAAGAGGCGGAGCCGGCGTCTGTACCACTTGACAGGAGCATTGGCTGCAGGCCAAACTTATAGACTAACCCTATCACCCTTTTTCAATGACCCTGATCGTATTCCCTGGCATTCAATAGTGGACAGAGAAGTGCGAAGCATGAGGCGGAAAGAGGGTGGATTGTTCGAAAGAGCTGCCGCTCCCACGGCCAACGCCTCATAGCCGACGACTTCCCCTAGTCCTAATGAGATTTGAAGCATGAACACCGCGCATTAGAGCGCTCTTTAAGCGGGCCACTGCAGCTTCTTCTGCAGTGTCGAAAACATAACTGGGTTCGCTGATGCAATCCACATGGGCACATGGGATCATATCAGCGATTGATCGGCTCCGCGTGTAGTAGCGCCGTAAAGTCAAGGCGGCTTTGATGCATGAAGTACGTGACAGGGGACAGGAAGCGCACTATTCAAGGCGAATCGCAACCTCAAGGAACAAAGAGAAATGCAGCAGGAGTGCATGAGAAACGAGCAGTTGTAGAAAAGAACATGGTACAAATTAGGCATGGTTTGGCGGCTGTAAACTGAACCTAAGGCAATACCCGCCCAAAACATCCATATGACATGCCCCCGCTACACGGAACGACACGAGCTTTCTACTCCCCATAGGGAGGCGTCATTGCAGCTAAATCTTTAAGGCATGCATTTAGATGATGGTCGGGCTGGGGTTCTTCTGCAATATCGAATCAATCCACCACACACGAGGTTCTTGGTCGACCTCGGCGTGTCTGGTTCCCTGAGGGAGTACTGGGAGTAACAGCTACTGCCGCAATCTAGGGCAACAAGGTATGTCTTCCAACGTCACGACGGAACCAATAGCCCCTCACACAATCTCAGCGTCTCCAGTACTGCTTGATCCATGTTGAACGCAACCTCTCATAACAACATATTCGGCTCAGAGGATAGTATCAGGACTCGCCCTCAATACCGAAAGGACCTACCTGGGGGGTCTCAATATATTACCTGTGGGAGGTGGCTTCATCACCCGATTGCAAGCAGGTTCTCTCAGCAAGCTCAGTTCCCTTGCCGATGCGCTCAGTTCCCCGACCAATTTGGAGCGAGAGCCCGTATGAAAGTGCTGGCCTGCCCGGGTGAGATACCTCCTGACGCACCAACTACTACGGTCCTAGGGGGAACTTCCCATGCACAACTGATTGATGAGACACTACTACCTTCTTCTCATTTATCGTTGGATTCACCCAATGGGGACAGCCAATTTATGCGGGATTAACAAACTTCCACCACCCACCTATATTGTCAACTTCTTTATCTATGGTGTGTGTCGGTCTCACGCCGTTTTCCTGGCTCCCTGGATCCAGCCAATCTACACGCAATGTAGCCTTTATTGGAAAGAGTGTAGCTGCGGTGAACCCTTCCCATCGAACGGTTTCTGTCGACGTATCGCTTATATGGAGACGTCAAGTTCTTGCCGTTGTGGGGTTGATTGCACCGGATGTGAGTCCGAGTCATAACTAATTAAGAGTCGTCCACCGAGGTGGTCGAGGCTGATATTCGGACCGGCCAGGCTGGTAGATGTTGCCCCTGGCTGAGTCAAGATTAGGCAGCACACTTACAAGACGGCGAAGTTCGGGGCCGGGGAGGTATATATCCGTGGCATCGGTTCTCTTGGTGCCACTGATCTTACCGTGTCACGCACAACCTTGGTCGTGGAACGCATCTTTCACCTAGTGTGTTTCATGACACCGCGGATACGGCGAAAGCTTGATGTCTGACTGTACGTTCACGTACTAGCTGAGATCAGTGGATAGAACATCCTGAAGACTTGACGTAACTCCCTCTTCATTGTACTTGCGGCCTGATCTCCCCAGTTATACTGCCCGCAACTAAGTCGCAACTTGCACTTTCCACCCTTACATAAACCGAACGAACCTGACACCCTTCTTGCACCCCGACACTAATGGAATGCCCGCGAATGGGCTTGTCCCGATGCGTTTGCATAGAGCGAAGGTGAATTTGTCCACCTTGCTGATCGACTTGCGACTGGGACACGTGCGAAGTGATTCCAAACTGGTATCCAAATTTGAGGTGCCAATCATTGCATTTTGCGTTGTGTAAACCTGGCGTTGCCACTGAAGGGTCTATTCACTCCTATCCTTTCATCCGCACTAGGTTAGAGCTCTACATCCCTGGCGTATGCAGTCATTTTGATTCGATAGCTGGTGTCTGATGACCCGAATAAGGACAACCCCACTACAAGCGAGGCGACCCTCAAATTTCCCATTATACGTGACAAAAGCTGGCTCCCTTGCACTCTCGGGAACCGTCTTGATTCGTCAGCTTTAGCTTAGTGGCTGATGTTGTGCAGATTGGCATCTCAATAAAGTCATACATTAACCCACGAGTCCGATTGCGTAGGATCACTGCCAGACGGAGATAGTAGGGAAAAGTGCTCGGTTGCCTGCAGCTTGATCAACTGCTGTGAATTGGTCCTCGCCTTCTGGGTATCCAACTCACATCAACCACACTGGGCTGCACCTCCGTTCTGTGGAGCAACCTTGGACCCTAAAACGATATCCTGCTTCGGTCAGGTCTGTGGCCGGCAGTAACGCACATTGCTGCGGTTATACTTAGTTACCTATGCCATGCGCATTCGTCTCTGGCTTTTTCGTCAGCGGTCAAGTCGTGGTCAATATGGTCATATAATTCAAGTCGTAGGAAGGATTTCGTTTATCATCCTTCGAATTCAGACCCATAATGACTGCATTATTCTGCACATTCATATTAAGACATGCTGACTAGGCAATCACATTGGAATTAGCCGACGTTTCAATTTATTTCAGTAATTCAGGAGACTCGGATATCCAACAAAGCATATCAAGGAACAGGAAAAGGGGCGCGAATGTTGCAATGAGAGCCGACGCAGTGCATGATTCACTTCGACTTCGCGAAACCAACGGCATCACGATTGAGATCGTACACAGTGAAATAACGGCGGAGGAAGGCATCACCAAGGATCCAGAGGGAGCCGCCTGGAACGTTGATGTCCATACCTTCAAAAGGTTGAAGTTTAAGGTACGGAAGCAAACAGAGGTGAGGGACCCCTACCTTGGAACGCACTAATGCACGTGTTCTGAATATTGAGGATGTAATCAGTTCCCTTCAGGGATACGGCTTGCCATTGAAGTAGAACGAGAGCTCCGGAAGTGTGGGGACCTCATCACAGGGAACGGTATACTGGCCATTCCAGCCCTTCGTTGCGCCAATCTCAGCATTAAGCATTTCGGCAATGTCAGTAGGAGCCACAATCAGCGAAGTTCCACTGAGCTTATCCCATGAGCAACATGCGCAAATCATGAATGCTTGAACTTACGTGTCGATAGCAGCGCCAGTGTTCTCAAGCTCTAATTCCTCATCACCGAAGGTGATCTTCTCGAGCTCCACTTCCCAGTAGGCCTTCCTCCTAACAGGTACATACTCGATCTTTCCGGTATAGTGACTATTATCGATACCGCCAAACACAGCTTCACCTCCATCTTCCTCACTATCACCGACGCGGAAGGAGAAAACAGGGTCCGCCAGCAATCCGTGATTGACAAGTTCGTAGAATGGAGGGGTGATGTGATTAACAGCAATGGTGTCATAAGCAAGTCCGAGGATACCATCGAACCTGGTCAATAATTAGTTCAAGAATCGATGCTGGCGTGGGAATTGGCCTACTTTCCGAAAGCAAAAGTGAGACCGGGTTCTTTGAGCGCCTCAGCGAAGGTGACGCTTCCCAAACTCAGGTCCCCAATGCTAAATGCATCATGCGAAACAATACCAGAGAGGGAACCAGAGCCATACGCAATGTCGAAAGTTGATCCATTCGCCTTGTAGGTGCTAGAAGCCGACGAGTCGTATTTGGCATGGAAAAAGCATGCAATAGACGTGCAGGACTTGCTGGGGACCCAGAGGTTTGAGGAACTAATGACAACCATGGTTAGGTATTTTGCGGCACGCAACATGCGGCAACAAAAACTTGCCCGGTATCTAGATGTCCTCGCGTTAGCAGCCTTTATATATGATAAGATACGCATCTTACCAAGAATAACCTAATGGTGACAGACGAAGAAAACGAGTCAGTAAAAGTTATGACGACAACCTATCTGCATGCGACACAGGTAGCAGTACCTTGAACTAATTCTCAAAGTCAGTCTGAAGTGTAAGTTAACAAACACAGCACTTACAGTTTGCGGGGGCGTTCCTATAGTAATATCGGCAAAATATTGCGCATTGGCATAGTCTGGTGTTCACACAAATCGAATCAACTCCACGAAACGAAGAGAAGTCCACGTACTGGTAAGTGGGACAGTGTGTCCACCTTGACCCCTCTCCTGAACCTGGGTCCAGTAGAGGTCGTCCTCTGCATTGCGATTGAGGGGCTTCGAGAGGGGTTGTTGAACACCGTATTTCTGTCCAAGCTGCGCAACAGACGCTGCCGATGCGACATGGTCGGGAGAAGAGGGGGTATCTTCTGAAGCCTCAGACGATGAACGCCTCCCGCCACCGCGAGAGCTGAAAGGGATAACGAGACAAGCAACGATGAGAACATAGTTTTAATGAACGGACGAACGCGCGGCAACTCGCACATGACCTATCCTTTCTTTTACATGTTTTCTGCACGTGAATTCCAAAATGCCAACCGCAGCCACTTAATAAGTTAATTGAGGTTAGGAATTGAGCGCGCCATCCCGTTCGCTGCGCGTCCTACAACGTCGCTTGCGGGCCAAGGCTATGTTGTTACCTGTGCTTCTTGTAGGCTGGGTTTCTTGCGCAGTGGCTTATCTTCCTGCTGTTCCCACCAACAATGTGTCGGCTGTTCACGTCAATGCCTCGATGGTCGTACTTGAATGGTCTGGGGGTGTGTACAGCCGCGATGTCTCTTATCAGCTAGTAGGCTCAACTACCACCGGGATCGACAAGGTATGGTTTGCGAGTGGTCTGCTACTCAGTCCTTAAGACTTCAGTTAGGGAGCGCTGGTCCATTTCGCTGAAACTAATGCTACCCAACCTTTTGCGACTACCCCATGGATTGCTCTCATATCATGCGACCAAAATTACACCTGGCCCAATGGCACACTTCATAATGACAGTTACGACGTATTGTCTATGGCGAACGATCTGGGCGCAATTGCAGCCCTACTCTACACCACAAATTCCGAGGCTTGTCTGATAAATCCCGAGTTTTCCAACCCAAAGCTTTTCGACCAAATCATGGATATATTCACAACCGTCTCGAAAAGTTCGGCAAGGTAAAGTCCATCCGTCTCTTTTTTACAACTGTAATTCTCTGATCCGTGCTTCTATATCTGTGCCCTGATGGGAACCCTTCGAGAAGGCTTATCGAGTCTCGGTTTAGCAATGTCGACCACTCATATTATTGGTATGACAGTGGGAAATTGAACGATTCGTTCTCCCAGGTGGAGTCATATATCAGCGGTGCTCCTCCGCAGCCGGGGTTCATGATGTCCAGTCTGACCGTCAATTCAACATTCCATCCCAACATTACTACACCTCCTCCTCCCACACATCTTCCAAGGGATCTGGGGGGTCCTCCAACACTAGTTTGGCGATGTGGGTGTGCCGTATTAGTGCGCCTGCATGTGCTCATCAGCCTCGGTTTTAGGATTTTGTTGTACTCAGTCACTGGTTGCGTCTCCGTGCTCTTCTCCATTGTCGTCATATCCGGGGTATGTCGATCTGATAGTCCCTGTTTCGTGAACTTGCGCTAATTCCCTTGCCTATTAGGCAGTTCGTGCTTTCCGATACCCCGATAGATATGGCCCCCGATCAGGAAATGAGCCTCACACAGGCCCTGGCCTGCATCCTGGCCCACGCACCCGAACTCAGGGCCTCACGCGTGCGATGTTGGATAGCTTCCCCCTTATCAAGTTCGGCCAATCTGACAACAATGCACCGCCGCAGCATAGACAGATGGAGAGGATGCTGTACCCTAAATTCGATGGAGAAGATGTGGAGCGGCATGCGGGTGTCCGGGCCCCAGATCACGGGCATGCGGACTCTACCATTATGGAGGAGATCAACGGCGCGGTGGAGGGCCCCGCGCCAACAATCGTGAGGCACCCAAACTTCACAAAGAATCTGGACGAAACCTCGGGGCTAAGCGGGACTCAACGGAGAGAAGGCTGGACAACGGGAGTCTAGATCCGAGGAGGTGGATCCTGCCACCATAGGACGCGAGACTTGCCCTATATGCATCGTTGACTTTGAGAACGGCGATGATGTCCGGGTATTGCCGTGTGAGGGCAAGCACCGGTTCCACCAGGGGTGCGTGGATCAATGGTTGTTGGAGCTGTCAACCTCGTGCCCCATCTGCCGGGCCGGTGAGTGTTCTCTCGCCATTCATCTCTCTGATCATTCCATTCATGATACTGCGTGCACAGATTTCAATACTCTTGATGCAACTGCTGGCACGAATATACATTTCCCCGAAATGCCTGAAGTCCACTCCCCGTCATCTTCTGCAGCTTCTGGACCTGCGGCAGGGAATACGCCGAAATATTCAGCTTCACTATTCCCAAGATATCTCGGAGTCTCGCGTAGAAGCCACGAGGGGGCAACCAATGATGCCGGTACTTCGCAAATGCGCTGAACAAGGTCATCCAATCCCCGCCTCGCCTGGCGCGTCACCGTGTGCAGCTTTCTCCCACGTTATATATCCAGAATGACAATGTTCAATCTTCGCCTGACGCCGTACCATCATACGCATTCCCAAATAATCGGGCCTTCATGTTGGCATCCTCGAATCCCACCGTTGGTTTCGATCCTGGGTCTCTTTCAGAATTCTCGTACACCCATTATTGCTCAGTTCTTTACGACAGGATTCTGCTTTCCGCGACCGTCACCGTCTCTAACGCAACAGCAGCACCGCCACTAGTTGTATCACGGAGTCATTCCCCTTGTTTGAACATCTCAAGCTCCAAAGCGCCACCGGAGCTCACGGACTTTCTGGATTTGCTCACCGTCTGACCCTAATATCTGTACATTGTTTGTAGTCTAGCTAACATGTATTATCAACTGTGGGCCCGACTCCATGTGTCAACCTGGAGAGGCAGCTCAAAATCCAAAAATATGGGATGTTACTGTTCATGCTGAACTTCTTCAAGGAAATGGCAGTGTTGGCTTTGTCGAGGTGACAAAGATTAGATATAGAATTCGGCTCTGAGAACCAAGCTTTCGCCATGCCAACCCGATGTCAGCACTTCGCCATTCCGGAAATTCTGCATGGTAGCTTCGTGAGATACGCACGTAAGGACGACCGGCTCATGACAGATCCTGTCATGTCGCCGTCGGAGCAGCTCCATCATGATACGGTTCTCTGGCGTAGCAATGATGCGGGTCATTGCGTGGTGCGAGGAACCTTCACGTTTTGGAGATGATGAGATTGGGAGGAAGGGACCATGCAATAAGTCCGATTCTCTCGTCCGCCCTCGTCCGCAGCGTAAGACCCTCCCATTAACGAGTTCCACTTACGGATCATCGGGTGATCAGACACAAATACTGCCTAAAGACTTTGACCCCTGAACGATGGTACAGACCACTAGTTTGACGCGATTTTAAGGATACACGGAGGGCCGTAGTACCGCTGCCTTAGTTTCTGCGAAACTGCGACTCAGAATTCACTGTAATAGCCCCATTCCATCTGGGTACTATATTAGCTATTCCAGTCTGCCCGAGGATGGTGCGTATCGACTCTCACCGATTCAAGGAGCTCATCTTTCTCAGCGGCCAGGTCGGATACCGGACCAGCTACATGGCTGGGGGAGAATATGGGCGCTCATTCTTATATGTCCAGGAAACTTACTGCTTGAAAGCCTCTGCGTTCTTATACCTATTCGTAAGGCGGATCGAGTTAGATCGAGGCTATTCTATAAGTCAACGGATCAACGCACTCTTCAAAAATCGTAAACTTTCCCCCAAATCTTGCGATTCGATAAGCGAGAGTGCCTGGTTCCTTGTCAGAGAGCGCGTAGTCACGAAGTTTGGAGATTCGATCAGCAACTACGTCCTCTTTTTCCAGGTTTCGAAGTACTCTGAACGGATCCGGAATCCGTCATGAACACTTCACTTGTTATGACCGACGTTCGAATTCAAAAAGAATGAACTCGCACATGAGCAACAACGATAATAGGCCCGGTAATATCTTGAAGATTGTCAGACATTTTGTCGATCGATCAATGTCCTTTTGAGGGGAGGATCGTTCGTTCGGAATGGAAAGTGCTCGAGGAAAGTTGCCATTTGGATAATATGGGGGACATGCCATCGGAACAGACTCGTACCCAGTCGGAGGAGCTCCGTGGACGCGCAAAATAATAGCTTTTTTACGCAATGTAAATAAACGTTCTCGTGCCTCCATTAAATTTAAACTTGTGCGTGGGCGAAGGCGCAACGGATAGCGTGGCGACGGCCCCGACAAGATGTCGAAGCCTCTTGATTTGAAGCGAGCCGGTAACATGGTAGAAGAAGGAGGAGGAGGGGAGGGATGGTGGTGAAAAATAAAAGGAGGGAGCTAGGAATCAAAAATCGAAGACCCCACAGGGGTATGGGCACAAAGAATTACAGGGTTCTTACGAATATAAATCCGCCAAGCATCAGAAGACCAACGACCTAAAGCTTGAATCCTCGAATCTGAAAAACCAAGAGCGGCAAGATGGGTAGCCCCTCCAGAGCGAAAAGAATGACCGGCAAATTCTTTCGGAAGACAAGTACGCAATTTTTGCAAAAACCAAGAACGGGAGGGTAAGGATCCATCACCTCGGACCCAAAGCTGGGGAAAGAAGGAGAAGGCATCATCTCGCAGTTGAAGGTAACGTTCAAAAATCAGAACAGGATTAAGTGGACCAGACCTGGACTGAATCAAAATAGGACTACCATGAAACCGGCGATCCGCTTTGTGAGTGGGTAACAGGAATTGGAAGCAGCGTAAGGAATCGCGCACAACTATGTCGACTGACCGACGAAGAACCAACTTCCTGAACACCAGTTTTGAGGGGTCATCCGGCACAACCAATTCGCCTAATCGCAACAAACCGTGAAAGGCTGTAAAAGCAATGGCGAGGAAAAGGCAGTCATCAAAGTCTTGAGAAGCACCGAACTCTTTCAGCAACAAGAGTAAGTGCGCATCTTCAATCGGCAACTTCCGGACGATTGGCTGGCCGTCAGTCCGCTCTGCTCCACGCAACGTGTTAACTACCATTGGGTGCTTGCGGGCCTCTCGAACCGAAGGATAACAAGGCTCCAAGTGGTGAGCAAGGCCTGACAGGTAAGAGGTAATTGTGCGGATTGAAATCAGTTTTCCTGACGGTCCTGTCTGTTTCGCCATAAAAGAGATAAACAAACTAAGCATATTAGGAGTTGGCTCGGGGTCGTAATGATGGATTTGGCAGAAGGTAAGATATGAATTAATCCCTGATTGATAGGCAGATTTTGTTGACTTGTCAAGAGCATTAGACAAATAAATCGCTCGCTGACGATGCAAACGATCCAATGTCCAAGGGGCACGTTTGGGCTGACGTGCCTTGGCGCTTACTGAAACATTCATTCCCGTATCACCCCCAACATATCCTGTGGAGGCCTAAAGGAAGAAATTTTCAGCCCTGGACAGTGAATAAGGGCCGAGTTGAAAAGGTGACGTGACAACGCATCTGTGACGGTATTTTCGGAGCCAGGGATATGAATAACTCGAACATCAATGTCGAAATCCATCATTGTTTCAACCACATGGAGGAGGAGTAGAACGTAATTAGGTTCGGTGGCTAGTGAATGGAAGATATCGACCGTGTTCATCGAATCAGTTTGAAGTAAAATGCGATGAGGTCTATCCGGTAACTGCGCAGCCCAATCAATTGCTGAGACAACCGCCAACGCTTCGTTGAAAAGCGTGTCTCCAAAACGTAAGCTAGACTCCAAAATCGTTGCCACCATTGCAATCCTGATGTCCGGAGACCAGAAAGCCAATCCTACATTAGACGCGTCTGTCAAAAAGGTCAAGTCTGCCTCGTGCTCCTTCCAAGTCCTGGCTCGCAAGAAGTTAACACCCGCCGAAACCTGGATTCGCTCTGTGAACCAAGTTAAGTCTTGTATGACTGTCAGGGACGCGTCCGGGGTCGAGAGGGCCCGGGGGTAATGCCCGGCACTGAGGCCGTCGCGGGGTGTGGAGCGGGCGTGCGTACTGGCGGGCCCGATCCGGGACAGTGGTCCCTGGCCACTCAGACTGAAGTGGAGAATGTGTTATTATTATTAAAGAGGAAAACTATACTACTTACCTGAAGTGGAGAATGTGAGAAGAAGGTTACTTCTTCGGTTCCCACTTCAGGTACATTTATGTACATGCGGCTTGAGTCACATGACAGGTGCCACGTCATCCTCGGAGGCAGCCGCAGGCATCCGGGTGTCCCCGTGGGGGATCCCGAGAGCGTCCGCTACATGCGTGCGTGCTGGGCACAGCGGGAGGCCGTCCGGGGTGTGTGGGCCGGACGGGTCAATAGTACATCGATACAAGGGAAGGTGGTCCGTGTAGATAGAAAGAAATAAACAGGAAGAGGAACATGAGAAGAATGAAATAAAGAAAGGGGAAAGAAAAGGGAAAAGAGGGGGGAGGAGAGGGAGGAAGGAGGGGGGAGGGGGATAGACAGCGGGGAGCGGGTGTGGTGTGGCCGGGTGGGCCCGGGTGGGCCCGGGTCAGGCGGGTGTGCCCTGACAATGACTGACTTGTTCAAACGAATTGGCGCTAATGGAAGATTCTTCCCTCGAATTTTGGCATACGAAGATTGAAGTGCTGGTCGTAAGAGTGGATAAGCATTCAGCACCCAATTGCAGTAGCCTAGGAGGCGTTGCCAATCTCGAAGAGGATGTCGGCAGGAAGAATGTTCAAGAAAGGTTTTGATTTCGACAATCAAGTTCTCTCTTTTTTCGTTCGGAATGACGATCGTTAACGTATCAAGGCACACTCGGAGACCAATTATCGTGAGTTGCTGGCCAAATTCTTGCTTTTTCTTTTCATGTGGGATTCCTACCTCATCAAATAACCTGAGTATTCCACTTGTTTGTGCGGGTAGGTTGAACCATACGGAACATAAAGTTCCAAATCCTCACAGGGCTCGAAAGGGAAAACGTCGTCCACATAATGCAAGAGTCCAGGTAAGTTTCTTTCTTCGATGCCAATCCATAGGACCAACGCATAAAAAGTACTCCAGATCGCACCTGAAGCCCGGTTCCCGAAGATGCAACAACGATCAATGTGGTATTGACCATCAATCGTTGTCGCTTGTCGAGCCTGCCATCTCGGGTGACAAGGAAGCAATCTGAAGGCTGAACTCACATCAGTTTTAAAGAGCCAAGCAGGTGAATGACCATGCTTTTCCAAAAAAGAAAGTAGGAGGTTCCCTAAATCATGTAAATTGTCTGGCTTGAACGACCCTTCCTCCGGAGGTATTGCCGCATTCAAGGACGAGTCTCCAGCCGTATGATCGTTCACTAAACAGAATTTCGACAACCCAGACTTCGGGACTGCGAAGCACAGTTGCGACACCATTCCAGGGAGTAAGGTCGGCCCAAAGGCAATAGAATATCGGTCCAAAGAAATCTCCACATCTCGCTGCGACTTCAAGAATTCCCACTTCTCCTCATCCATCTCATCCTTCCCTCGGCGATTATCATAACCTTCTCGAAGTGAGACCAAACGTTCGGGGTGCACTCCCAGCCAGAAACCCTCGTGAAAACCTTTCAGCACAGACTCCACCAGGGCTCGATTAGGGTGATTGATCAAGAGTTCCTCAAGCTTATCAGAACGGATAGGTGTCACTATTTTAAAGAGATGAGCATTTTGGGCGACAGTTTCGGTAACCAACTCATGGTCATAGTCGGTATTCGGGGTTATGGGTAAAGGTTCTCTGAAGACAGTAGACGTTACCGAAGGTGTGCCCGATTTTTCATTGCCCCACACAAATCCTCGCAGATAGCGTGGCTCTCTGATCGATCTTCTCCAATCACTGATCCTTTCCAGACTTCTTCCCTTCCTTTTGTTGACAGTTGATACACCGATGTTCTCCTTGGCACTGGTCACATACGTGCTTGTATCGGCAGTTGGTATGGGGGGTTCCCGCATTGAAGCGTTGTAGGCGGGATAATCGCCCACGCACAGACTCGGCTCGGATACCCGATTCTACGATTAGGAAACAACTTTCATTCACGCGACGACTCGGTACAAATTTGGTATCTAAAAATAGTCCTAATTCGTACGATTCTGACGATATCAAGAACGTCCCAATCGGTGGAGATTTGACGGAGTTCCGTGTTGGAGAAGTTAGGCACAGCAGGTCACGGGCATGTGCGGGCGTGGGAATCTCAAGCGGCAACCCAGAATTCCAGCCTCACTCGTTCCCACGGCGTCTAATAAATTGGTAAAAATGCTCATTGGCTGCATAATAGTTCTATTAAGTCACATTTCCAATTTCGGATCTTAATTCCGTAAATCCGTTGAGAAATCGCTTATTTTCTTTTATTTTCATATTTTGCCATCATTTCAGATATTGATTGATATTCTTTTATTGTTACTGTTACCCTTTTTTATTATTTCGCCTAATAAGGTATCCAGGTGCCATATGGTACCAATATTCCCCATCTATTATTTCTAAAAATAATTATTTCTTATAATCCTGTACATACCGGATTTTGGAAAAGAAGTTCTCCCCTCCCCCATTTTCTCTAAGGTGCTAGGACGTGCTAGAGAGGGTGTGAGTGTGTGGAATTCCAACAGTAGGAATAAGGGCAGTGATCTAGCTCACAACGAGTGAGTAGTGGACGCTGAGCCCGGACCTTGCAGAAATCCCGGAGAACTCACCACGGAGTTAAGGATCGAGATAAGTCAAGAAAGTAGGAGTTTAGGGAGTTTGGCCCCCATGAGCTTAGTCGGCATAGAGAGCCGCGAGCCCTCTTTCAGTGTCGACAGATCTCTGAATCAAACCTCCCTCTCCCACTAGGGTTAGGTCGTTGTGATCCACTGCTCCCTGCAAAAGAGCCGAAGAGGAATGGGTGGTTAGTTTCGACATCATCAAAGGTAAGTCTAGCATCTGCTGCGAGATCTTTTCGGAACCTGACATCGAACTCAATGACTCCGCACTCCTTATAGAATCCTGCCAAGGTAAAGAGTCGTTGCATGTAACGCTTGTACCCCTCAAGTTCTCCCTTCCTGTGTGGGTATATGAAGAGTACTGCTTCGGAGTAGGCTTCAAAGGCCCTTGTCCAGGTAGCTTCTCCTCGGATTGTTCCTTTCACTTCAACTTGATTAAAGATGAATTTGAAGCGACCAGATTCGTGGACCACCTCTTCATCCAAGGCCTGCCCCGACTCGATGGCATAGAGTTTGTTGAAATCCACGAATTTGTTGAGGAGAACTGCTTCCCAGAGTGAGTCGGGTAGAGGGGGCTTATGCAACTCGCCTTTGAGGTCTCTGAGTGCTCTCTTCCGCCTCTCCAAGTAATATTTCCGAACAATATTCGTCTTGGTGGCAAGGCGTATGTTTTTAAAGTGCTCATGCTTTGTTCCCCTACTCGATCCCGCAAAACTAATGTGTTTCTTCCCATCACTGCTCGAGCTACTCCCTCTTGAATGGGTTTCCTCTGAGTCGCTTTCTCGCTTGTCAGCATCCCTGAGGATTCCTTTGACTCGTTTTGCTCTCCGACTCCATCCATCTTCTTCGTCGCTTGATTCTCGTTGTCGCTTTCGACGTTCTTGTGGGTCACTACCTTTACCTTTTGATTCAAGGGTAACTACGGTAGTATCTCCCTTCCCTTGCTCAAACTTCAATAAGGTCAAGGGCCTCCTTTCTTGTGTGATTGTAGTCCCCAGTGGATTCTGCGTCTCGCACGATGTCCTCAAGGATGTCCTTCGGGCCCTTATCAAAGTCGGACTTGGGTGGATTTCTCCTCTCGATTCCCGTTGACACCTTTACTGAGGACGAACTTGTTCCCAGTGTCTCAGAAGTTCCGCTCGTTCCTCCTGCCGTAACCTGGGGTAAAATCGACTCTTCCTCCCCGTCAGGCATAAACCTTCTTTGTTTGGACGAAGGACGAGAGAATAGGCAGATTCGATAGATATAACGATGAAGACAGACAGAGAGTAGCAGCAAGAAGCGCCAACAAAAGAGAAGAAGTGAAGTTACAAGAAACAAGGCATGAGCCGAAAAATGAAAGACACCATAAACATCCGGGATCCAACTTGCAAAGGGTAACCAAGGCTAACTGCCTTATCCAATGCAAGACCGAATATTCAACACCAACCAACCACCCTAACCAGAACTAATAAGAGAATTAGTCAGAAAAATACATCAGAGTCATAGAAAAAGGAAATAAACTCCAGCGTGCGCGGATGCAAGAGGAGGTAAAAGACTGTAGAACAACAGCGTGCAGCGGACGTGAGAGGTGGTGGCTGAGAAGCCAAAGCGTACCGCAGACGCAGAAGAGAAGGCATGGAGGCCGAAGCGCTCAGCGGGCGCGCATAAAGGAAAGAAGGCACGGAGGCCAAAGCGTACAGCGGACGCGTGTAAAGAGAAAGAAAATCCTCCGACGTACCGATCAAGCAGCAGAGTATCAGAAACATGGACACAATTGCATACCAGACAACTAAGAAAAACTGAACATCGCGGATGAACAGTCTAAAGGCATAAAGCAATGAATATTGCGTACAGATGAGGACTTGACCTAGCAAGGGGGCACGGCGGATACCCAGAAGAAAACTGAGGCGCTGAGGCCGGCGCACACAAGTCATATTTAATCTCGTGCCTCCATTAAATTTAAAGTTCTCACACTGGTACTCGATACCATGTGATCTTTTGTATTGAGTACAAAACGTGACTAGCATCGGAAGCAGTCGAGTACCAGTGTGAGAACGTTTATTTACATTGCGTAAAAAAGCTATTATTTTGCGCGTCCACGGAGCTCCTCCGACTGGGTACGAGTCTGCCATCGGAATAGCATTTACGCTACATAGCACAATGATTCTTTTCCCGCCATAGATGAATCAGACCATCGCCTAGACCTCATCTAAGACACTGCCTCAACGGATAGGGCCAAGCATCTGTGTAGAAAATCATTAGGTAGGGTCTAGAGTTGGCTGGAACAAGTCAATTTCTCACGATATAAAAAGTTCATCAAAACAGCGCACTGTCTCCCGGCTGTCTTGCTGACAATGCTAGGCTAACTCTTGCCGCGCGGAATGATCTAATCCGTAAAGAAGGTGCACAGCCTGATGGTTCATTGGTTGGCCAATGGCCCGCTCTCTCTCAGATAGTTCATGTTGTTAATCTAATTCCAGTCCCCCTATGGGCCTCCGGCAAGGCTCTAATTGGTTCTTGCCGTCGACTACGTATACGCGGAGGGGATGGTAACTTAGTATGTAACAGTCAGTTGTGGCAAAATCTCGACTGGGAAAATTTTTTTCCTTGACACTGATCATGAGGCTGAAAGCAACATTTCAGTGATGGGTCTTCAGAGAGGCAATAACGCTGCCTCTAAAGGGAAACGGAACTATTGTAGCCGTCTAAGTGCCAGTCCTGTTGACATCGTCAGGTCCTGGGCAGTTCGATTTTTGAATCAAATGCTTTTGGCGTTTCTCTTTCCGCGGATCCGTGTGGCAAATGGGGCGCATGACCTCGTCATGAACTACTACTTGATGCTGGTTTTGGAAAAATTGCTGTCACAGAGTCCTCGCTGTGTGTGAGCTTCACCAGGGTGATTCGGGCACTTGGTCTTCATTGCCAATTGGCTATAACGGTCTCTTGGGCCATTGGCCAGTCCTGCGAATCCTGGTTGTCTCCCCCCCGGCTCCAATATGACTTGAATGTTCGAGTGCTCGATTTCCCCTCCACTGAGCCACAGAAGCAGCATTTTCCCTTCAGTGCAAAATCCTGATTCAAGAGCCTTTGATTCCCTTCTTCCTGTGTCCACTGCGAAGTCCACATGATTCAGATCCATTTCATTGGAATTGCGTAGTCCCAGGAACCTTCAAGTTCTGGAGGAAAGCAGAGATGACGAGAAGGCAATATTTGTATCGAATCAAGTATGCGACGGATCATCAGATGATCAGACACACGAGATGGGGGCTTCGCCAACGAGGTTGACTTCTAAAGTTATATAGGGCTCGGCTAAATTTATTTTGTTCATTTGTTCAGCACACGCTGTTTCCTACGTAAAGACTTCGATCATAAACTCTGGAATATGGTGGTACAGACTGGTTTTGACACATTTTCAACGATACACAAAGGGCGGTAGTGCCGACTCATTTCCTGCCTCGAGACTGCTACTTAGTATTCACTGTAAAAGCTCCATTCCAACTGGGTAGTTGGTTAGCGATTCCAATCTGCTCGAAGGTGATGCCTATTGATTCTCACCACTTCAAGGAGCTCATCTTTTTCAGCGGCCACTTGGGATATTGGACCAGCCACATGGCTGGGGGGGAGAATATGAGCGTTCGTTCTTCCATGTCCAGCCGGAGAGACTTACTGTTTGTACGCATCTGCGTTCTCATACCTACTCACGACACAGATCAACTTAGACCAAGGCTATCTTATAGGTCAACGGAATCGACGCAACTGTTCAAAAATCGCAAACTTTGCCCCGAATCTTGTGATTCGATAAGTGAGGGTGCCTGGTTCCTTGTCAGAGAGTGCGTGGTCACGAATTTTGGCGATTCGATCAGCCACTATGTCCTCTTTTCCAGGCTTCGCGATAGCCTGAACAGAATCGTCATGAGTACTTCACTGATTACGACCGACCGTTCGAATCTGAACTCGCACATGAGCAACAACGATGATGGGCCCAGTAATATCTTGAACGTTGCTAGACATTTCTTGTTGATCGATCGATATCTGTGTTGAAGGAGAGATCGTTCGAATTCGTTCGAATGGAGAGTGCTTTAGGAAGGTTGCCCGTATGAGGCAATACTTAGTATGGGTACATCTATCTCATGTTCTACGGCGCAACGATCACTCCCCCACCACAGCCTTGAATAAGACCACGTAATCCCATTGCTTGCGCCCCGTCGAAAACACTGTCTCAATGGATAGGGCCAAGCATCCAGGAAATCGGAGGAATGTCCAGTAAATTTCCCACGATATGACCTCTCGAAACAAACTCGTGAAAACATTGTACGGCCTCCGCCTGTGCACAGCCCGATGCATGAAGCTTTATGCACCTCCGCATTGCACCCGCGCAAATTGTCATCTATTACTATGGGTGGAGCTTCCGGGCTCTCGGTTCTTGTAGTTCACCACGTATCAGAGGACGGCAGGTTAAGTATGTATTAGTTTGTGTGGCGAATTTCGACCGTCTGTGTTGGAAAAGATTTCCTTCGACACTGAGGCTAGGCCGAAAGCAACTTTTCAGTGATGGGCCTTCAGAGAGGTAATAACGGAGCTTACTGTAACCGTCCTGGTGACAGTCCTGTTGGCGTTAGATGCCGGGCTGTTCGATAATTACCTGATTATTGTATCAGATGTTTTTGGCGTTTCCCATTCCGTGGAAAGAACTCGATGGAGCCCACTGATTCGGAACGTCTAAATGCTGGTCTTTGGCGACCTGAACTACTGTCGCGGTCTCGCTGTTTGTGGGCTTGTTCGGGCACTATGTTCCTTATTGCTGATTAGCTGTCTTACTTGGGATGATCTCCTTGGCACTAGCCAGTCCTGGAATTTTGCTTACGATTTCAACGTTCTCATTTTTTCCCTCCACTGGGCCAGAAGCGACAATATGAGGAGGAAGCAAGCGGCCCTTTCGAATGGGCATGTACTTTCTGCAACATCTTCATTTACTCATGCTGTGCTGTTCGTTCACTGCGGATCTCCATATCGAGTTCTAGCTTCCACTTTTCCCCTTCAGTGCGATGAGGCTCGTGAGCCCACTGATTCAAGATTCAACCCATGGTTTTTGGCGACCTCGGGCTTGACAGGATGACTAGTATGTAAGACTCCCTGTTAGCTTCTCTCCTTACGTCCGGTTGTACGTACAACTTTAAACTTACCAAGTTCACTGGAACTCCATGCGCTTCCGCATTACGTCTTTCGTCAGCTGAGCCATTAGTAATCATGTTACAATAGCTATACAATCCCCTCCGCTCTATAAATGCTCTCTGGGCTTGGCTTTCAGGGATACCTCAACCCCATGGCTAGGATCACTCTCAACATCATCTCCCTTTTGTTTGTGGCCTTGGTCGGGCTCATCGCTGTTCCGCAACCTGCGGCCGCCTATGACTTCCGTGTGTTGGTGAAATGGAACCACTCCCAATACAAAACAGGAGACGAATTCTGCACAGCTTGGAAGGCAGCATGGTATGTGTTGTTGTACAACTAAATCGGCTTCATCTTTAATCTAACGTGTTTAATTTCGCAAACATCAAAGCCGATCCTTTAAGCCAAAGCAGGCCGGCTTTTTCTTCCTGGGTGCCGTCTGCGAACCTGGCGATTATAAAGGCAAACATCCGAACACTGAAGCGAAAGTTACGTGTATCTTCCAAGTGGCAGAGACCGAGGGATTAGCGAAAGAGTTGAATCTCCGTTTCGTCTGAGTGTTGGGATGGAGCGAATGGGCGCATATTTGCTTGTCACCTCATGTACTGTACTTGTATATTGCTGCGAGAATTGGGACTGTTTTGACCTTACCATAAGTGTACCGTAGCCGCATGGATACCATAAACGATGGATTATCGCCGATACCTTTGCTTGGCAGTAATATGAAATTCCCGGAGAACTATGTACCTGTAGGCACATAGTCACGCACCGATACCATGCCGTACGTACACCGAGTAATTGTTACATTGTTCAAAGTGAATAATTGCGGAAGGATTATTGGGGGTAGTACTCTGCAGTGACAAGTAGAATGGATAACAACAATATGGCGGACATGAAGGTGGTAACATCAACATGGCCGCCCCAGGGGCCAGAACACATTGAAGGTTGGGAACTCGGATTCAAATGGTGGCGGAAGCTTGGCGGATGGCGCGCCTAGAATCAAGTCGCCCGGGCTCCTCGGGGACGAAAATGGAGGGGCGGGGCCGGATGGTTGAGGGCTTTTCGCCAAATCCAGTAGGCGAGGTGGAAGTAGACAGTTGAGGAGAGAATACGCAGAAGTGTACTGCGTTGACCAAAGGCCATAAGATGATTGGGCGGAGGTAGTGGGAAAAAAAAAACAGATGCAAGCAGAGGGGACCATGGCTGAGGGGACTCCGTCGAATATGTGTGCGATGCCCGTTAACAGAACCTCCGATCCAGCGGTTGTACATATACTCCTGTTAATCATTGCAAAGAACGCCACCAACTGTCTGCATAAAAAAGGAATTAACAATCCCGGCCCTTCAGACTGCCACGGTTAGAAATGCAGAATAGAGAAATATGAGCCATGGGTCCGAAAGAGAGAGGATATAATAAGGAAAAGCTGATACAACCCAGTGGAATGGAGAATGGATGTGGGGAGTTACTGACGCTAACAAGTTTTAAGGTATCATAAGTGCATCCAACGATAAACACCTTAGTACATCGAGAACACAGACAAAGCGAAAGATAATAAAGATCTTGATGAGGAATGAAAAGGGAGAAGGGATCTTGCGAAACCGTTAAGCTCATGAGCTAGTGGCTTGTTCCGCAAACACACTCGTGGCGTTCTCTATAAACCATTCTATCGTGAGGGCTTTCCCAGCCATGTCAGCGAACTCCTGGCTTGGATCGCTCGAACGCATCAAAGTTGCTGATCCTGTCATCAGCGGTTGAAAATCTGCGCGAACTGGGAACACTCACGCCCAAAAACAACACCCAGATTACGTGCATTCATCAGGTTGATATTGCTTTGTTGTTTCACGCTGTTGAGTCGTGGTGAGCAGAGAGGCTTGCATCAACGTAAGCAGTGCGGAACAGTAAGCATACCGATTTAGGTGAAGCATGAGCACTTTAAGGGTGGCGAAATGTTCCTTCGGAAGCTGTCGAACAAGTTGTGAAAGCTGTGCAAACTTTTCGCTTGAGGTTTTCATCGCTAGCAAAGAATAATCAGTTCCAGCTGAAGCCAAACGTTGCATGCATTGGACCTACTGGTTGCCTTTATAAACGCTTCATGAAGTTCGGCCGTGAAGAGGGGATTGGGAAGTGAACGGAGATAATTCTTGAGGACGGAAGTAATGCTGGAGACATCGTTAAATGTATCATTGTCGAGAAGGTCAAATGATTCGTATCGGCCACGCTCGAATAACTGAGTGATCGCTTTCGATTGGGAACTACCTCCATTCTTACGATAAATCCCTTCATAGTCCATGCCTGCAGAAAAAAATATAAGCGAGAGCGAGATGATTCGTCTGGCAAACACACCTTTAAACTCGACTGCAGCAATGCATTTGTCGACAATAATGGGAACAAGCCGGTCGTCTCCCTGCGCATCGGCACGTGCCTGCTCAACCAAATTGCGCCCAAACATCGATGGGGCTTTAAAGATGTTCAGCGTCAAACTGAGGTCGGGAGAACGAAGGAAAACATACGGAAAGGGATAATTTCCGCCAGTTCATCCGAATGTCCGTTCAGCTGTTTGCACATTCCCTTGACAAGCGCACTGCAGCGAGGATGACAACAGAAGCTACAATCTAATGCAGAGGTAATCGATCAGATGCCACATCATGGTATCTGCTGAAATATGACTCACTCGTGCACTTCATCTGAGCGCCCCAAAGCTTATCACCACAATGATCACAACGAGTTATCCGCAACATATTCGCGGAGGCAAAGTTATGCCCTTTCACTCCAAGAGGGGCGTGCGGAGCCTTATTCGACATTACACCTCCAGCAGCATCCCGCAACCACCTGAATTTCTTCTGGTGCACATGCGGCTCCGGAGTCGAAGGTTTGGCACCCCGGAAAGAAACTACTGTCTCCTCAGAGATATCATAAGTCGAATTAGTGCCAACAGTGTTGAAGGACGTGACTGAGGGAGAGTATCGGGACCTGGCATTTTTCCTCCCGCGTGATGAAGCCTTTGTCGAAGCTATGTCTGAACCGACCAGGGTAACCGAGTAATCCTGTGACACGTGCTGCCCAGCAGCAGTGGATGCGACAGGGTCCCCAACTACATTCTGTATCTGGGCAGCAATTTGTGCATTTAAATCGGCAAGCTGCTCGTTCCGAGTGTTCAACGCTGTTGTTTCCTCCAGGAATATATCACGGGCCTCCCCCAGCTCCGTGATCTCCTTCAACACCCACTCGCGCTTCTCCTGAAGAGCTTCCAAATCTTTGCGATATTGAGATTTGACGTAATCCAGACGGGACGACATGGCTCGCGCCAAATTCGCTGTAACCTCCGAAGTAGTGATATGCCCATTCCTAGTGGTCCCATCAGGATAATATACCAGAACTACTCAATGAGCAAAGCTTACTTCCTAGTGGCAGCAATTTCGTCGAGTTCAGCAAGACCCATATCACGCTCCACGCGAATCTTCGCCACTTCCTGAGCGATGGTGGCAACCTGGTTATTCAAATCCATAACAACCCTTTCTAACATTGACTGGGTACGTGTTTCGGCACTCATGGCGGTAAGACGCGCTGCCTGTCCAGAGAGTTGCACCTGAAGCCGCGACACCTCCGCCTGGAGGTCTTTGCGAGCAGCGACTTCCTTCTGATACTCTTCCTGTGCAACTGTGAAACCAGTTAGATACTGATGACTCGTACGCTATTGAGGAACAAATCTTTGTATCAGACCCAAATCATCTTATAGGTCAAAATCAGCCTACTTTCATATGATCAATATCGCCCTTTAGCCCAGAATACGCCTCCCTAGTACCTTCCACGCTCTTCAGGAGAGTCTCTACGAACTCAAGTTCAAACTTAGCACTAGGCGCCCCCTTCTCCTTTGCATCCATCAAAACCTCCCTCAATCTCTTCACTGCAAGGTCTGACGAAGCCGATGTCGAACCTGATTCCTGGCGACTCGTACTGGACTTTAATGGACCAAGCAATGACACAGCACTGCTATTTGCCATTGAACCGCCCAGCGCAGCGAGGCCACGATTCTCCATGGATGCCTTACGTGGCGAAGGCTGCACCATGGAAGGCAATGGTGTGGGGAGACGTAATGACGACGAACCAGACATGTTTGGGGACGAAGATGGTGCAGGCTCACTGTGGCTTCTAGTAGACGAAGAGAGTTGAGTCGGGGGATGAGAGGCCGACTGAGGCAATCCCCCATCTTTGGCGTCTTCATCCGCAAGCAGGCGTGGAGGCAGGTGCAGCAGGATGGGCGAGGAGTGGAGATGCGATGCATCCTTCTCATCGCTCGATTCTGCACCATGGTGAACGATTGTGGGTGTGCTCTGCGATACACCAAGCGGCGAGGCAGTACGCTGATGAAGGATATCATGCGGTAACGGCCCAGCGGATTTCGCAGTTTCATCCCTGGCATCAGCGAGTATGCCAGAATCACGGGGCATCGGTACCCTGGGAAGTGAATCAGAAACAGATTTCAGAACATCCGCAAAGTCTGTTGTATGTAATGAGAAGCGCATTGGGGGCAAAGCAGGAGTTTCCAACTGCATGGTCTGCGGACCGGCCTTCTGAGGTGTCATCTCGGGGTCGCTACCCCCAAACTCCGAAGTCGGTGATGGGGAAGGCGTCCTCAGAGACCTCTCATCTCCTGGTGAAGGAAGCGGGGTATCATCCCCCAATCTAGGTGTGATATGACCTTCATCTGAAGCAGTAACAATCGAAAGAGTGGGTTCAGATATCTGTCTGCGTGTTTCTGGAACAATAGTGGCCGTTGATGCATGGGGGTCTCGCGCATCTGAGCCTCGTCGATGGATAGGTAAGCTATTCCCCCGAATTGGGAAGGATGATTGCGTTAGCGGAGATTCAGTCCAAGTGACAGGGGAAGCGCTGTTGCCATCGGTCTCATGTAGACTGGGAGGGACAAGGTTCGATGGAGACTTAGCTCGGGAACTTCTTCGCGAAGATGAGATCAGCGATTGGGATTGTGCATCGGCCAAAGGCGAGGAACGTCCATCAAGTGGAGCAGGCGAAATGGAAGGCGAGTAATAAGACGTGTGGCTTGAGTCAGGCGAATCACTCCGCAGAGGAAGTGCCGCTAACCCTGACAATCCCAACGAAGAAAGCGGTCGGGCAGGAAGACCTGGGTTAATGGACCGCCGTTTATCCGCCTTCGATGTTCGCCCTGGTACGTCTAGACCATTCGATAGGCCGCTGGGTAGCAATAACGAATTATTGGATAAAATAGATTGAGATGCACGAGGCGAGTAGGGGCCGAAGAACGATTGCAGGGGTCGGACCCCATCGTCATATGACTTGCGCGGCTTGCCATCTCCGAGCATTTTGAGCCCATGAACGGGAAGCGATTCGATTCCATCCGTAGGTGATACTTTGGGTGATGGTAATGAAGATGTCGATGGGTTATCTTCAGTCACAAGTGCCAAGTGAACCGTATGATCGTTTCCGTCGATCGGCGAGGGGGCAATGGATTCATCTGCGTCATCTGGGGGAGGCAATGAGATTGTAGTATCAGCTGGATCCATTAATGATTCTACATCTTGAGGAACAGATTGCGATGAAGACCGAGTTAGATTGTATGGGTACGACACGGACTCATCCACCGCTTGGTTCTGACTGGACGCACTGTGCAAGGGAGTCGTAGTCTGTGCAGACCCCTGGAAAGTTATAGGAGGATACGAGGGGTGAGAAAACGCCAAACCGCTGATGATAGACCCACCGCAGACCCAGCATCTCGATCGCGGCTCTTAGCTTCCCTTGGCCGTTTCGATCCGCCGTTCCGTTTGCGTTCAGCATGTCTTCGACTCCTCGCTACGCGTGTATTGTGACAATCCATGCAATATATCCCCTGACTGGTCTTCGCGAAAACAAGCTCTTCGATCCGTTTGTGGCACGTCCGACATGTGAAACATGCCGCATGATAAGAGTCTTCACCGGTCATTATTGCCTCGTCTAGGATGGGCTTTTTGCAAATGTTGCAACTATAAGAACAGTTTGAGCATATTGGACTTCCATCAGCGAGGAGTAGCAGAGTCGTATCCGCCTAAGAGACACCATGGGAGTTACAATCCATCGACGATACATGCTCCATTAGGAGTCCCACTTACCCCAACTTGGTTACCGCATTTTGCGCATCGGAAGCTACGCGTCGATTAGATACACGGTCATTCAAACACAGCCATGTTGTACATACCAGTCTGTATGCCACAAAGCGGATCTAACGGTTCATGGCCGTTTGCAGACGGTCGGGATAGAGATACGAAGAAGTAGAATGCCCATGAGGAAAACACAACTTACGATAAGATCATGGCACATACCCAAAAGCTACCACCACCCCGCCGGTTTCTTCATCGATAGTTCTTTTGCACCCACCACAAACTGACGCTAGCTGATCAGTGGTTTGCGTGGGGTTATGAAAATACGATGTAGCCGTCATTGGATCAGCATTAGCGGCGTAAGAGGGTCCTGCCACGTCCATGCAAAGCGCGCTGAGAACCGCGTCGTATAAGAGCGGAATAAGGTTATAACTATAAAGAAGGTGTAAGGTTGGTTGAGCACCGTTGTCCCAACGCAAAGGAAAGGTCTAGGATGGAGTGAGGGAGGTTTGTCGCCTGTGTGATTCTCAAACGTTCTCAATAATGGAGAACCTTTCGAACTATTGGTCTTTCCGGAACCCGCCGAGGCAAATCGAGACTCGGCCCAAGCCTAAGGCGTAGATGGCGAAGGGAGAGGTGGATGAAGTACAACACAGCGCGATGCAGAGATCCCAGGGATGGGGTGTTTCTCTTGATGACACGCTTTAGAATGTGTGGCTACACCGGTTGCTTGTCGCACGGTTACGGAAGGAACCCGGGCAATCCTTAAAGAACTAAATAAAGGCCGTCGTTGGGACACCCGTTGCAACTCCTGCATAAAGTCTTGGTATCCATATGTTCGATTTACGTGTATATTAGTGTCAAATCATCAATTCAGCCGGGGGACAGTGTGCATACTGCAACAAGTAAATCCGACGGGACGAGAATGTGGGAAGAGAAAGAACGAGAACATGCATAGGAAAAACAATATTGCTTCAAAAGTGCAAGCATGGGTGCGTTCTTTAGAAATGGGAACAACTAGATTTCAATGCCAACCAAGACAAACCGGGGGTCAACGGCAAAGGGAGGATTGGTAACCACCGTGCCGCCAACATACATTAACGAGTGCAACAACTCCCCAAACTCTTGATTCGTCGACCTCGTACCTCCATTTCCAATGCCTCTCCCGTCGTTCAATGGACGCTGGTCCCGTTCTAGAACCATCACCACGGAATCACATTTCAGGTGCTCGCTGGCAAGATCCAGAAGCGCGACAATGCTCTCACGGATCCGGTCTTGCTGTTTAAATGCGTTCTGGATGCTCATGTACAAGATACGCGCACATGCGGGAGATACTATTTTGACCGGGGGACGGCCCTTCCTCCCCTTCACTGTCGCTGGTACCGGAATTACGGGCACGTGTTCAAGAACGAAACCCTCCCATATGTTGCAAGTTCCGTTAGGCTGAAGGCTCTCGACAATCACGCTCTTCGCCTTGTCCTGAAACTGGTGCGCATTCTGTGGGAAGAGTTTGTAGAGCAAGGAATTGCGTTGTTCCAGGTTCGAAATGGGTGCAGGAGACGGAGATGTCGGAGGCGTGGCGGGAGGCGTGGTCAAAGCAGCATGATTGTGAGCTGGGGCATGCGCTGAATTACGAGCAACCATTTCCATCTGAATCGAACCGAAGTGAGCAAGCGAGAATGTGCCGGGTGGCGTTGGAAGTGGACTGCACGTTGCAGTTGAGGCATGTTTGGGAATCTCGATGCTTTTGCTCAGCGTCGGCAATGATGACGAAACAGTGATCGAGCTCGCGGTTGGCATGATAATGGCAGGGTATGTCGAGGAAAGGGGAGAGGGGGCAGAAGAAAAAGCATGGCTTCGACCTGTCACATCTTGGCCATGACCCTCGGGATGACCCAATGGGCATTTCTTCTTTGGCGGGTCAAAAACGCCACTAGGAAATGAAATCAGTGTCAATGTACAGCTATAATGGCTAAAACTGCTGAATCGGGCAGCTTCTGCGTACATACCTGGGGGCCACCCGAGAACGTGGTCGAGTAATAGTAGAGATTGGAAGGTTGCCCTTGGAGGTGACAGATGGCCGTCACGTCCTTAGGCAGAGGTGGAGACGGAAGCCTCATATCGACCCCATCCACAACGGCAAGTCCTGCGCCGTTGCTGTCAACGAAAGATAATTAGTATGCAACAGTTAGGGCCTTCAGAACGACAATGAGACTGACGGGATGGGGAAATAATTAGATATCGTTAAACTGGAAGTGGTACTGTTTTGACTCGACATGATGTTCCAGATCCAGTGGTGTGTGTGTGTGGTGAGTTTTAGAGTTGTGAAATGTCAGAGAAATGAAGCGCTTGGACAGAATCACAAGTTACGACTCAGATACAAGCTCTCGCCGGCAATACCCTGATATACTGGTGCTTATGTAATTCTCAACTTAATGTATGTTCCTTCCCTTTGATTCCGACGCTGTCTTTTCTTTCGAAGACTCCTAATATTGGGTCCAGCCAGATCCATCATTGCGCGCAGCAGGGAATTGGAAGAGAAACAGTGCAACATGCAAAAGCTGTTGATAGTAGTTTTGCAGCGGAAGCTCTGGGCTGATCTCATTTCTGGATTTAAGTTCAAAGTAGCCTGAAGCTGCATTCTGATATGAACGTGGACGCCCCAGGCAGAGCTAGTTTATCTAGTTGCTGAAAGAAAGATGCCCGAATGTACGAAGTGTCAGTCAGATATCACGACGCCCGTTGGTATTGATAAATCAGAAACAGCGCCGGCAGGAGTCTGCACATAATGTTACTTCTCCATGGTGCATACATACGATGGCTCAAATGAGAGGATATAGAAGCCGAGTATTACATGCATTGGGCAAGATGTTGATGGGAATTGGGAAGTTGCTTGAATGGGTTTCTCATGCACATTCATTCCACCAAGCTTTGATAAAGTTCACCAGCGGCGAGAACCAGCAGCTAGATTTCAAAACCAGTTTCTGTAGCGGCAAGAAACGTCATAACAAACAAAGAAGGGGGCACCAACTGGAACAAAAAGTTTTGGGATTAATCCCAAGTTGAAGTCCACTTACGAACACGTGCCGAAACTACTCCTGTGACAACAAGCGGTTCTGTCCGCCGCTCGAACTGTCCCTTCACACAAACGTCCCTAAGTGGCATGCCATGCCATTATCCAAAGATGTCGAGACTAGGGGACCACTACCTGGCATGCAAATGAAGCGTGCAATGGTATTACGCCTGTCCTCAGAGACCTTTGCAGAGCTTAGTCGGGCTATTGCTGGCGGAGCAGGCAGTGGCGTGCCTCCGATCGAGGTACAGTTTGGTGATCATGAACCAAGTGTGCGTTTCTTTTTCACTGTGCTCGGCCATGAATGAAACGAGCTTATCGTCCGGCGTTTGCAATAGGTGCTTTATATCGGTGGGAGGCGGGTTGACCTCACTGACTTGCCAGAGTCTGTATTCGAAATATATCGTCAGCGCCGAACGAAAGGCGCATCGGGAGCAGGAAACCCCTTGGAGCTCTATGGGACTGTTTCTTCCACTCTCACTGCGAAACGTGTTCTTAACGAAGAAGTAGAAGGTCGTTTACACCAACGGACACAGCAAGCCGAAGAGGATCGTACAAAGCGCAAAGCTATATACCTCGACGGTGCACCAGATACATTGCAAACCGCCAAGAAGAGGAAGGTTGCTAATTCGTCAACGGGGTCATCACTGGCAAAACGGGCCCTGACCCAAGCTCGGACAGGTGCTGGTCCGGCGTCTGCGGCTTCATCCAGGCCTGGTTCTCCTTTGCCACCTCGACATGCCACAACAACCTCACCATCTGGAATAGAGCGTGCCTCAACACCTGTGGCTTCTACGGCATCGCTCTCTCAGGGACATGGCACTTCCGTCGCCTCGGCTCCTGTGGCGGCGCCAGTACAAAGGCGCCCAGTACCAAAGGTGGTTAACCGCCCCGCGGACCCTCCACAAGTCTCTGCGGATGGATTCCTCACATCTTCATGGAAGGGTGGGGTCAAGCCAAAGGCAAACACCTCTGCTTCAGGCTCGAGCAGACCGGCGAAGTCCAAGGTCGTGAAAACTCCTGCAATCGTCCCCGATAACGCTGATGCTCAAGTTGACGGTCCAACTACTAAATCGGTCCCTGAAAGGTCATCTGCATCCACCACACCTACGCGCTCTTCGTCCACTTCCAGCACCAATCCTGCCCGAAAAATGGCCGTCGGCGAGCCGCTACCTTCTCAATTGAATCGCCAAGCCACCGCCATACAACCACCTCCTTCTGCATCATCATCATCATCGTCTGCATCGAACCCTGTTGTCCGGAAGAAACGATCTGCATCAGATTCCATTGACCATGATGAAGATATTGCGGCAGCCGTGAATAGTATGCCGACATCTAAGAAATCTCGACCTCCAGTGAATTACATAGATGACGAGCTTGTTGCTGCTGCTGCCACGACCGTATCGAACGGAAAGGGCAAGGGCAAGTTAAAGGCTGTCGTCGCTAGTCCTGAAGATAGCGAGCTCGTCGCAGCTGCTTTGGTATCCAAGGTCAATGGGAGGCCGAAGAAAGTGGCGACGGGAGTGGAGGACGAGCTTGAAGCTGCGGTCGCATCAACGTCCGCCAGGCCAAAGAAGGCCCCGAATACTACCGCCTCGCGGGCGTCTGCGGAGGAAGACATTGCAGCCTCAACCCGGGCAGCAAACAATGGGAAACCTAAGAAAAAAGTCGGGAAGAAAGCCGAAACAGGAGATACCCCGGTGAGGCGTAAGGCGCCACAACCACTTTATAACGACAGCACTGTTCAAAGCGTGCCCCCACCTCTACCACCACCCACCTCAAAGCGCGTCACCGCAACTTCAAAAGCATCAAGAGCCGCAGCATCCTCAGCAACCCCTTCACGCTCATCGACTGTTCACGCGAGCGCCGGCAACACAGCCCCAACAATACCGCATCCACCTAAATCTAGTCCCCCTCCCAAACGTCCCAAAACCACCACTCGTAAAATGAATGGAGATGCTCGTCGTGCCTCTGCCATGTATACGAGCAGCGAGGAAAGCGAGAAGGATGTCAAGCCCTCCACCATTACCCACAACGTCGCCCCACTATCGCGAAAGCAAATGAACGGGAACGGGACCACACTTTCTTCGTCTGGCACATCATCAGCACCGCCCAATTCCACCTCGCCTGTCCATAAACGAATCCCTTCTGCGGCAACCAATGCCCCTTCTCCCCCTCCGCCTCCATTGGCGGCAAAATCTAAGAAGAAGAAAGAGTTCGTAATCCCGCCCCTGCCTCCAACCACGGATCGTGCTGCACTGAAAGCACAGTACGATAAATGTTACGTTCCCTATTCCCAACTGTGGGCTCGAATCGTGGCTGAGAGACATCGGAGTGAAGTGCTACTCAAGGCTATCGAAGAGGGTTTAGATGACGAAGGAGACAGTGATGACGAGAACACCTCTTCCGAGGAGGATGTAGATGCATTAGCGAATTCTTACGGGGCGTTACATCAAAGGCTTTTAGATATTAGAAGTTTATTGGGGGGGTGACGGAGGTGGTTTGACGTCTAATTGTACTTCACTTTGTTAACACACACTTGGAGGAAGGAGATTCTCATTTTTTTCTTCCATACATTTCCCACAGTTTTAGTATTAATATTATTCTAACCCTCGGATCCACACTCGAAACCTTCCATTCCCGCGCAGGCCAACTTGGCAGGTCCTTGAACGGCGAAAGCTTATCAATAAGCAGCGATGCCAATCTCGTGCGGAATACCCACCGCCAAAACTTAGAAAATTGTATGCCCACAACGTGTACAGACTTCCTGGGTATCAACACTGGAAGTGGAAGGGATGAGCTCAAGAAGGGGTTTTGGCAGGTTGTTACTTACCTTAACGCAATTAATCCAATAGGGAAAAATCTATATGGGTGAGTAGAATACATTGAGACTACCTGGGACTTGCTACGCGAGCACAATCGAAAACATACATAATGGCGATAATAATCCCCGCTACCTGGAGTAATGTTATGCGTAGGCTGATTCCAAATCGAGATAAATACAGCAGACTTACTCCGTATCTCCTCATGTAGGCGTGGCCGCCCACGCACTGATTTTGCATCATGATGGGCATGAAAGCAGGCGAATAGCCCCCTCCTCCTACCACCACTGGATGAAACCATCAAAACCTGTCGTGAATAATTGGCAGATAAAATCTCACCAACGTTAGGAGCTGTCGACGGCGGCTGGGGCTGATAGGTTGGCGGAGCTGCTGCTGATGGCGGAGCTACTGATGGCGGAGGATATGGAGGGTCCGATGGTCGGTGGTGATAAACATTATTTTGCTGAGAGGTCCCAGTCCAAGAATTTTGGTGATAATTAAGCTGGTTGTAGTTGTTTGGCGGGCCACCAGTGGGATACTGACTCAGTCGGTTCTGGTTTGGATCGTAACTGTGCTGGTGCTGGGGACTCTGCGGTGGACCGGTTTGTTGCATATTGACTGGAGGCGGCATGAACGTCTGCCCCCCATGGTGACCACCTTCTGGGAATGGTGCTGGTGGACCAGATTGAGTCTGTACCAATTGCATATCTAACGCATTTGGCGGGAGAGACTGTTGATGATGTGGTGCGGGAGAGCTGGGTGGGCTCTGCGTAAATGAACCAGTGGGATAGCCCATAACTTGACCGGGCCCCGCATTATAGAGGTTATTTGCCTTTTGATCATCAGGGATGAACGGCGGCGGTTGTTCGGACATGTACGAGGGAGTGCCTACGGTTTGAGGGCCTGTCATATGGCCATGAACGCCAGGGGAGAAAGGATTGGTAGATGTCTGAGAGGGTACGACACTCATGCTGAGGGGGGGGAAACTAGTTGGTGCTGATCCCAAACTTGGAGTACTCTGCTGCGCCATGGCAAGGACAACAGCGAGATCAGCAGTGTACAGGGCGTCTCTGGGGACACTGACGAGCAATCAGGTGGAGTTAACGTCAAGAATTATGGGACAGAACGTAAGCGCTTCAGAATCAGAAGAGAAAATCACTCTTTATATATGCCCTCACAAGGGACTGGGCGGTGCTCAAATCAGGTAGGATTACCCAGAATGGCAGATTGATCCAGGCACGTAATTATGTACAAGTGCATCGCCTCAGCAGGGTTAACTGGAATTGACGATGTCAAGACCGCCTTGTCCGCTTTATCAGGGTTTCGCTCCAAGTCAAAAGAGGTACTAGAAGAGAACGCTTCCGAGGTGCACCGTGTTGGAATGCTCGATTTCATTCCTTCGATGATATCATCGCAGTGTTCTCCTCACGCTCATTTATGTATGGCCTGCGTTGATTCCGACTCACACGGAGTGCGCGCTGTCGATCCTGAATCCATTTGCCCTGCTGCCGAAATCCCTGGCGTGCTCATGGTCTCAGACATCGTGATCGAGACCTGAGAATTTGTTGAGGTTCGATATATAAAGACTAATCACTGCACAGGATGGCGCTCTCAAACTGCAGGCGCCTTGCTTCACTTACACGCACGCACACTTCACTGTCCTCGACTACCTTATCCTTTCATCCAGTAAGGTCCCGATCTCCTCTTGCGTTTGCGCGTTTGCGCTTATGTTGGGCATATTCCTTGTCTGTCTTCTAGGGAAAGAAGTCCTGGCACTGCTGTGGGGTCTTTACGCTGCCGACACAACAGTTTCGTCTCCCTGGAAGCATTTTCTATTATTGTCTGCTCCGTATGACATCACGAAGCTTTGCAGCACTGCTAAGAAAAGTCAATTGTCGGTCTCACGCAGGCATATCAACAGCCGTCAGTCGCATGGATAACTTTGTTTTATCTATGACAGCTTCCCTTGCTATGTCTACCACACAATCGAGTTCTGCAGTTGACCTCCTGATTAGCTTGGAACCCAGTGCTCATTGTCTTGTGTACAATCCGTTCAGTTGTGCTCTTCTGCGCCATTGAGGTAATGCATTGTTGCCCGACCGCTCTGCCAGGAGCTCCGGCGGCGACGATGAGCAAGAGTCATTTTTAGGATCGCTGAATTCGCGAACTTCCCAGATCCTTCGTGTGCATTGGTCATTGGTCTGACGTGTCTTGGAAATCAGCCTCTTGAAAGATAGGAATAAATGTTATTTGGTTGAGTGTGGTACCGATGTGCACACATCATCGTCTAAGTGACAACCCGTGTCTTTCGAGTTGGCTTCTTGTCTTCTCGCAGTGGGCAAAATAAGAAGTGTCTTCGGGGACCGCTGCTGGAACTTGGTATTCGTGGATCCTGAGGCACAACATCTGGTCCGTTCCGCATGCCAAGGCTAAACATCCTGTCGAAAACTGATGGAGGCAGGCAATCAACAATTGGATGGGGATGAAGAACACCAAAAAGACACACGTGTCGACACCCACGCCTTTGCTGTAAGCTGACAACTGTGGTGGGTCAGTGAAAGAGGCGGGCTAACGCCTTCAAGTTGGCGAAGATATCGGAAAACCATGGACGGTTGGGCTGGGCCTGTTTAACGATTGAATCTGTAAATTTCACTTTCAAAATTGACATACAAAAGAATCGTGTATACCGAATCGAAAGAGTGCCTGGTACCCTTGTTTCCACTTTTCTTCGAGCGATCTAGCGCAGTTGGCAGAATCTGGACACGTCAGGCACTGGCAAGGGTGGGCCCAAACGTCTGAGGTGTTTAACATTCTAGAGTGGAGTTACTTACGCATTGATACTCTTTGGCTATCGGCACCAGTCCGAGTTTCAGTACACGCTCAAGGAACCAGCTTCGCCTAAAACCGTTCAGGCTGGTGTCAGTGTCTGGTAAATTGTCCAAGATTCCTGAGACGAACCGTCTCTCCAGCTTCAGGAGTGTCTCCTGCGACAACGTTTGCATTTCGGCTTCGGGCCTACGGATGGAACGGTCAATATATATGTGAATGATTATTACCACGACCGTACCATCCACCTAAGGGAGGCATTTAGCATAATAAACTCATCCGCATTCGCATCCTAGGCGGCGTGATACACACCGGGATTATCAAGTACAAATCGACTCGATTCGCGGTACAGTTCTTCTTCTTCGAACAATTCAGCTATTCGTAGCGCCTTGATCGGTTTCCCGGCCGCGTGGGTCAAGAGGAATGTCATACATTCCTTTTGAAGAGCTGGTACGACAAGTTTGTGCGAGATGTTCATTCTGTGATGACCGGTGGTTGGGCAGGTTCAGGGGGCATTCTATGGTAATTGGACTCACAAGCCTTCCACATTATTCCTTGCCACACGGGAGATTCAGACATCGAGGGAGATCCTTTGCAATGCCGCTCACCATGTAATGACACACTCTAAACTGTGAGAAGCCCGTGAATATCATCATGTCTTTGTAGATAGCGGGTTTTTGCGTACTGAGGATAGACAAATTTGAGGAAGTCATGGAATGTTGAAGCCTGCTCGTTCGGGCATGTTACTAACGGGCATAAGCATTGACAGCGTTGACTCCCCTTCTCCTCCTGAAGTACAATATATGCTATTGCTATCGGATGGTGTGTTCGTGGAGCGGATCCACTTGCATCCAAAGTGCCATTCCCTGCACTCTCAAGCTTCTTCAGTGAAGCATCACGCTCGGCGTCGCGTGCCGAGTCGTCCTTTGGTGTGTTTTCATCTGCACTCATCTGAAAGACCTCATGGTCCTCTGTAACAAGAGTTGTTCGTCTATCAGTTCCTGCTTTTGAAGAGTTTGCACTTTTAGGAATCTGAGGTGGTTGGCTAATAGTGATTATTGATGATGCGACTGAGGCCCGTCGGCCGGTTTCGCGCCATCTAGGGTCCTTTGCTTCAAAGCAGTGCCTCGACTTTTTCCATGGCATATTACTCACCCGCCACTTAAAGCAGCTTCAAAGAACGGTGAGGCAAAAAACAGGACTTCCTTATGTGTCCTTCCCAGTTGTTTCGGGTCTTTAATGAGAAGCTAGACTGCGGGAAGGAAGCAACACACCAGAACGTTGTCGCACCTACGGTGATTTTGACCGTTCCGGGAAAGCGCGCGTCTTCGCGGAAAGTGGCATCAACTTCGATCGGTTCGTCGTGTTCGCGATAATCTGTAGTGGATCCTTCATCCTCGCTATCATCATCAGAAGCATAGTAAGATACAACGGGTGGGGAAGTCGAGTTTCTAGGAAAAACTCCGCTAGCTGCAGCGTGGGTCTCCAAGGGAGACGAGAGGGTCGCGTGCTGATGGAAATCAGTTTGTTTACTGCTCTGATATCTTCTTTGTCATGGACGCGTACAGGCTGAGATGAGCGCGATGATCGTGCTATTAAAACATGAGAGGGGTTGGACATTTTACGGGTGTTGTCGTTTTGAACGCCAAAGTGTTCGTTCCGTTCGTTCCTGAGCTGCTCGGAAGCAAATTTGCTTGGTTCGGTCCTACCTCCTTCCTCGTGGTCGACGGAAATCTTAATGTCGATACAGCCTGAGGGCCAGCACGCATCTTCCCCCTCTCCTTTGGCAGACACTCCGGCAGTAGCTGATATAGCCAACGTCAACGGCGCAGTGCGTAAAGAAGATAACGACGACGGCGAAGGAGAGGAAACACCCAAGGCGAACAACGAGGCATCGTCGACCACTGCTCCTCCTATCTCCGTTCCTCAAGAAACGGCCACTACCACTTCTATCACACAGCTTAACGGCCCCACGTCTAACATCCCTCCTGAAACCCCCACATCTGCGCATAAACTCTCATCTAAACGCTCAAAAGTGACAACGCCAACTATGACTTCCAAAGCGCCTCGCAAAAGGTCCATCTGGAGCTCTTTCTTCGCGAAGCTCATACCATGTGTTCCATCTTCCAAGTCTGCTTCAATCATCGTAGACGATTCGACAACCCCTGCGCGTGACTCATCTTCTACAAGCAGCGCGCCCGTCAAGCCTGAGCCTAAATCACCTCCCGCTCTCAAAGAAGATGCGGCTCCTGCTACTCCCGCAAGCAAAATAACCGAGAAACCTGTTCCTTCCACACCCACGCGTCCACCTCCATCGCAGGTACCAACACTCAACATCGATACAAAAGCTGATGAACTCGTGCCGCCTACCCCCGTCAAAGCTGAAATCGTCGTTCCCCCCACCCCAAAAACTCATTTGCTGCCTGAATCAGAGACTGCTGGTGTTACATCTGGTGCTGTTCAGCCTCCTGGATCCACTGGTACGGAGCATGATGACGAAGCAATGCCTATCTCTGATGATGAGGATGGTGAACAAAATGGCGAAAGCACCGCACAGGAGGAGGACGATGAGGACAGACTAATATTGCAAGGTGGCAATGGGATCCCCATCATCGTGAGTACCTTAATTGCGCTCCACAGATCCTTTCAATTACATGAATCATCAGGATGGCGTGCCAAGACCGTTGTTACCTCCTCGTCTACCGGAACACAAGGGGCGGAAATGCTTAGTGCTAGACCTGGACGAAACGTTGTTACATTCGAGCTTCAAGGTGCGGAATCATCCAGGCTTGGCTCGGCCGTCACTTATCCGAATGCTGTGCTATTTTGACATCCCAGATGATACCCCAGTGTGACTACGTCGTCCCGGTTGAGATCGAATGGCAGTGGCACAACGTGTACGTTATCAAGCGACCAGGTGTCGATGCATTCCTTCAGAAGATGGGCGAACTATTTGAGATAGTTGTTTTTACTGCTAGTCTCAGTAAAGTAGGGGTTGGATCTTTTGCAGTAGGTTTGAACCGAGCACTCACACCCATTGCCCGTTAACAGTATGCGGATCCCGTCTTGGACAAACTTGACGTCCACAAGGTAGTCACACACCGGTTATTCAGGGAAAGCTGCTATAACCACCGGGGCAACTACGTCAAGGTACCTAATTCCGCCGTATAACATTAGGTCCCCACCATTGATCTCTCTGTGGCCATTCGACAGGATTTATCTCAGCTCGGCCGTCCAATTGCCGAAACAATCATCTTGGACAACTCTCCCGCCTCCTATATCTTCCACCCGAACAATGCCGTACCTGTCTCGTCGTGGTTCAATGACCCGCATGACACCGAGCTTACGGATCTCTGCCCGTTCCTTACTGATCTGCGAGTTGTAGACGATGTCCGCGGTGTGCTGGATGGTGGTCTATGAGTCCCTGCAACTCGAGCCATCGTTTCTGGTGGACAGATGTTACACGGTATAAGGAGAAGGTGGCATTCGTAACGGACGTTTGCGTTCATTTTTGGGGTTAGTCTCGATCCCGTCACTCATTCGCTTCCCTTCATTATCTATTTCTGATTTTTCTCGTGTTGCGGCACCTCTTGTTGGGCACCGGATTAACGATTAATCTTTCTCCAAACAGTGTGCTTGTTACAAATTTCTCTCGCGGTTCTCAATTCTCATACTTCATATCCTTAATCGCAAGCAATGGACAATTCGACCGGTCCGAGTTCTTCAACTATTTACTTATCCTATTCTTTTGATTCCCTCACGTTGTATTCGTGTGTTCTCTGGGCGTTTGTGGCACATGCTCCCAATCCTCAGCTTTCTATTACATTCCCGACATCCCATCCCCTACCCTCTTTTCCTTTTCCGCTTTTACTGTTTCTTTTCTTTGGCAAAAAATCCTACATCGTTCTTTTGCTCCGTTTTTGTTCTCCCCTTCAACCCCATCATGTCTCATTGCCACGATTACTGATGATTTCAAGCTGGCCTCTTCCATTTGCCCAAACACGTATCTGCGTGCAGAGGACTGATCAATGATCATGAAAATATACTGACTCCATTCCAATTCGGACCTCGGCCCTCTATTGGAGGGTAATCAAACAATGTTTTCGACGTCGGAGCCCGATTAATCATGATGTCTGATAATAAGTGTCGGCATGGGATGCTGAGGTCATTGGGGCGTCAGTCAGATCAGAGACACAATTAAGAACAATATTCTGCATTCGTGAAGATGAATTTGGCCAAAGCGGTGTAACGGAAGAACGGCAGATAGTGAACAATCAACAACTAAGAAAGCACGAAGAAATGAGAAATAATCTGGTTCTGTTAGATCATGCCCATGAACCTGAGCAGAGCTGAGAATGCAAAACGAATGAATCGGGGAGTGTGACTTTAAGAACCGGGCAATCAACAGCAACAGAACACCGATTCATAACAAAAAAAAAACAGCATGCTCCCAGACTGCCCACCAATAGATTCGTGCACTTACATCAAACCATCATCGCATCCTGACTCATCCTTAACCCCAAAATCTCCCTCAGAACCAGTAGATATACTTCCGGCGTTAGAACGCTCTTTCTTATGACTCCACAACGAAAACGTCTTCCTGAGGTTGGATGACGAGCCAGCGTCTCCATCTCCCCCGCAGCAACTGTCGGCTCTGATACTCCCTCCTTCAGCCCAACCGCTCGCGGGACAAAAATGGAGGGCCCAGTGCGGCCATTCAAACTTCCCCTTGGGTTAACATTGGAGAGGTAGAAATCACTCCCTCCCCAAATAGAACTACCACCGGTACCCAATGAAGGACCAAGGTGCTGTTGGGGCGGCGATGGTTTTTGCGAATAATGACTATGGGAGGACAAACTCGGGGATGAGTGGTCCGGAAGGGACAGCTTTTCCATAGAACTATTGAAGTTCGGGTGAGATTGGCCCAAAGCTCGTTGGAGCGCTTCACGTTCAGCAGGCGACGGCGTGAACGCAAGGAGGGACGAAAGGAAACTCGTCGTGCTGGATGCTGCACTGATTAATGGAGAAGTCGAGTTGGACTGGCTCGGCGAAGGGATCGGTAGCGAGCTGAAGGAACTGCGAGATGCGGAACTCGACCCAGGGTGCCGGAAAGAAGGCTTCTGTGGGTTTATATTCGCAGATGTAGGCTCATTCGTGGTCGCAACTCCGCCAGGAGGGAACAAGTAGGACCGGCCGCGACTAAAATTGAAAACCTTGGCATCCGGATTCAGATTACTCGACATTCCAGTTGAAGTCGCGTGTCTCGAAGCCAAGGATGAAGCCAACCACCGACGAGGAGTGCTGGAGACAGTCTCTTGTTCGGCCTGGGAAGGAAAGTGCGTCGTGCTGGGTGTGTGCAAATAAGGGGTGGCTGGAGAGGTGTAGAGAATCTCCGAACCGTCATTCCATGTCCCTTGCACAGGCAAAGTTGTTCGCCACGCTCGATTTGCATCGTATGGCTCGCCCGCTGATGAGATTGAGAAGGAATCAGTTGGGGAGGCTCCAAGCTGGCTCCCATCATCTGAATCTAAGGAGGAGAACAAGCTTGTGGGAATCAGAGACGATGCTGTAGGTGACATGAGGCTATGGTCGGTGAAGGGGGAAAAGTCATGGTATGGAGCCGATGATTCCGGGTGCGTCGTGCTGGGGGTATGGCCGGTGGAATGCCTGCGTCCCAAGGAACCGAGCTGGTTCGTGGCATCATTGCGCACAGGAGGACCGAACGCACCATGCTGAAGGAACGGAGGAAGGAAGGCTTGTTCAGCAGTGTTGAGCGTTTGGGGTTCAAAAGATTGAGGCACTGATCGCCTTTGGAAGAGGGGAACGGATGGGCTTGAGTTGGCTGGTGTAGAATGAGGAGACGCAATCCCTGACGCAGCGACCGTGGCAGGGCCTGCAGCGACCGGAGCAGGAACTACCTGAACCGCCCGAACTGCCCTTGCGGCTTGAGCAGCCGCTACTGCCTTCACCCTCTCCTTCGCATCCGCCTTCGCCTTTACCAAAGCCTTCTCTTCGTCTTCGATTTGCGCCTGCAGCTCCCTTGCACGGAGCGTCAACGCTGCGACCAGATCCTCCGCAACCTTTATCTCCTTCTTCTTATCTTCGATTTTCTCCTGGAGCACACGCTCCTGCTCATTCGCCTGTACTTCGCTCGCAGCTACACGATGCTTGTTCTCGGCGATACGTGTTTTGAGCACACCAATGTCTCTGCTAAGTTGCTCCATACGATTCGCAGCACGGTCGCGCGCACTCTGAGCAATCTTTAATCGCCTCTCTGCATCACGTTTCGAGTTCTCAGTTTGTCTTTTGGAATCTTCGACAGCTTTCTGCTGTTGTCTAAAGTCAACGCGCTGCAAATCGTCCTCGCGCTTTTTCTCTCGGCATCCCTCCAAGGTAGACTGGAGTTGGTCGTGGGAAGTGGCAGCAGAGGCCTGGAATGCGGCAAGATGATTCCGAGACTCGTCCACCCCATCCTGAACAACTTTGATTTGATTGAGAATGTCCACGATGATCGGTGATTCGTCCAACCCATACGTCGGCGTGACATTGCTGGTGCTGTTGTTTCCTTGATTATTTAGCGATATCGAGTTGGAGTTTGAGGCCGAAAACGAAGAATCTATCCGATGCGTTGGCTCTATAGCGTTCGTCGAAGGATTGAAAGGGGACGTCTGAGATAAAGGATTAACAGATTTGATGGCCAGCAGACCCTCAGGACCGCTTTGTGGAGGACGAGTTTGATGAAGTGGGAGGGACGCAGATTTAGGCAATGGTGGGGGGATCCACTTCGCAACGGTCCATTGGCCCCGTGAGCTGACCCAAGATTAGTTATTGATCTTCTCCCGCTTCGCGAACGTTCATGTTTAGCTGAACCAGACGAGCTGTTCCTAGTAGCTTTCCTTGACTTGCTCGTGATTGCAGATATGGAATCAGTAATCGTCTTGAGACCTGAATACGACAACGTTCGAAGTAAAATTTTTCAACCTCGGCTATATTAATAGTGGTGAAACATTACCTTCTGAGATAATATCACAATCAAATGCATCGAGGGCACGAACACCAAGCACTCCCGCAGTGAACGTATCGTCTTTACCATCCATGCATGAAGCACTGCGCTGACGGAGTTGTAGTGTGCCACCGAGCCACCATTTACCGAAAATACCGATGAACCAGCTGCCATCTAGCATGACCTCTGCTTTCTCTGACGCAGAAGGAGTAATCTGTCCTGCAAGATTCACATCTGTAGCTTTGTCCGTGACGATGGGGACGGCAGCAACTGTGAGAACGCCGAGACTGCGAAAGATTAACCCAGGAGTTCGAAGTGAAATCGATGCACGATTGGAGAAATGGAACCCAGAAACAGTTGTAGGAGTCGTTTGAGAGGAAAGGATGAGGTCTTTACTTGGATGTTTCGTCTGTTGATGGTGGCGTTTTGGGGTGTGCAGCCCACTGATCTCGCAATCTTGACTCCCTGGTTTAGAGTTCTGAGCATCATAATACGGAGAAAAATGGCGGCGAAATGATAGCTCGGTGAGGTAGTTCCTAAAGGAGGCCTCGGTTGGATTGGTGAGGTACGCTTTAAAGGGTAGCAAAAAAAACGTGGACGAAGTCAGGACAATCATGCCTCGTGTGTGGCAGGCTGGTTGAGCTAATTACGACAGATCACATACCAAGGATGATCGTAACTACCACGAAGACAAACGAAAGGAAGAGAGATCTTGGCTCGACCAAGTTTGCGATTCGGGGGAAAACACTCATAGCCTTGAAGGGTGCGAGAGGCAGCCTCGCCGAGCGGAGCATGATACCCAATGCACCAAAGGATAATCCCATAAAAATTTTGAAGCTCAAAGCGGAAGAAGAGTGATCGTGGTGAGATTGTGGGCTGCTCAGAAATCCGGAGAAAAGGCGAGTCAGCAACAGATTGGCGATTTCTATCACGAGGCCACCGCGTCAGCGCTCAGGCCACTCTCAGCGCGAAGTGGTCGACGCTGGGGATGGGCGGAGAGCGCTATCGAAGCAGCAGCCGACTGTAGTTATGTTAGGTCAGGATATGGGACTTGCGAAGGAGGGAAAGCCTCGGACTCAACAACCGCAAATGAAAGCCAAGCTAGTTCAGGAAGAAAAAATTGAAGTTTAACTTCAAATTATGAATAAATAACAACAACGATAACTTCACTTTTACGGAGCTTGTGTGCACTGTCTGGAGTCTAGAAGATGCAAAGACAAGGCACACTGGTTATATACACCCAGGTTCTAACCGACTACAATATTGCAGTGCAATTCCGTACGCACACAAGGCCATCAGTGGAACAAACGGAAGAAATCTTGACGCCTCCTCTGCGCGTATTCCTGCACCATGGATCTTCCAACCCGTGCTTTCTGCGTAGTTGTTCCATTTTCGCACACCCAATATCGGTTATTGCTTTCGAAGACCGATCGCAAATTATTAGAGTCGTTTTAGTCGTGCGACCATTAAGTCTCAAGCTTCCAAACGCCTCTCCCAGGTGACTGCAGTGTATGAAGATGGCGATAACTGGGATATTAGAAAATACATATGAATGTATGTGTGCAGATGGCTCTCTATTGCATCTCGCCCCAGCAGTCAGTCCTACAGAATGACCAAGGGACTCAGGTGGTGCTGCGAAAAGGCTCAAGTCGCGGCTACTTATGACGGTGGTTGCGATGTCGATGTCGATGTTGTCGACGGTGGAGAGTCCGCAGCCCGTTCCTCCAACGCAAGCTTGTACTCCGCTTCTAATCGCTCTTTCGCACGTACAACTTTGGATTGGAGGTAGTGTGAGTGTACAAGGGGAGTGTTCTTTGATGGAGGGGGGTCGATCTGTGGTGCTGAGTTTGCTTTGAATAGATGTTCGTAATTCTAGAGCATGAATCATCAGGGTCAACGGCTGGAAAATGCGGTATGAGACCTGCCTGTAAAACCTTCTCCATACTCTCCCCCTTCTTAAGATTCAGGATGAGGTGTGCTTCATCTAATGTCATTCGATGGTCTCGGGATAAAGTGTCAGTAATCGAGCCTGAAGTAGCATTCCCTATGCCAGTAGCTTGGTTCACTTCTGCCGGTCGGTATTTTGCATCTGTGATAACCATATGAATACCACCAGGAATACAGCCGAAAAATCATAACAGTGCGCACTTTTAATCGCTTGACGTCCAGCTTCCAGAAGTGCTTTGCCGAATATGCGGCCCCCAACAATGACAATTTGAATGAGTATTTTTGGAGCTGACTATGTCCATTCCAGGAGCGCGTTAGCATCGTTGAAACGGGGTCATGGCAGCAGATAGGCTTGCCATTTTTGCTGACGAAGGGTGAACGGAAATATTAAAGGAGAAATATTAATTCCCACGCTTGTGGCTGCATAGCCTCACTCCAAGTTCTTCTTGACTTTTGCTTTCAAGATGGGCAAGAGGAAGCGCTCTACATCACCACCTTCGAGACTAAAGACAAAGGAATCGTCGAGCACTAAAAAGCGTAAGCCTGGGAACGACAATAATGATAGATTGTCACTTTTACGTAAAAAGGCAAGGTTAGATGTGAAGCGCGAAACCGCGAGCAATGACACCTCTGCCTCTGAACGAGAACATGGGCACGAAAAGGAAAGAAGGACCTCTTCACGCAAGAAGTCTAAGAGGGATCTGGAGAGCGGGCTTTCGGGCTCTAGCGATGGTTCCTCACCCCCGGAACAGAACTCCAGTCACAGACGTGGACGCGACAGAAATAGAGCAGTATCGACTCCTCCGCGCAAGAAGAAGAAAAATGTGGAGGACGAGGCCGAAAGCTATCGCGACGATACCCCTCTTTCAGACCGTATCTCCCCTAGTAACCAGAAACGCGACCACGACCAGGAACCTTCTTCTCTGCGCGGGAAGGAGCACAACCCCAAACATAGACGCGACAAGCATAGTGCGCTGTCTCCCTCACCCAAGGGCTCGCGGAAGGAGGTGGAGAGCGAACTCTCGGGCTCCGGCGAGGACTTTTCTAGTGGCGCAGGCATCGAGGATAAAGAATCTCGTTCGCCGCTTGAGGACCCAGGTATATCTGCGGTAGTCAAGATCTCAACCCCTAGCCCCGCTCCCAAATACGACTTCAGTTACGTGCGCGCAAGAGTTCGTCTCTCACTCGCGCCTGTATTTCTAAGGAATCCCACATCCGGAGTTTTCGAATTGTTAGACGCAATGACCATGAAGTGAGTCTTGATACTATGTACGGGCAACTCGTGATTTATCGTCCCGCCGTACGTTTGCGTGCCTTTGGGGTATGTTCATCAGATATGTGCCGGATTTTCGTGGGGTACTTCTAGCTCATTCGAACGCGAAAATATTGGATTCTAAAGCAAAAATAATGGAGAGTTGTCCATTTGCATCTGTCGATGTTGGATTCAATGCATTGATATGGAGTCCATCGATAGGGATGAAACTCAGTACGTCCTACGTTAACATATTATTCCTATCTGAGCTGCATCAACCCCGTAGCCGGCGAAGTTAATCTTTGCTCCCCATCCCACATATCATTACTCATCCATCGTATATTCAATGTGTCGATACCCCGCCGTCACATACCAACAAATGAATGGCATTTCGAAACCGAGAATGATCCTGAATACGAAGCTAGGGAAGATGAAATGCAAGTCGATGGCGGCAAAGCCGAGGGTTGGAACAGCATCGGATGGTGGGTTAACACCTCAACGGGTAAGAGAATAGGTGGAAAGAAGAGGCTCGTCACGTTCACTGTTATAGGGTAAGGTGATAAGCTCGATTCCCTTAGTTGGTATTTATCAGGTGCTATCTGCCTTGTAGCATGATCGAAGCCCATAGGATGCTCTCGCTGAAGGGCTCATTACAACCTGACCCTTTTAATCCCGCACATTCTCTTCAGCTCACGAATTCCATCGAATCCCAACCCTCTACCACCAGCGCATCCGAACCCACGGCTCGAAGGGAGACAGAGGAGGGCAGCGAGGATGGTGATAACGATGACATCAACGAAAAGGAAGAGGGACGCCCCAGACGAAAAGTCAGGTTCAGCCTCCACATGGGGCCCATTCCCTCGGATTCTGATGACGAGTGACATGGCCAAGCCGACCCTTCATTTCCCAACACTCGTGTTGCTCAAGTTGAATACCTTACGACCCCCCAAAGCCCACTGGTGCACGGCCGCCCAACCCAAAACTTTTAGCACCCTTCTCATTGAATAAACCTAGGTCTGGAACAAATGGTAATCTCGCATAAATGCTTGTGCTTCTATGGACCTTTAGCGACAAAAAACGCACATGTAATGTACTCAGCTGATTGACAATTAATAACCGCTAATCACCAGCAAGCTATCTCTGAGCGCTTCCCATGAATTATGATGCGCTGTTGAGTTGTTACGGCTTATGGGCGCTAAAACAATGATTGTATTGACAACCGGTTTTACTGGACGAGACCCCCCTGGGCCATGTCATCCAAATCGGGTGTGCGGTTTTTTTTCTCGCTTACTGTAAAAGTACCCCAATGTCATGGCATAAGATCTTTGAACGCTGGAGAATTGCCACGGTCGTTGTGGTGAAACAGGGTCCTGCCTTCCAAAAAGTCGTATGGGGTGCACCTGCTAGAGTAAGAGGTCCATTGGAAAGTGTTACATCCCTAGGGAGCTTTTAAAAGATATGGAGTCATGGACAAAGCTTGAGACGGCGGGATTGAATGAAACCACGAGCGCTTAATGTGTCCTGCTTTAGGGAATGCTCACGTAAGGATCTTCCGCAATGTCAGACTGATTAATTTACAACGTCTTGTTGCTCTTCCACATGCAAAATGCACCAAACAGGACAATCCTTTTCTTCATCACAGAAGCAGGATGAACTCAGGCAAGCCGATTCAACAACATCGATCACCTCTTGGGACGCGTCGTTGCGGAAGTTCTTTCAGACAGTGCGCATTATGTTTTCGTCTGCCTGCCGTATTCTGAGGAAACATTAAGACTGGTTTCAATGAAACATTCAGGTCATTCGAAACTGATATGCTTACTTTAAATTCAACATTTGAACAAGACGTCGTAAGTCCCGCTCTTGCCACTTTGGCCAACGAGTTGGCGGTATGCATTGTTGCCTGTGCTAGAGAAAGGCCACTGATCGTGAATGTTAGAAAGCATCTCACACTAGAGCAAACTCTACGCAGAGTGATATTGAAGAAAGAAAGTTACATTATGTTCAGGATTCCGTTCATCCCACTTCCCCTGCCAATGTGCGCTCCCACATACTCAAATCATTGCGAACTTGGCTTCTAACTCTTTCCGGCTAGTTGACAAGGTCCATATCCCAGTTCCTGGCGTCCAATCATGCCCGCTCTAATCATAACAACATCGAGGAGTTCCTTCGTCCAATGAAACGTCGACGGGTAGATGAATCTTTAACTTCGCCTGCGCAGCATGATTCCTCATCTTCTGGCGACGTATGTGATGAACCTCTTCCCACATGTGCAAGGACCCGCGCGATACGCGTAAACCGCGACATCCAGATGAAGTATGATATTGTAAAGAATGATGAAGGGCCTTTGGGAAAGACTATGCATGGTACTTTCAAGGATCCAGTTGAAGTGTTGCGAAATGCCCCCGAACAAGGGGCAGGAGGCGTGATCGGGGACTCCAGAAAAGGTGTGCCCATACTTGATAGACACCCAGGTTTCACGGAGAGGTTCAAAAACATAGAGGAGCACCTTGCTATCAGATACAGTGAGTTCACAAATTTTCCATTTGAGGACGCCCATTTTGAGGCCAAGGTTATCCATGCACGCAGTTCCTCGACCTCCAGAAGATATTCGTCTCCGGCTAAAAACCATCGAGGACCATATCATTAGGTTGGAGAAAGATTACCCTCCTTGGGCGGCTCTTCACTTTAACCAGCCTCGACGCGATGTGTGTGCTGACCCCATGTTATATTTCTGAGGCTTTCACTAACCGCTATTTTAAAACACGCAAGTGGCCACCCCCTCCGCCTTCCACACTGATTGTCATTCCTTCCCATCTGACTATTCCCGACCCTACAGTTTCATCATCAAGTGCAGTTCCCCAAGCACCATCATCTGCCCCCGTCTCAACCCTCTCTTCCTCAGTTTCCACCTCACTGCATGTGGACGGACTGACATCATCACCGGCGTTATTAGCACCTGTGTCGACGAAAGGGAAAATGAAAGCAAAACCGTCACGGATGGAATCAAGCTTATACCGAGCCGTGATGGAGAAATTGGAGGTTAGCAAGGCACTGAGTGAGGGTGCGAGGGTTGCAGAGCTTGATGATGGAAAGCACTGACGGGCAAATGGCTGGGATGCTATGATACAGACTATTCGATTGCCCCGATCCGATATCGGGGTTATGTCTATCAACAGATACATAAGGTGGTATTAATTATACGAGAAGACATAAAGCACCACGTTCTTGAATGGATGCCTAGAGAAACAACAAAGAGGGCTACAACGTAATGCATCGGGGTCATAAAAGCATCACCATGATGCTTCTGCATGAGATTTTGCACAGGAAAGTAGGGATGGGAAAAACATAATTCATCGAAGTGTGTATGAGGATAAAAGTTGATCAGGTTGTGTAGAAATCTAAGTGAATACAAAATTATGAGCTTTTGTCTGAGAAACGTAGATTCAAAACATGGCCTACAATATAATGCAGCATACGGAATGGTAACATCTGCCGGTCCGGATGTGCATGTAGATTTAGGTGGCTGACCAAAGTATGTACTGACGCGGTAGATAGACTTCGCAAGGGTACCGTTGACATTCTGGAGTAACAGCCAGTCAACGTTGCCCTTGCTATTTTCTGGATCAGGAACATCCTAAAGAGATTATATAAACAAGCACGAAGACGACGGAATTAAAACAAAGGACAAAGTGTACCTGGACTTTCTTCATGACACTGAACGCGACCAGCGCGCCATTAGGTTCTAGGTCGAACCTGGGATTGATGCCTCCAGCACCATTATTCACGAAATAGTGGTGTATGGAAGGCCGGGAAAGATCTAGTCCAGCTAATGGGGTTCGACCAGTAGGATTGGTCTCGATAAAGTCGTAAACGAGTTGGGGTACAGTCTCAAGCTTTGGTGTGCTTGCCATGCACGAGACGTCATAAAGTTTGGCCACAGCGCCCGCGGGAGAGTACGCTCCGGAAGATGAGCAGGTGTAGTTCTGCGGATTAACATAATTCAGCGCACTGGTAAACGTGTGATTGAACGACAGCGAAGGACTCACTTGGGTGCCATAACCAACCATCACGTATTCTGGCGCTGTCGTGGACTTGGTCAGGTTCTGGGGCCAGGTGCAGGGAGTAAGCGCATTTGACAGAGGGCAACCTCCTCGCTTAAATCTCATATCGTGTCGTTCACCGTTGAAGAGTGACGGCGCCGCCTGCACAGCCATTAACCAAGTGACAAGTGCGAACACAATTCTAACAGCAGCCATGGCTAACAAACGCAGACCTCAAGGAAATCGAAGGATAGGAAGAAAGAGGGCAACAGCGTCGAGCAAGGCAGGACAAATCTTGTGAGTTTCCCTGCTCCTCACGCCACCAAGCTTTATAGGCATAAAGGGTGCTTTCCTATCGCCACCATCGCTAAGGTTACAACACAGATGTCACCAGGGAGGTCTTCCCACCTGTTGTCGTGCCGAACATCCAATAACCTGCCGCTACAGTGTTCACTATGGAGATTATGCGGCTTTGAGTTGGAAAGGTTCTGCGCCAGACTGATGTATCAGCTCCAGCCATTGATAAGGTTAAGTGTTGTGTCAGGGGTAAACGCATATCTCTCGCCTAGCTACCAACCACAGCAAGATATTTGACGTTTTTGCGTCAATTGACAAGCATGTCACTGCCACCATGCCAATTATGGTACATGATTCTTTGGCACCGCTGTTGCTTGAGGTTCCTGGCATCGCTAGCTGAGGAAATTTCGGCCTCGAGAGTCGTGCACCTACCCCAGTCACCGGAATGAAACCGAACTAGCTACGTCATGAGCTGAAATGTTTCTGGGCTAAATAAACCCATCATCAAACAAACACAAGGGGTCAAAGACTGGGACTGGGGGAGTATAGATATTGCCATCGGGACTTTGTTGCATGCCGTTAATCCTCCTCGTGTGGCGCTTCCGACTTGGAGACCAGCACTGCCCAGCGACGTCAGCCAACGAGCCTGAGAGGCTCAGTGACGTAGAGACGTACTGGAAACCGAGCGACCGGGGACCCATACAACATGGAGCATTCCATATCCCCCAAAGCAGTGCAAACAGGGACCGCCAGCGCAAGCAAGCGAATGGTTCCGTTCAATGTGCCTCCGATGTCACGCGCTTGGTTTCTTTACACCCAAAATGGACAGGATCTTAAGCAACATTGGCGACCTGATCAGTGGTCAGAACGAACATTCTGCACATTACGCGCCGGATGAGCCTCAGTCCACTACTTCTCCCTCCCTATCGGAGGCCGTAGTTTATCGATATCGCAAGCAGTATGGCATAAACCTAGGTTAGAGCAGAATTCCAACCTCCACACCTCGAAAGATCGATGGCGATTCACTGATGACCATTCTCTAAGGCTCATGGTTCACGTTGGAGCGATGGATTTCGGAGGCGCCCTTCAAGGAAGTTGATGGTCAATGCGATCTCGCTTTGGCGCACGGCCCACACGCTAAACAACACCTCGAGGCTCATTGGGACTCGTGGTTGAAGGATGAAGACTGGGACTGGATACGGGATCATGGATATAATACTGTCAGGATCCCTGTCAGTAAGAATACTGCTGAATATTGAAAGCAACGGTAGCTAAATTATGGTTTCAGATTGGATACTATCACATTTGTGGCCTTGAGCCATCTGTCATCCATGGAACAGACTTCGAGCCCTACCGGGACGTATACGAAGGCGCGTGGAAGCGCATTTCCCGAGCAATTTCTACGGCAGCCAGTTATGGCATAGGAGTTCTCGTCGGTAGGCATCTCGCATTTCAACCCTCATAATCTGTTTCCTAATGATCGCGATGACTAGACCTTCACGCTGCGCCAGGGGCACAGAATAAGGACCCTCACGCGGGAACTGGAACCGGTCAAGTCCACTTCTGGGAGCCTCACAATCAGTCCGCCACAGTCCGTGCACTGCGAGTTCTCGCTGCCGCCTTATCTCCTATCCCCAATGTTGTGGGTCTGGAACTCCTGAATGAGCCTGCTAACAACGATTCCCTCCAAGGATGGTATGAAGACACAATTCGCGCCATCCGATCGGCCCTTCCGCCCCGACATGCTGATGAGTTTCCCATCTACGTCGGCGATGCGTGGGATCCGAACTGGTATGCATCCTGGACGGGACAACGACACGACTTTGTGGTATTGGACCATCATGTTTATCGTTGCTTCACACCTGAAGACTTGAAGCTTACTGGTGACCAACACGCGCATAACATTCAAACGGACACAAGAGGATGGTTCACGTCTCTCTCATCGAAAGCTAAGGGTAATTTCGTCATCGGCGAGTGGTCCGGGGCCTTAGGTCCCAGCTCCGTCGGTCTTCCCGGAGCGGATGCTGGAGAGCAAGACCGACAGAGAAGGGTGTTTGTACGTGCGCAATCTGAAGTTTTCGATGCGACATCCGCTGGGAGTTTCTTTTGGACATATAAGAAAGGTCAAGGCTGGGATGCTGGCTGGTCTGCCCGAGATTCAAGATTGGCAGACATTTTGCCTCATTGGCGTGGTGGCGTGAAGAGGGGTATAGGAAGAGGGAAAATTACCGACAACGAGAAACAGGAGGCTTTAAGGAAGGCTTATGGTGCGTACGCTGAGCCTGTGTTCCATGCAATTTGTTCTCAACTTCTTCACGAACCCGCATTTAGATTCCCATGTGGCATACTGGGAGGCTCACGGTCATGGAAGCAAAGAGCCTTGGCGCTTTCAAGACGGCTTCTCCAAAGGATGGGATGATGCGAAACATTTCTCGCAGAACATACCCGCATCAAACTCGTCCCCCACGATTGGGTTCCTTGGTCGTTGGACGAGTCGACGTGTAGCAGACCATGTCCAAGAGAAAGGAACAAGTCCTCAACTTTGGGAGTTCGAGCATGGCTTCGAACAAGGGGCAAATGCTGCTGTTGCCGCGTTGGCCGACTGAGGATCAGCGAATCGATGGGCGGATCGTGATGAAGTCAATTGTCAAAGTTCAAGTGTGCTGATGCGTTTGAAAACAAATGTACTTGATAGCCCCACAATGTATGTACAATCCAATGGAATTCCAGACAGTTGTGATGGATTGCGGCCACCGCATGGGGAATACCTATTAATCAATGTAGAACACATGTTGGTGGGTATAGGGTGTGGAAAGTTGTAGACAAGATACGGATGGAGCCACAAAGAGCTTGGGTATGGCAGGCGGCGGACTGACGATTCAAGCGATCAAGCGATTGTGAAGCTCTAAAGGTGATTATTTGACACCGAGCTAGTTGAGAGGAAAACGACGAGCCCACCTCGTCATCCTCAGTAGGGATTATGTAGCCATTATCCACAAGAAAATCGAAGGCATCCCTGACGAATGTCGTGCACACGTCCGCCCGCGATTGCAAATCAGCACAGGCACTGTTGATAACAATTGCAAATAAACGAACAGGATTGCCTCTGGAGTCCAACTATCATCTCTCTTCTGGAGGGTCGTGACAACGGCGTTGATGTGTACCCCTTCTGGATGTCCATCCGACAACTCTCTTATACACTCGAACAAACGCCGTTGGGGCCTGGATAACGACGGTGATCCCGATGTTGAAGCCAATGGCGGGGGCTGAGGGAGCCGTACCGGCGAGGCCACCGAGTGCTGTGGAATCACTGGGGGCCCTGATTCGACTTGCGTCATTGGCGCCTCCGCGATCGGAGTCGAGGCTCGAGTTGGCATTGGGGAAAGCATTGCTTGAGCCCGATGAGACGCACCCGTGATAACTTGTGTCGCGGGAGCAGAGCTCGAACTCGGACTCGAGGGTTTGGTGGAGGCTTGTAGCGATTCTGACATGTCTGATGTACCCAGTTGTCTCCTGAAAGGATTTTTGTTTGATTTGGGTGGATGACCGGAGGTCTCTAGTTGCTTCTGTGTTCCGGTGGCATGGGTGGCTTCCGATTCAGCCCTCAGGGGCTGTTATTATCATTACTGTTGAATTAGCAAATGAGGCCGGATTAGCTTAGGCTTACGGGACGAGAACGTCGAGGGACTGCTGAATTCATTGATCTGAAGCATGGGCGTGAATAAAGTACATAATGGTGAAAAGGTCAAGTCACTCACGACTTCCTTGGGCTTCGTTCAGTCTGCGTGTCAGATGATCGACTAACGGTGCGTGTGCGTAGAGTACCCTCTGACGTACTGGGACTGCCAGATCGTGGCTCATTCAGCGGGACCCCTGTGGATAGATGAGCGGCCAGACGTTCTCAGATACATGATACTCACGTCCCGGTGCATGGGAAATTCCATTCGAGCCGGAAACCATCTCAATAATAGTACGGATATCTTCAGGCCCCCCCATTAATTCTTCACGCAATTTTCGGAGACTTTCCTCGTCCGCATCCTCCGCAACAACCGAATCGACAGACATTTCACCATCATCCCGTGGAAGTGTAAGTATCATGGATTGGGGTGACGGGTATTGAGTGTCTGAGGTCGCTGTGTTCCCTGAGCCACCGGAAACCGACGGAAGGAAAGCATATGCGGCCCGCCCAGCCATTATAGTCCCTTCCAGATTACTTATTCTGTTCGATAGTTCCTGGTGCTGCACCAATAACTGCTCATTTGTGTTCAATTGTATTGTCCTAAACTCCTGAAAGATCTCCGTGAACTGTCGAAGCTGTTCGTTGGTTTCATTTTGGCTCTGTTGAAAATGGCCAAACTGCTCTACGTGACCGAGCACTTCGTGGAGCTTGGGCAACTAATCGATTCCGTCAGAAATGGGGTCAAGATATGCTGTCTGTAAGTACAGAATACCTCTTCACGCAGCACGCCGACTGCACTGATAAGTGCGTTCATATCAAACATCCAGTCTCAGAGACTGAAATGTAAATACCAGTGCCCTTGGCGGCTTGCCGGCATCAAATCACGCGCTCGTGACCCTGAGAAAGTCACCCCACCTAAAATGATTCAGGAATCGAGGCCCCACAATCACTAAGCGTTTGACATATGGTGGGAAGCAGTACAAACAAATAAATTTCTGGGCGTACGCTGTGGCCAACTCACGTTTGTTGATGTTGAGCTTTCCTGTGTTGGATTACTTGCGACCAAAGTCAGTGCGCATTCAGAGCGCCTGAGACTACAAGACACAAATGTTGGGTCTTAGGCTTCGTTCAGTATGAAGAAACAGGTTTCTTTGGCCTGTTTCTTAAGGCTTCGTTCGGTATGGAGAAACAGGTTTCTTTGGTCTGTTTCTTCCTGTTTCTTAATACAAAAATTGCGTGTTTTTTTAGGTAGAAGAAATGAGAGAGAATATTGAATTGAAAAACTGGAAGAAACAGGCCTGTTTCTTCATACCGAACGAAGCCTAAGTTACGACTTCTCCTCAGTTCACGTACAACGGGACTGTGCGAGAACGTCGCTAGTCCTTATTTCCTAATACCCTCCTCTGACGCACCTCACGACACGTCGGTGTACCCTAGGCCAAGCGTGAAGATATTGCTGTTGATATGACATTCCGATGCCCTTTGTGCCGATGATTGGCTAGTCAATAATATGTTACCACTATTGAAACAAAACTAAAAGTTTCATTGTTGTTAGTGCTTTGTCCCTTTGTGCCACTCAGAGATGTATGTGTGAGCTGAGAGCACGATATCTAATGACACTGATACCGTGCTCAGATTTTCACAATTGCAACTTTGAATATTTGCGGAAAGAACGAGGTGCTAAAAGGATATATAGTGCTCACCTACAGGGATGGTATAGGCGATGAAGAAACCTTGGTATTCCTAAGCTCGTGGGTGATGATGGGGTTCCCTACCACCTACTTACCTCACGCTTCCAGTGAAGGGAACCAACAGATTTGACGTCAGAGGAGTTATTTAAGACATTGACGCCATCTGGACTTCGGCTGAATAGTCGTCGGAAGCAACGTTACGAACGGGACGGGTGGAGTTGGCTCTCCGTGACATGATCCGATCAATCACCCTCTAAAAACACCGGGGCTCGCCAGCCTAGTACAGCTGATGCCACTGGTCAGCGATCTACTCTTCTAGCATCCACTTTGCCCGCTGTGAATGCATTAAATATCAAGAATAGACTCTGGCTTTAGCCCTGTCGTTGTAATGTCGGCGTTACAAGCGGCTGTTGCCAGGCACCCAAAATAAAAATCGTTTACAAGCAGCGCAAGCAAATTTTTGAATAAGTGCTATCCACAACTCTGGTGCTACAACGTCTGAGTCGAGGAGCGGACGTTGGTATGGATGAAAATGGCTGATGCTGATGTTCCTAGGTAAGATAAATGACATAAAGCATACAAATGGCGACAGATTAGAGGCGTAAGTCATGCTGGACTGGGCAATTCCTCGGGGAGGGCAACATATCGCTCCTGTTAAGAGACCAACCCAAATAAGTCCATGTAAAAGGGCGAGAGCGAGAGTAAAGACTAGTTACCGCATCGTCATCAAGACTCTCAATCAACCTGAGGTCTTCAGCGACGTCAAATGCGTCACTGAAATGAAAATAAATCCTTTAAATGCAAACCCCGAGTAGAAGTCAACCCACAGAAAAGACTCAGCCGTCCACTCGCCGACACTGTCCTTCAGCGCCCAAATAATATCGTTCACGTGGACTCCTCGTGCGTTAGTGTCCTTGCGCATCAACTCCCGTACACACTCCACCACAAGGCGCTGGGGCTCGGGAAGAGATGAGAATGGCAATTGCACATGTGAAAGGGCAATTGAGGTCGGAGTGGATGGTTGTGGTGTTGCTGAAAATCCTCCGTGATCTGGAGTTTGGGCCTGGCTACCTTCGGAGTAGGGTGGGGGTGTATTGCTATCGGAATCAACGGGCTATGGCCATTTCAATGAAATCGCAAGTGGACGTCACGATCGCACGACCTACCAGCTGAGGACCAGAATGCGAGGCGAAGGAGCTAATAGAGAAGAATAAGTGGACCAGACACATGCACGCCAGCTTCCATGTGACTGACCCAGGTCTGTGAGTGCCGCTTGAGATGGACGAAGAATTAGTCGGCGAGGAGGGTAGCTCAAATGTACCGCTCAGGCCGACTGAGTCAACCTGGGCACCATTCGCCAAGGAGGCTAAAAAAGATCTTTAAGACTGAGATTGCCAAAGAAAAGTGCATCGTTCACCCACGAGTTGGGGTGGGGTATGCCGCAGCCGCAATATCGACTGGGCCTCGGCTAGGCGTATGTGGTGCTTCAAGTGCTTCATGTTGTGCAGCACCAACCCCCGTCGCGCTGCCACCATTTACAATAGAGCTTAATGGGCGCTCAGGATGAACGGACGCCATTGGCGTACGAGGTGATGGACGTTGAGGTGTAGAATGAGTATAATTTGTGTCTGTAGTGGCAACCACACTCTGGTCCTGTAGATTCTGTAAAGAATCCTCGATATTCGAGAGACGAGCAAGGATTACGCTCTGTTGCTGGAGTATCTGGTCATTCAGACTGCGATGCGAGTTCATTGATTGTTGAAGCGATTCAATAAGAGCCCCGAGGGCTGAAGCCATAGCTTCCTGGCTTCTCCGAAAGCGATCAAATTGCTCTGCAAAATCAAGCAAGTAGTTGATGCGAGGGAGCTTAAAGGTCAAGTTCAAACAACACGTCAAATACGGATGAAGTTATTCGCACCTCTCGTTGTAAGAGACTGGCGGCTTCGAGAAGGGGAGCAATGGACTCCATACTCACGGTTGGTGATTGGCACAATACAGTGAGCAGGACCCCAGCCTCTGCTGTCGAAGCGGTACAACCACAGCTAGACAAGTTACAACTGTCACTCTATTGACTCGTTTTAATGTGACAGACATCACATGGCCGTTGATCCGTAATTGAATGGTGTTTATTCATCTTGTGTGTGAGCGAATGTGACAAGAATAGGGTGGCGACGGCCCCGACAGGACGTCGAAGCCTCTTGATTTGAAGCGAGCCGGTAAATACATAGATAAGCAAACAGGAGGCGATGGGGCAGGTGGAGGGTAACGATGAAGACGAGTGAGAATAACAACGGGGATTCAGACAGGAGGGAAGAAGTCAAGTTACAAAACAAAGGGATCAGCCGAAAGGAAAAGCCACCGTAAACACCCGGGATCCAACTTGCAAAGGAAAACCAAGGCTATACTGCCTTAACCAATGCAAAACCAGACATTCAACGGCAACCTAACCAGAACCGAAAAGAAAATTAGTTAAATAATAAACGACGAAGTCGTAGAAAAAATCCAGCGTGCGCGGACGCAAGAAAGTAGTGGCTGAGAAGCCTAAGCGTACCGCGGACGCAAAAGAGAAGGCACGGAGGCCGAAGCGCTCAGCGGGCGCGCATAAAAGAAAGATGGCACGGAGGCCGAAGCGTACCGCGGACGCGCATCAAGAAGAAAAATATAAATCGACGTACCGATCATGCAGCAGAAATCAGAACCAGACTCGCAAACAGATAATCAAGAAAATGTAAACTGAACATCGCGGATGATCAGCTTGGAGGCGTCAGGCATTGAATAATGCGTACAGAAGACGAAGCCTAGCAAAGGGCACAGCGGATACCCAAGAAAACGACTGAGGCGCTGAGGCCGGCGCACACAAGTCCTATTTAATCTCGTTCCTCCATTAAATTTAAACTATTCGTCTATTAGTGTTGTCATTTAAATTTACAAGTGCCCGGGCCCTCAACTCGTGCACTTAAACTTGCGAGACATGTTGAAGGGAGTGTTGAAGGAAGTGGTATTTGGCGACGCCGATCGCCTTTTCACTCGGACAAACATATTGATACGCTGCAGAACGGGAACTCTTATACAAGTCGATCTATGCCGGTCTATACACCATGGGCAAATGACCGTCTGGATAGTTTCACAGCATGTTAGAAGGATACAGCGACTGGCACTAGTAGTAGGAACGAACCTGTTCAATACCAAACCCTTGAGTGCTTTCAGCTCTCGTCGGACCTCTTCTTCAGCGGGACCAAGAACATTTACGCTGCCACCAGAACTACCCATCGTTCCGAGTCGGAAAGAAGAGGCAGCAGGGATGAGGTATGTTTGAGATGATATGTATGCAATCAGATCAGTCACCGACTCCAGCGTCCGAGAAAACGAAGTAGACCGTGATATCGCAGCTGTTGAGTTGGGGTCTTGTGTTGCTGCCTCGGCTAGCCGTACGACGGATGCACACAACCTCTAAAGAGTGGTCTATGAATCCAAAATGCCAGCGTGAACATGCTGAATGCGCACCTCGGGCTCTACTCTGGGAGATATGTGCCTCTCGACCGAATGAGGAGAAGGGTCAGATAATGATTCGTTAACTGTCTGTTCTGGATTGTCTAGCTGATTAGAGGCGGGCTGCATGGTGGTTTGTTTCGCAAGGCTCGTCAATTCCTTATTCAGTTGTTCAACCAACTGGAGGCCATGTATCCGTAGACTATGACGAGATTCGAAAGAATCATTCAGAAGTGGGAATATGTAACGCTGGTGATGGCGCAGTCTGAGTACTGGAGAAGACTAAGAAGCGATGGGCGGCGATGAGACCGACCTGGTATAGCATCACGCCTACCCCAGCAAGCGCCCCACCATAGCCCAAGGCCCGAGTCAACGACACCAGCATCCCCGGAAGTTTTGAGGGCGGGGAAGGTGGAATGTATGTCTTCGGAGGAACAGGGGGAGGCGTTGACTAAACGGAAGTTGAGTGTGGCAAAGCGCTGTGAGGACATGCAAACCTGCCGTAGGTTCGTCGATTAAAGAGTCGACTTCTTCATGGGTAAGCCCCTTCGACTCCAGAAATCCTCTCTTCTTTGAAACATCCGAAGCATGAATAACCGGCGTAGCCAGGAAGTCGCGGGCTTGTTGCAGCAGCATTGCTCGATCCTCCGGCCACACTTTTGGGGGTTCGTCGGGAGTGTTCTTTACATGGTCATTTCCCACCACGCCTGGGGACCTGGGATGAGATGCTGAGCCCTCAGAAGAGGGCGCGGCCATGCTACTTTCATCCCCTGCGCTCTCCCTGTCAGCTTTGCTGTCTTCGTCAGCCATTTGGGCGTGGGAGTCCCGTGACCTTGGTCTGTCGCAGGATTCCAATACTGGCTGGCGCTATAACTGTCCTATCGAGTGGGTGTAATTTACCATTGCTATTATGGAGCATAGGTCTGCTCTAAGGAAAGTGGTGAAGGACTGCTCTCAGAGAGGGCTATATGTGGCCTCGAAATGGTCTGTGATGTAACTCTTTAGGCATATTTTGTCTAATGACTCAGGATGCAGGGCATCGGAATTGCTGCTGTCGTATCATACATCGCTGCATTCCGATACGTCGTTAGGGCGACGGTTTTCGCTTGATACGGTACTGTCATCCGGGACTTATAAGGGGAACGGGAGCATGCAATCCATTTCCACGAGCGAAATTGGCCTATCGTCAATACATGATTCTTTAATGGACGAGAGCTCTCCTGTCTCTGACGCGTATGAGGAGCCTCCTATAACAGAAGAAGAGGAGGATTTGTTTATGATTGCGCGTGCGCATTATGATGCCAAGGAGCATGAACGCGTTGACTTCCTGTTGAGGAATTGCAAACACCCAAGAGCGCGATTTCTTGGTTTGTACTGCCGATTCCTGGTCAGTACCACAGTGACTAGTACCCTTTCTTAGCGTACACAATTTTATTGATTTAACATGCACAGGCGAGCGAGAAGAAAGCGTACGATGTTTGGATGTCCCGCAAAGGTTCAAAGTTAGACAGCTGAAACAGACCTATAGACTAACATCGTTTGCCTAAGAGGTTAAACCTGACATACGCAATATCGATGCTCACCCCCCTTCACCAGTGAATGACGACCTAAATGACATCCTTGAACAACTCGAAGGCGTCATCGATCCATTTTTGATCTTCCTGTGAGGCTTCTTGTCTCATGTATGAGACGTGCCACCGATGATTTATCCTCTAGAAAAGGTGTTATACTGAAGGGTCTAATACGGAAAGCTGAAGCTCTCGAATGCGCGGTGCTTTCGCTACGGGCATACCCTTGGAATTGGAGTTGTTGGACCTTACTTCGTGAAGTGGTAGATGACTATGATGTGGTAGCGTTCCATACCCTTTTGTAACGCTTATCACTTCTCAAGACCAGCTTATTTGTTTCAGATCGACCGCTTACGCCCTTTATTACCAAAGCACCCAATGACGAAATTGTTCATTCTGAGTGTGATGATAGATGGACATGCAATGAGCCCAGATTTGGAGGAAGAACTCGACGAGATGCTCCAATTGTTTCCCGAAAGTCTGTATTTGAAAACATTACGTGCGCGTTATGCTTATAGTCTTCGAGGTTTGTTCTCTCTCTCAAAGTCTTCATCAGCGTTCTGACTTAAGCAATGTTATTGTAGATTATGAAGCGGCTGTCAAACTGTTTGGTGAAGTGCGGGAACTGGATCCATTCAGAACCGACGACGTTGATACATACTCAAATATTTTGTACACGATGAAAAAGCAAGCTGAATTGAGCCAGCTTGCTCAACACTTCATTGGCGTCAACAAAGATAGACCAGAGGTTAGCCTAGCAATCGGTGAGTGTGTGTGACATCGTGTCCTCAGTTAGTGTTCATGGAGGGCCCAGGAAACTACTACAGTTTGCGGAACGAGCATGAGAAAGCTGTCAAATACTACCATCGCGCTGTCAATCTGGATCCGACCTATGGTGCTGCGTGGACGCTCATGGGTCACGAGTATCTGGAGATGAAAAATTCACATGCTGCGATTGAAGCTTATCGGCGGGGAGTTGGTGAGGACAGAAGTGCTTACCATCAATCAGCGTTTCAGATCGATGACCATGCATAGACATCAATAAGAAGGACTATCGGGCGTGGCATGGCCTGGGCCAAGCATACGAGCTATTGGACATGCCTCAATACTCGTTGCATTACTTCCAGCGGTCCACAGCATTAAGGTGGTTAGGGTTTTTTCGGCTTGAGACAATGCTAATGGTATACTGGCAAGGCCCTACGACATCAGGATGTGGAAAGCTCTGGCGAAGACATACCACTCCCTCGAGCGGTGAGTTAAGGTTCCTGATCCCAAAAATTGCGGCCGTTTATGTTAAACTCAGTTATGCCGAGGCTATCGAATGCTATAAGCGTGCGTTGATTGGAGCGAATAAGGATGACACCAGTTCGTATCATGCACTGGCCCAACTTTACGAGCAAATTGGAGAAGCAAACGAGGCCGCAGCTTACCATAGGCGGTGCGTCGACATCGGCCAGCGAGCCGGCAAGCCAATACACACGTTCTCAAAGGACGCAATTGAGCTTGCTCGGTACGAAATGCTGAAAGGATGGTGGTCAAAAGGACCTTTGCCTTCGACACTACATCCGGATATGTTGCCTGACGCACCTCAACCAATCTCGAGGTTTGAAGGGGACATGATACTGGCTAAAGAATATCTAGAAATGATCGCCACCTCAAACTGCGCGGAAGTCAAAGAAGCAGAAGATCTCCTCAGGGTTTGGAAGAAGTTTGTCGTCGAATAGACTCGCGATGTGCTATCGAACAGCGTTTAGTAGTAGGCGTCATGCTGGGCAGCTAAACCAGATGAGTGGAATTGTTTGATATATCAGCCGAAGTGCCGTCACAAGCCCAGTACCGAAATCTGGAAATAATCAGATTGCCATTTCATCGTTGCAAAGCTACAAGAGGACATCAATGCGTTAATATATTCGCTCCACGGCGGCGATCATATCGATCGCTATCACGGTCATTCCTTCCGTATTCCCTGTCATCGTATCGGTCACGTCCGCGAGGGCTTGCTGATCTTCTACGCTTACGATCCAAGTCATCAGTATCTCCGTTCCGTTCAGATGGAGGCTGCCATCCACCGGCGCTCTCGTTTTTGTTTGAACCGTTAAGGCGGCGCTCGAGACGCTGACCGGCTTTTAGAGACGATACCAGTTCTTTGGAGGCAAGACGAAGGTGCATGAAGTTGCAAAAACCACCTCGGTTGCATTCTCCATTCTCATTTTGCCGGCAGCATGCCTCACGAAAATCTGTGACTGGTGATAATTCAGCATACAATGGACGACCTGAGGGAAGATTAGTAAGCGTGCAATGCCCGATGAGCACAGAATGCCAGAACATACCGGCATACCAGCGACTATTGAGCTCGTCCACGGCAGCCTGTGCTTCAGCTTCCCACTCATAGCGAGCATAGACATTGCCTATAAGATGATCTCCAACATTGTCACAGACGTGCAACTCCAATAAGTGCCCATACTTGGCCAGTTCGCTGAGCATAGTGAGATTCGTAAGTGCCAGAGAGAATCCGGATAACGTACCAGTAAAGATCCTCGTATACAGCATCGAAGTTGTCTTGCAACTCTTTTTCTGTGAACTTGGCATTTGGGTTGTGGGCAGGATTGTGATACACATTTGGAAGCAATATGGTCTGAGAAAATGGCGGCTTTATATGTTTTCTAGAACACCTATCCCCATGCCGGCAGGCTCCAATCTATGCGGGGGGAGGGTTGGATTGGTCAGCGGAGTTCGATGTCGAACGCAGCGTCCGCCCACTTTGTAATAGAAAGAACAATTGACACGATCTTGCTCTGTTAGATAAACGAGGCATTAATGGGTCCACATAGCATCAGATATGTGGTCCAGGACACGTACCAGTTCCAAAAATTGAGGCAAGATGATGAGCCATGGCTGGACTGCAAGTTCGCCGGATGCAAAGTCGGTTGTCCCTGAAATTCCTCACCTCCGGCGCTTCCACCTTGCTCGTCAGGCGACGTCTTATGTCTTCCTCCACGAGACGACCGGTGACACCCACTGATATTACGCGTGAAAGTGCCCCGATCATCAAGTACCGGTGTCCCAATGGACGGATTTTTGCTCGCGTATTTAGAGGTAAGCTTTGCCGCAAACTCCGGCAGGTGAAATAAATCAATGCATATGGCATACGTTGCCTTCAGAGGATTCGATTGAGGACTGCGAAGCAGTGATTCGCAACAAATTGGGGCTACCCCCGGAAACAAACCTTCGCCTGGTTCAGCTTCAAAATGGAGAGCGCATTGACTTAGAGGATGGTAAGAATGACCGTATGCATTTAATTCATTTTGGCAGTTCATAAATAGCAACGCAGAGGAAGATTTCAACGCGTTGAAGGAGAGCTCATATTCGAACTACTTCCTCGAACTCGACGTCTCGTTCGACGACACACCTTCCAAGTCTTCAATTTCTGTCGATGGCTGTTCCGAAGAAGTGCCCATGAGTAAGGCAAGTGCTCAGCAAGGTTCTGCAGCTGTGCTTCACTCAACTTTAAACACAGCGTTTTGCCGCCAAACGCCCGAGAACGTTTTCGCATATGGTGCCAGTCGACCCGGGGCACATGGAACCTTCCCATTCGCGTAACAAATCAGCACCCCCGTCTTTAGCAAAACAAAAGAAAACTCCTGAGGTTTGTTGAAGCTGTTTTGTGTTACACCGCTCATTCAGGCTCTAGCCAACAAAGGTGCGCAGAAGCAAGAAACGAAACGAAGTCCCCGGAACCCCCAACGGGAAACAAAGAAATGAAACCATTCCACCTAACCCACCATCAACTTCGGTTCCACCGAAAAAGAAGGTTGGTTTTGATTTATCTGACCTTCTTTCAGAGAACTCATGTGGAATCCACAGAAGGGAAAGCAAGAAGTCACTGGTCAATCGTCCAATGTTGATGTAAACGGGTCTCATCTCCATATCGTGTCTTCCCCTACCCCACGGGGAAAGGGTGTGGGCGACACAAGCAAACTAGATAAATCTCTGGCAAAGATTCTTGCTGACCTAAATTCCATGTCACGAGTCTTACCAAATCGCAGCCTCTCGCCCGGCACTCCACCAGATGACTCAATGATGTCTTTGCCCGTCAGGACGAGTAAGAAGAGGCGTAAGTGAAGCCATTTATCGGTCGATTTTTCCGTCCTTTGAAATTGTATTACTGGTCCCATAGGGGTCACAAATAGACAAGAAACCTCCGCCCGTGAACCGTCTGCCCAGGATTCTAAGAAGTGGAGAAAAGGCCCGGGAGGGTCCGTCAGTGGGGTGTCTGGTGATCATATTCCCTCCGAAGTCGGGGCTCAACGAGATCCAACACCTGAAGTTGATATTCGCAACGTCAGCACACGGGGAACGAGAAAAAGTTCAGGCAAACGTAAACGTGTTGATCTCGTGCAGCATGATAGTACTTCTACGAAAAAGAGGAAGAAAGAAAGTTCTTCCCTGGGAGTTGACACCCACGAGCCCCTTCAGACATCGGAAAACACCCCTGATGATCAGGACTCGGTCATTGTCAATAATCTCCTGGTGGGCCTCAACGCAGGTGCTATCCCGCCTTCACTCACTCCTGAAACGTCTCCGTTTGCTCTATCAGTGAAAGTGTTACAGAAGTTAAAACGCAAAAGTGGTCCAAAGACAGTCAAGGCTCCCAAGTCGCACATAGATGCCCCGAGTCCTACAACATCGCTGAATTGCGATGTATGCAAGATATCTGGTCACACCGAAGAAAGCTGCGCCCTTACGGGGGAACGAGGTCCCGAAGAGCCCAGACCTCATCCCTCAGAATTAACAAAGAAGCCGATTGATGCTCACGGTGGAATGGAGAACTTGGCTACGGCTAATCTGACAGCTGCGATCCTGAAGGACAACGGGGGATATCCTACATCTGCCGTTCTTCCAAGTGCTGATGACGACGCCGCAGGCTCCTATAAACATCAGACATCGGAGGAGCTGGCAACAGGCAACCTTCAGCTATCCGGAAGTCCTTTAATGACATCAGACGGCTTCAGTTCATACCAATTCAAACCTCCGCAGGCCCATGGTACCCATGGTACCTCAGCGACCTCGAGTGGAGTAGATCGCGCAGACGAAGTTACCGAAAGTGAGGACGATATGCAGACGTCTAAAATGCCGAACGCACATGACATTCCTCAACACGGTGCAGCGGCTACAAAGCCACGGATATCTCCTGAACGGATGACGGCGCGCGTTCTTGTCCCCGAATCAGAATCTTCTCAAGAGGATGAAATTCATGTTGGACGTCACAACGCTTCACAATCTTCCCAGCGGAGAACCAGGACTTCGGCTCTCCTAAAGCAGCTGCCAGAATCTCGAGTAATGGGATATACCACGGATCCTGCGTTCTCGGAGGCCGTACATGATGCCAATTTGATTGAAAATTGCACCCCAGCTGAGGTCGAAGTTGCTGCAGGTGATTCCGACACTGGTGAGCCGGAGAGAGGATCAGATTTATCAGTGGAACTTCCCAGCGGCACTGCGGAGTCTCCGAGGGCTGCAGAAGAGGTGTCGCATGCCCAATCACAATCGCCTCTTCCTTTATCAAATTTGAAGTCTTTCGCGTCTCCACGTCAATCTAATGCGCCAGCGAAGAGTCGTGATTCTGGAACGCTCCTGGCGCATAACTCGCAGTCCCTGCCTCAATCGCTCGGTGGGCACAATAGCAAAGTGATTTTATCGCACTCGAGGCGCGTGGAGCCAATCTCAGAGGATCAATTTGCTGAAATGGAGAACCTCCCCGCCATAGATGAGGCTAGGGATCTCCAACATAGACAGATTACATCCTCTAAAACTCCTCTGCCGGATTGTCAGGCTCCGCCAACTCCAGCAAGTCAAAATCGTGCGGCTGGAAATTCCTTGACAAGAGCAATTACTTCGGCAAGTGGATCCACTCAGACTGCTCTGCGTGTCAGAGGCTTGAAGACCGTGAGGAGGGCAAAGTCAGACACGGTCAGCTCTACGCCCAAGGTTGGGAGACGCATTCCTAGGGCCACTGTTCCGTCGCCTGAGGGTGGGGATTTGCAAGCGAGTGGGTCTCAGAATAGAGCTGATTCGGCTGCATCGAAAGCCCACAAGCCAGAACACCATGCTTCCCCGACCAAGGCGGCATCAATTGAGAACTTTGACCATGACCAAGATGGGGCGAGTTCGGACGTAAGCACCGGTGCCTCATTTTATGCTTGAGTTGATGAGGATTTGTTACAGGAACCTAGACGGTCACAAAGGAAAGTTGGAGCGTCTTCGGACAGAAGGGCAAGGCTCTCTAACGGGACCAATGTGGATGATGTATCGCTGCTTGTTAACCGTTCGAGCCCATCCCCTGTTGAGGACCTCGTCGACGCAAGTTTCTTAGACTCGCCGAATTCATCGCAGGCAATGGATAAGCGAAAAACCCCCCTTTTTGTCTCGTCGCCACCCAGCACCCAGCACCCAGCGATCCCTTCAACTCAAGACCACCTCCCGCCACGGATGCGTCCCGGAAGAGCTAGCCAATTGCCTCCTTCATCCCGCTGGCCATCTCTCATGTCGCTCACAACTGATCAAGTTCGCTCCGCCGTTCAACACCGTTGGAATGCTTCACTTGGGGGATCATCCCAAATGAATTCTCAAAATGCAATTAATAACGACGATGCCAATGCAGACAAATCCGATGAACTGGATGAATCGGATGGTGATCGTGAGAAAATTCCGACTTGAACGCAAGTGAGACCCCAGTCTTAGTGGAACTCGATGTGGGCACGGCCCCCAAAGATTTCTTCGCAAAATGCACTTGCGAATCTTCTGGGCTTGACATTGTGATTTATCCATGGACGCACGATGCACACTGGTGGATTGCCACATTAAGATCCTACATGTACATAGTAACCTCCTATACATCTCATGTTGCAATCTGTCCGTCGCATCCCCTGATTGTCAGTAACTGGTAGCCTGAGATATGGGTTTACCCAAATCAATGTTCCCAGGCTCTTAGATCTCGTATGCGAAGTCCACCACAACAATTTGGTCCACAAACTCACTGATTTGATCTAAACAATTTTCCCCTCAGCTCATCATCTGGGAGTATCATGGCAATGACATACCGCCCGGCCAAGGGAAGCGAAGTATTCCCGTGTATGTGTACCTTGTGAAAAGCATAAATGCAACACCTTGTGAGAGTGGATGACGAGGCAGACCAGATGTTGCTTTCAGACATTTGGATGCAGCAAACTGTTGCGCCGTCGGAGCGGGAGAACGATACGATAGTCAACAGTCCATTCTCCGATGGTGTGAAACGTTTATCATAATCGAGGGCATCTTTTAAGTGCAAGACGCACAGCTCGCTGGGCTGTTGGAAATAATTAAACATAGACAGAGGTCGACGAACTGATGGAAAACATACCGTGTTGAGGACAATTTTGAGTCCATCATAAGCCAGGTTTGAGATATGCTTCCCGGAAAAGAGTATCCAAAGTCCCATCTTGTCGCCCCATTCAATAGGAGAGTCTAATGCCGCCTTATCCAGGACATCGATAACTTCGAGCATGTTTTCGACGTATAAGATGAGCCCTTCTTGACTGACTGCGACGAAACTTCCACCATCGGGTGAAACGTGCACCGCCGTGAAGACAACCCCATCTGCCAGCTCTCGAGCAATAGGGAAAGTCCCATTTGTGTCCGTGATCCATCGATGTGGGCTAATATCTGACGTGGGGTTCTTGAAAGGAATATGGGCTCGCGATGAGCAGAGTCTTGTGTCGTTCCATAGCGACTCTCTGGTGAACTCAAATACTTTACGACCTGCCTTGGGTGGCTTAGAAGGTGTTGCAATTCCATCCTGGGAGATATTGAGTTCAGGAGCAATTTTTCCACGCTCCAACACCACCAGCCGGTCACTGAGTGAGATGAAGACATGCGTAGCACTCAGCTCCACATAGTTGATACGGTCAGGCCCATCGGGGTTCCAAGCTCCACCTTCAAGTCCTTCAGATCCATCGATGGGAAATTCCTCAACAATTTCTCGGGTCGGTACGTGCCAAATGACAACGCGACGGTCATGCTCAGAAGCAACCAATAAAAGAGGGTAGACAAAGCGATATGCCCTAGTCCGGATAGGGTTCCTGAGCATTCCGAAGGGGACCATACACCCCCGGAAGGGATTCTCAGGATCGTTCTCAAAGTCCACTGCTCCCTCTGCGTTTTGCTGTTGCTCCAACGTGGGTTCGCATGGGACCTGAAGATTAGGCAACATGCTGTGTTTCACCCATACTTCGTGACAATTTTCCCCCCGATCAAAGATAGCATATCCATTTGAGTATTCTATGTGCGCGAACTCGCGGACAGCTTCCTGCTTGTCCAGAATTTTCGGTTAATTGTGCGGCGATTACTTGGGAAGGTCAACTGCACCTGATACATGCACCACAAGTCCTTATGTGTGGATGCACACCGAACGAAAAGTCCTCCTAAGCGCAAATGGGCGGAAGGATCTCCGTAAAGGAAGGGATCCGCTCACCATCATCTGAGGTATTCATGATCAAGCTCTCGGAGCTGTCGATCTTGATACGATGAGGAATGTTGCGCGTAAAACTTGACCGTTCTACGATCCTCGGTCGAGGCGGATGAAGGCTATCCCCCATCCTCCAATAGCGGTCCAGCAGCACGTTGTACTGGCCTAGTTCAATCTCGTGAACTCATAACACACTGAACACCTGTTCATGCAGCTCACAAAAGCCTTTCCAGGAAACAACTCCACGTAATTTTTGCGTCTCAGTCTGATGCTCTTTTATAGCTTCCTCCAACTGCTGATGCGGTTTCGCAAATCCATGCAGTACGCAGGCTGAATGGTACAATGTCGATTCATGGGTCAAGAAGAAATTGGACCAGAACCTCGAAAGCAAGCGAATATTCAGCAAGTCAAAGACCCCCAGCCTGTCGGCGATTGCTAAAAGAACCTCCGAAGACAAATGTTCGAGTTTCATCGGCTCGGCAAGGTGTCAGTCTGAGAGCAGTTTCACATCACGTGTCGCGTGCACAGCTTCCTAGATTAAAATTTAATGGGCTCGCAGACCCCGGCTCTCCCCCGACATGAGCATCACACCCTCACGGGCCATTCTGGGCCCGTTAATATTGCAGTATATGCCAAGGGGTTTTCCAAGTATGCTTTGTCTGGAGGTAACGACAGGACGATCAGACTTTGGAATCCTGAATTGGGTGCCGAGATAAAAGCATACAAGGGACACGGCTATGAGATATTAGGCATTGATGTGTGAGTAATGGGGAAATACTAGTTAGTTCTTTCTCATGGGTCTGACGTCGTTCGATATTGGCGGCCGGAACAGGACATCTGATAATGCTCAGTTTGCCTCTTCGGGCGGTGATCGTGTCGCGTACCTTTGGGATGTCACTTCGGGGCAAACCATCCGTCGTTTCCAAGGACACATGGGGAAAATAAACGCCGTGCGGTTTGGCGGTGACGGTGCTATCCTTGTCACTGGTAATATGCGCACAAGATCAACAGGATCGATTTTTTGATTGTCTGTTTCCAGCTTCCTACGATCGTACAGTGAAGATCTATGATTTAAAGTAAGTTGGAGTAGAGCCGAGCTCAAGTTGATGATAATCGACCTATGGAAGAGCCCAGAACCGATCTCCGATACAAAGCCTTGATGAAGCTAGTGATAGCGTAGCCTGCGTTTATGTCAGTGCTGCGGAGATTGTCACTGGGTCTGTAGACGGCCACGTTCGGACGTACGATATTAGGAAAGGAGAGTTGAGGTCGGACTACCTTGGCCGTGAGTCCCAGAGCATCCATGATGTGCACGTAAAAATAACAATGACGAACAGATCCCGTCACCTCGATCCGACCTACGAAGGATGGATCAACATATCTCGCCACCACGTTGGACTCCAGCATCCGTCTCATGGATTGCGCTAATGGAAGCGCACTCAATACATTCAAAGGTCATAAGAATGATTCTTATCGAACCAATGCCACTTTTGGTTTTGGAGAGGCCAGGATTGTATGCGGAGACGAGGACGGGCGGGTGTGGTCGTGGGATTTGCTGACGGTACGTGCTTGAGTTATGTATTTCATCTCCTGCGTGAACCACGTCCCATTGTCCTGCCAGGGCAAGCCAGAAAATCCAAATCCGCCACCCAAGGCACACAGCAAGACTATCACTTGGACAGAACAGCATCCAACCAAAAGGGATGAGCTCCTTACGGCCAGCGCGGACGGGACTGTGAAAGTGTGGCGCCACCCATCCCCTGTTTCTTCATAGCCCAGGCGCATTGACATATGTCAGTTCTTTGTATCCAAATGCCAAAACGGGTGTTGTTGATATTCTCGTGGACTTGACACGACGGGGGTCGATTAAAAAGCACTTAGCTGGGCGCGTGATAACCTTCACATTGCTCGAGCCTTCACTTATCCGCTCATTGGCTACGCTTGTCGATTGACAGCCGCAGGATTCGTTCCAATCTCAGTTTCCCCGTCCTGCGTTAGACATGAGGAAGTGGGGCTAGTTTTTGGTGTCAAGACCAATCTCACGGTATAGTTTGGAAGCCATGACATGTACTGTTCACGTTTGGTTGCTGTTAAGAAACCATGATGCTCTCAAACCTCCTGCAATCTGACGTGTGGGTTCGAATTGACCGTAGCTCCTGAGGCTGTTCTCAGGTACATCATATTTCCCGCTCCTATCTGGGGTGGCACTGGCGCAGAGGGAGCGTGGTGAAAACCTGCCTCAATGGATTAAACATCCTGTCGTGTTTACGCCACCACGGTAAGGCTCTGGCACACAACTCTTGTAGCGTGGCAGTGCGGCATCCATGCATGTGGTGTATCCGGGTGAGTGAGGACGCGTCGCGTTAGAATTGAGCAGCATAGAAATACGTGTAGAATAACGCTCCAGAGGCGCAGGCTATACCATAAAATAGAATTCCAACCGTAATGACTGAATATAGCGGGCGACTAACAAAGGGGGACTAGTAGGGATGTACTGGGAGGAATAGATGAGGTAGGATAGAGTAATGGCTGTTCCGTTGACGACGAAAACGATGGAGGGCTAAAATTGCGAGCGACATTGAACGGGTCGGGGCTCGGGTCGATACGTAAACCAAAGTTTATCGACCCCAGTACCGAATCTGAAGGGCACGAAAGGTTTAATAATGTAATAATGAAAGGAATAACAACGAAAATCGATGATACAAGGGCGTGGAAATGCGTCAAGCACAAGGGTCAGAGCGTTGTCGAGTTCATCAATTAGAAACTTCATGGATGAAAGTTCGTGGTGGGACTGCTGGAGGGAGGGTGCTGCTGGCTTTCAGCACTGCTTCTCCGTAGGCTGGGTACTCGGATCCCCAAGTGTAAGGGCCAACTGCGCGGTTATCGCTACGCGACTCGCCCGTTGTCCCTGAGGAACGTTGACGCAAGAGGGGATCTTTATATATACCGGATATCATTTGTTGTTGTTGAGGCAGTACAGCTTCTGGAGAAGGCACGTAATAGGGCTGCGGTGCGTGTTCGTAGGATCGTGGCGTGTACGAGTGCTCAGGGGAGCCTGCAGGCTGCAGGGGCGAGTGGAAAGGCGCGTGGGTTGGAATGACATCCGCCTGTGGGGAGTAGTGATGCTGCCGATGTGCAGATTCGGCGGTGGGACTAGAAGCTGATCCATACGACATGCTGGGGTCTTCAGAACGCTGTGCACCCGGGCGATAGTAGCTGCTGACTTCCGAATATGAGCTTTGGTATTGGACTGAAGGTGATTGTGTCGATTCATGAGCTGGATACTGAAGAGATGGGTACGAAGGTTGTTGAAACGACTCGGGATGATACAGGTGTTGTGCGTGAGGAGGAGGGTAGGTTTGTGCACTGTGTTCAAACTGTTGCCGTGACGACCCTATCTGACCCTGATGACCAGATGCAAGGCGGTTTGGGTTGCAGCTGGCCGTACGGACGACTGATACTGTGACGAAGTGCTCGATGCTTCTCCAGCGGAAGATTGGGTTGGATATGCCCGTTGAAGATACTGTTCCATCTCGGCCGTAAATGAGTCCGGTGAAGAAGATGATCCCCTGACCGTCGGATGTTCGGGTGCATTTCGCATGTATGTAGCAGTAGAACGTAAATATTCATTTACATCCTCCATTCCAGGGCTCAAGCTAACGACGCCACTGGGTCCGGACACGCTGGTCTGGCGACTAGCTGAATTGCTTCCTGCTGGCGATTGACTGGAGAAAGATGTCCGCGGAAACTCGGTTGATTGTCTTCCGGCACTCAACGAACGGTAAGGGTGGTGGAGTCCAATCGGCAACCCAGCGGTCGAGGGTCCAGCTGGCGCTGGCTGATGCGATTGCTGGGAGGAGGGACTTCGCGATAACAGGTTCTGGGTCGTGAAAGAACGTCCTTCAGAGTTTGAAGTGGCAGAGCCCGAAGATGCAATATGGTAGTGGAACGATTGGTGTTCTGGTGAGGTTTCAAATGGAGCGGTGGAAAAATCTTCCAGCTTCACTTGCGGGCTGCAGGGCGGATCTACGGTGGATGGATGGCCTGCTGGTGAGTCCTCCTCCAGTTTAACACCATCCTGACAGACAATCGGGTCGAGTAGCGCACCTGTCGTAGGCGCGTATGACTGCGTATGCATTAGCGGGAGTTAGTGATGGCGTAATTAACAAAACACCACGCTACTTACATATTTCTTGATCACTTTCTCTAGAGCGGTTGGAATGATCTTCCATGGAAAAACTTTCAAGTCCTTCTCAATATTCCGAGGTTTAGGTTCTCCGAATCCCATAATAAGAGCGAAGAAGGAGTCAATCCCTTTTCCTGGCTTGCTCTTCACTACCGTTTGAGGCTTGAAACCTTCTAGATTGCGTCGGATCCGATTCTTTTCCTCGATGCTGAAAGGAGAATCAATGATCATCTCGAGTAGGTAGATGAGATCGACTGAAGTAATAAAGCATTCGTCCGCATCGTCCCTATAGATGCAGGACACCACGATCGACGTGGGTTGGTACTCCTCAGGTGGAATAGACTTGAAAGCGAGATGAACGTCGGCCCCATCCTGACGACGCCAAAATTGCACGAGTCTCCGGCGACTAACAAAATCTTTCTCCGACCTTACAGAGGAACTACTAAATACGTATTGACCAGCATGTGGAAAAAAGTACGCACCATCCAAGAGCCATGTTATTCAAATCCCCCTTCATCAGAAGTCTAACTGGGTTTCTCGTTGTTCTTCGAGATGATAGCTGGCTGGTTCGAATTAGTGTAGACGGGATCAACGGTTTCCCGCTAATTGAGGTCCTAGCTCCAAAACCTCGTGGCCTGTGCGTACTCGCTGTAGACGAGGAGGCTTCCTGTTCCCCCTCCATTCCAAGATCGGGTGTGGACGTATCTGCAGAGTCCTGAGTCTGAACTGCAGAAGCTCTTCTTGAACGCCTCTGGGCGAGTGGAGTAGGTTTCCGTGGTAACGGGGATCGTTCACGGTATGGTGCTTGGGTCGAGTGGGGCGCTTGTGCCACAGGGGGGGTGGTATCGGTTTCTTGATGAAGAGGAAGGCGCATGCGCTCCTCAATCGGGCTGTTCTGCATCGCTGATGAGTCATGACCCGAACTAGGTGTTGAAGGTGGCGCTGGAGACGGGGTAGGGATATTGCGAAACATAGATGGCGCAAGCGCGTGCGGCATTCCCGGCAACGATGTCGATCGAGTGTCGAGAGACGGAGGCTGGGGTCTTATGGAGGAATCGTGGTGTGTGTACTGTGGAGAAGTGAACTGCCGATCTGGGTTTGGCTGCTGAACATGTTGTGTCAAACCCCGGTCAACAAATCGAGAATTCTGTACTTTATCTCCCCTTCTCCCCTTGGGTACCAGCTGTGAGTACGGCCCAGAAGGGGAACGCACGGCACGGTCTTCCGAAATTGGTAGGGGGGCTGTCGTGTTTCTCGGTGCTGCTTCTACAAGCAATTTAAGTTGATTCAGTGCATGAGGTGCGGGGCGAAAGCGCTGAGGAAGAAACGCGAACAGGGGGATGCTGAAACCTACCAGTATCCCAATACATGAAGACACCGATTTGGGCAGTGTCCAAAACAGCGTGGTTTGCCGTTAGCTGAACGCTGACAGGAACATGCGGCAGGGTTGACTGCCGCTTTGGAATAACGGATTGCAGCATAAATTTCATCTGCGAACTTGGCTGATGCAAATCCAACGGCTGCAATGCAACCAGAGTGTCCAGGGGGTAGTCACCAAAACATATACGAAAACCGAAGGGAAATGGTATCTGCGATTGGGTTGATTTTCCTTCCGAGGCTCTCGAGGCTGCGAGGTGTATTTGCCGTTGTAGATGGGGAGGGGGGACGAAGTCGAGACGTATCGTGAGTGGAATATTTGGCTCTCCCTCCTTGGGATGGAACTGCGTGATAGACATGGTACGGCGAGAAGATACGATAGGTTCAAAAGGCGAAGATGGTTCCGAATATGGGTCTTCATCGGTGCTCCGAGGTCCTTGCGCCCGTAAACGCTCGTCCGGAGCTCTGTCTGGAAGTCTCTGCCAAACCGAGAGATCAATTTCAGACGCAGAAGAGGGGCCTGGGGCAGGGCGGCCGTCTCCTTGCATCTCGATGAGGCTGGGAGTGATGTCTGAGATACGGCGCAAAGCTAAGGTGCAAGGGGGTATCTGGGTTAGAAGGCGTCCACGCAAGTGAAAAGGTAGGGGAGTGAGTCAAGGGGACGAAATGAAGGGTCTTTCCGCTTAAGATCGGGCGTACGCTGAATTAAGGACGAAAATATTAGGGATTGCAAGGAGTAAGGGCAATCGGCCTGGAGAATTACTTTGTGAGTTTGATATTTCAAAATTGCGACGCCTCAACGCCCGAAAGATGGCAGGGGATGTAAGGTAAGGTATCAAAAAGCGCCGAATGATTTAGTAAATCACAAAAACGCGTGCGATATGCTAGTAGAAATTAAGGTTTTAGGCGTCCAGGGAAAAACCGCTTCTCCAAACCTGTCCTTTGACAACCGATCGCCCTGACTGCACTCAGAAGACAGGCCGCGTTCACTGATAGCGGCCCTGTGGTCTCCAGGAGGATCAGGTGCGCTGACGAGGCGTGTTTCGACGATGGATCGACTGAATACAAAGCCTTGCACCAGGCGTGAGGACTGTACTCAATTCGGATTGCATCCGAAAGCATGGCGCCGATAATAAAGCAAGACCCTTTTTCGTATGCATTCAGTGTTGATCCAAGCTTCCTCGGACGGGAGATCTGGTCACGGCCAGATCTATGAGCGCATGGGATCCTACTCATTGCACCTCGAGGACGGCAGCGATTTTGCTGAGCGTTTTTTCGAGGTCATCCGTTTTATTTTCGGAGAGCCTTTTCCCGTGACCCCCCGCTAATTTCCATATCGGGATCATTTCTGGTTGCCATTTTCAAAGATGGGCGCCCGCAGCGAGCATCAAACGACAAAATTGATTTTGACTCAACTTAGGAGATTTTCGTGACTGTGTTGTCGGTGGCAGCGCAACAACAGAAACTCAAACGGTTTTGCCCTTCAGGAGTTAAATCGTTCCGTGGCAGAAACCGAGTCGTTATTGAGCTGAGGCACTTTCCTATCGACATCCCAGGATGCCGTTATTTCTATGGGACCAGCGTCTCGTTCCCAGTGATGGCATCATCCCATCAGTGGAAACATTCCATATGGCACGGCACCCATTTCGCTTTCTGCTCTTCCCCCACTCCCGCTACTTCCTCCTTCCATACACGTCCAACAGGGGGAAATCGCCCAGTTCTGGAAAGCAGCGCGCCACACACCCCGCACGCGTCCGTAAAAAGCGTGTCATATGTAGAAAGCAGGTCCTGAAATATACCCAATGCGTCATTGGAGATCAGCGGACATCGAACCCAAAGAGGGATAGCGTAAACCATTGACCGACCAGCATCAAAGGAATTGAGAAGCGGTCATAATGCTCGGTTAATAGAGTGGTGAAAAATTGTGACATCTGGTTATACACAATATGATCAGACGGTTCGTGAGGGAGCTTCTATGAACATCCACGCAGAACACAAAGGCATCAAAACGACAGGCATACCGCCATCAATAAACGCGCCTTGATAGGTGAAATCCGGGGCACTCACTTTTTCGCCAAGTGCCAGGCAATTAAGTGATATCACCCGCAACGGAACCTCATCTGACACAGGCGGCGATAATCGAACGTAGACAATAGACAGATCCGTTACTTCCACACGCAAAACAATAGATTCACGCTTATAGGAAGGATTTTGGCGTATCACGGATATGATTTCGGTGGTTTTGGACTGTGTGAGCAAGTGTTGACGTGCCCTGGGCGGAAACCATATTCTCAACTTGAGAACTTTCGGACGAACCGTGCTCGCCGTTCGGATAAATTGAGGGAGGCCCAACAGAGTGATCCGCTTGGATGAAGGCAAAGAGGAGAAACCGGCAATTGAGTCGGATAATGAAGGAATCAGAGAAGAATGTGGTGGGAGTAATTGAAGACCGTTTTTGGGTCTGCGAGGTTGTACTGGGGACCTGTTTTTTTGGGCGGGAAAGTTACAAGGTTCAACTTTCTGTAACAAATTTCGGAAATATCGGCGATAGACAGGAGAACGAACCGAGTTGGTGGTTTCTGGACACGCGTCGTTGTGGGCGTTTGCGGTATCCCGATAGACGTATCTGCCTTCACCACGGCAGGTTCTTCGATAAACGGATGGTTCTTATCACTCTCCTCTGATGCTCGAATAGCTTTTTGAACCCCCGCACTCTTCAGCGTGGTGGAAAAGCTATTTAACTCATTGAACGCCCGCCGAATGTCGAGGGGATTGGAAGAAAACAGTGCTCTAGTCAACTTCCTGGTAGATTGAAGCTGCTTCTCGACATTGCTAAGGGCATCCAGTCTTTTCTGGAGCTCCTCGATTGACTCAATGGGCTGAGGCTTGGGCGTTGATCCCGCAGGGCTGACCATTTCCAAGATGTCAACCCAACGATGGTGGCGGTGCACCAATAACCCTCAACAAGTTGTTTCAAAATTCATCATCAGGTTGATATGAACTCTGGCGACCCAAGTTCTCAATGCAATAAAATCCTTTTCCAGTTGAGACATATAAACAGTTGGGTGCCTTAGGTTGTCGAAAGCAATATCCCACCTTGATTACACCAGCGATCAGCCTGATATCAATACTGCTGGCCAAATACCCGGATCTCAGGCAATTAGAACTTCGGAAGAGGTCGCGAGTCTCGGTGAAGGCACTAGTACCATGCATCCGCATGGGGCTTCGATACATATATATCGACTACTGTACTATTAGTACGCTGTACATTAACAGTGATGCGGAACAAGCATTACACCCTTGTCATCTTGATATGGCTCATATAAGCTTTGTAAGTTGTCAAGATTGCAAAGGAGCATCCTAATTCCGCAGAGCCGCCTCCACATCCGCGTCAAGTGCATGGATGAGTAAAGACTTGATCATATCCTCCGGAGTCCTAACCGTCACAAGCCAGTGCCGAAGGACTCGGCGCAGCTCAGTCTCATTCCGACCCACTGTGAGACTTTAAGCGCGGCGAACATCAGTCAAACAAGAGCACGGACAAAGGTATTAGTCGCTACTTACTATCCCCGCTCATTCAATGCCACTCGGAGCTCTTCGAAATCAAGACGATCTCCGAATTCCTCATGCGTAAGTAGCCGGTCATCGTCGGAAATGTAACCGAGGTGCCTCAACAGTCGTCGGTTAACTAGAGAACGGGGCCCTCGGTCCGACAACCCGTACACTCTGCAAAATTCCTTGGGATCCACGGCGTAGCCTACTATCAGAGAGACGTACCTGCATATTGTCCATGCTAAGTCATTGTCGAGCCCGGCTACACCACGTCTGGAAGTGTCGGATGGAGTTGATGTGTTACTCGACTCGAGGAAGAACTTGGCTTGAACTAAAGCTTCAGCCCTCTTCTCTTCCTTCCGGCGGTATATGCGGTCAGCTTGCGCTGGTAGGATTGTGGTCGAGGGAAGCATGCCGGGTGCATATAGAACGATGAGCGGAAGGGCTTCCTCTAGGATGACTAGAATGAAGACGAAGGGCACGAGTCTGGGATTACATCGCAACTGAATCATTCTGTAAGGTATGAAGGCAAATTTATACTCACTTGCGTAGATCTCTCTTGTGCGTTCTAATAAACTGGGTTTCCCATCTTGTCATTAACGGCTCTGGCTTTCCCGCAGCTTTGCCTTCTCTAATACGTAAAAGAATGGCCCGCATGTGTTGGTGATTCCGGTATTGTGCCCTTAAGCCCTCCCAATAGAACTTGAATAGCTGCTTCGCTTGATGGACCAATTTAGAGAGTGTACTAGCCCCTTCAGGTGGGGGAGTCAAGATGCCATGTCTCTCAGCGTTTCTCAGATCCTTCCCGACTTGATCCAATATGGGTGATGGGCCATTGGGAGGAAGAATAATCGTGGGTGGGGGTGTGAAATTAGAAGTTGGGAGCGATTTCTCTTTTGCGGATACGGGATGCTCAACATGGCCGGAAGGTGAGGATGGAGGAACAGCTGACGGGCTGTCTTTTATGGGGGCTGGGCGAAGCTCTATCTTTCTTGACTTGGCTGGCGTCGAAAGTGGGAAAGAGTCCAGAGGCACATCAGTAGTATCTTTCTGGGTGATTGAAGGCTTTGCGTTGACGGAACCACATGCCGGGCTGGTATGAAAGGAGCGAGTGTTTAGAAGGTGAAATGTTAGGAAAATTCTAGGGGCTGAAATGTATTGGCGGCGACGCGTCCGAAGCGAGGGGCAGTGACGATTCTTGCGCATCCATCCGATGCTAATCTGCGCTGTGCCGTGCGACTGAGTGCCAAGTCAGAGCAGAGCAAAGTCAGACTGTTACAGACCCACATATCTAGCCTTTGCTGGCGCCATATGGCCCGAATCATCCGAGGCCTTCCTGCTTGTGCAGCGACCCTATTGTTGGGCGTATTCGTAAACGATGGACACGCGTTCCTGACTCGTCCGTGGCGGCCGCCAAGTTGAATTCTTTTCAAAGAACACGTGACTACAGTCTGCAAGCCAAGCCACATTCAAAGTCAAAGGGCGCATCAACATCTTCTGGCGATGACGAGGTATCAAGATGATGATGATGATTGGGAGGATGATAAGGACCAACTAGAATCCTCCGCCGGCGAAGACTACGAAGAGGATGAGGATCACGTTGGGGACGCTTCGCGCAGCAACACATTGATTGGGGAACTCGAGGAGCCGCGACCTGCAAATTACTCTGGACAAACGCTATATAGTGGGCTTTTTTTTTTTTAATTCTATCCTCTTGCCTTAATTTTTTTTTCCATCAGGGATGATGATGGAGGACGACATAGACCTGGATCCCGATTATCAACGAGGTTCGTGGCCTATCCGCCTGACTCCCCTGCACGTTTTCTGATCCCCTCAACATAGCTGTCGTATGGTCTGAAGCCGCCCAGTCCAAAATCATTGAATCCTGGATAAAGCGTTTTCATGTGCCTGAGATTCTCTTTCGTTCGTGCCCCGGGACTTTTTATCCCCGACCTGTTCTAATTTCGTCTCAATAGGAGTCATCGCGCATCGGGACGGAGAGAGACGCGTTTGTATTGATGGGAAGCAAAGACTAACATCTCTGAGGAAGTGAGTTCTGTTTTTGGTTCACATAGTAAGATGACAAACTTGGTTAGGTTTTTCGATGGGGAGGTCGGTTTCATTCTCCGCGGTGCCGAAATTGTTCGCTGACGCCACTCAACTTCCTCATTAGATTCCATGTAAGTGCTGCCGCTGAAATCAGAGCGAATCTGCTGATTCGCGGTGTAGACATCGACGAAAAGACAGGGAAAAGGTATTATTACAAGATGCGAGCAGTGCACCAGTCGCGGAAGGTCAAGCCATTGGAACTATCGATTGCTCTGAAAAAGCGAATGGAGAATAAGCAGATTCGCTGTGAAGAGTAAGTGGCCAGAGCCGAGGTATATCTTTCCTGACTTTGGTCCTAGGTACCATCATATCACGGAGGCGCAGGAAAGAATGCTTTTCGAGGTAAGCAAGTTCCTCAAGCCACTTTCAATGGCCCGGCTGACCGTCCACTTTGTCCTAGCGAGTGCAAGTAAGCATCAAATATCGGTATTATTTACGAGCATCTCGATCTAACTCTACATCAGAGAGGAATGACCCTAACACCGGCAGAGAAGCTGAGAGCCCACAACAGCCCTTGGTCGAAATATTTGAATTCAGTTCTCCAAGAACAAGTCCACGACACCTCGCTCTCCGAATTAATCAGCTTCAATCCTGCGCGTAATGCCGAATTTTTGGCTCTTGTCCGTCTCTGTTTCATCATGGTGCATGGATTGGATCTTCCCCGACCGCCGACAGATGCTGCGTTGTCGACATGGCTCTCCAAAAAGGGTAGACCAACTGATTTTTTCAAAGAACAACTGAGAAAAACGATGGATATATTCAATTATATTGCGACTAGCAAGGACTTATGTTCTAAGGCTTTTTGTTCCAGCAAAGAGCTCAAGCCACCCAAGGGCGCCGTTTCCAAGGCTTCACGACCCAGATATTCACCAGTTGAATGGGTCTTAACGGCATTGTTAATTGCCAGACACACGAAGGAAACCCCCCAAAAGTTGGCTGATGCCATCCGGAATTTCCGAGAGGAGCTGAATAGGTTTCACTTTGGCGAGAAGAAGTTCAATGGAAAGGTGTTCGATCGCTTTCGCAGTTGGGAGTTTAGCGAGTTCGGTGAGGCAACTCCATCCCCGCGCAAACGCAAACGGAAGGGCGAAGAAACGGATGACGATTCGGACGATTTATATGAGGAGCGAGACGTTCTCCCTGCGAGTCAGGGCGTCGTCTCAGTAAAGGAGGTCAAGAAAACTGTCCGCAAGTTCTCATCATCCAGGCCACGGTCTTCTGGCTCTATCTCGACCCCTACACCCGCCAAGAGGCACAAGGCGAATGGAGAAGGGCTTATTCAGCTCATTCCTCCTATACCATCTTCATCTTTTGTGGGACATTCGATGGACTGGGTGACAGTTACCACACCACCGGTGAGATGTTGCCCGGGAGGTGCACCGCTTTTCGTTTCTGACGCTTCTTCATCACAGCAGATGGGGTTAGAGGGAGTTGACTTTGGGCAACCCAATGATCTTCTCATGAAATGAAAAGATTGCGCCGCGAAGCTTCTCGGTTTCTCGGCTTATGCTTTGCTTCTACCTTCGACGTCTTGATGTTTATAATCTAATTTTACTATCGTTTGTCAAGCACTTCATGTATACGCCTGCCACTTGTTCTGTGTGCGCTTGTTCCTTTGCTGAATTACGCAGAATTGCTTCGAAATGAGACTTGTGTGCTCCCAGTTCCCAGTGCTTACCGCGTCCGCTGCATGCTTCAGAATATCTGGCTGTCTTCTCGTACGTCGTACCCGCCTACGGCTCTTCGCATACTGATCATCGGCGTATGCTCAGTTTGCAGGTCTCAATCGTCGCCTTTCAAGCTTTGCTCCTGAACTATTTTCACATTATTATGTTCGGTACGTTGTCTCAATTTCTTTTTTCTAGCGTCTGCTGCGCGCATCGGCCTCCGTGCCTACGCTGTCAATCTTGCCTTAGCGTCCGCCGAACGCCTCGGCTCCCATGCCTGTACTCTATTCGGTGCATCTTCACGATCTAATTCGTGGTTTTTTTCTTTTTGCGCCTTTGAGTGTGCCTAGTTTTTTTGTTTTAACCTTTTTTTCGTTTTTCGGCTCTTCCTGAACTCGCCACCTCCGTGTATTTATGTAATCCGGGTCACTCAAGGTCGCGTCATGTCTGGAACAAACGGAGTTATGACGGAGTAACGGATTTAGCTACAAGCGCTTGATGTATCATGGCCAACCCGCCATCTGCCACGGTCTCTAGGCTTGCATCCAAATCTAAAGTCTCTCGTGTTAAGAGATCTTCCATCTCTGTTTCTAGCACTAAGTGGCGCACACCCTGGATCCAATAAAGATCCCACATGGCATCACGCGTCTAATTGAAGATATCTTCCCCTGCAAGCTTACACCTTGAAAGCAATAAATCTTTTGAGAAGAATGTGGGAGTGTTGATATTCAACTCAATCGGGCAGTTCCATTATCTGTCGATCCGGAAGTCATGGCGGGCGCAATTGGTGGTCTGTTAGAGCACGAATCTGACCGGAGATCCGTGGCAAAACGATCAAAAGCAACATGCCACATAGACAACAGCTGCGGTCTGAGCACTCGGGAAATGCTTCCACGCTGCTCACTCGTTGCTTAGCAACCTTGGAACGGCTCGCTTTATCCTGAGTCTCCAGGCGGTCGGACCCGCACCTGGATTCTCCCATGGCATATGTGCGGCATTGGCAACAAAATGTGGCACGCAATATTAATCTTATGACGCTTCCATCAAATCTGGCAACCGAGACGGATGTATAAGCATGTTTACATCTTTCGATCCTCCCGACTAGTATTCCCCAGCAAGACTCTCTAGTGGACCAATACCATCCAGCTTTGACGATATGCCGATCAATCACGCTATTCAGATCTACAAGACAGGCGGACCTGAAGTTATCGAGTTGAATAAGATCAGTTTCCCCTCACCGAAACCTGATGAGATCCTGATATCTGTCGAATGAGCTGGCGTCAATTTTAGTGAGGGCTTTTTCCTGATCTTCTGGTGTAGCTCACTTACAATATTTATGGTACTTCAGTTGATACGTATTTTCGCAGGGGAATATATCCAGTCACCCAGTTTCCGTATACCCTCGGTGCCGAATTAGCGGGAAAGGTTCTGGCTTTACCTACGTCTGAAGAAGTTTTAAACGATAAGGAGTATAAGTCACACAATCTCAAAGTTGGAGACAACGTTGTTGCGGTATGTTGCATGCCTTGCCTCTCTGCTACTGCGTAATAACGTCCCTACGAAACGCATTCAGCGTCATACTTCGGGGTTCTCTAGGTATCGAGCAGTTCCTTGGACGCAAGTTGCACCACTTCCAGAAGGAGTGTCCACGCGACTCGCAGCAGCAGCCTGTATCTCTGGCCTCACGGCCTTGACATTCCTCAAAGAAGCCTATACAGTCAAGCCGAATGATTGGATCCTCATTCATGCAGCAGCTGGTGGATTCGGCATTCAAGCTACTCAGGTAACGCGCCAAATCTTCCTGTCGTTTCTCTGTGTCATTCCGAATGACTTTGCCTTCCTCTAGCTTGCAAAGAAGTTTGGGGCGCGTGTCATCGGAACGGTTTCAACACCTGAGAAGGCCTCACTTGCAAAGCAGCATGGCGCTGATTACGTCATTAATCATACCAGAGAGAATGTCGTGGAGAAAGTATTGGAGTTTACAGGGGGTGCAGGTGTGCAAGCAGTTTATGACGGAGTTGGGAAGGACACGCAAGTACCGTTGCTTTCTATGGGTGACTCTTCCCAGCTTATCCAGAGGAGAATTTAGATGGGATGATAACTTCAGCCTCATCGCCAGGAAGGGAACGATCGTGTCGCTGGGAAACGCGAGTGGCGTCGTTCCTCCATTTTCACCACTGAAGCTTGTGACGAAGAACCTCAAGCTGTGTCGTCCAACGTATGTTCATCACTTCACATCCTCTCGTCACATTAATCATATGAATAACTCCTCACAGTGTAAACACCTACCTCGTCACTCCGGAGGAGAGACTCTCCCATATACCAGAATATTTCAATTATCTGGCAGAGGGAAGTGTTAAGGTTGTGATTCATAAGGAGTATCCATTTTCCGCTGAAGGGGTACGTCAGGCGCAGGAAGACCTGATGTCCCGTGGAACCGTCGGCAAATTACTGATTAAAATTCGCAACGACTGATGCAAGGGAAGCATGCTAAAAACCCATGTTTGTCAAGGCCGACGCTGCGTCGCGTATCGGCCCTCCTGTACTGTAAAGTCACCAACTTAAAAACGTAATTGCACAATCGGCTCAAATTTGATCACAAAGAGAGTCTTCGCCCCAAGGAGACCGGCAACGATATCGATATATATGGGTAGTGCTGACACATCAAACTACCAGTGGTCAGCGGGAGAGATTTAAGTATCAAATCTCCAAATATTCACGCCACCACGACGTGTATCGGTTGCCACAATCCGACGCTCGTCAAATGTCACAACGACAGGTCGCCCCTCGGCCACGGCCCGGCCTCCAGTATCCCCCTTGCCTTCACCGTCCTCGTCCGCCCAACTGGCGCCACCAACCTCGACAGCCCAACCCTCTTCCAGATCCCAAACACGCACAACTCCTTCCTTACCCAAGCTCACACACCTCCCATCCGTCACTTTTAACCCTGAAATACCGGCCGTATGTCCGTACAAATTATGTTGATAAGTCAGTGACATTGGCGTAGCATTCGAACTTGTTGAGGGTGGCCGATAAAGGCGGTAGACTTGCAACACTCCGTCCTCGCTCCCTAAGACAACCCACTTCCCGTCAGTCTGAACACCCGCCACCTTCCCTACTTTTCGATCCCATTGCTCCATCGCCAGCTCGGCCTGATGCCGCAAAGTACTGACTTTAGGCTCGGACTCAGGATCCTGACAAGATGAGGGGGAAGTAGGAGCCTCGAACCAACCGAAAGGCGTATTGGCAGACGCCATTCGAGTTGATGTAACACGGGCGAATGTGCCTGAGCTGGAAGAGCCAGGTGGCAAGGCCTGTTCGTTCAATGAGATGGATATCTCGCAAGCGCCAGCCGTGAAGTGGGCAGGGAAGACCGGCACTGAATAGGCGACAACAAGCTTAAAAGTCGATTTATAGGTTCGTGTGAGAGACATAGAAGAAGGTGGGAAGGATGTGTAGGAATGAAGCGAGTGTTGAAGTATAGGACGGAGTGGTGGCGAGGATTGAAATCCCCCGTCTGAGGGTGGGGAAACAACCGTTGGAAGATAGTACACTAGAATGTGAAAGGCTTCGGAAAGGGCAACAAGCAAGGGATGATGATAGGCGGACGAGACGATATTAGATTGTCTAAGACGAGGTGCAAAACCTTCCGAAGAATGGGCTCCCAGATGGTACAGTTTACGACTGAGACCGTGTTCAGGCCCTTGCTCCGGAACATGAGGGAGGAATGTTGTTGAAATTTCACAGACTGAAAAGACTCCGACCTCATGAAAATATGCGAGTCTCAGCACATCTGGAGGTGCATTTGGGGACTGATCTAATGCAATGCTGGTTACCAAGGATCGCTCATCAGGATCGCCCAGGCCCGGTAAGAGCCCTGAGACCGAGGGATCATTGGCGGCGAAATGCGCTACTACGCGGTTGCGGATTGCAATACTCGTCAATGGCCCAGACAATGCCGCAGCTCGTACAAGGTTGTCTTGGTCATGCGTCTGGTTGCCCTGAACATGTAATTTTGTGCAACGACCTAATAAAGCAATGAGCTCCACTTGACTTGAAGTTCGGAGTATCGGTAGCTCACCTTGCTCCCAGTTCCATGCAATCCTGAGGACAAACAGTAGGTGCGCACAATTTCAATACCACTGTTCCATCCGTGATGCGGTAGCTCCTGAGGAATGATATTTACCTATACAATGTCTTCCAATTTTGGCGATGAGCCTGTCGCAGCGTCAAGCCGGCTCGTCGCGGAAGTTTTTTGATAGCCCTTCCATTATGATCCTCGCCATCCGGCCCTAGAGAGGGGTAAAGAATCCCCCTCCCACCTCGCAAGCGTCGAGAAGGATGTTTCTCAAAGAAAAGGATCTTCCATAGGTGATTGTCTGAGCTAAGTCTGCAAAAAAATTTATTCACAGCTTAGGGTTGCCTTTGTGTTAGTGGTTGCACGAGATGAGACGTAGTGACCATCTACGTACCTTGTACTCGACATAAGTCGCATGCATCCAGCCAGGAAAAGATTTGTAGGACCACCTCTTCCACGACCGGAAAACCTTGCTGTTCCATCTTAATGGCTCGCTGTAGCTGGCGCACGCTAACTGAGTGATTGGCTTCTGCTCTTAACGCGGGACAAAGTCCCAGGCCTGGCTATTCAATTCGATCGGGCATTTCCGTTATCTGTTTATCTCCAAATTAATTATGGCTCGCTCGGGGCAAAAGAGCAAATGCGACCTTGCCCCGTAGACGACAGCCGCAGTTCTGGAAGTGCTTCCCTAACCATTAGTAAATTTGGGATGGCTCGCTTCACTGATCCGAGCGTCCGGTGTGGGACCGCACCGGATTCCGCCATCGCGTGTATGCAGCATCGGCACCAAAAAGCGGCACGCAATTTTAATCTCGTTTGAGAGCGTTTATGTTGACGATTGTGAGATGATTGAATATTTAAGGGGGGGGGGGGGGGCGAAGTTGTTGACCTCCGAGTCTCCAGACACTACTAACAGAATAGCAATGGACCTACGCGACGAAAAGACTTCTGGAAAAGACGCCATCGAGGAACTACCCTTAGCTCGCGACCAGGAGGAGGTGAAAGCTCGTGGTAGTTGTAAGAAGAGCGAGACACATGAAATCCCCCAAAAGTACGCCGATCTTTTGGCGTCGAGTACCCTATGTCATCCTTTGCACTCTTTCCCACCTTTTCCCTCATCCTTTGCTCATCACCAGCAACTTTAAGATTGGTACGTACACTTGCGTCTGAAGAAGTCTCCTACATGTCCTCATTGACAACTTGGTCAGTCTTCCCTGGCTTCATGCTGCGCGTCTTTCTTGCAGCCTTGGATCAAACTATCGTGAATACCGCTGTCCCTAAAATTGTCAAAGACTTCAATGTCTCGTCAGGTTATTCATGGATCGGATCAGCGTACCTCCTCACATCTGCCTCCCTTTCACCGCTCTATGGAAAATTGAGCGACCTAATCGGTAGAAAGAAAGTTCTTCTGGCAAGTGTAGCCATCTTCATGATCGGAAGTGCTTTGTGTGGTGCCGCACAGTCGTTTATGATGCTCTCTGTTTGTCGAGGTGTTCAGGGGATTGGAGGCGGCGGCATCCTTCAATTAGTCAATATAACGCTTGGCGATATTGTCCCCCTTTCTGAGAGAGGGAAGTGGATTGGATTCATCGGAGCTACGTGGGGAATTGCCAGCGTTCTAGGCCCATTAATCGGTGTGTTAGAGAACCCTCGACTGGATAGTCTCAGAGTGACGATCTGATGCAGGTGGAGCGTTGACTGACGGCGTATCATGGAGGTAGGTGCTGAAACCGAATAGCATCTCCCGAGCAAATATGAATCTCATAGGTGGTGCTTCTTCATTAATTTGCCAACCGGAGGAGTTGCGGCCTTCCTATTATCCTTCCTCAAAGTATGTGGTCCATGATTCCGCGGTCGCTACTTCCGAATGCCGGTATCAACACGCTATACAGCTCAACCCACATCAGCAACGAACAATGAAACAACACATTCAAACCTTCGACTTCCTGGGCCTCTTCCTGATTGTGACTGGGGTCGTCCTTCTTCTCTTCGGCTTTAACTCGAGCCAGCTTTCATGGAGTGCGTAAAGTCATTGGCAATTGGATATATCCGATTAATCTGGAAACTACCAGCCTCAGAGACGATTGTTCTGCTGGCAGTTGGTGCTGTCCTCATAATCTTTGGAGCTATTAATGAAGTTTTTACAAACCGGGAGCCAGTCCTTCCCCCTCGCTTGTTTGGGACTCGGACAACAACGGTCCTTCTTGCGAGCACATTCACCCATGCCGTATCTTTCTTCAGCGCGTCGTACTAGTATGTAATGGATATTGAACTAGCGCAATTGTACCCCTGAATTGTGATTGAATTTCCCAGCCTTCCACTATACTTCCAAATATTGGGTTCATCTGCTTTGTGCGTTCTGTTTTGGCCGTGGAATCGCCTAATTGACCTCACATACTAGAATGTCAGGTATCCTGATGATTCCGTACTCATGTGGAGCCGCTATCGTTGGCATCATATGCGGCCAGGTCGTCGCTCGTGTTGGGAAATGTCGGGAGGCGATATGGTTCGGTTATGTTGGTCTTGGTTCCCACCTTGTGGACGCATGAATCACGAATCCCGTTGAACTAGGGTTTTATGGCGTTAGGCTTTGGTTTAATGATAATGCTGGATAATGATTCAAGCATGTATGTGTCAACCTTCAAATAGCCATATATTCGTGCGCAAAAACTGACTCACAGTACTGTTTGATTCAGAACTCAGCAAGAGATTTGCCTCTGTATCGCTGCCATTGGGACAGGGTGTTTATTCCAAACTCCTCTCATCGCACTCCAAGCTGCTATGCCTCTCAAGGATATGGCAACAAGTACGAGCGCATTCACACTCCTCCGTATGCTTGGAGGAACAATAGGAATTTCGGTCGGAAATGCTATCTACTCGTCAGAGTTGGAGAAGAGGCTAAGACGGATCCCAAGTATTGAAAGTTTCTTGAATGGGCAAACGGTCCATCAATTGACTAATGACATCAGCAAAAGTCCGTTATGCTCCGGAGCATCAAGAGTGGCTGGAGCATGTGGGAGACAAAACAGCAGATTGGGCACTCCTGGAGCCAATAGTGTTCTCCTGGGAGGGGGTTCAGGAGCAGCTGGGAGTGGTGAGGAGTATGTAATGTGCCAGGAGCAGTGGGAGGAAAATTTTGGTCTCTAAAAAGTTGAAAAAAAAAATTTAGGGAAAAATCAAAAAAAAATTCAGGAACTATAGTGCCTTTAAAGTGCTTTCAGGACATATAATTATTTGCAAAATTGAGGAAGAAATAATGGAGAAAAATGGAAAATACTTTCGGAGACCCGAGAAATAATGAGAACTGGATTGATGGGAAAGTCTGAAAATTGAATAGGAAAGTGAGGGGAAGCCTTGTAAGCATTGTTATTTTCTGCTGTTCTGATTTTTCCTGATTGTTCTTGATCTCACTCCCAGCTGCTCCTGGACCCTCTGTTAGACACTGGTCCGGGGTCGGCACCGAAGGTCGCCGATGCGGGCCGCTATTGGCCGCAATGGCCGCGATGCCTTAGACAAGGCCCGAGGGTAGGGCATTTGGCCTCAGCGACTCTAAAGGAGCACTGTGCCCCCTAGTTGTCTCTTGGCCCTCATTTCGGACTCACTGGGGTTGCCTTGTTGGGGTCAGGACTTAGGGGTCGTGGTCACATCGATATTAGAGCTAAGGTACAATTGTCACGACCATGCATTCCGGCCCGTTAGCTGCCCGTCCCGATGCTGCCCGAGCCTATTCCCGCTGTGCGAGCGTGAGCACGAGCCCCGACCTCAGCCCTATCCTCCCTGAGGGCTCCCTGCTCACTCCCTCACTTGCCCCTAGGCTCCCCTACACTTGGCCGACTCCCCCACAGCCACACCGACCTCCCTGCCCCGAGTCCGCCTCTGGCACCGACCTAGCGTGACTCCGCGACATCGCCTACTCCGCTATGATACCATCGCCGCTATCGCGGCCCTACACCCCTTCGTTTATTTATCTGTTATTGTTTGTTTTGACCCTCGGTCATTGCCGGCCGCTGTGCGGCCAACCCCGCTCGTTGTTCCTATTTGCTTCCGGACCCTTCGGCCTTCGGCCCGGGTCCGCTTCTATTCATTCTATCTTCATATATATATCCTGTATACTACATTATAGTACCTCAGCTCTAATATCAATGTGACCACGACCCCTAAGTCCTGACCCCAACAAGGCAACCCCAGTGAGTCCGAAATGAGGGCCAAGAGACAACTAGGGGGCACAGTGCTCCTTTAGAGTCGCTGAGGCCAAATGCCCTACCCTCGGGCCTTGTCTAAGGCATCGCGGCCATCGCGGCCAATAGCGGCCCACATCGGCGACCTTCGGTGCCGACCCCAGACCAGTGTCTAACAACAATAAAGTATCATACAGGATATATATAGGAAGAAGAAATGAATGGAAGCGGACCCGGGCTGGAGGCCGAAGGGTCCGGAAGCAAACAAGAAGAAGGAGCGGGGTTGGCCGCATAGTGGCCGGCAATGACCGAGGGTCAAAACAAACAATAACAGATAAATAAAGGAAAGAGCGTAGGGCCGCGATAGCGGCGATGGTATCGTAGCGGCGCTGGACTCGGAGTTGGGCCGGAGTCGGGCGCGGGGATGATAGCGGCCCTGTAGGGGCCAAGTGGGCGGGGTAGGGGAGTCGCGCTGGGCAAGCAGGGAAGTGAGCAGGGAGTCCTCAGGGAGGATAGGGCTGAGGTTGGGGCTCGTGCTCACGCTCGCATAGCGGGAACGGGCTCGGGCGGCATCGGGACGGGCGGGGAACGGGCTGGGATGCACGGCCGTGACACCCTCCCAGGAGCTTTCAGGAGCTTCCAGGAGTATTGAGGAGCAGCTGGGAATGAGACCAAGAAGGATCGGGAAAAATCAGGACAGCAGAAAATAACAATGCTACAAGGCTTCCCCTCACTTTCCTATTCAATTTTCAGACTTTCCCATCAATTCAGTTCTTGGGTCTCCAAAAGTATTTTCCATTAGCTGCTCCTGGACCCTCCCAGGAGCTTTCAGGAGCTTCCAGGAGTATTGAGGAGCAGCTGGGAATGAGACCAAGAAGGATCGGGAAAAATCAGGACAGCAGAAAATAACAATGCTACAAGGCTTCCCCTCACTTCCCTATTCAATTTTCAGACTTTCCCATCAATTCAGTTCTCATTATTTCTCGGGTCTCCGAAAGTATTTTCCATTTTTCTCCATCATTTCTTCCTCGATTTTGCAAATAATTATATATCCTGAAAGCACTTCAAAGGCACTACAGTTCCTGAATTTTTTTGATTTTTTCCCTAATTATTTTTTTCAACTTTTTAGAAGTCCCTATTTTTCAAATTTTCCTCATTTCCCTCTATATCCCCCCCTCATCCCCCCCTCATCCCCCCTCATCCCCCCCTCATCCCCCCTCATTCCCCCCTCATTCCCCCCTCATTCCCCCCCTCATTCCCCCCCTCATTCTCCCCCTCATTCTCCCCTCATTCTCCCCCTCATTCTCCCCTCATTCTCCCCCTCATTTCCCCTTCATTTCCCCTTCATTTCCCCCCTCATTCTCCCCCCTCATTCTCCCCCGTTTCCCCTCCCCCATATTCTGCCAGCCCGAAAGTGATTAAGTTGCCAGATTAATCATATATCAGGCCATAAATTTTGATTGTGTATTGGTGAGTCTCAGTGTCCTTGATATATAGTATAGTGTTTGATCTAAATGTTAAGCAGTGTTGTGTTGTGTTAGTCTTGTGGTAGGAGGTATTCATGGGGGATCTTCCCTCTTTTTTTCCTTTTCATTTTCAAATGCTCCAGGAGCTCCCAGAAGCTTCTCACCCCTATACACTTTGAAGCATTTAAATTGTATTTACTGGATATGTTTGTGCACAAAGCAATGCTCCAGGCCCTCCTGGGAGTGCCCTGGAGTACCTAGCCAACTCCGGAGGAAATGGGCTGTTCCTGGACCGGCCAATCTCCTCCTGATTCTCCCAGTGCTCTTGATACTCCGGAGCACTCAGGAGCATAACAATTTTTTGCTGATGGATGTGAAGGGCTTGACTCAGATTCAGGTATGTTGGCTAGGCTTCTTACTCAGTTCCATTTCCAAATGATTTTCGTCCATAGCCCCCATTTCTCAGGTACCAAATTCTCAAGGCGTACACGAAGAGTGTGGCATTTATTTGGTATGTTGTTTAGGTTTGAGCTGCTATTTCTATATCTTAGATAACACGAATGTCCTAGGCTCGTCTACACTCCTATCATGAGTGTTACCTTTGTTTCTGGTGTGTGCTCCTCGAAACTGACTAGTACGCAGCTTATAAGCCGACTACTTCCAGTCCTGTTCGTTCGAGAATATTCGTTAAGCCGGAACATCGTTCGAACTTGGAGAGAAGCGAATCAGGCCGGTGAAACTACGCGTCCTGTATTAGAAATTACTGAGTCGCCAGCACCACAAAATGGTGCTTCATCTGCAGTTCATGCCTCTGAAGATGTCGAACACTGTTAAAAGCTTGGAAGAGCTAAATTAGTTTCTGTTATACTGATTTGTGCTGGGAAATTGATGATTGTCGTCATAACTGGTGGTGCGCTGTCTATCGCAGGGAAAGTCTGCTACTCTCCCCCCTTTGGAGACCCTCGGAAAGAGCTGACGGAGAGAAAGATATACACGAAATGGGGATGAGTCGATGTTCGAATAAGTTCCACTTCCTGCGTGTCAGAACCCTATCATCTGGCATAAGCCTGCCGAAACACTCTTGTAGCGCACCTGGGGAAAGGAAACTAATTTTAAAAAAATAGTGCCAGCATTTGGTGACAGGAAGATTCCCGATGCGTTCAGCATATGATCGAAGAGGTGCATAACCAGATGAAAGACTCCAACTTGGGACATGAAGCTCTGGGAACTGTTGAACGAAGAATAACCAACTGGCGTAAAGTGAAGCCACTGAAGTCAAGAGCTCTGCCACAAATATCCCACATATGTACATCTCGAGTGGTCTTGGAATACATTCAACCGAATACCACAGTGCACATCTTGCATCAGATTCCTTGCATGTTTAACAACATCATCATTCATTAGCGGGACTGCCCCCATCCCCGACCACAGACCGCCTTTATAAAGCGTAGAAGTCTGAGACCTAGGCCAAATCTTCCCTTAGAGTGTCTCCCTTGCAAGCCCGCCAGCCCCCGAGCCCAGTGACCGCACCGCGAAGTGAACCACTGGGCTGATGTTCAGGCGTATGTTGAATTGTCGAGAATGGTTGGAGGCGGATGATCATGTAGGGCGCCTCGTTATGTGTGGATTGCCCTACGCGGACGCGTGGACCGGGGATGGGAAAGAGACACATGATTAAAGGATGACGTGTTGAGGAAAATGAGTGACCCTAAACCTGGACGTGGAATTACCGGGAGACATATCACAGTTATGCTAATGATATCCGAGCGAGCCGGCCCAGATCGGGCGTGACTTGCCCATTGCTGGGGAGTGGATGCAATGGTGTACGCAATTGGAGTGCATACGGGATTGGATACACGTAGTTGTTTTACAGTTTGAGATGAAATTCAGGAAACACCAACAACACATCCTGCGGAGAGCAGAACGTGAGCGCTCATTCTTGGTTCGATCAAATGCTGATTTCCCGAACGAGAAAAGAGCGGACCGAGCGGCAAGCATCATGCAGGCGTAGAATTAAGTCCGAACCACGAAAGAAAGGAAGCCGACAGGGGAAACCAAAACAAGGGCCCCGTACGCAAAGTTGCTTGTAGAAGCCACCTGTTCACACAGACCATAGAGCTCAAGCGAGAGTACCGCAAAGCTGAAAAAGATTAGGTAGCCCCCATTGTGGACGACGACAAGTGTGCAAAATCAAAAGTTACAGTGCTTTAGTTGAAGGGGTGAGCGGACTGTACGGGGACTGTTCCGAACACTTCAGTTCCATCTCCAAAAATTTGCTTGGCGTCATCATACCCATTGCTGATAAACACACGCACGGTCCTGCACGGTCAAAACTCCAAGAATGACAACCCCAATGCCTTAGGATCGGGACAGAGGATCCCAAACTGACGTCGTGCGGATAAGAGCCTTAAAAGTTCATCACTGAGGGGCGAGTGAAATCGGATATTTCCTGGTAAAACACGCGAGCACACGACTCAGAGCCTATAAGAATCGGCGGAGTATACGAATCCAAAGATGCGCCCCGAGACGAGATGGTGGGAGGGAGACGTATCCATGTTTGAGTCCACAACGATACGCCCAGTCCCGTGTACAAAAGATCAGGATGTTCCATGAGTTTGCTTCGCCGAGTGCTGAGGTTTCCATTTTGTGGAGCCAAGTCCTCCACACTTCTTAGATTCGTCAATGTATTACAACGGCGACTTTCTCTGAGATGACGATAGCGCGAGAAAGACTTTGCGAAGACAGGAGAATCGCCTAATTGAATCGTGTTGCGACCTCTTGTGAAACAGTCCCAGATGGGAATGTGGTCGTGATCCTTGATGATGTATTGATGTTACCAGTGTTGCACATGACACAATCAGACATTGAATCAGACCATTTGCAATCTCGTGGTGCTTCCGACTTGGGTCAATTGTCTCGGAGGTCCAAAATACGGATGTAAGCCGGCATTATCGGATTTACCAATAGGACTATGCCGCATCTTGAACCTCCCACCCCGCAACGCCAGCTATACTAGAATCTAATTCTTGATTACATGTCCTCGTAACCAAATCTTCAATCTCCATCTCAGCTGCCAAATTATCCTTTGCCTGGAACCAATAGAGATCCCATTCACCATCCAATGCCAAATTAAAGATATCGCGAAGCTTAACACTACTGCTTGCTACCTGCTGGAGTTTTCCATAAACATGATACCTAGCAATATGTGCTATGAAACTCACAGAGGACAAGCTGGGAACTTGAATATCACAGTCTGCCGAAAGGTCTGAAAGCAGAGAAACCTGTAAATTGTGAAAACTGTGATACTCCTCCTGAGGGATGGCCGTTGGACATGAAAGCTCAGGGTCTAAGCGGGATCCGGTGGGGTCTTGATCCCTATCTGAAGGTGCCAGCCCAAAAGAGCGCCGCATGTGTCTTCGGTAAGTGCCTTGAAGTGCATGCTGGCGATTTAATTCCAATTTGATGGCAGAGGACATCACCATCTTCTCTACTGAGAGGCGATTACGCGAAGGATCCTTTGTGTCACCTGTCACTGAGAAGAACCGCTCAGTGTCCGCGGAATTGCAAACAAGCGACAGAACCAAAATGGCTAATTTCGCAAGTGGATCATCTTGTGGAGCGTTGAGCCATGCCATTAAAGGATTAAAATCCTATGAAAATATTCTGAGATAAGAGCACTTCACTAGTGCTGAGATACAAGAACTAACTGGGATCCGCTTACATATGTTACTGCGAGTCCAATCTCCACCCGGGTATCCAAAAACATCGTGAGTTGATGTCAAGTATGCAATTGCGCGCGGTCCAAGATTGCTTGCAGCTTCATTGGTTTCAAAGACTCGGCAGTAAACCTCTTCCATTAGAGTGACAAGCCGCAAATTAGAAAGGTTTGGATTGAATAATCTTCGCTTCACAAAGGGATTGAGAGTGACGGCAACAATGAAGAAAGAATGATCTATTTTTGCCCATCGAGTTTCAAGACTCCTAAGGACTGCATGGACAGTTGAAGTTGGTGCAATAGAGCGGGGAAGGAGATCTAGGGCAGTGTTTATATCCGTGTAATGTTTATACAGTCGTCCAAAGATCAAGGCAACCTGATCGGCACGCGTTGTTGAGGCCTGACATACATTCACAGCAATGGCTAAGGGGGTGATATCATCGGTAATCCTAATGTGGAACTCTATATTAGACAAATTGTCAGAATCGCGCAAACACTTACTGTCGAATATCATTCCAAAAGTTTTCATTATTGATTGTATCAATGATCTGTTGTGCTTTGTTGATCATTTCCCGCCTTGTGCCCGCAGCCATCAGTATGTTATCACTCGATTTGATAATGATACTTTTGAGAGGTCTCTTTAAGTCCAATAATCGCTGGAGTGACATCACATGTGAAGACCACCGAGTAATACACCCACGGATGAGGGTCTTTGCTGTCCCAGTGAACTCCGGAAGAGTCTTCTGCTCGGAGTACAGAAGATGAAGCGCAAGAGAATGGTTATTAAACCAGTTCACAATCTCACTTGCTTGTGCCATGCGCAACTTGACACTATCAGACTGTTTGATGTAATCACCAAGCACCAACTGAACCTATTGAGGACTGTTAACACTCAAATAGTAGAAGAGGTAGGGACGGACTTGGTGTGCATAACAGTCAACTGTGATTAGCCGAGGGAAATTTTGTTTGAGCATTTTCCGTGCTGCGCGTGACTCTCCCGAAGCATCAGAGACCCAACCAATGAGTTTGAGCCCAAGTTTCTCTTCGATAAAAGTCTTCTCTTGAAGCATTAACTTGAAGAGGTTGTCAGCAGTCTTGCGCGAGCCGGATGTGTTATGGACATGTGTCATCCGAACCTGGGTATAGATATGAGTGAATTAACCCTTTACACAGTGAAGAGAGGATATACCATATGGTTTGCAGAAACCATGAATGCGATGAGATGATTCCGAGATGTGTCACGCCAGCCATCACATTGGCCAGTGGCATAGGCACTGCACATCATGTCAGTGAGGCAATTTTGAATAGACTCGAACTCCGCTGAGAGAAGAGGTCCTGAAACTTTGTTTCGTTGCGGTAGCTTGAATGCAGGGTTGAGCATGTGCACAAACTTCACCATTTCGGGGTCGTCAGGCAGTCGGAATGATATCCCAGCAGAGATTATAACGCGGAGAAACTGTCTTTCTAGATCCTCCTGTTGCTTCTTGGGGAGCGGGGGGATATCGGAAATTCCCTCAGACAAAGATGAATAGCTACCGCGCCGGCCAATTTGTAAAGGGGGTGTAAGATGTGTTGGAGATGGTGAATGCCCGGGGGAATGGGATGTAGGTGAATGAGGAGATATCAAGGGACTAGCGGCAGGTGAAATTTGGAGTAAAGGCAAGTTGAGGCGAAGTTGTCGGCCAGGGAGATGTTGATCAAGCCAAGTTTTCCCCATTGCACGCGCATCTGTGGTTGCATGCTCACAGGTTTCAATATGACGTGCAAGCCGTTCAACAGAGCCCTGTATCTCAGAGCAAAGAGGGATTGCTGTTAGAGTCTGATGTTAGCATTCACGCAAAGTGCATGGACGGATGGGGAGTTTACCTCTCATATGAAGTTGACTAAGTGAGTGACGAGGTGCTGAACCAGCTGTAAACTCACGGAAGTTCTCCTCCTCCAGTCTTGCCGTTTGGGCATTTATGCAAAAATTGCATTTGTGAATAGTGTGGCTTTTATTGTTTCCAATCTTCTCCTCGAGGTCGAGAAACCACTGACGCAAGGGGCTTTTGCGGCCCATCCCAGGTGTCAAGCAGGGTGAGAAAGAGAGATGAAACACTTAGGATTGTACCCTAGGTTTTTATTGCATGCTCCCGACACGGTGAACTAGGGCTGGAAGCAAAAGACCGTCATGGTATGTGCATGGGAAGTTGTTCTTGATTCCGCAAAGATAGACAAATGCAGCATTTGGACATCGGAGTCTTATAAAAATTCATTACATGGAAAATGGGTGCTTGACACGCTTCAGCCAACGGATGCTGATCGGACCATGGGACCATGGGAAAAACATCGTCTACTGAATCAGACATTCGGATTTCGGACCATGTGACCATTTGGGACAATGTCCGTGCAACACTGGATGTTACAGGCGGATCAAACATAGCCGAGTATTATAGGAGGGACAACGAGCCCTCACCAGTGCGGGTGACGTGTAGTAAAATTTTACAAAAAAAGGGCAAGAAATAGAGGGCTAGAGATCTTTATGACTGCGGACCAGCATGCCTTTCGACAGTCGTCCGCTTCGAAGCCAATCCCATTATTTTGGGACAAGATAGGTTCAACGAACAGTACGTGATGGTGCTCCTTGCTCCAATTCCATAAGCTACCACCTCCCTTTGGAATGCGTGCAAGTTCAGACTCCAGAGTGATTTGTGAAAGCACAAGCACAAAATGTTTTGGTAGGAAGGGCATCAGGGACGGTCGCGTCCAGATACCACCAGCATTCTTGTAGAGCGGAGAGCTGGGCGACAGAGTACCCCAGTGACATTGGAGATTGAGGCTAAGGCCGAGTTGACGGACTTGGCAGCACTAGTTGCCCAACACTAAGGGAAAATGCAAGCGTTGAATTGTGGGGTGATCGGGTACCCTCCGGTACAAATAAGGTACAACAACTCACCTTTTGGCATTTTTTCAAGCCACATCCACTGAACAACCGCTGAACACAAGTCCTCTTTCGAAGAATGAGCACCTCAGCTGGCGTCATGTACGTTGGTGAACACTAATCAAGTGGATGTAACTCTGACATTGTGGCACCCTTTTAGCTCATTCCTCATTCAACCAGGCAAAAATTTTGTCCTCGAGGCTGAGGCAGACATCAACATTAAACAAGTCTCGCTACACGAGGATCTCGTGGACAATAGCCGTTCTTCGCTGAAGATCTTCTATTCCGCTCCTGATGAGAATGATGGGTCTGAGGATGGCGAGAGCTCCAAGAGCGTTGGGGAGGAGGAAGTGAACTCGGCTGTCATTGCAAACTTTATTCCTGGAGTAGTCAGTGCCCTTAATTCTTTACGCTCGTCCTTCCGCTCTGCTTGGCTCCCCACTTATGACCTTAACGTGTTGATAGATTGAACATCAGCCTGTCAGGCTGGTCATTCCTGAGGGTCAAAAGGTCTCCTTTGAAATCACTGGAAAGAAGTAAGCAAAACCCTCAATGTCACTTTTCTCAGCTGTAGCATTGATCATCTCATATTCAAGCTCGGTTTATCTTTCTGGAAACATCATTCGTAAGCGACCGGAGTCAGAAACTCGCCGCATTCATGCTCACTTTTTGCATGCAGTCCAATTGCCTGTAGATCTGCCCTCCGATGATGAGGACGACTTCGGCAGTGAGATTGATGCTATGGATGATGAGGAGCGAGACGCGTGCGTAACCACCTTGTTGTCGCAATCACCCTTTCATATCCCTGCCCCTCATCCTCTTGTTCCAATCTCATTCGAAATTTTAGCTTCCTTGCAGACCTAATCCGCGACGACAAGCAGAGAACGAAGGAGCCTAAGAATGCTTCGAGCGATGCAGTCCTCAAGACCAAGAACAAGCGACCGGCTGAGGACGCTGGTCCATCCGGAGTCGACGAAGCAAGGAAGAAGATCAAGACTGCTGACGGAGCCCCAAAGATTGTAGCAACACCAGCGAAAAAGGGAGAGACTCTGAAGGGATCTCCTTCAAAGGAGGACAAACTAACTCCAGCTGACACTCCGGCAAAGAAATCCAAAGCAGGAAAGTCGCAGAAGGAGAGTGGAAAAGACACTCCAGTGAAGAAGGATAGCGGCGTCCCGAAGGAGACGCCGTCACAGAAAGCGGGTGGGAAGGATACTCCAGTGAAGAAGGATGGCAAGGTCCCAAAGGAGACGCCGTCACAGAAAGCGAGCGTGAAGGACACTCCGGTAAAGAAGGATGGTACCGTCCCAAAGGAGACGCCATCACAGAAAGGGGGCGTGAAGGATACCCCAGTGAAGAAGGATGGTAGTGGCCCGAAGGAGACGCCATCACAAAAAGAGGCAAAGAAGACTACTGAAGCCGGTGAAACGGAACCAGTGAAAGCGGGGGGTGACAAATCAGTAGGACTAGCCATTCGATGTTTTCAGAGTTGTTGGCTCACTTGTTTCGACTAGGCGAGGACTGTAACTAAAGGGGGGGTGAAGGTAGAGGATAAGTTGGTTGGAAGTGGGCCTGCCGCGAAGCCGGGGAAGACGCTCTCAATGCGATACATTCTCCGTTCGAAAGCAGGAAAGATTTGGGATCAGAACGTCAAGGGCAAGCCGGTACATCTCATGTTTCAATGGGTCCGCAATGTCACTCATTCATCTCTCCCAGTTCAAGTTCAAGCTTGGCGCCGGCGAGGTCATTAAGGGATGGGATGAAGGTTTGACTGGCATGCATGTGGGCGGTGAGCGGAAACTTGAAGTTCCCCCAGAGATGGGCTATGGGAACCGGAAGACAGGAGTGCGTATACATTGGTGTCAATTGCGACCACAAGCTGAAGGTTTTATACTCTCTTAGGATATTCCGTCTAACTCCACATTATACTTCGGTGAGTGATAATGCAAGCCACGATTACCTCACTGCTGACAACTCATTCACGCTTGGCAGAGGTCAAGCTTCTCGATGTCAGCCCTTGAACGGCGGGATAAACCCATCATCTTCGTTGTCCTCTGGATTTCTTGCTTATTGGATATTAGTCTCAAAAGTACAATACCTACTCCGGCAGCACACGGCTTTCGCAGGATCGTAGGATATGATTTCGCTCACATCCCTGGATTTTGATGTCTCGTCCTATTATGCTTGGTGTGTGCCTGTATGACAAATTATGCATATGGTGCATTGGCGTGTCCTCAGGTAGTTCAGCTCGGTGGAAAGCCGCTTTGACAGTACTGTTGCAGCGAGATCCGACGGGTATACGATCAATGAGGGACGCGAAACATGGGCTCTATTTTACTCGTTGCTGCACGCGTCCCGGGTCACGCTTGCAGACTAGTGATGGTGACTGAGATACATAATATCCTTCTCGTGAGCTGTTGGCACGCTCATCTGTACGTTTACGGGCTAATACGCGTGTGTGCGTTCTCGTGATGACCCTTGCGATTCTGAGTTGTCTCTAGTCTACAATCCTAAGGACTCTATCTATAGAGGCTGGTATCCTGCCTACCTAAGGACCAACACCTGCGGCCTTGGCCACCCCTGAAGCCTTGCGGGGGCTCGTGAGAATATTGAGTTTACAAATACAATGCGGATGACACTTGAAGGTGGTGGGGTCATCAGGACGGGAATGAAGCGGGGGTGGCGTCGGTAATTTGATCTCACCACCGCAGGTCCGGTCGGCGGAGCATGCCCGGGCTGTAGTATCGGCCCTGCGGATGACACACTCCGCCAGGTTCATGAGTTCCACTAAGCGTCCGGTTGGTAGAGCGTGCCTGGGCTATAGTATATAAGTTCTCAGACCCGTTGTTTTCTTCATTCTCGTGCTTCACCAACACTCTAGTCAAGTACAATTCTCCTTGCCAGACTTCCTGCCAAACGAAACCAGCCATGGCATTAGCTATCGCCGCGGAGTTCGCCCCGGTTGTGACAGTTCTTTCGGGGCTTGCGAGCTTCACAAACTCGGTGAAGAACGTAAGTCAACCCTGTTGGCATGAACACATTTTTCTAGCCAGTATACACTATTCGTCATTACTGTTATCAAGACTTCAGGTTGAAAGCTAACGTACTCAATATGTAGATCGCAAACAGGGCCCCAGCGGAGCCAAAGGCCTCGCTCAAGAACAACAAGGACCGCTGGCTCGTCTGCACCGTCGAGAACAAGACCGACTTTCCCATCTTGACCATGGCCAGCTTCTTCTCTTCAGGGCGGTACGATGACCCACCGAAGCGCATCGATCCGTTCTCAGTGATGACGTTCACTTGTTGCGAGGGAGACAACACCGTCATGCAGGGAGTGACCGGAGGCCACTCCTTCTACATCAACGTGGACCACAACAATCACTTCTACCTTGGACTTGTGAGTTATTCTATGGGGTCGCGGCCCACTCCTACACCAAAATACCAAAATCGATGCCGGCCGCTAATGTTCTAAAACTCCCCAGGGATTCTGCAATCCATACATAGGCGGGTACAAGGCTAGCGTGTACAAGCCCTCCGCTAAAGAGGTCAAGGACATTCAAGAGAGTGGGAAAGCCCAGAAAACGGTGGCTGAGAAAGCTTACGACAACTGCAACGAGAATGGTAACATGATCACGTCTGAATGGTATCGCGCAAAGGATGTGGACAAGAAGGACGTGGTGTTCCAGTTCCAGGTTTCTGCCAGTGCGGGAGCTAAGCCGGTATACACTATCAATGAAGTTCGAGAATACGTCGATGAGAAGGAGCATGAGAGCATTGTCGGCAACAATTAGATTTGGGATAACAAGAGGCAAATCGTATGCTAGTACTTCATGTCTATACAAGGATGTTTTCTCCAAGACCAGTACTAGTGTTGATGATGATGATAAATCATTACCCCGCGGCTTCAGACTAGTCAGCTAAGTATCAGACCCTATCAAGGGGTGTTTTTTTGCGCTTCAGATAGGGCCTAAATGGCCTATTTCACTGTGGACGTCCTGGGATGTCCTGGTGAAGCGGCTTGCTGCCAAAAATGGACCTGTGAGAATATCTGGGACGTCCTAGGACGTCCTGAAACTACTTAGCACACAGCATTCTGGTGGGGGTCGCTAAGCTAAGGTTAAGTCCGGTAGTGTACAAGTCTTTTTAAGCACTAGGCAGGCCAGCTCTCATGCTGTTTGCTCATGACGCTATGTACACCGCAGCATGAGTCTCTAGAGAAAGTTTGCGGCACAAAAACGTAATTATCTCCTTGAGGATTTTCACTAGAGTGCGTGCCTTCGCACGCGCTGACCTGCACTGCTTTTCAACACCCTAGTCAGTTGTACAGGAAAAAGTGAACCATGATTAAATCATTATTCCACACAAAAAGAGTGCATAGATGTTCTATGCTCAGGAGAGATCCCAAATCATGGCATCGGGCTATGTCAAGTGTGTGGAGACAATAGCGGAAGTGTTCCGGATAATAGGAAACAAATAGGAAAATGGGGAGCAGAAAGAGGACATCAGGACAGCGACTTGGGGGGGGACAAGTGTACAAATGAGGATAAGACAAGCGCACTGAAAATTGGTCAATAGTATCGATGTAGGGAATGGATGTGTGGTGATGCGTGCTGTGCACGCTTTCTTTCTTTCATTGTTTATTACTCTTTATTTCTCGATGTAAACAATGTATATAAATTGCGGGGAAGGGTGAAACAGGTTTTCACTCTTCTCCTCCCCTGTCGAAATTACAGCTCTATACTGCCTAATTCCTGACAGCTTGAGGATAGCAGGAGTCAACACCAAGGTCGGAACCTCAACCAACCTTACAATCGACTAATAAATCTCCTTCCCTTGCCCAAAGCGCCCATGCGGCAGGGCAAGTGGGGGTGCAGCAGCAGTGGGGGGGTTGGACCAAGAGCTGCGCAGTTGGGCATGTGTCTGCTGCATCCCTTCAAGAATGGGCCGCATTGCAGGCTGACATGCCAATTCATGAGTACGACACAGTATTTTAGCAGATGCAGGCTGTGGCTGTGTCATCGGACGCAGCCTAGCACGACGAGTAAGGCAGGTAGGGGTGCAGATACAAGTAAGGGGAATTTTGGCCAGGTAAGCGCTGGGCGCGCATTCAGGTGTGCTTGGACTAAGCGCTGACATTGCGAAGGGCAGAGTTCTTCATATTACAGCAACCGTCAAAAAAATCTGCGCGTCAGATTTGGATGCATGACCCGAGTTGGATCTCGTGATTGTCCAAAAATGGTCGGAAATCAGGGTCAATTTCGGTGTCAATACATTCGGCATTTAGCGCTCGTGGTGCGGGGGTCTTCAGGTTCGCAAGAGCCTCTTCCGTACTCATGTGAGGCATGGATAATAATGATATAGCATGAATACTAAGAGCGTCGTCGGCCACGGGTCTCAGCAAAGGTGGTCAGGGGATTCCTGATAAGGCAATACTCAACTCGCGATCAATCAGAGGTAAGCTAGAAACTATCTTGTCAACGCACGTCTGTGCGTATTTATACATACACGAAATGTATTATCTGGGGATTTCCCACAATAATCCAGAATATTCCGGCAGGTTCTGGTCACTTGCGGATTCCAACAGGATTACAATCCTCGTGGATGGTGCATGCAGACAGCTGGGTTACTGCTGAAATATCGTGTGTGCTCGTCGAGTTAGGCATCGTGATGATTAGATCCTTGGCTGCGGGTTTGAGGTGTCTGCCCACTATATGCATGTGCAGCCTCTATAACAATAGAACGATGAGTAATATCCTTTTTCGGTGGTGCCATTGGGACACGGTGATTTTTTCCCTAAATCGCAAATCACATGTTTTGCCTGATATATCCATCAAGATTTGACGCGCAGATTTTTTTGACGGTTGCTGTAACTCCTGAAGTAGTTGGGCATTCACCCCTAAACTCGGTACGTGGATAGATCTAATTCTCCTCTACCAAAAGAGCCCAAAATCAAGCCTCAGAGATTTGTAGGTGACACTCACATTGGGTTTTGCCAATTCCACTTGATTTGTCTACCAATTGTACGTTATAAATATAAAAGTCACAAGGTCATGAAACCTAAATGGAAAATGAACACATCAGCACAAGTGGCAGAAATGGCGTAATTTCACCCGGACGGCTGTGCAGGTAATACAATGCGGAATACAACACGTAAGCAAAAGTGGCACGTTTTACATAATTATGGGGGAGGCAGAGTGACCTGCAGTGCAGGTAACAACACCTTATATATCGTATTCAGGAACCAACCAACATGTCAGACTCGTACCCAGTCGGAGGAGCTCCGTGGATGCGCAAAATAATAGCTTTTTTACGCAATGTAAATAAACGTTCTCACACTGTGTCAGGGCCCGGCCTCGGACTCGGAGGCTCCCTGACCTCAACCCCCATCTAGCCTGTCCTCACACTATGCGGGGCATGAGATGTATAGTAAAAGAAAGGGAATATATACACTTGCCTATGCGGGGCATGAGATGAGAAGAAGGGTAAAGGTCTCATCTCCCCGCATGGTTGCTATATAAAGGAATGGGTCACATGCCCACAACTATACAGCTCCTAGAGTTGTGTAGTGTGACCCAGAGGGAACATCCAGGTGGCAGTGCCCAGTAAGTGTGGGAACGTTCTGGGCGAGTTGCTCACCCAGAACTGTGGCTGTGACCCATGGGAACATTCTGGGCGAGCTGCTCGCTCAGAAAGTTCCCGCGCTATCCCGTGCGTGCGTGTACACAACACACAAAGGCAACAACAAGGCAACAGTCAAAGAATAAAAGGGGGTAAAGTAGGTGGGGAGTCCGGGGCACCCTAAGGCAGGGTGCTGAACCCTGACACACTGGTACGACTGCTTCCGATGCTAGTCACGTTCTGTACTCAATACAAAAGATCACATGGTACGGAGTTAAACAAATATCCGATCACCTACTCCGAAACTTAGCCCGCGACACTTCGCTCCTCCGACTGGGGCAAAATGTAGGTGGCGATGCATCGGAAACACCCGACTCTCACGCTAAGCCTGAATGAGTTGTACATAGAGGTTGCGCAATGTAATTGTTAGTGTTGACACATGCGGTCATTATACCCAACCCAACCCATAGAGACTTGGAAGCACCTTGAGGGTTGTGGAATCGACAACCTGGGCATGTGCAGAAATTAACGCTTCATATAATACTTCTATAGCATTCTGCAGCTGGTGCTTTGGAGTGAAGCGGTACGAGCGTGAGCTGAGGCTATGCAGCCTTTTTTGGCTGCGGGTGTTCGATTCCCACTCAATGAACCTTTTTTTATGGTCTCAGGAATAATTGTAACAACCTCCCATTTACACTAAGGAGTAAAGAAGGAGAAAAAAAGGTTCACTGAGTGGGAATCGAACACCCGCAGCCAAAAAAGGCTGCATAGCCTCAGCTCACGCTCGTACCGCTTCACTCCAAAGCACCAGCTGCAGAATGCTATAGAAGTATTATATGAAGCGTTAATTTCTGCACATGCCCAGGTTGTCGATTCCACAACCCTCAAGGTGCTTCCAAGTCTCTATGGGTTGGGTTGGGTATAATGACCGCATGTGTCAACACTAACAATTACATTGCGCAACCTCTATGTACAACTCATTCAGGCTTAGCGTGAGAGTCGGGTGTTTCCGATGCATCGCCACCTACATTTTGCCCCAGTCGGAGGAGCGAAGTGTCGCGGGCTAAGTTTCGGAGTAGGTGATCGGATATTTGTTTAACTCCGTACCATGTGATCTTTTGTATTGAGTACAGAACGTGACTAGCATCGGAAGCAGTCGTACCAGTGTGAGAACGTTTATTTACATTGCGTAAAAAAGCTATTATTTTGCGCGTCCACGGAGCTCCTCCGACTGGGTACGAGTCTGCCAACATGTGTGTTATTACAACTCATGGGGATACTTACAATCAAATAGAATATCAACGGGAATCAAACTGGGAACGCGAAGATGACAAAAAGTGAGATCAGCTGAACTGTTATGCCACAACATTAATTGTTCATTCCTAAGTCTGAATCATATATATATGAGTGATCCTAGCACAGGCGGCGTAAATGGATTGACTGATGACGTAAGCCACCCTGACCACACGACTCCGGATTTCGAGGTCTACTGGGTTAGAATATGCCAGACGCCCTCTTACGCGGCAAATTACTGCAAGACTGACTGATGGAATTACGATACAAAGGCAACAGCAATTGTCTTTCAGATCTTCTCTCTTCCCGTTAAGGGCCACGGGCATTCATCCGGCATCCCCGTAGCACCGGAGGTTTTCAGGACCCGCTGCAGAGTAGCGGGAATATATCGACCAGTTGAGAACTACATATGCATGCACCCAAGGCCGTTCACCTTCGTCCAAGTAAAACGCATTTGCAAGATACTCGTGTTACCGAAAGATCCGGCGCCTTACATCGATCGCTTAAAAGTCAAAACAACAAATATAAACCGGAGTCATCTAACGTCTCAGTCACCCCAGACTAGCACTGTGTCATAGAAGGGCTGCAGAGTTACCTTCCGCATTTCACGACGATGGGATTGACAGTCAACTTCTTGCCCACTCACTCTAATGCCACGTCTTAACGTCAAGAACTGGGTATCTCTCTGCATCAGTCTGCATGAAACTGGCGGCAAGAAAAGCATCGAATGAGAATGTCATAATCATAGGGACGTCGATTCTCATACAAATAACACCACATGCAGCATACGATGTCTATCGGTTAGACTTGGCGACACGTTCCAACTCATCCTTTTTCTGTTGCCATCATACCATGGTAGGTCAGGGAACAATAGACAAGATATAAACGAAGGGAGGGGGGGGGGACGAACCTTGATAGCGTATGAGTTGGACGAGCCTTTTGCGGCATTGATGAGCTCGTCCGCAAGACACTCAGCAATAGATTTGACGTTACGGAAAGCACTCTCACGAGTCTAAGGCGATATAGAGTTGATTAGCTCATCGACAAGACGTATAGAATGGTGCTCGAACGTACGCCAATGGTGATGAGGGCGATCGCTTGGTTAACACGACGAAGTGGCGAGACATCAACTGCCTGACGGCGAACGGTACCCTGAGAACCTATGCGAGTGCTATCTTCACGAGGACCAGTGTTTACGATAGCGTCCACGAGAACTTGAATAGGGTTTTGGTCGGTGAGGAGATTGACAATTTCGAAAGCGTGTGCCACAATACGGATGGCCAATAATTTCTTGCCATTATTACGGCCATTCATCATGAGACTAACACCGAGTAGAAACGTCGAAGAGGTTCACACAAATTGAACGGTGCCGAGTGATGGTTGGTAAACACGAATTTCGCGTGTCAGTATTGGGTCAGCTTCGATAGTCAGCATAGATAAGAACAACACCGCACCTGTCGACAAGGCGTTCCACGATAGGCATCTGCGCCTTCCTGAATTTCTGCTTGGCATATCTCCCAGCAGTGTGAGGCACCCAGACAGCATGACGAATCTGGATGTAGTCGGTCAGCGAAATATCTTTGACCTCGATGCTGGATTTCGGAAACACGTCCAAAGTCATCAAAGGGTTTACATCAGCACTGTAATATCGTTCGTGTGGTCAAAACTCGACTGACTCTTGTGTCTCCCATTTGCCGAACAGTTTGACACCGTCCTTGGATGCATGGGCGAGACGCCGCGGCAAAATGTGACGTGGGGCAGGCATAATGGAGAGGCCTCGGAGGGATCTTAGGGACTAGACGACAGTTCCAGCTTAGCAATGCACACTGACGTTACGACAACCTCGAATTCCTTACAAGCCTGGAGAATGCGGATTCAAATCAAGCTCAGAGAACTGCACAGTTTGCCACAATACGGCTAGCTCCGTAACTCGCGCCTTGATCTCAGCATTGCGGAACTAACACCACAGTGAGCTCCTCAATAGGAACAGAGGACTCGTATTTGTCCAACTGATGGACAGGAGTGATGCGTCGGTTCTCCGCCTCAGCATGCCAAGGGGCCAATCACATTTTTAGCTTGGAAGCATAGCAGATAAAGCTGGGCATTGAGCCAGTGGACCAGTACACTGGTTATAATGACCACTGGCATCTTTATGATCAGTTTACTGTCGTTATTCCCGACATGCTCACGATCAATCTCATGTGTCAACTTGGACGGTCTTGATATTGAGGTATGCCATCTTCGGCTCTGGCTGGGCATCACTTAACTGTCAGCCAGAATAACTCCTTAGGTTTTACACATCAAACATGATGTTTCCGATGCATATAGGGTCGCAGAAGCTAGCAGATAATAATGACTTTCATGTATTTTGCGGGTGAAGTTAAGACAACTTGATGATCTCTCATCCCTACTGGCGTCGAGTACTTGAGAATTGAAACGCGGATTGTGACGATACTGCATTTTGCAATAGTCGCCGTGACCAGTGTTGCTGGCACATTACTTTGAAGCCATAGAGTACTCAGAAATACAGTTCACAACATCTTCTCTCAAGAAACGAGGACCTTCTCTGGCAGAACATACCTTTCTCCAAACCACACGCCTACTGTATTCAGCTACATTCATCCCACACATTCCAAACCTCGTGCTGGGGTAGTGCACCATACACAAGGACATCATGATGCGGCAATTCGGAAGTCGTAGGGTCGGTCAATGAGTTATCCATATGTTTGATGCTGATCTCCACCCGCGTTTGAAATGCTTCTCCTGATGATGCTATTTCGAGTATTCGATGCATCGATTTGATGGCCAGCAATAGACCGGATCGCAGCGCATCCCAAATATCCCTTCTCAGCCTAAGCGAAATCTCGAAGCTTCGTAAGCGGAACCAGGATTTGTTGTTGGGAGGATGCAGTGTGTAGGACGTAGCGAGTTCGGTCAAAGAATTGACGATTTCCAAAAAGGAGTGTAGATCAGTCTCTGAGACGCGAATCAACCTTAGGATGGATAGCCTCGGGATGAGTTCCAAAAGAGGTGCGGTTGTGATATAGGGCGAAAGAGGAGTCTCTAGGTGCTCGAGGGATGGAAATGTACGCAGCGCAGGCCCAAAGTCTCCCCGCATAGATTGCGTGTCTAGCCTTAGCCGCTTTAGCTGAGGCGCGCTCACATATCTGCCAAATATCTCGAATGCAGATCCGTACACCTGGAGGGATTCTAGCGAAGGAAGCGTTACTCTCAACTCGTCCCCGAATATGCCCGGCCCCCCTAAAGTCAGCGCCAGGAATTTGAGGTCGTGGCATGAGGTGAGAAAAGGGGCCAACCCCATCGGTGTACCAGCACACGGAAGATAAATTTCCAAATGAGTGAGGCCACACGCATCACCCAAAGGTGCCCAGGGGAAATATGAATTCCTGACGTTCGAGAGAGTTATTCTCTCCAATGAAGGATGAGAACCAGGAATACTTGAATTGGAGAATCCGTCTGTAGTACATTCGTACCTTCGCAGTGCAGGCAACGGAACGGGGAGTTGGAATCGAGATGAATTGAACAATCTGATGTTTAAATGATTGCAGCGCGCGAGGGAGTTTGCATGAATTTTCATCCAATCCTTGGCGACGTCGTCATCCCATTCTCTCCCGTTCTCGACGCCCAGATAGATGTTCGAGTGTCCCGCACGCTCCATGTAAAGACCGCACATCTCACCCGAGCGTTGTGAACCGTCATACACAAGAATATTCCACTGTTCTCGCATGCGTTTAGACTCAACAAACTTGAAAGGGCCTCTAGAACTATCTCACCCAAGTTGATATGCCAAGAGCCAGGCCTCTCCATGCGGCGCAGGTCGACGCGATTGTCCCCCGATACTTGACGAATGAAGGATCGTCGCGGTTATAGGTAACCTTCTGTCTCTGGTGGTACTGGAAAATCATCAAGAGCAGTTCTCCAGGAAGTTTCGATATAGGTGAGCCAGTGGCCGAGGCGCGATCGGACCCTTGATCAGCGGTCGGACTGTTGGGGTCGGGCAGTTCATGCGTGCTTTGAGGAATAGAAGCTTTGCGCTCATTAGGTGGTAGCTGTAAGTTGCTGATGCGCGAAGACATCGTTAGGTTATGGTCCTGAGGTTCAACTGACTCTTAGACACGATATCAGTGTCACACTTGACCGAAGGCGTTCTGAAAGGATGTTCTGTTCTGTCTTGGACCTACAATCCAGGTTCACTGCAGTATGATTGGAGTAACGATGAGACGGGCTGACGTAGCAGTCACGATCCGGTCTCCAAAACACGTCACAAGACAATAACTGGTGGACGCCGCCTGCCGCGGCAAGGGCCCGCTACTCTCTTCACAACTGCCTTTCGACGTTTGGTTTTGGATTTATGGTCGTATCTTCACTCTTTGCGTTACCACCGTTCCAGAACACCCTTCCCCTACTATCTTCAGTACATTCTTCACAACCGTGTTTTCCATGCAGAGTCGGAGCCGACTGGGTACGGAGTTATGAGTGGACCGAATTATATTGTCATTGTCATAATGGGAAAAGAGGACCTTAGGTTACAGAGGACCTGTGCACCCTAAATTTACAGGACCCGCTACGGAGTAGCGGGAATAACTGGGGAAGGCCGCCTGAAGCGGCAGATCCCGCTACTAACGTTGCTATTGGCTGAGACGAAGCCCGAGATTCGCTCTCGCTCTGTAAACACACCACATACTCTGATTTCAGGACCACGTAATTTACACTGGAGCCATGCAGCAAGCGGAATAGAACTAACTGTATGAGGCAGAGAATGGACCCTGGGTTTGGGGGTCATACAGGACCCTGTGATAGGACAATTGAGTTTGGGAGAGAAAAAAACGTAGGACCCGCTACGGAGTAGCGAAACTTGAGTGGGTTTTTCCGCTCGCGTAACAAATGAAATGGTTGAAATTCCCAGCACAACGAAGACTAACTCGTCCCTTCCAAGCTTTTAGCGGAATACTTGACATCTACAGGGACACGAACTCCAGATGAAGAACCATCCTGTAGCGCTGGCCTCTCATTATTGGCCCTGAGTGCAGGCCCAGTAGCTCGACCAGCCTGAGGCTCCTCTCCTCTCCCAGTTCGAACGATATTCCGTTTCAACGAGTACTGGCGAACAAAAAGGACTGGAAGGAAGAAGATTGATTGCGAAGTTGCGTAATCAATTTCGATCACACACCAGAAACGAAGGTGGCACTCAAGATAGGAGTGTAGACAAGCCTAGGGGCATCGTGCCATCTCAGATGGAAATAGCAGCCTGGGTCTAAATTTGCATACCAAATAAATGACACACTCTTCGTATATGCCTCAAGTATCTGTTCCCTGAGGGATGGGGGCTGTGGATGAAAAATCACTCGAAAATGGAACCGAGTGAGAAGCCCCATCCAACATACCTGAATCTGGGTCAAACCCTTGACATCATTGGTCAATTGATGGATCGTTCGCCCATTCAAGAAACTTCCGATATCTGGGATCCGTCGTAGCCTCTTCTCCAGCTCTGACGAGTAGATAGCATCCCCAATCGAAATTCCAATTGTCCCTCCAAGCGTACGAAGGAGTGTAAACGCGCCCGTGCTTGTTGCCATGTCCTTGAGAGGCATAGCAGCTTGAAGTGCGATGAGAGGAGTTTGGAATAAACATCCTGTCCCAAGTGCAGCGATACAAAGGTAAATCTCTTGTTGAGCTCTGAATCAATCGGTGTATTAGTTATGCTTGGAGGTGGCCATTCGCAGGCTAAGACATACAGGCTTGAACCATTATCTAACGTCATCATTAAACCAACGCCCAATGCCATAAAACCCTAGTTCGATGAAATGAAGTTAGCGATTTAATGAATGATAACCAGGCCCAAGACTAACATAACCGAACCACATCACCTCCCGGTATCTCCCAACACCAGAGATAACCTGGCCGGATAAGACGGCAAGGAGTGAGCCTCCACATAAGTATGAAATCATTCGGACACCCGACATTCTAGAGCATGGGATCAATTGAGCGAGTCCACGACCAAAACATGAGGGACGTACAGAGCAGATGACCCTAGTACTTGGAAGTACAGTGGAAGGCTGGGAAATCCAATCATAAATTAGATGCACAATCACATCGCTCCAATATGCATTACATACTAGTACGACACGCTAAAGAAAGATAGTGCGTGAGCGAATGTGCTCGCGAGAATAATCGTGGGCGTTCGAGTCCTGAACAAACGAGGGGGAAGGATCGGCTCCCGGCTTGTAAAAACTTCATTAACAGCTCCAAAGATAATGAGGGCAGCACCGGCTGCCAGCAACACGATCGTCGTGGAGCCTGATGGGTTCTGGATTAATCGGACATCAATTTGTCAATATTTACACGCACCCCATGAAGACTGGCTTGAGTTGAACCCAAGGAGAAGAAGGACGACGCCAGTCACCATTAGAAAGAGGCCCAGAAAGTCGAAGGTTCGGACATGTTGTTTTATTGTTCGTTGCTGATGCGGGTTGAGCTGTTAAGATGTAAGTATGTCGGGACCATGCCAGTCAATGGAAGCAAGCGGCAGATTAAGATTACATACTCTGAGAAAGAGTAATAGGAACGCCGCGAGCCCCCCAGACGGCAAATTGATGAAGAAGCACCACCTATGAGCTTGATGTTTGCTTGGCCGATTACCTGGTTTCGGCACACGTACCTCCATGATACACCGTCAGTCAACGCCCCACCTGCATCAGATTGTCACTTGGAGACCATCCAGTCAAGAGTTCCCTGACACACCGATCAATGGACCCAGAACGCTGGCAATTCCCCACGTGGCCCCGATGAATCCAATCCACTTCCCTCTCTCGGACAGAGGGACAATGTCGCTAAGCGTTGTATTGACTAATTGAAGGATCCCGCCACCACCAATGCCCTGAATACCTCGACAAACCGAGAGCATAACGAATGACTGTGCGGCACCACACAGAGCACTTCCGACTATGAAGATGGCTACACTTGTCAGAAGAACCTTTTTTCTACCAATGAGATCGCTTAGTTTTCCATATAGCGGCGAAAGGGAGGCAGATGTGAGGAGGTATGCTGATCCGATCCATGAATAGCCTGAGGAGATGTTGAAATCTTTGACGATTGTGGGAAGAGCGGTGCTGACGATAGTCTGGTCCAGAGCCGCAAGAAAGACACTTAGCATTAAGCCAGGGATGACTGTTTAAGTCGTCAATGAGGGAATTCATGAGGCTTCGGCGGGCATAATATACCAATCTTAAAATTGCTGGTAAAGAGTTAAGAATGTAGGGAAGAGGGCACTCAACGCCAAAAGGCGGGCGTACTTTTGGGGGATTTCGTGTGTCTCGAGGTCCCTCGAGCCATCATGTGCCTCGTGATTGCTGGCTGGGGGTGATTCCTCAATGGTGTGTTTTTCGAGAGTCTTTTCATCATGTACGTCCATCGTTGTCCTACCGTGACGGAGGGTGAAGGTGAACAATTGGGGGTTCCCATAAATATCCGATTATCTTATAATATTCCTGACATGACGTTCCTTAATAATTGTGCCGCATGTCGTTGCCGATGCAGCATGCACGTGACAGGAGAATCCAGGCACATGGTTCGAAGAACGTTAGCGGGGGTGGCAATCGTATGCTGCACGGATGTATGACATCAGACATACATTGAGTACGAGACTGGGATGTCATTTCTGATGGTGTTTGGACATCAGATGCCAACGCGTTGAACGTATAAGAGTCCCTCTAAAAATATTCAATTAAGAGAGGTTGGATGAAGAAAAGTTGATTACCCACCGGTGAAGGAACCGGAAGCTAGCGGTGGACCGGAAAGCATTGCGGAACTGGCGAAGATCGGAAGGCAGTTTAGAGGACCCTGGGTTATGCAGAATTGGCAATACTCAATGGAGGACCTTGTCAGAGAATGAATTCAATCACGGGCGAAAATTTTGCAGGACCGCTTACGGAGTAGCAGGAATTGAGTTTGCTAGTCCGATGATCGATTCTTAGTGGACCAATCACAAACTCACTGAGAATCCTTGCCGAAAGTACTTACTCTGTGCTTGCCGAGTGCATATTCATCTGCCGTCGGGACAGTGCGCGATTAATGGTGCTCATTGCACGTGCGCTGGCTGTGCTTCATTGACCTCCATCTGAATTTGTGTCGTGAATACTCGGTCTTGTAGGAGGAGGCTTCAGTAGGCAGCATCCCAGCCTCTACTAAAGTAGAAGGCTTCAGATGGCTGGGATCCCGTTTATTTGCAATAGGGGTTCTTTGGGTGTTCCCGTGATCTGGCTGGTTCTCGGTTTCCTGCTTTCGCATCCTCTGTTGGTTGTACACTGTCTGTTCTTGCGCTTCTCAGACTCCGTGCCCTCAATTCAGAAGTCTCGGCGCAAGCCGGGGCCGTCCTCAACATCCTTATGAAGACAAGACAGTCGTGTCTGGATGAATACATAAATTTTCCCGGTGTAAACTGGGGGATTTGCGCGCCATTCGATCGCCACTGCACCCACGAGCTGGTGATACATACCCGAGGATTTATGTGGAGGACATGCCCCTATCACCAACCTCACCCAGACGAATGGAGCAATCACTGGCGAATTACATATCCTCGCGCAGTGTATTGGTGCAGAGCTCAAGATTCCCCACTTGGAGGACAGGTCATTATAAAACCAAAGACGCTTTTATGTAAGAAGAGAGTATCGTTGCTATAATTGAGAGGCACCGTGAAACCGAGATTGAAACAATGGCAGTAGCCACCGCAAATCTCTCTGCATTGTTCATTTGGACACTGACTAGGAGTCGGATGGCGCGGATCCCAAGGATGTAGACAATAGGGCTACCCCAACCGTCGGAATCGATATATGGCGCGTACGCGCTTTTAACACCCGGATGGTACTTCTCTCCTATTGGAGCGCCTTTCCATCCGTGTTGATCCCTGATTTGATCTCCGGTGTGAGCAAACACCCGGCTTCGCTGATCATAGCGGAATGATTCCGAACATTCCACTTAGCCTACGTCTATTGGTTCAGTGCTTCTGCTGCCGTTCTTCATTCACTTTGGCGGGCAACGGCTGGGGCCCTTTCACTCTGGTGCTTGTGCTCATTCTTGCGGAATCGCTCTTGTGGTGTTCTCCAGACATCATTGGCCGGCAGGAAATGCGATTGCAGAAAGAACAATGGAAACATACAACGGCCAAGGGCAAGCCGAATAACCCCGTAGCATGACGTGTTTGAACGATGTTGCTCTCCAGCTCTGTCTGACATCAGTTTTCCAGCCGTTGGCCGGTTTTGACTCCTGATCCTCGACCTGAGACCGGGATGAGGAAGTTCCAGTTTAGAACGATCTATCATCGGATCTATGACCTTAGAAGATCAGCCCCATAAGAACATATCCCAAAGAGCGAGCCCATCAGAAGTTCAACCATTCTTTCTCCCACTCCTCACTAGGTGGAGTTTGAATGATAACAGCTCCCTGCGCTGCGAAATCAGCACTCCTTTTATATTGCTTATCTAAGTCAATACGTGGGCTCCCGGTGAATGTTCTGGAATTCGGCTTGGCCGGCAGATACGAACAACCTTGGAGCCTGCCGGCCGTGACTGATGGTGATGCCTGGGACGGGAGATAGATTTCACGTCGGGGGCCGTCCACTAGCGACTTGACAACAATTTCTCACGTTCCCATAAACTGCGCTGTCGCGACTTTTACTGGCAAGACGCTCAGTTGCAAGAAGCATGGGGTTCAAACTGGTCTTATTAATTGAGATCAGAGCGCTCACGTCTCGTGCATGTCGGGTGGGAACAGCAATGAGGCATCCTGCTTACCCGCCTCGATCTAGACCTGACTATGACAACCGCGGCCTATTGTCTTACGGCGTAACAGAACAAATCATGGTATCGCCCACTGGAGGGACGGAGGCGTAACTAGCTTTCAGCTACCTAGGGTATGGATCCGTTGTATCAGAAAGACTATTGGCGGGGCTTCTAACCCAGTGTTGGTCCGGAAAAAAAAAAGTCTGACGCAAATTTCTGTAAGGTTAGTATTATCTGAATGCTCTAGGAACAATTCCTAGTGGGGTTTCCTCAGAGACTCCCTCACTACCACAACGAGGTTCCATAGATCATCCGGTCTATGTATATTCTGCCAGTATTGGGAGCTCAGAGTGCGAAAGTTCATTCGCGAAAACCTATAAGTACCATAGGTACCCAACGGTTTGCCGTCTACTGGGTATCCCGTAAAACCCTCCTCTTCCCTCACTTTGCTCAGGCTCTACAATGGATAAGCCGGAAACCACCTATATTGATTCGGAGGACAAAAGGGAGCTCGACCTTAGCAGTACGAATCATCGTGACAGCAGTCCGAGTGATGCTGCCGCCCTTGAAGGCAGCGTTGATCCAGCAGCAGCCCGACGAGCCCGCGTCAAAGTCGATCTTGTTGTCCTTACCACGTCAACCTTCATTTGTAACCCATTCACTAGAGAACATGAGCCTCAATTTAAATAGTTTCTTGTCAGGCTTCCTGGATTACATTGTGAGCTGAAGCTTCCACCTCGTGACACCCCTTCCAATCTATCGTTTTATATCAAGGATAAAACAAACCTAGGTGAATACCTGCGCTTGTCCCAGTTTTCAATTCTGACGATTACTCGCCCAATCAGGGAATGCTGCAAAGGCAGGGCTTTTAGAAGACCTCAACATGTCTCCGTATCAATTTTCCATCGTCCTAACCCTCTTCTTCAGTGGGTCAGCCCCAAGGGAGATCAATGATTACAATCGCTGATATCCAATCCCACTAGTACCATTCCTACTCGTGGAGATATTCTCGAACTTCCTTTTTAAGAGGATTGGTGCCCATATATTCATTCCTAGCCTTATGGTTGCATGGGGAGTAGTGGAGACATTCCAAGGTCCGAAGAATGAACCCCTCACATAAAATATCGGGGCCTGATCTTGATTCATACACATACAAGGTTTTGTCACATCCTACCACGGATTAATCATTTGTCGTCTATTTATGGGGCTGGCTGAAGGTATGCCCATCATAGTGCCCTCAGCGTTTACTCCCATTTTACCACAGGGCCCCTGGCTCCGGCGATCATCTTGTATCTGTCGGAGTTTTACAAGCGGCACGAGTTGCAAAAACGGATAGCTATGTTGTTTAGTGCTACGAGCCTCGCGGGTGCTTTTTCTGGGCTTTTGGCTTACGCTATCGTTCATCTTGACGGTAAAGGTGGTAAACCAAGCTGGAGGTGCGTTCGTTGTCGTCTTGCTCCACCATGCTGAATCTCGGCACATAGTTGGATATTCTTCTTAGTTCGTCCCCTGGTTATCAAGTAGATCTATCTTGGAATTGAACCGTTTGTTTTTACAGGAGGGCATCTTTACCGTTATATTTGGTGTCGCCTCGTTCTTTTGGCTACCGAAGGACATTGCGAGTGCCGCCTTCATGACAGAGGAAGAAAAATCCGCATACTCAAGTGTAATTCAAGAAGATATGGCCGTCGAGGAAGTGGACGATAGATTCCAGTTCTCAACCGTATGGTCGGCCCTCACAGCGCCTCATGTTGTACTCCTAGCCAGTTCCGCATTCTTTGCTGGTGCGTTGAATATACGCTCCCGTGCTGTGCTACTATATTATCACAAGTGTCCTCCAGGTTACATTCTCTTTGGAATAGCGTACTTGTGAGATTGTTGTTGACATGCTGCCAATCATCGTCAGTAGACTGATGATGAAATAGCCTCCCGACTGTAGTGGGAAGTCTAGGTTACTCACCTGCGAAAACGCAGCTCTATGGGGTTCCCCCATTCACTTGCGCGTTTGTCTGTACGTCGTTTCATGCATTGCACATTCGGATTTTGATTTCAGTATTTAATTAGCGAGCATAACAGCCGCCTATTTCAGTGACAAATATCGTTGCAGAGTGCTAATTGCGATTGGTTCAAGTCTCATCACTCTTGCAGGTTTCATCGTGATGTACCGTTCGTATCCATCATTCACCCAACATAAGCATTCCAGTGGATTGACTCGAAACAGACAGCATAAATGTCCATGTGAGGTATGGCTCGATATTCGCCCAAACGATTGGTATGTCCATCGCTTCCCCTTGCGTGTACACGTTGATCCCAAAGTAAGTAAGGTCATCGCGATTTTGATTCCTTGTTAATTTCATGAACTTTCCTCATTCAGCAATGTCTATCCCCACTATCGCCGTGCTGCAGCTATCGCATTTGGTAACGCCCATAAAGTCGATGCCTCTTGGACTGAGCTCACTGCATCCTGGTTTTAGGACTCATCAACAGCGGCTGTGGAGGGATATTAGCGATGTGGATGTACCACGATGCTCCTTATTTTTACAAAACAACGAAGCTCAATATTAGCTGCACTATTGGTAAGGACCTACCCTCATCCACACACTTATAATTAACGATATTTGGATATCTAGTGCTCATTGTACACTTATTCCTACTACTTGGCTATCTACATTACAAGAACTTGCAGAAGGGCAAAGAGCGTGGATTACACGATAACACTCCGGATGATAATACTGAAGAGAAGCTAAGGCTAGGTGACAGACACCGAGACTTCATATATACTCTCTGATCTGGCTCTGGTTTGGGCATGGATTGACGTTACGATCTCACACGCGTGTATATTACGAAGGCCCACCAATGGGCTGCTACCCTTACAAGTTTTTGGAGGGAGACAAACTTTTAAGTGAATGAAGCATGTTCCTCCCGCGCAGTCGCTCATGATACCAACATCACCATCGCACCCGATCGAGCCGCTTCCTCGAAGCGGTTAGAGAATGACGGAGCTGAGAGTGACATTTTCTCAGCGCTCTGGGAGAGCGGAGGTTCTCCATGGCCCTCAGAACTCTGACGCTCTTCGTTACTTGGGAGAGAATGAAGAAAGAATGATGCCAATGACAGTCCACAGTGCAATCCCATTAAGTTTTCACTCGATCCGTCTGTAGTATCCCAGACTCCTGGTCTTTCCCGAATTTCCGAAGTTCATCCGCAACTTCGGAAATTCGGAAAAGATTGGGTAGGAGCCGGATTGCCTTGTACGGAATCCATACGTGGCAAGACCATTGCGTTGGAGGGCACTCCCCCAGCCTCGCTTAACGACGATGCGCCGTGCCCCAGGTCTGGAGCTTTTAGCTCGGCTTATCCCTAAACTCTGCCTCGTTCCAATCTTGCTTTATTTGGCCCTCAAACTCTGGGCGCCTTCTCGCGGCTCTGTGCTGGACAATGGATGGATCAAGACGGCGTTGTTGGTGCGTAAATCGCCCCGTCCCAGCATTTGTCGACTGGACTGACATATCACCTCGAAGGTCGTTTTTGGCCCATTATCGATGTACTTGAGGCGCAAGTGGTATTTCTCGGTAAATACCTATCGAGCATACCGACTTTCCGTCAAAGAAATCCCTCTTGTCGAGGGCAAATGGCCTGGAAGTATCGATTTATTATATAAGCTAATGAAGGCGTTTGAAACGGAGTATGTGGGGGATGCATTTGAGGAGCTCGTGATGAATGGGTGGGATACGATTAGGGTCAGAGTCTTATGGGAGGAGAACGTAGGCTCTTCGTGTTTCATAGACCCGTTTCACATTAAATCTAGATGCATGCTAATGAGGGGTTTATTTAGATACTCACTTTCGAGCCTCAATACGTGAAGCAAATCCTCGCTACAAACTTCCCTAATGTGGGTCCGCTTCATCACTCAACTATTGTAACTGACCATTGAGGTGACACTATATTTCTATTTACAGTATGAAAAAGGCAACGAAGAATTTGGCGAAGCAACTGGCAGCGTCTTAGGCTCGGGTGTCTTCAACGCTGATGGGGACCTCTGGAAATTCCACCGCACCCTCGCAAGACCTTTCTTCTCCCGCGAACGCATCATCGATCACTCATTCTCTATCTTTGAGCGACATTCTACTACAACTTTTGTTAAAATGAAGGAACGTTTTGACGCCGGAGCACCGATTGATTTTCAAGATGTGATGGCTAGGTTTACACTGGATTCTGCCACGGAGTTTTTATTTGGGAGGAGTGTGGAAAGTACAAGTGACGTATTTTTGGAACCCGGTGGTATTGTCCCGGTGTCCATTCCGACTTCGACTCCGGAGAAAGTCGGAGTTCTACATGGACCTTCGGCATACAAGTTTGTCAAAGCATTTGTGCAGAGCCAGATCATCATCTCACTTCGAATTCGGATGGGTAAGATATGGAAATTGACAGAATTTTGGGGCGATAAGAGTCTTCCGCATATGAGGGATATTCATGAATTTTTGGATCCTATTTTGGAGGATGCGTTGGAGAGAGTTGGGAATAAGGGAGGGGAAGGCATTGATGAGGATACGAATTTCCTGATGCATATGATTACTCAGACGAAGGGTGAGCAGGAACGCACTTAGACTAATTTGGAGCGAGTCTAAAGTTATTGATTGACTTCCTAGACCGCAAAATCATTCGCGATTCTATCATGAACATGCTTATAGCAGGCCGAGATACAGTAAGTTCTTGGAATCTCGGATCGATATTCATTTTTATTTATATGCAGACCGCATGCCTTCTCACCTTCGTCATATACATGCTCTCCCAACACCCCCATGTCCTGGAGAAACTTAAAGAAGAGATCAATCGTACGATCGGTCATCAGAAGATACCCACGTTCGATGACATTCGCTTGATGAAGTACTTGCGGGCTGTTCTGAACGGTACGGTTTGTCTTGCCCAATCTGTACTAAATGCTCTCTAAGTCACGAACTTATCTATCAGAAACTCTGAGACTTTTCCCTCCCGTCCCGTTTGACCTTCGGTATGCTATCGAGGAGGACATACTCACATCACCAGACGGAACAAGGTACTATGTCCCCCCAAACACTACGTATGTATATCCAACCCCTTAATCCCACCATTGCTTACTGTATATCGGGATAGGGTTAGCTATGGTATCGTAACCATGCATCGTGCCAAGTCTCTTTGGGGTGATGATGCATTGGAGTTCGATCCTGAAAGGTGGCTCGACGATCGCCTTCGTAGGGTCACCGAAAACCCTTTCATTTTCTTACCTTTCAACGGTAATTCCATGTCCCCGGTTTTGCTCCACTCATTTTTGTCAAGGCTTCACTCATATCATCCTTTCTTTTCTTCCCGTCCTCCAGCCGGCCCACGCATTTGTCTAGGACAACAATTCGCATACAACGAAGCGTCCTTCATGATCATTCGTCTCCTTCAAACGTTCTCGACGATCCAACTTACACCCGAAGCCCAACCCAACGGTTCACTTCCACGATACGATCATTGGGCTCAGAGGCCGGCAATCTTGAATAGGAGACACATTAAGGAGAAGATTTGGCCTAGGTCTCATGTTACGCTTTACGCCGAGGGTGGTCTGTGGTTGAAGATGGGTAGCTACGAAGAGGGCAGTGGCGATGAATGACGCAAGGTGTGCGTTGTGGATTCGCTTGGATGTGAGGCTGCTCGAGATGTATGTACGATATTGTATCCAATCCTCCTACATGTAATAATAAGTCCTCTTTGACTGAAGGCTTTTTGATTGGCTGCTCAAAGGCTGAGCCAGTGGAACGGAAGCGACGCATTGTTGACCTCGATGTTTCGCAATCGTAGTCTTAACTTACCATGACATAGGGGCAATTGGACCTTGGGTGAATTTGCTGACGGCACCAAGTGCCCCTAGAGCATATATATTCGTCTACGGTCTGTACACTGCTAATGGTTTTGGGACTAGCATTTGTACCATTGCAGTACTTGCTTGGAAAGTAATTGAGGTTTTATTGGAGGGCGGGGGTTTAGCGTAAAATGTCTCAGTCGGTTGTGTTACATGGTCAACAGAAAACGAAAAGCTAATTATGGTGTCATAGGTGATCATCCTCATTTCGCAGAGTTTAAAGTTTAAAGTTTAAGCTTGCTTTGGCGGAGCGTCCTCGTCACTCAAGAAGTATTAGAAGTCCAATGTTTTGTATCGCAACCCACCCAAGCTCATCTTACTCTCGAAACTTTTTGATACCCACCTATCATGTCGAGTAAGTCGCCACATTTCAGGCTAAAATCTCACAATTCGGTCGGAAAGATACACGCCTTGTTTGGGCCAAGTCAAAATTGCCCGGGTAGCTGAAGAAACATATGCGTCAAACGCTCCAATTTGATTGCGGACCAGCATGTGTTTCTGAGGAGTGCAAGACTGAATTGTATGCGGATGTGCGCGCTAGCACAAAAGAAGGGAGATTTCCTCGGAGATAAACCTTTGTAATAGATAATAAACACGTAGCAGAGGGTTAAGAATATGAGTCTACAGGGCCGGGGGAGCTATCTCCGGGAGAACATGCACGGAAGCGGAAGAACCTGACTGGAGGTGGGGCTTCGCAAGTGCAAGTAACAGATATTAACAATGTGGCACCCCGATGAGTTATGAGTCCGGGTTCCAGAGGGCCGAGACATTTGTTTCTGGGGCTAGATCCAAATCCTGCATGTAGCACCTTTGCAAGTTGGTTCGAGTTGAAGAGTGTCTTTGATACATCCGTCATTCACGGTAATAAGACGAAAAAAATGAACGAACGCGTGGGCAATGTGTAGGAGCATAGCCCTCTCCGAATAGGACCACCCGGATAAAATATCGCGACAAAGCAGACAGGTCCAATCGTATCTTAAATTCTTTCGTTTCAATTCCGGTGTCTCGACTTCCATGATGTAGCGTTCTTTTTCGGTACCAAAGAGGATCCTCCAATCTGCAGGAGATACATGCGAATGTTTCTCACGGAAGTGATGGACCTCGATACGAAATGTCAGGGGACAGAAGATCGTACGAACGGTACAACCCACACTTCCTCGCCATGTCATTGTCGGCATGGTGCCATCAGTTCCCACACAGGAAGCACACTGAATACGTATATTTTCCCGCTCTAGTTCAGCGAGTGTCATTTGGCTGGGATCCCATCCACTACGCCTGATGACATCGCTGATGACGCCCGAAGCAGAAGCGGCGAACGTCCAGTCGTCAATATCCAATACTTTACAGAGGAGAGCCGACCCCAGATGAGCTATCCTCCAAGCGTTTCCCCCAGAAAGCTCAAAAGCCACGCAAGCCAACGCTAAAGTACTTTCCGGCGTAGAACGACGCAGGTGATTGGGAACTTTAGAGAAAAGCTTTTGCATGACATCGCGGGAATACTCGCTAGCGAGTAGCTGAAACTGGGATATCAAAGAAGATAGGGAATCATGACTATCCCTAGGGTCCCCATCCGTTCGAAGACGATCAAAATCGAGCTCCACAGCGCGAACAGCGTCCTTAGGAAATTGGACTTTCAGCATTTGCGGCATGTGAAGAAGTCAGCAATAACCTTTACGACCGAGAGATGGAGGAATTGCACAGGGGTTGGCCAGACTCATCGCCCGAGGAACAGGACCCATACCATGCGGTGTATTCTTTCGCTATTATCTTTTCCGTGCGCGTTCTAGTCAAGGACTTTACAAGTGTCACTTGATTCGTAGCAGCATCGAAAGCTTTGTCCTTCATTGCAAGCCATTCTGGGCGGAGCCATCAGTGGGCGAAGGCGAGATAAGTCAGTAAGTTAACGAACCTCTTTCTGTTAGTGGCTTGCCTCGATTCGCCCCTGGGATCCGCAAGATTACATCATCCGCCAGCACTGCATCACAGAAACCCAATCCCTTGAGCCGTTCCCGAATCCTAGGTTGGCGCGTCAGTAAGCGAAAGCAAAACCAATACTTAATCATGGAACATATTGGCTCACGATACAAGACGTCCTTGTTTGAGACTACACAGTTCCTTGCCACGTTCATGCACTCGCAGCTGACACCAGTCATCGCATGATTTTGCGTGCTGAATTGAAAATGTGTCACCAGTAGAGTTCAAGTAAAATGGAATGGAGGCGCACCACTTCCAACGCCTCCCGCTCAGCGAGACTTCTTGAAACAAATCCATCCCATTCCACGTCACTCAGTGTGTTCAACTTAATTTTCAGATCCTCAAACTCATCCACAGGACAAATGGTGACATTTGCGAGGTGCCCTTCGAGGCATTATCGTCGTGTTCTGCCGGATGCAGTTTGAGTGGGCTCCACTCACGTTTCATTGTTTCTTGGTGCAAAACCAACCGGCTCGATTCTTCATGCTTCCTGGTGTATCTACCGATGTATAGCTCACAAAACCCAGAATGTGGACTGCATTGGATGTTCAGCGTGGAATATGGAAAGCTTCATAAAAGCAACATACAGTTGGCCTTGGCACTTTCTGCACCAACGCCTCCGCAGGCACCACAGCACTCTGAGAGTCGTTGTGACACCGCATCTCTTAAAGACCCAGCCCATCAGAGAACGAAACATGGAGAAATAGATAACACCGTACCTGGCACACAGTCCCAAAAGCCAGCACAGCATACTGCTGTTCCGTAAGGTCTTCGTGAATGAGCGGTAGGTCAGGGGTGTGGTTCTCTCATGACACCCGCCACACCCATGAACGCTGAGGCTTTAATAGAAGACGCGCGAACATTTTGGCAGCACGAGCAAGAGATAGGAGGCTCCGTGGATGAAGGAAACAGCAGATCTGTCAAATACGATAAGCTCACGGTGCACCGCCCAACTTCATGCACGCGCCTCTGTGATGAGTTCAAGCGGGATGCCGTCTACTAACTGACGCAGTTTTCCAGTACGGCGGACGACTGATTAATGAAATACAAATGGATTGCATGATTCTAAAGCTTGGGAGGCATTGAAAATTCACCTCTTACACCTGTCCTGGTGCCTTCCATATATCGTATTAGTGTGATGCGAGCCTAAGCCAGTTAGACTCTGAATTGATGTATATCAAAAATTGATATCAAGGCAATTTCCGGGAACCGATGGCCTCTTTAGCGGGAAGAGGGCTATACCGCACTGATCAGTGAGAAACACCAGAAGTCCACAACCCAGCGTTGCCTTAAGTGTTTTTTCTTCGTACTGAACGAAGCCTTACGTTACCTTTTATTCTCGGCCGGGTTTGTGATTGGCCCGTCCCTACCACCCACCAGGCTCGAAACACTTCGGCCTATATCGTACCATGCTATTTTAGTTTCATGTCACTTGGCTTGCGCAGAAACCTTCATTAGCCAGCGCAGTTCCCACTGAGAAGATCGTTCATACACTTGAGACTGAAAGACAAGGCCGTCACCGCTAAACACAACAGCCAAGGGCTGGGAATCCCTCTGGTCGTAACTATATTTCTTCAAGTGCAAACCACGCGGCTAAAGTTCTCATTCCACGGGATCAGAGATGGGAGCTCAGTGTAACGATGGCAGTCTCGATGAAATAATCCCCGAAACGTATGTTATGTAGATTTTGTACTCTTTCGGGGGTGGAGTATGAAGTTGTAGGTTCGATTACAATGGTACGCGTGCTGTTTGGGCCAAGGTAAATTGTCCGGATGGTCTCCTCCGAATGGATAACCCGTTACAAAGCAGACAGGTCCAAGCTCTGGCGCTGTGCAGTATGTACCCGAACGTTGATTTCACTCGTTCTGATTCGGGAATCTCGACTTCCAGGATGTAGCGTTGCTTCTGGGCAGCGGGGAGGATTCTCCAATCTGCAGAAGCTGAGTTGGTATGTTGTGATAGACTTTCGATACGAGAAATCAGGGGAAGGAAGATCGTGAAACAGTGCAGCTCACACTTTGTCGCCATGTCATTCATGGCACCATTAGTTCCCGGACATAAGGTACACTGGACCCGTATATCTTCCTGCTCCAGTTCAGCGAGTGTCATTTTACTGGAGTCCCATCCACCGCATCCGATAATGTGGCTGATGGCACGTGAAGGGAAGGCAGCGAACAACCAGTCATCAAAAGCTTTTGTTGTGCGAAGGGGAGCTGATCCCATATGAGCCAAATTACCAGCCGCGGTATCTCCAGGAAAGGAAAAATTCACACAAGCTAAAGCGAAGGTACTTTCCGGTGTGGAAAGGCGCAGATGCTGGGGGACTTAAGAGAAAAGCTTTACGTGGCATCGCGGGGATACTCGCTAGCAAGCAGCTGAAACCGGGATGTTAATGATAAGGTAGCATCGTCATCCTTAGGGTCACCATCGACTCGTACAAGACGATCAAAGCTGAACTCCACGACAGCGTGAACGATGTCCTTGGGAAATCGGATCTTCAGCATTCGCAATATCTGGAGAAAGCAGTGCCAACCTTTACAACTGGAAGATCAGGGAATTGCTTAGGGGTCAGCCAGACTTCATCTCCTGGAGAACGGCACTCGTAGCATGCAATGTTACTCTCTGTATTGTGCGTTGTTCAGTAAAGCCCTTTGTTATTTGTCTCTAGCAACATTGAGAGCATCTCCCTTCATCGCAAGCCATTCTGGATGAAGTTATCAATGGCCGAAGCTAAGACAATTGTAGCTTAAGATAGTAAGTTAGCGAACCGCTTTCTGTTAAGGCTTGCTTCGATTTGCTCCTGGGATCTACGAGATTACATGATCCTTTAACATCTCTTCGTAGAAGCCCAACCCCTTCAGCCGTTCCCGAATCTTAGATTGGCCGTCAATAATCGAAAGTAAAACAGGATGCGTGATCATGGAACAAATAGGCGCACGTTCTTGTTTGAGAGCACATAGTTCCTTGTCGTGTTCATCTACTTGCAGCTGGCACCAGCTGTCACGTAATCCTGCATGCTGAGAATGCGTCACCAGCGGCAACACAGATGAAGACGCACCATTTCTAGCGCCTTGCAGTCAGCGAGACGTCTTGAAACAATTACTCCCCATTCTACGTCAGTTAGTGGGTTTAACTTGATTCTCAAATCTTCAAGCTCATCCACAAGACAAATTGTTCTTGGTCCATAGCCATCTGGAGAGTGTTCTTCGAAAAATTGTCATTGCGTTCTGCCAGGTACAATGTGTATTTATATATCCTCTCGGTCGACGAATAGATCACAAAACCCAGAATGCGGACTAGATGAATGTTTAGCGCAAAATACGAGAAGCCACCCAAAAAAGACATACAGGTAGTCACGACATCTTCTGCACCAACGCCTCCGCAAGCGCCGGCTCGCTTTGAGGCACCTCATCAGAGAGAATTTCCGGGTGAAAAAGATACTTAGTACCATACCTGGCATGCATTCCCAAAATTCAGCACGGCATGCTGCCGTTCCGTAAGGTCTTTCGTGAATGGGTGGTATATCAGGGACATAGCTCTCTCGCGACACCCTCCACACCCATGAACGCTCCGGCTTTAGTAGAAAGCGCGCAAACATTTTGGTAGTACGAGCGACAGACAGAAGACTTCGCAGATGAAGGGAAAGGCAGATGAATTCAAGCGGGATGCCATCCACTGGCCGACGAAGTTTTCCATTGCGGCGGCGGACTAATTCATGAAATACGGATGTAAGTGATGGATCGCGTGCTTCCAGAGCTCGGGGTATGTTCAAGTCCACCTGTCCAGACGCCCTTCTAATGTCACCTTGGTTCGTTGAACCCAGACGTCACAGTCACTCCATCAAGGCATCTTCCGCCCCGTCTCTGAACTGACGGCAACCACCGACAACATCCTTCCTCGGTATCATGGGTCATTAGTAGGTCAGCCAAGCTTCGCCGCGGGAGCCCTATGAGAGCAGACCCCGCTCTGGGCCCTACAACTACGAAGTGTCTCGTGAACACTGGTCCTGCTCTTAAAACCAGCGCGGTGAGGCCCTTTGAGTAAAGGTTGCCTTAACTGAAGCGTTTCGACCGATCACCTATGAAAACAACTGCTTCTGAGCGCTTCTGAGGGTCGTCCGCTGTGCGTCTCAAGGACTGGGCTATGGTCACTGTTGGGACAAGACCTTTAGTTGCCCAGAAGACTGTATTGCTGAGTGAGCCTAGCCTCAGGTGAAAGTCGGCTATTTTAGCTTCAGGTTACTCCAACCTGAGTGGGCCTGTGCGGGGCCTCCGCTCGCTGTGACAATCCGACTGACATGGCTGAAGAGGATCGTTTATATACTTCGGAGTGAAACGCAAAACTCTTACTGTAGCGATGGACTGAGGGTTCTTCTGGTCGCAACTATACCACCACGATCTCATTTCACGGGTGGGAGATGGAAATCTACTTCGCGAACTACATCTAATCAGCAAGGATGTGCAATCCTACTCGTGGGTACAGAGACGGACAGGATGCTTTCTGGCCTGGCATGGTGATGGTGATTCTTGTGCCAGTCTCGATCCGATACAAACTGGTCGTAGCCCGATCAAGTCGTCTGCCTGCGAATGATTTGACAAACACACGCCGAGCGCGGTTGTTGTCTTGTGGATTCGTTTTCCGCCTCGTTCCGATCAATTCCCATGGCTGCTTGGATGAAAACCCCTGAGGCGTGACTGGCACCAGTGAACCTAATGGTCTGATCAGGCCCGCGATGACCCTTCTGTTCCAGCTAATGGGGAGCTTCACTTTCAATCTGCTCAGGGTATCTTGTGCATGAGCCATTGCGTAGCCCAACGTTCCACACCAACACATTGTCAACCACCAAACCCTCCGCGGCAGCGGCGACCCTTCCCCTTTTTGCACCCGTCCCTTTTTGTTCCTAAAGCGAGGCTAGAAGATCAAAACTGATCGTTTTAGTTCTGATCAACCTTATCTCCATTTAATCCCGATCGGTTCCGCGGCCCTTGCTCCTGCCCTAATGGATCGCATTTGCTATCGCCCGCCCTACACATCACATGTGTAATGATTGCTGGGGTGGTCCCCTTTACCGTTCAGGCCACTTGACATTCGCCCCGCTTATTCAACAAATGTGACGAAATATCATGATGCGTTGTGTGACTTGGCGTGACTAATGTATGATGCGTTATACACTCCTTTTGCGCTACTGGAATTGGCCGGTATCGGGAACTTTTTTTTTTTTGGCAGAAAGGCCGGCTATTGATTGATTGATTGTTTCCCGATCGAGCCAACTCGACAAGGAAGATGTTCCGATATGGCTAGGTCTCACTTTTGCGTGATGCTGTTAGCTAGTGACTCGTTGCATGCGCCTTGCATGCGCAGCGCAGCTTTTTAATCTTTTGGTTTTGGGAACACATGCACTTTTCATAATGGGATCGAGGCACTTGTGGCCAATATTGAACAATAACTTGACCAAGATCCGCGGACATCACTGAGAACTCGCGGTTATTTTTTTTTTTGTCTTCGGTGAAAGTTTGGAATCGGATTTAGATAGATTCATGCATTTCTTTTTTCTTTCCCAACTTGAACACATGCGCTGATTGCTCTCGCATCTGCACACATGGTCGCAATTGTGGGGACGTAATGGAAAGTATTTACAGTGATTGCATTTTGGTTAAAAGTGCATCATCGGATCATGGGTAACTTTCGATGTAACGCGGGTTGGACTTGCTAGTACTGTTTGGCCAGAAAGTTGAGCCTTTGATCCTATGTGTTCGTTTGGTAGTGTTAATTGCTTATATATATAAAACCGCGCTTGTGAAGATGCGTGAGTAAAAATGACTATCTATGTACGGATAACGTTCACCTCGGCGACCTCCAGGACGTATCCAAATGGGGACTAATGGGATAATGTAATGCGCAAGTATATCACATCGCTCAAGATCAGATTCAGCTCCAGCAGTACTGGCGCAGCTGGGGTACCCTCATTATCCTGTGCGGCACAGTAGGTCCCTCAGGTGACAATCGGATATAACGTGAGTGTGGGGACCGGTTCTATGGTGCCTGCACTGATTAGCCTCGGGTGGCTTGCGGGTTACTTGCGGGCATTTAGCCAGGAAATTGTGGCACAAGTGATGCGGTGGTTGTCCAATATCTTAGATAGGGCCAAGGCAGATCGAGTACCGTGCGCGTGGTGGAGGGTCAGCTGTACGTGTGCGTCGTACACACGGTTGGGTGAGGCCAGGTCAGGCGTGAGGCCGAAACAAGGGTGGTCCAAAATGAGTGGCTGATAGGTTTCTCTAATTATGGATATGAATGTTTTGTCGGCACTTGGATGCGAGCACCTTCCTATTGGGTACAGTGGATCCGGAGGGGGGGGGGTACAACTCGTTTAGTTTAATTGACCGATGGGATAGATTGGCCCGCTGCCTCGCATCGTCGCTAGAGTTGCAGCAGCAAGCGAGGGCTGTTGGAGGCGCGCGGGCACAAGCGCTCAAACGTTCAACGGATTGATATGTTTGATCAATAAGCGAGTGTACAAGGTGGGGCTGCGTCATGTGCATGAGAGGGAAAGTAGGTCCTGCATATTGATTGTAATCTGTGATCCTGATGCGAACTGTTCAAGTCTATACGAATCCTTACCAAAAGCTCATCGATCGGTTCGGCCACAGTGACTCTCGTGAAAAAGATCATGCGTCCTACGAGTACATGCATGGCTTGCAATTGCGCTGGCCAGAAGATCAACGCTAAACGTAAAGAGTTAAAGAACTGCGATCACCTTGGACTTTAGCATTTAATATGCTATTTCATTTACCGTGGAACTTGATCAGGGAATGAATTCAGTATGCATAGGGTTGAAGCGTGTGCGAGTTACTTATTGCTACCTGCCCTGCATTAGCGACAATGGATCCGGATAGATATGCGTGTCGCGTAGAGTGAGGCATTGCAATTGCACTGCAATCAGTTGTACGCATCGAATTCCATATGCGCTGTGCGAGCGCCAGTTGATGGAATTTCCGCTAAAGAGTAAACAGTCTGCGGAAATGAGTGTCCATATGCAATTATTTGAATATAAAGAATCCTGAGATGAGTCGAGACTTGGATGGATGGTTTGGATCATCAGATGTGAACCCAGAATATTAGGTAAATTGTTGGAGAGGTGATGGACGAATTACCAATATGTAAGGAGAAAGACGTGCAGCGGTGATGGCGAAGAATGGATACGGCCTTCCCAGCCACCATCAAAATGGTGTCGGGTTGGTGACGGGATTGAGTTGATTGACCGATCCAAAAACCTCGTCCAAGTCCAGTTCCGAACCCATTCGGTCAAACTTCAGATCGCTTTCTTTTTGTTTCATTGCGGACTTTTTTTTCTTTTGGTTTGTTTGTTTGGGATTTTGCTTTTCTGGGTAGACTGCCGGACGTGGGAGGACCCAAGGGACAGGATATTTCTCCGGGACAACAATTCATCATTTTGCTGCTATGCGGGCAAAACTGACTGGGAAAGATGAGTCGGTCGGATGGAGAGTGACAGAAGAGAAAGATACATTTGTGGTCAAGGGAAGAGGGAGGAGAGGGAAGGCGTGTGTGAGGCGATAATTTGGTAGAATTTCAACAAGTGAATTGTAAGGAAGAAGCCGTGCGAGCGTGCAAGGCCGATCTCCTCTAATTGCAATACTTTGTACTAATCAGCAGGTCCCATCCCGTACCTTCTCTGCTCCCTTGCTCTCTCCTGCTGCACCGTTCCATGCCTGTCACTTCCGTCACCACCTCACAGGCAATGCGTACCCGTCCAACAAAGAAAAGGTACTTATCCTATCCCAATCATAGCCCCCTGCTCCCTCCAGTGGCAAGCACGCTTTCAGCTACAGAGATCGCTCACTATCGCTCATCCTTTAGACGACCTCCTCAGTCATCCAATAATCTAAAAAGAAGGCTCACAGTAAGATAAACCATGTTCCTCGCTTGGTCCTGACGACACTGAGCCTTGTAATTACAATCCATGCGCGCACGTTCACACTCAATAGCGATTGAGTGACCTCCCAAGGCCACTCTCTCCCTCGGTGACGCCTTCGCCTCCACCATCCAGATCCTCTTCCCCTGCGTCATTCAGTCTCAAGCGAAAGCGCGACGGAGAGCCCGAGGCGCCGGCGAGCAAGAAGGGCAAGCTCTCATCTCCGAGTGCAGCCACCAATGCCCTGACTACACCGGCCGGACCGCATGTGCCTTCCGGCTCTGCTTCTCCTTCGGGGCCTATCCCCAATCGTCATACCCCTACCCAACTCTCAGCACAACGCTCGTCCACGCCTGTGTACTCATCCCATTCCATTGCTTCCGCTTCCACCGCCGTTTCAACCCTAAAACGATCTCCTCCGCCCGCGGCTCCAAATACTAGTGCACCGCCGCCGCCTCAAACACAACATCAACACCAGAATAAGGGGACAGTCGGCGCTAGCTTGACCGTCCCCCACAGGCAACGCCGCACACGGACACACTCCGAGTTAAATGCGCTATCTTCAGAGTATGTGGTATTTTTCCTTTATCCCTTTAGCCGTTTGCCCCATTTATCCCCTTTCTGGGATACTCCTTTCCCGCGGGATTCCGACTTGCCCCCTCCGGGGTGTTGGTTGGCATGGATATTATTTATCCAACTCACCCGAACCTTATTTTTATACTCCTCATTCCCTCATATATTCAAATGACTTCACTTGTCCATGCATGCGTCCATATTTTGAAACTGACTCTCCTCATCGCCCCCCCCCCCTCACTACTTCCGTTGCGATAGATACACAGCACGCGCCCGGCTCCTGAAACGATCCGGCGAGAAACGTGTCAAGGAGCGGACGAGTCCTCGATCGATACTGATAGGCTTACTCGAGATGACGGAAGGTCTCATCGAGTTTGTGTATCAGGTGTATATCACGGACGTGATGAACGGAAGGGTGAACGTTAACAGTTGGCTTACGTTTCATGGCTTGATGAATGTTTGCATGAGTCGGTGGCAGGATCATGCGACGACGGATCGACAACGGTTGATGGTCGGATTAATGTAAGTCCCACTCCTTTCGCTTGTTGTCTGCCCTTAATTGGGTTCGGGGGATGTACGTATACTGCGATTGGTGGAGCGGAGAGTGGCATTGCTCAACCCTCCGGAGCATCAATTGTCCGCGTTACTCCCCTGGTTTCGTCCTTGTTTCTGATGGCGTTCTTATCTGATTTGCGTTCTTTCATCCATGACAGACATCTCGTACAGGCGAGCGTGTACTCACGCACATCTAGCATTAATTTTAGAGATATGAGCAGGCGAATGGATCAATTAACGTCGACGTCCCCTGCGCCACCTAGTGTTCCACCGCCACCCTATAGCGTCATGTCTTCCACGACTTCCATGGGCCTTGTACCGCCATCCTCGGCGGCACATGGTGGCACGCCAAACCACCCAACACCACCTCTTATCTCCCCCGAACCATCGCCTCGTGCATCTTCTTCCACATCCTCACCATCCCCTTCCGTCGTGGGTCACCACGCATCTTCCTCCATATCATCCCACCCATCGCATGGAACACCCAACCCACACGCACCTTCACAACCTTCATATCTCCATCATCCCCAACAATCCCAACATGGGAGCACTCAACAGCCAAGACCGCCCCCGTTACCTGAAGTTTGGGATTTACTTCGGCATACACATCGGAGCGCAAAAGGGTTTGCGGACGCTCACGCGATGTTGAATGGGAAGACGATGGGCAAGTTCTTCCCTGTTACCTGGGGAAGGTGCCTTGAGTGTCGGTTTGGGATTCGTGAGGGGATGTGTGTCTCTCTTGCGGCATGTGCAAAGGAGGACCCAATTTCATCATCATCTACTTCTACTTTCGGTCCTGCCTCGTCATCGGCTACCGGTTCTACCTCTGCATCCGCTACATCTCCATTTTCCCCTTCTTCCCTAGCTTCGACACCCCTTGATACTGGATCGGGGGGAAAGGAGGAAGGAGAAGCGGAAGAAGCGGAAGAAGGTGAGATGGAGGAAGATGGAGGAAATGCGACAGCGGTATCAACAGGAGGCGAAGAAGAGCCTGAAGTGGCCGGATGGTATTGGCCTGTTATGTCAGGCGATCATGTGCCGCACATGGTTGGGTTTGCGAAGAGTCTGCTTTGGGAGTTTGCAAGGGCTGAGGTGGGTGCGAGTGGGACGAAAGAGGCATACAGAGGAGATGCTGGCGTGAACGTGGATTATTGAGTGAGTTGTCATCCAAAGCGCCTGGTGGAAAGTGGCCCTGGTTTTGGGTGTTTCTTTTTTCGTGGCCAGATCTCAGGCGTCACTGCGCAGGTGGCATAGTGGGCTAGATCGTGGGATCTGGGTCGCGATCGCGATTGCGACTTATGGGCAGGAGGATTCATGCGGTTCTACGAAGGTTGATCCGCTTCTACCCTGCGATTGCACGCGATCGTGACATATGCAAGCCTCATACACATTACCACGGACTAAGGATCATGCTAAACCTTCTATCCTCCCCGCGTTCCAATCTCCCTGGTGTCCTCGGATCCCAACCCCGGATTTTAACCATTTCCACCATTTCCCAGAACTTGTGGGCATCATCGGCGCAGCCCGCCGTCCTATTTCCATTCTCATCTTCTTCCTACAATGAATCAATGATTGATATTGAATCTAGACCTTTTTGGGTTAACATTCGATCTCTCCATATTGGAGATTCCAATTCCTTACCATTGCTCGCTTCGCACACACACTCACGGAATGTTGAACCCCCCCACTTTTGCCCACGCATATCCTTCTTTTTAGTAGAGGACTCGAGTTTGGAGTACTGCGATGGGCATATGGGTGACAGCGTTGATTGTCCAAATGAAAGGAAGGAGCCTTGTGTTACCGAGATGAAATGGTGTGTTGGGGTTATCTTGGACCAACTATTGGGACATCATGGCGGCGATTGTTCTCCCATGGCCTGACGGAGAGCGTTTCTCTATGCCGTTCGATATCCCACAGCTCATTTACGCTGATCTGGTTCTCACAATCCCGCAGGACCCTCGGACATGACATGTTCTCATTCCCGCTCCTAGCCCTTTTTTACTACTCTTCCTCTTCCTCTTTTGGGTTACATACACTTTGCAAGGGATGATCCTTCTTAGCCTATTCGCACTTCTTGCGGCGTCGGCGCGGTCTCGGGTTCGTGGTTTCTGCCTCCGCTCGTTTGAGGCTAAGTATCGAACATGTCCTCGGGCCTCAGGAGCCGTCCTGCTTCGTGTAAAGACTCAAAACTTGTCTCTCGTTCACTCCGAACTCGCTTAGTCACTCACGTGGTTCGGGGCGCGGGCATTTCAACCTACGCGGTAATAATTCGTTGTCGCTTCAGCGCCACACTGCATAGCCTTGCTTTGTGACCAACTCGGATCTCAGCCTCCATTTCACCTCTGCAAGTTTTATAGTGATGTTTCCCCCCCTTTTTTTTTTTTTCTTCGTATGTTTAGAAAAGGAGTTATTGTTGATCGGAGTTTTTTGGCCCAAGTTACTACTACTATTCCCTAATTTACATCATCGCATTCTCAAAAAAGCACCATGGCGAGCGAGCGGGGAGGGATGCTTTTAACAAGCCATTCGCTGACTTATTTGGGCCGTTCTTTTCTTGGTATTCGCTGTTCGCTCCTCCTTTTCCTTGTTCACACACACACGCTTGATCGTGATTCATCCATTCATCTAATCAAATCCAACACTTTTCCACTGCTTTACTTTTCCAAATTTTTCTTTTCCAGCCGCCCAATTGCTATCACATTCCAACCCCCCACCCCACCATATCGCCATTTCTTTCTGGTTTTTTCCCTCACATCCAAATTTGTACCATTATCATTGCCAATCTTCATTAGCCCCTTCTTTCCCCGCCCTCTCCGCCCCTTTTCACTTCGTGTTTTCATTATCTCATTGACTACGTACATTTGACCCTTTCTCGCTCACTTTTCTCTGCTCAATTTTCAAATTCTCGGCTTCCTAATCCAAATCTCGATCTCATTATATTTCCACATTATTATTTTGCACAGTCATCATGATTGTCTTTCTGCTTTTGTAACAATAAATGGGAGTGTTTGAGGTTTGAGCGTTAGTTTGGCTATAGTCAGTTTTGGCTAAGGCCGTTACGGCTATGTTGCTTAGTCATGATTGAGGCCAATCAGCTTTGGGCAATTTGTTCAAGTGCACAATGGTTGCTTCTGGTGGTTGAAGCGGTCATCTTCAGCGAGTAAAGAAATGGGCAATCCGATTTACAGTAAGGGTGATCATGAGTTCTTTGGTTTGGCAATCTCAACGGCCTGGCAATGGACCTCGCTGACCCCCGCGCGCACCGACCAAACGCAGTTAAGACCCCTCCCACTGAATAGCGTACCAAGCGAGATCGATGGTTTAAAAGAGGGCCAATCCAACACTCTTAAGGTCGACCATCTGAAATTGACAAACATAAACATGAGCTAGCCGAATTGTAAGGAGGAAAGGAGTTGTATGTCGTTGGTTGGCTTTGTTCAAGCATTGCCTAGTGTACGATTGGGTCTTCGGATTTGTGGGGATAAAAGACAACAATTCTAATGAAGGGCGTGTGATATGTGTGAATCGGTCACCTCCCTCCCATCTCTCGACAGGCCAATCAGAATCCCAAATCATGACCTCACATGTCGGTATATCTTTGGTGCTCGGATAACAAGGTGGGTACCGTCACGCATACAAAGAGTAACCGCCCATCACCCAACTGGATATGTGGCACGATAAACCTAAACCGCATGTTCCAAAAAGGTGAATGCGGCTGCGCGTCTTATGTGTGACCTCGGCAAATGATCAGTCACGAGGGAACGGTTGGGTCGGAAGGTAAATCCTTGGGTAGGTTGGATGGGATGCTGATGGGAATTTCTTCTTCGGTGATTGTATCCCAGATCCGTACCGTCGTGTCGGATGATGCTGAGGCTACCCTGGATAATATGAGACCGAGGCGACCTTTTTGGTGTGCCCCAGAGGACTTTCACCGCTTCCCCGGTCACAACATCTTAGCTAGATCCGTACTACGTAGTCATTGGATGCCAAGACCAACCTGGATCCATCAGATGAGTATGACACTGAAGTGACGGATCCGGTGTGCCCTTGGAAGACCTTGACTTCCCGGGTCACCAGATTTGTACTATCCTGTCATCGGAAGGCCTTGAGTTCTTCCCCAGTCACTGCATCCTAGATCCGTGCTGCGTTATCGCGGGATGCTGAGGCTAACCTGGATCCATCAGACGAGAATGAGACCAACTCAACCCAATCGGTGTGCCCCTGGAGGGCGTGGAGTCCCCTGGTTACCACATCCCAGACCCACATTGTCTTATCACAGAATGCTGAAGCTACCCTGGACTCATCAGGTGAGAGTGAGACTGAAACGACGGAATAAGTTTGCCCTGAGAATACTCGGAGTTCTTCCCCAGTCACCACGTCGAAAATTCATACTGTATTGTCAACCCATCAGATGAGAATGAGGCAGACTGAGCAGCATACACTTGGGTGGTGTTAAAGCAGCTATCTCATCGATAATATACCCCTGCGCCGTTGGGAGGTATTCACAAGAAAGCCCATTGTATAGCCTACGCCAATCTGAATCGGGGGAACGAGACAGAGCTGGATGTGTGATATGGCCAGCAGTAGCCGAAATAACTCTATAGTATCAGTAGGCAAAGCGACGGCATCGCAATCGGAGTTGGAGTAGCGGGTTTTGACCCTGTGATTGGTGGTCTTGACTCCATAAACTGGTACTACTGTAGATATCGTTCGGGCAGTCAAAGTTGAGATTACATACCTTACACCACGTAGCCATTTTCTCTAATGTGATCCCGTTCCCAGCCGGCTCAACTCTTCCAACCACCTGATCACAAAGTCAGCCATGAATATTTCTAACCCGCCCAAAAGTTCCGTGGAAGGGTTTCCAATCTCGGCGGACATCTTCGATTGAATTTGAAGAGCGAGATCTGGGATGTCTGAGTTAAGGACCAAGGGGCCAGAGAGTTGGACAACGTTTCCCTTCGGTAAATGGCCAAGGGTCCCAATGCAGTGTAGAGCAAGACGAGATTGCACTCTTTTCTAGGCGTTCTGGAGAGTCCATTCAGGGATGTCTTGTGGTGGTGGGGTGGGGGGTATCCGAACCTTGCGCTAGGTCCGCACTTTGGATAAAAAATACCGCGATGGAACGACTGTGCTACCCTTTTGGCTTGGCGAAGCTTAAGGGTTGTTGTGACAATTGAATGGTGTACAACAAAATAGGCGAGGCATAAAACCTATGCACCTGGGCCGAACTTTTAAATGCCTTCATGACCTTCTACAAGATTAACAGATCGACTACGTTGCAGGTAGCTTACCATATCAGGTGTCACACCAGCCACCCGCTCAGAAATTCTCCGGGCTGCTGTGTTACGAGCAACCGGAATTCCAAACATGTAATCCCCATCGGCCGAGGCTCCAAGATACTCCTGCAGAAAACGAACAGAAATCCAGCAGTTCTCCTAGAGCGATCACTGCGGAATCATACCCCAGTAGCTCTTCGCAAATGATGCGAAGATAGACACCAAAGTCGCCAAGGAAGGGCAGTCTTTTAAATCCTCGAATGTTTTCCCTTCCGGTGAGGGCCTCCTCAGTTGCACCTACAAGGATGCAAATGAGGGAAAAAAATGACGGCCTCTCACCGCATCGTTGGCATTAGTTTTCGTGCAAGTCGCAAAAATAACCCAATCCAGCCCTGCGACCCGAGCCATATATCCTTTTCCCCTGGACGCCGTAACTGAAGGACGAGGAAGCGATGTTGGATGGACTTTCGATATTGAGAGTAGTAGGATGTGCTGATGATCCTGGCCGTTTGAAGCCATGAGGTGTTCTCTTTAGAAAATGTTCTCCCGCAGCTCCTGATTGATAGAGTCGATGCTTTGGAAAAGGTCAAAAAGTGGAGAAGTTAGAGAAGGTATTAAAGGTAGAAAGGGCTGGTGTAAGACTCGGAGGTGGTTAGGCACCTGTGAGCCCGGTACTTTCGTTGTCTTCAAGTGGTTCGATAGCATGTTGAATATTCACGCCAGACTCCGTCTCAAAGAAACCCTCCTAGGAGAAGGGATCAACAATTCCGTCATCAAGGTCGATGATCAGGTGCTTGACCACACTCACAAGACGATGGTCCTCAGACTCTCCCTCGAGAATTCACAGTTTTCAGCGGTGACGCCCCATGTCACGAAAATACAGCTTCAGGAGCAAGGTCCCCTGCTCTAGAGTGCTCCTGAATGCTAGAGCACTTGTGGGCACTTGTCGGGTTTTCCTGACTGGCACTGGAGGACGGTACATCGTCGATCAGTGGAGGTTGAACAGCGTCAGAATCCTCATCCGTTTCTTTGACACATTTGAGGCACATGTGACAGCGAAATGGTGTGATGTGCTCCGGCTTTTCATACCAAAGGGCCAGCAGCCCTGAAGAGATGTAGTCACACTCGGAGTGTAAGCGACGCTAGTTACCATTTTGGGGCGAAGCCAAATTTGGCTGCACCACGCAGGAAAGGAAACTCTGAGCGTTAGTGATTCAGGTTGAGTCGTTATGTTTTCCCTATAGAGTGCACGCATAGGATTCCTTCTGTGAGCAGGCTGTGCTGGTGCCTACACAGTGCCATATGATTGATTTTGATGGGATGCACGTAAACTTACACGATGTTCTGACCAAACTAATCTGACCGTCAATGTTGTGTGCTGATGGACATCTGAGCTCACTGACGAACACATGCACAAGGTTTTACGTAAGGTGGAGGCGGAGCCTTGATACTAGCAGTTCGGTTGCCAGAGCTGACGCGTTGTTAGCCGCCATGCATCTTGCGGTCCCTTCATTGTGACGCAGAGCAAGCTGCCACCTGGGAATTACAAGCATAACATCTGGGACCCAGCCCTCGATCGAGATTCCGTAACCAATCCCGGAGAAGTCTGCTTATTCTCATTCGGAGCCGCGATGCCAACACAACTAGTGTCCGTGTCTTCAGTAAATAAAAGATGAGGGCGAGATTAGAGGTATCGTTTCCCATTCCCCCCATCTGGCATTCCATGCCAGTCAGAATCCCCATTACGACATCATGTATGTGCACAACGGTGTTTCTTCGGTGCTCGGATAGTGAAAAGCCCATGGCCATCCGTACGAACAGTAATGGCTTGCCCATCTTGCGAAATTTCCCAATTGGATATAACGTCGCTGATATAAGAAGGGGCAATAAAATGAGGGGTTCCGCATCTCCCTAGAAAAAGGTGAAGGCGGTTAGGCTTATCATGTTTGACTTCGGCAAATGAGCAGTCGTAGGGAATAGCGACTGGGTCGGAAAACGGATTCTTGTGCAAATCAGAATGGAAGGACTTGTTCCCAACAGAAATTGCTTCCCCGATTACTGCATCCCAGATCCGTACCGTCCTGTCACTGGATGCTGAAGCTACCTTGGATCCATCCGATGAGAATGAGACCGATGTAACCCAATCGGTGTGCCCTAGGAGCACCTTGAGTTCTTCCCCAGTCACGGCATCCCAAATTCGTATCGTCCTATAATCGGATGCCGAGGCTACCCTGGATCCATCAGATGACAATGAGACCGACTGAATCAAACCAGCGTGCCCTTGGAGGGTCTTGAGTCCCTTCCCAGTAGCTGCATCCCAGATTCGTACTGTGCTGTCCGAGGATGCTGAGGCTACCCTGGATCCATCAGACGACAATGAGACCGACGTGACCCAATCAGTGTGTCCTCGGAGGACCTTGAGTTGTCCCCAGGTCACAGCATTCCAAATCCGTATCGTCATATCACTGGATGCTGAGGCCACCCTGGATCCATCGGATGAGAATGAGACCGACTGGACGGAACCGTGGTGTCCTCGGAGCACCTTGAGCTCATCCCCAGCCACCGCATCCCAGATTCTCACTGTTCCGTCCAAGGATGCCGAGGCTACCCTGGATCCATTGGATGAGAATGAGACCGACAAGACCCAACTAGCATGCCCTCGGAGGACCTTGAGTTCTTCCCCCACCGCAGTGTCCCATATTCGTACTGTCCCATCCATTGAGGCTGAGGCTGCCCTGGATCCATCAGATGAGAATGAAACCGAAAAGACCCAACTAGCGTGCCCTCGGAGGATGCATAGCTCTTCCCCAGTCACAACATCCCAGATTCCTACTCTCGCGTCGCTGGATGCTGAGGCTATCCTGGATCCATCAGATGAGAATGAGACAGAGATAACCGCGTTGGGGTGCCCTCGTATGATGTTGAGGCAACCGTCCCATCCAGAACCCAGGCCTTCCGCCGTTGGCAGGTATTTATCGAATGATTTGGGGTATTGCATTTGCCAATCTGAGTCGGATGAATGAGACATAGCTGAATGTCCGATATGTCCGGCAGAAACTGAGATGACTCCGTAGTATTGGTAGACAAATCGACGACACCGTAGCAGGGATCGGAGTAAAGATTTTCCCAAACTCCGGTCTTGCAAATTGCGGCTCCAACCCTATGAACTGGTGTTAAATACCAATAGCAATTGGTGAGTCAAAGCGGATGGCATACCTGGTACCACGCAAAAACTTTGTCCAGCTCAACAAGTGCATTCTTTGTTGCCCCTAGGAGGCTCAGAACTTCCAACCATCTCATCATTGATTCGACGAAAAACGTTTCTAATTTGTTCAGTAGTTCCGTTGAAGGGTTTCCAATTGCCGCTACGTGGAGAAGGCCATAAAGCGCAGCATATTCAACATCGGAGGAAATCTTCGATTGGATCTTGAGAGCGAGGTCCGGGATGTCAGAGTTGAGGATCAAGGGATTAGGGAGTTGGAAAGGATTTTCCTTTGGTAAACGGCCAAGGATGTCAATACAGTGTAGAGCAACACGAGAGTGCAAATCAGCCTTTTCTAGGCGTTCCGAAAGTGAGAAATCCGTAATCCACTTCAGGATGTCTTGTGGGCGGTAGTGGGTATCTGAGTCTTGGACCAGGTTTGCAGTTCGGGTGAAGAATACCCAAACGGAACGACCAAGCCACCCTCTTGGCTTCGCAAGGTTTAGGAACTGCCACTGCAGGACAAAGAACCAAGGTGAAAATCAAATGGCGTGCAACAAAAAGACCTATGTACCCGAGCCGAACTCTGCAATGCTGTCATGATCTTCTGCGAGATTAACCAACTCGGGATTGGATGTGTTGAATGTAGCTTACCATACGGGGTGTTACATCGGCCATCACTCGCTCAGATATTCTCTGTCGGACAAGAGGTGCTATGTTCCGGGCAACCAGAATTCCGAACGTGTAATCCCCATCTCCCGAGATCCCAAGATGTTCTTGCAAAAGCGAACAGAACGTCCAACAATTCTCCTAGAGCGATCATGATCATAAGTATGCTTCATCGGTCTGATTACTGCAGGATCATACAGGCCAAATTTTATACTCCAGCAATTCTTCAGAAATGACGCGAAGATAGACACCAAAGTCACCAAGGAAGGGTGGTCTTTTAAATATTTGAATGTTTTCCCTGCGTGCCTCTCCGGTGAGGGCTTCCTCAGACGCTGACAGCTGCACCTGTACGGATGTCAGCGGCAAATGAGGCGACAAATAAATGACCTCTCACTGTATCGTTGGCACCAGTTTTTCCGAGTTTTCGTGCGAGTTGTAGAAGACTCAATCCAGCCCTGCGATCAATCCGAAGCCATATATCCTTCTTCCCTGGACGCCATAACTGGAGGATGAGGAAGCGATGTAGGATGAAATTTCGATACTGAGAATAGCAGGATGTGCTGACGATCCTGGCCGTTTGAAGCCATAAATGTTGTCCGATGACATTCTCACAAAGATCCTTTAGAGAAAAGGTTTTCCCAGAGCTCCGGATCGACAGAGTCGATGCTCCGGAAAAGGTCGAAAAGTTGGAGATGGTGGAGGAGTTAGAGAAGGTAGTGAAGGTTTGTGTAACAGGAGGGGGTTGGACGCCTGTGATGAGACCGGCACCTTCATCATCTTCAAGTGGCTCGATAGCATTTAGAGCATTCAGGCCAGGCTCCGTCTCGAAGAAATCCTCCTAGGGGCAGGAATCAACAATTCACCAAAGCGGATAATGATCGGACGCTGAATCGTACTCACAGGGTGATCGTCTTCAGTCTCTTGAAAACCTTCCTGGGAAAAAACACCCTTTGCTCCACCAGACAGGAGTGCATCGTTCGATTCTTCTACACGTGGGAGGGGCATGTTATGTCAGTGAACTGGTATGGCGCGCTCAAACTTTTCGGTTAGTCACCTGCCTACAATACCCACCCAGTCGGAACGCAAGCCGTTTTCAAAATTCCTGGCAAACTCCGTAATCTGTTTGAATGGCGGCGATGGATACGGATGGCGGAAGGATGAAGAACCAATACACGTTCAATTTAGGAACTACCGGCTTTCGTTCGTGATAACTCGGTTTACATACCTACTGATGAACGGCAATAAGGCAAACCACTAGGGGTTCCTAATAAGACAGATCTCATATCCAGAGTATCGAATCTAGTTGGTCGATGAGAGCTAAGAACAGTGAGAGTGTACCACTACCGGAATTTGCACAGTCATAGACCCAGTTGTGCCAGATCCAGTCCGATGTTAAGAGCAAATATTGCATTGCTCCCAATTGTAACTCCCGTGAGCTCAGCCCATTGTATTGGATAAGTGAATACAGCTGGAGGCCTTTAGTGTCTCGTGGGTTGACATCGCGGCGGGCTAGCTTATATTAGGCCGTCCGACTGTGTCCTAGTCTTTGATTTAGTGCAAAGGTTCTGAGCCATTTGAGGTGGTTCGGGAAAGAGACTCAAAAGGCAGAGTCGTCCGACAATGAATGAGGAGAATTACTATAACGAGCATTGCCTCAAAAGGACCAACCATTACTTAAGATGAGCATGTGAACGTGGATCGCAGTGTCAAAAGTCATATAAGAGAAGAAGCGCACAACTCGAATCCCGAAGAACGAGATGGGAACACGAGTGCCCCTGTGCGCATGTTGGCCAACAGCTAGCAACCATGTTGAACCAACTTCAGCAGTAAACACACTATTCTGTATTCCAAGCCCGTACGAAGCGAAAGGGGATTTCTCTCATAATCCTAGTTTCACATAGAACGCTGCTCCCTTCGGCACATGATTTCGACAGGTGGTAGCGGCGCAACAGTTGAACTGATTCCTTTTTGTGCAGTCACTCAGCAATGCATCTCCACTCCCCCTTTCTGATTTCAACTCTCGCGGGGAGGCAAATGATAGTGGTAGCACGTTTGGGATGCCAGGATCATGGACGAAGATCATAATCCTCGATTGACGAGACGGATGCTGTCTCCGCGAATTTGGACTAGCGGAATCCCGCCCAACTGCCCAGGCCGAGGACTGACCGGGTGAGCGGGGAAACATGATAAAGAGATCATCCTCTCTAGTTCCAAAACTCGGTGATTTTTCGTCGAAACCAACTTGGTCGAGACCAGCAATGAGCGCTCATCACACTCCACTGAATTCATTGAATTTTTGATCAAATTGGGAGCATCCTGATTCACCCCTCGCCCGCAGTCTTGCATAACATGGATCCATGTCGAGCCTGCTTCAGTCGTTGAGTCTGTATGGATAGGAGGGGTCTGAGCGTGGTTGAATGCATACACATTGGTCATTAAAGCACAATTAAAATATGGCAAAACAAGCTCAAGAGAATCCCCAATCATAACGTCGCATGTTGTACACAACGATATATCTTCGGTGCTCGAATAATGAGGACCTTACCGCTGTCCATACGAACAGCAATGGCTTGCCCATCATGCGAAATCTCCCAACTAGATATAACGTCACTGATGTAGGAGGGGGCAATAAAATGAGGGACTCCGCATTTTCCGAGGAAAAGATGAATACGGTTAGACTTATCATGTTTGACTTCGGCAAATGAGCAGTCATAAGAAATAGTGACTGGACCGGAAAATGGATCCCAGTGAAGATTGGGACGGACGGGCTCGTTAGCGGCAGAAATTGCTCCACAGATCACTGCATCCCAGATTCGTACGGTCCCATCACTGGATGCCGAGGCTACCCTGGATCCATCGGATGAGATTGAGATTGACTCGACTGAACCGGTGTGGCCCCGGAGGAGCCTAAGTTCTCTCTTGGTCATCACATCCCAAATTCGTATTGCCCCATCTGAGGATGCAGAGGCTACCAGGGACCCATCAGGCGAGAATGAGACTGAAATGACAGCACCGAAATGACAGCACCGGTGTGCCCCCGGCAGAACCTCGTCACGCCTGTCTCCACATCCCAGATTTCCACTGCCCCATTAATAAATCCCGAGGCTACCTTAAATCCTTCCGAGGAGAATGAGACTGACTCGGCCCAGCCGCCTTGGACATTGAGGTCTTCCCCAGTCATTGCATCCCAAACTCGCACCGTCCCATCCGAGGATGCAGAGGCTACCCTGGATCCACAAGATGAGAATGACACCGACCAGACGGAGGCAGTGTGCCCCTGGAGGATCTTGAGTTCTTCCCCCATTGCAGCATCCCATATTCGTATCGTTGCATCATTAGATGCTGAGGCGACCCCGGAACCGTCAGGGGAGAATGATACCGACCCAACTGAACCAGTGTGCCCTCGGAGGACCTTGAGCATGTCCCCGGTCACTGCATTCCAGATTCGTACTGTCCTGTCCGAGGATGCTGAGGCTACCCTGAATCCATCAGACGAGAATGAGACCGACGTGACCCAATCAGCATGCCCTCGGAGGACTTTGAGTCCCTCTCCAGTCACTGCGTCCCAGATTCGCACCGTCTCGTCGCCGGAAGACGCTAGCCTGGATCCGTCAGATGAGAATGAAACCGAGCGAACCGCTCCGGTATGCCCTCGCAGGATGTTAAGGCAACCGTCCCATCTAGAACTTTGTCCATGCACGGTTGGTAGGTATTCATAGGATGACTCTCGGTATTGTGTTTGCCATTCGGAGCTGGGTGAGTGGGACATAGCTGAATGCGTGATATGCCCAGCAGAAGACGAGATGACTTCATAGTATGGTAGACAAATCGACGGCATATCAGCAGGAGCCGGAGTAAAGATCTCCCCAGATACAAATTTTGTGACTTAGGGCCCTGGCCCGATAAACCGGCATTATATATTCAACGGTTGGGGGAGTCAAAAAAAGCGGGCTGCATACCTGGTACCACATAAGGAGCTTGTCTAGCTCAATAAGTGCATTCCTTGTTGCCCCAAGGAGGCTCAGAACTTCCAGCCACTTCGCCATAGAAAAAGCAAAAAATGTTTCTAATTTATTCAGCAGCTCCGCTGAAGGGTTCCCAATTTCTGCCACATGAAGAAGGCCATATAGTGCGGCATATTGAACATCGCCCGAGATCTTCGACCGGATCTGGAGTGCGAGGTCCGGGATATCGGAGTTGAGGATTAAAGGGTTAGGGAGTTGGAGAATATTTTCCTTTGGCAAACGGCCAAGGATGTCAATGCAGTATAGAGCAACACGAGTGTGCAAGTCATTATTTTCTAGGCATTCGGGAATTGAAAACTTGCAATCCACTTCAGCAGATGGTTGGGGAGAATATCCAAGCCCCATGACGGGTACACGGTTTGGGCAAAAAATACCGCGATGGAATGATTGTGCCACCCCTTCGGTATCGTGAAGCTCAAAGGCTGCCACTTAGGAATAAATATCTGTCGTGGAAATTAAACGGTGCGCAGCAAAAGGCAGAAGGCCTACACACCTGAGCCAAACTTTGCAAAACTGCCATTATCTTTGCGAAATTAACGGCCTCGGGATTGATTGTGACGCGTGGAGCTTACCGTGTTGGGTGCGACATCGGCCACCACTCGCTCGGATATTCTCTGTCGGACGAGTGATGCTATGTTCCGGGCAACCGGGATTCCGAATGTGTAATCCCCATCTCCCGAGATTCCAAGATGTTCTTGCAAAAGCGAACAGAACATCCAACAGTTTTCCTAGAGTGATTACAGTCACAACTGTGCTCTATGGGACTGATCCCTGCAGAACCATACCGGCCAAACTCTATACTCCAGCAGCTCTTCGCAAATAACCCGAAGATAGACACCAAAGTCACCAAGAAAGGGCGGTCTTTTGAATATTTGAATGTTTTCCTGGCGCGCCTTCCTAGTGAGGTCTTTCTCAGACGCTGAGAGTTGGGCCTGTAAGGATGTCAGCGGCAAATGCGGCAACAAAATTGATGGCCTCTCACCGTATCGTTGGCGCGAGTTTTGCCAAGTTTTTGTGCAAGTTTCAGAGGACTTAGTCCTGCCCTACGATCAATCCGAAGCCAAATATCCCTTTTCCCGGGACGCCGTAACTGTAGAATAAGGAAGCGATGTAGGATGAGGTTTCGATACTGGGAATAGCAGGATGTGCTGATAATTCTGGCTGTTTGAAGCCATAAGTGTTCTTCGATGACGTTCTTGCAAAGATCTCTTAGAGAAAATGTTTTCCCAGAGCTCCGGATCGATAGATTTGATCCTTTGGAAAACGTCGAAAAGCCGGAGATGATGGAGAAATTGGAGAAGATGGTGAGGGATTGCCTGAGAGGACGGGGTTGGGTGCTTGCAATGAGGCGGGTACTTTCATTACCTTCGAGTGGCTCGATGGTATGTAGAACATTCAGGCCGGATTCTGCCTCAAAAAAATCATCCTAGGGGAGGATCAACGATTCAATCACCAAACCCGATAATCGGGTGTTCATGGCACTCACAGGCCGACCGTTGTCCGTCTCTCCAAAATTTTCCCGAGAATAAGTAGAGTTTAGCAGAAATGCACCAGTATATGAGGGTGTTCTTCCAACCAGCGGAGGACGAACAGCGTCGAAATCCTCATCCGTTTCTTCCACACGTGGCAGCGGCATGCTGTCAATGTGATGGTGAATTGTTAAATTGGAGTTAGACTCTTGTATTGTTTAAGCCAACGTGTAAGGTCCTTAGTTATCAGCTTGGGGACCAATATAATGCCCGATGCCCTCGAATTTGAACGGGGAAGGAAACCTTAGGTTTGGAACAAAAATGGATGAAAATCAACGGGTAGCAGGAGGACGGCTATGTGTTCCCCCATGAGAGGTGTGGTTCTGTGAGCGAGCTGTGATAGTGCATATATAGGGGTATGGACACTGATGCTCATGAGTAGTGGTTTTGATCTGCACTTGCAGTGTCATCACTGTCATGACACAATTTACGACTGAAATTACGTGTATGTGGCTTGTTTTCCGTACCTCCATCAACCAACTTCTGTTCCCATCTCTTTCTCGTATTCCTGTTGAGTTCTCCCGACCACTTGTCCTTGTTGAAATAGTGTCCCATCAGCAACACGTACCCACGCGCGGACAGATGCGCGGGCAGCATCCCACACTCACCCCGACGCCGCCTCTTGCTGCCCTACCCGCATATGGGAATTATATATAACATTCTACAGTCCCTCTCCAGATAGATATAGACAGTCAGGATGAGATCGAGATGGACAAGCGTGATGGTCATTGGTGTTGACGTGCGTCGAGCATCACCTGAGACTAATGATTCTTTCTAAGTTGAGTGTGTGTGCCTCTCGAGATATTTTTGCGGAGGGAAAAGGGTCGGCCAGTGAAGATACAATACATACACTAAACTTCCTGAGTTAGTGCATGTTTATTTAACGTTTTAGCGGCTGATTGATATTCCACACGACGTTGCGCGTTATACATTCAACTCCCACTTTAGATTTGTTTTCGCCGTAATTAGTGTGTTCCACTAAAGTTGGGACTCGGACTTGGGGAAAACGAATGGGTATTCTCCGCCACAACCAGACTCAGCTCGGCTCGATCTCGTAGCATCTTGGCCATTTCGAACGCGCGCCTCGTTCATCTTATCACTATCATTCTCATTTCGCCTCACGCTTTTCACATCATCAACACCAACCTACAAAACAACTCAGAGAATGAACCTAGCCTTCTGAACTCGCACGACCTCGGAACCCCGTCTCATGCAGCCTCGGAAAGAAGTCCATTCCTCAATGTCAGCAAGGTGGTTCATATGCAATTTCATTCAGTGGGACCCATCCAGGAGAATGCAGTGGGATGGAAAGGTGGAGACTCTGTCGGAGTTCTGACTGACAGGTAGAGATGGAGTGGATGGGGGCGTGGGTAGTCTCCGAATGTTTAAAGCTATGGTGATTGCATACAGAAGGCTTGAGCTGTGGAATGTATGAATATAAAATAAATACGGTGAAATAAACTCAACAACATCCCAGATCATAATGTCGCATGTTAGCTTACTGTCTGTCGTCCGTACGGACAGTAGCAGTTGTCCGTTACGCAAAATCCCCCAATCGAATATCATGTCGCTTATACACGAGGGGGCGATGAAATAGGGATTCCGCACGTTCCAAGAAAAGGCAAGCCATATCATGTTCGACGTGCGCAAATGAGTAGTTGTAGGAAATAATGGCTGGACCTAAAAACGGATCTTTGCAGTTATGACGAAGGATTTGCTGTTGACAGAAGTTGCTTCTCCGATCACTGCATCCCAGATTCGTATCGTATCATCTTCAGATGCCGATGCTACGCTGGATCTACCAGACGAGAACGAAACTGGTCTAACCTAACTGATGTGCCCTCGGAGGACCTTCAGTCCCTCCCCAGTCACAACATCCCAGATTCGCACTGCGGCATCCGCGCTGTGGGGGCTACCCTGGGACCAACATGACCGAATGGATGTTCCCTCGGAGGACCTTGAGCTCATCCCTCCCCGCTCATAGACTCATACTGTGGTGTCACTGGATGCCGAGGCTACACTAGATCTATCAAATGAGAATGAGACGGACGTGACCCAAAGGGCGTCCCCTCGAGAAGTGCTTCCCCCGTCACAGCATCCCAAATTCGTATCATCGGATCCTGAGATGACTCCTGGAGAGAATGTTTTCCCCCAGAGCTCCGGATCGATAGTCAACACTTTGGAAAGAGTCGAAAAGCCAAAAGTGGTAGAGAAGGTGGAAGGGCGGTCTAAGAGGGGGGTTGGGTGCCTGTGAGGAGGTTGGTACTTTCATTGTCTCCGAGCGGCTCACGTAGGCTGGATCCCGTCTCAAAGAAATCTCCTGGGGGGAGGAATCAGCGATTCAGTTATCAAGGCCGATGATTCCTTTCTTAGCAACACTCACAGAGTAACCCCCAAAGTCCCCTTGAGTGTCCAGCAGGAACGCTCCGCTAGAGAAGGGTGCATCGCCGATCAGTAGAGGGCCAACAGCAGCAAAATTCCCATCCCTCTCTTCGACACGTGGGAGGGGCATGGCAGTGAATTGGTGTGGGGCTCAGATCCAAGGTAGACATTTCTTATCTACCCCGCACGCCAGCCTGTGTCGCCCAGTTGGAGCGCAAGTAATTAAGCCGCGTGCAAGACCCCAAGAGATGAACCAATATTATGAGGCGTAGATAAGGAAACTTTGGATTTGGAGACAGCGGGAGGGCGGTTACTGTGTGAGCCTGAGCGCCATGTGCTTCCCCATGGTGCAAATCCGTTCTGTGAGCGAACTGTGATAGTGCGTACATAGATGTTGACGCTTATGAGTAATTTTGAACCCCGACGAGGCTGGGGTAATTGCGAGACCCCGATTCAGCAAGCGCCCATTTCTCTGCGTGAGCGCCCGCGGTCCGAAGGCCTTTGTTTGGCAAATATGGACATGAGGTCGTCGATCGAGATCAGTCAAATCACTGGCCAAAACAAGTCGTCTGTGGCTCTGCTCAGAAATTCAATCTCGGAGCCAACCCCGGCAGAGCCTTCTTATTCGGAGGGCTGCTGCACCCACTATGGAATTTCATTGAATTTCTGCAGTCCAGCTCTGGTGCGGAACAGGTGAGGAGATCAAGATTGAGATAGTTAGGGTGAGATGAGTGAGGGCCAGGAGTGAGGTGACCATGCTGCACTGGTGTTGGGGACATGGAACATTGGGGGTTACACAGCAGGGCCTGCCGGGCTCCTAAGAGTGCTTGGGCCGCGCGCACCATTTGAGACTGAAGATTCTTCGTAAAGGAGGTTGTACTTGAGCGAGTGCGCCCTCGATAAATTTTTGCGGAAGACGAAGAGTAGAGTCCGTGACAACATAAGAGTACTCAACAAAGTTACGTAGGGTGACCTCGATTTATCCTTGACGTTTGGATGATTAGCCACAGATTTCTAGATCTGCAGCCGATTGATATACTGCACGTCCATCGCGTGCCTTACACCCAACTTCCATCTCGTCTGTGGTAATCAGTGTATCAGGCATCGTCTCGCTCGATTTTCGTAATTTTCGCAATTTAAATTGACAGCAGTGGGCTTCATCGAGTCAGAACCGCACTACGGCGCTTAGGGTTCGGAGTACAATGTCGGACAAACAAGCCCTCAAGCGTGTCGTTCATGTTCACGGTTTTACCACGGAGAAATTGCCTGCTAATACCTACGAGATTCTTGCACAACATGGATCCATGTCAGTACAATTGATGTATTCTCTCCCTTCTCATTCACGAAGCGCTGACGATCAAAACTGTGACTCGGGGTTGGGGAATGCGAATTCGCGTTTTCCAATTTGATTTGACTCGATTTGACCCAATGCCCTTTGGATCCTGTCGAACGCGCGCTTCCTTGTCGCGTATCACTCGTCTTACAAACACGCTTTCGTCCAACTGTTTAATTCTCACCCCATTACCAACAAACGCCATCCATAATATACAAAACATTAACTCAGCGAACGTATCATAGCCTTCCGAACCCGTACAACCTCAAAACCTCACCTCTTTGTCCAATATACCGCTTCTTCTGCAGCTCAATCGGCCCTGGGAAAGAAGTTCGTTCCCCAATGCTGGCAAGGTGATCCTGTACAATTTTATTCGGTAGGACCTGTTTGGGAGGTTGTTAAGGATAGGGAGGATGTATATGAGTGGGACGGAAAGGAAGAGATTCTACCAGAGTTCTTGCCGGCAGGTGGAGATAGAGATGGGGCCAGCAAAGTACAATGGCGACATTCTAAAGAGAGATCGTGGGTTGGGTTCGGAGTTCAAGATTTACTTTGTCGGAAGGGGGATATTCCTGAGTCTAGAGAAGAGGATCAGTCGCGTTGGAGGTCTGGAAGTGGGAGTGGTGGTGCTTGGGGGACGAGGGCCGGCAGTGTAGAGGCTGGAAGACGAGTGGAGAGATATCGAAGGGGTGACTATACTTCTTTTCGAGCTGCTGATTCTGGTTCTACATTAACTTTTACAAAAGGGTCGTTTGACGCTGCTGGTGGAGGGAGAGGTACAATGAAGTTGGAAGATGGGGAAATCTTCCCAGAGGGGAGTGGGAAGCTGTACTCTGATAGGCTGGTAGGAAGCGGAAGATATAGAAGCCGGGAGGGGAGTCGTTCTAGAGGGAGGAGCAGGACTAGGAGCAAAAGTCGCGAGAGGTCGAGAGCTCACCTGAGCTCTCGCTCTGTTCGTCGTCGACAACGTCAGCGCCGAGACGAGTGGCCGTCCTGTTCTCGTTCACGTTCACGTTCCCGAGGTCGAGGTGCGGGGAGGGATCGAGATGGGGATGAGCACAAGATATCTCGACGTTCTCAGCATTCGACGAGGTCGGTTTCTCGAATACGGCAGCGACGTGATGGACCAATTGCAGGGTCATCTTCTGCGAAGGAATACGAGAATCGAAATGGCAGTGGAAAGGATACGAAGGGGAGGGAGAGGGATGAATGGCAACAAGCACTCGCACCCCTCAACAATAACGACCACGCCAAAAACCTTGAGGCTGGGCACTTTGCGCAGCGTACTGCCCACGATACCCATCATGACGAGTCGCAAGCACGCCTTCAATTGCACGCCGTGGATCGTTTAAGTCTCAATGTAAATGGCAACAACGACCACGAGCTGCTACTTAAAGCGGTTCCTATTGCAGCTCCCCGAAGCTTGTCTACTATGGCAATCCACAATTCCCCGCCTACTCTTACCGCCACGAGTGGGATGAAGACGGCAACGAGCACCATGGCGGCCGAACAAGACCACAGTCGTGATGAGAGGGGCCTTTTCCGTCATCTTCCTCTTCCTGCTTCGAATGGTAGGAATGTGGCTACAGGTATGCCCTCTACTCAACGACAGCTGGGTTGTGCGGCAAGTGGTATGAAGCGCCAAGAGGGCGATGTGACTTTGGCTGCATCTGGGTCTCTATCCGCATCTCGGTTGGTTCAGCCAGATGAATTTCTTAGAGGGATCACTCCCTTTCATACTTCGAGTGTAGAGGGAGCTCCCAGCGCTAGCCACGGGGCGGGTCAGGGTTTCCAGAATGAAAGGTTCCAGGTAAGTTAGCAGGTAAAGTCCCTGAGTCAGAGTATCAACCCAGTAACAGCTCGCGACCTCGACTGCTGGAGATGGCACTAGAGATGCATCGCTGACGAAGAGAACGCCGTATCCTAGTCCACAGGCATCGCCTATGTTTGATAATTCCCTTTGGCTGCATCACGATGGAGCAGGTGAGTTTCCTTGCGTATTTGGCTCCAAGATGAGCCAAACACTGACGTGATGTTCAATCCCTGGCAGGTGCTATGAATGCGGTTCACTTAGAGGTTAGTACTTCGACCAACGCCTGGCGAACTACCTTCACCGTCATTTTACAAACACCAACAGCATAGATCTTTCCCCTCGATTCACTCCTCACCTCAGTCGTTACTCTCATTGATAGAGTTTCACGCATCCCAAGTGGCCAAGTATAGAGAGTTATACAAGTCTTCGCAGGTTGAGTTGACGCTTGAAAGAGCAGCAAAGAGGAAGTCAGAGGATGAGGTCGACAGAGAGAGGGCTATGAGGAGGAAACTCGAGGATCAGGTTTGGGAGATGAAGACGAACGAGAAGTCATCGTTCTGAGGGTGGTAAGCTCGGAGATGGGGTCAACGACTTGGACAGTCTTTTTTTCCGAATGGGCTCGCGCTGGTGCGGGCGCCAGTAGTTCGTCCTTGGGGATTTCTTTGTAGCGTACGTATACGTATAAGCATCGATTAGTTAGGACGTGCTTGCAAGAGTCACCCAAACTATGTACGTACCATACGACGCAATATCGCACTCACCTCAACTTTGTTAGTATGTTACTCAGCTGTGAGGCGTTCTGTGTATTTTTGATCTTGACGACACTGTCGTGTGGTGACAAAGCTTCGTCATGAGTGAAAGATCTGATTTAAGCGCCCACAAATCAAATTCATTGTGTGTAATTCATATTTTCGGTCGTCAACCTTTTTCCTGTTTGTCAAGCCCGGATTTGAATCCTCCCTAGAAGCCAGAAGCTGTGCTTTTGAAAACTCAACATCAACAGTTCTTTTCGTTGTCCTCTCGTTGCTTTCTGCGTCGGAATCTTCTCCTGCCATCGTTCTCCCATGCCGCTGAGTAAAGGATCGAATCGTCTGTGGCTGCTTAGTGGACTCCTGCTGCTCGTTACCTCGGATGCTCTCGCCTACAGAGGAACATTCGAGGCCCGCCAGATCGATAGAAGGCTTATACCGAGACTGAATCGACGTGATGCGACTGTCTCCGCTGGGAATGAGACTGTTGGCAATATTGGCAACAGCCAGTATGTGTCAAATATTACAATTGGTGGTGTAACCTTCAATGTCATCCTTGGTGCGTACACCTTGTTCTACCGAACCCGGGCTTGTTCAGATGGGGTGATTGGGCTCACTTTGGACTTTTCTAGACACCGGAAGGTGATCCTGAAGCCTATTTGCATGACGATCGTTTATGCTGATCAGAACGTCTTGAATTTTGTACCTTCTCGCTCGTTCGTCTTTGATGGGGACTTGTTCAGTTCGGACCTCTGGGTGACAGGGAGCGTTCCGAACGCGACATCTCTTAATGCTGATGGATCTATCGCGTACGCTATCGGTAATGCAGGAGGCCCAATCCTCTCCGCTCAAGTGGACTTTTCGGATTTTACAGTTCAAAAGCAAGCCTTCAGTATGTGTCACAACTAGTCACTCGGGCATGGGCACCGCGGTGTGCGATGCCGCTCTCTGAGATCATTGCCGCTAATTTAATACACCGCTTTGTTATTTAGTGCAAGTTAATGACACAACATCATTTGGAGCTCTGGCTTCAATCGGTGTCACTGGACTTGCAGGACTCGGGCCCGGTTTCTCCTCGGTCATTAAAAATAAAGTGGGCTCTGCGGGCGACACGCTTTTGGACAATATCTTCCAGGCATGTATTTGTGCACACTGTCCTGTGCTTGAGCCCCTTACCTTATGGCTACTTTTTGTCCCACAGCTTAACCGTACCACATCCAACTTCGTTACCTTTCTTCTTAATCGGAGACTAAAAAGTGATAATGGCACAACCCATGGCGAGTTCACTATCAGTGAAGTCTTACCCGGCTACGATGAGGTTCTCTCGGAACCTAAGCTGCCCGTCAATGAGCTGAAGGGCTCGGACAAGCTAAATCAGCATTGGACAACTGTACTTGATGCCATTACTGGGCCAGATGGGAAGAACATTAGTTTGGGCTCAATTGTAGACGGTACACCCAAGGGGAAACTGGTGACGATTCTCGATTCAGGTTTCACTTTGCCTCAGGTCCCAAGGAAGGTCTCAGATGCAATCTATGGGAGGGTAAACGGAGCAAACTACTCGGTGGATGATGGGCTTTGGCTCATTCCTTGTGGACAAGAACTAAACATCTCGATCGTGTTTGGCGGCGTCAAGTTCTTCATACACCCTCTTGACACCTCTTCCTGTAAGATCTTGTGTATCTTTGGGCGTTCAGAAAGATGACGATACTAAACCGGTTCCCCGCGCAGCTGAATTTGGATATAAATTCTCGGATGGTACTGAAGCTTGTGCGGGGGCGGTAAGTTCGTTCCGTTGCCACGAAAGATTTTTTCGTCATTGGACAAATTAGTTTCAACCTATCTCAACCGCTTTCAGTCTTGGAGGACAGTACGATGCCGTGATGGGCCAATCGTTCTGTAAGTGACATATATTTTACAGTTAATGATAGGTCTCATCATTCCACATGTCAGTGCGCAATGCATACACTCTCCTTAACTGGGGCGATTTCGTCGACGAGACATCAGCTGCTCGTGGGACTCCATACGTTCAAATGGAACCGATGACGGGTCAAGCACAAGCACACAAGGAATTTGTTGCAGACAGGCTTGGGGGCGTCGATACCACCGGCGATTCCAAGTGGAAGCTTTCTAATACTCAGAAGTCATCCCCTGTTTCCAAAGGCGAACGAGTGCAGCACATAGTCGGCTTTGTGAGTGACGCGCACTCTTTGCCTCATTTCTTACAATACACTCATTTCGTTAACTTTTCCAAGGCCGAACGCAACAAAATTATCATTGGAGTTTGTGCTGGGATTGGCCTCCTCATCATTGTAGCGCTCATTTGCCTTTGCTGCTGCCGCCGCCGACGTTCGAGAAAAGCTGGTGCTGGACGTTCCATGTTGCCCGCTAACAGGATAGACCTTAATAGACTGAGCGGCGAAGGACGTTATCGATCGATGAAGGACCCTCGCTCAGTGCCCCATACTCATTCGGCTGGATCCAACAAACATGACGATCCATTCAGTGATATGACGCCTGTCCGACATTGACACTGCGTAAGAGTTGCCTCATTGCTGGTCCGGTGAAGGGGAGTTTGTGGGCGTGCATCGAGCACTGCCTCCATGCAATCTCTATCTTGCATATGCCCCTCGTGGTTGAGTTGGAATGGAGATGCTCCGACACTCATTTTCGCCTCTTGATTTCCGTTCCTTCATATAATGTTGTTTTATTTACTTAGGATGGGGAATCTTGTCTTTAGGCCTCTCGTTCGGTTTGCACCTCCATCAGATCTATTGAACATATAATGGACGCTGTCTTCGCGCAAGAACATATATAATGTCACTTCCATGCCACTGCCTGCGCGCGTACTCAAACGAAGATTGGGGACCATATACACTGCTCTGCTATAGTGTGGTTCTGGACGTTTATCTTGCAAACCCAAGTGATCGGGTGTGACATGGGAAATTTCAAGCGGCATAAAGAGGATCCACTTTCCGACAGAAATAGTGCATTTCCTGGAAATATTATGTCCTCATGAAATGAACACTTTCAAGCACAATTCAAGCGCAGTAACGCAGGGTGCCAATCTCAAGCGGTTAAAATTGAGATCCAATCTGAACCTGCACATTAGGACGCAATCACAATGGCAAAAATAAACGTATATCTGCTGGAGGGGTACATAGTTGCAATCAAGCGTGATAAGTTTAAGTACTGTTTTGTCAAATGGGCAGTTTGTCAGCGCCAAGAACTGCAAGCGGCAGCGTAGAAGATGAAAACTTGTCTCATCCACCGAAGATCCACCGAAGCTGGGTCGGGGTCTAGAAAAAAATAACATAGTGATGATTGAATCTGCCGTATATTAAAAGGAGTGCAAAGCAGAGAGAAAGCACGAAGGATACATCACAGACAAGCTTGGAGAGCTATCGATGCCCTTTTGGTGGATGCAGCTAACATTCATGGAAAGGCTATAAGTAATGGCGTTATTTAGTGGAACCGAATTCAACATCAGTGTTAAGAGGATCCTGTAATGTAGGAGCGTTGGTATCTGACGTATCTGAGGAGTAGATCCGACTACGACCAAATTGATGAACGTTCTATTGTCACATGCCCCGAGATATTCTATGAATTCCGCCACATGTACAGTGCACTTGAAGGACTTACATTGCTGGGATTGTCTTCGTACTTAGAATGATGAATGTTCACCACGACATTACTCGTCTGTAATACCGGTTAGTTTCTTTGGCCTTCCGCCACAGTCAGGCGTGGTAAACTCACGGGTCGACGTGGTACCAGTGGTATGGGCTTTCCGCGTTCATGGGAAATCACCACTTTCCTCTGAGCGGATCGTAATGCCTCGAGAGAGTTATCTAGTCTGTCTTGAGGGAGTGTGGGCGCAAGCAACTGCTTTCGTGCTCTTGACCGCATGTGCAAGCTAGCGGGCACAAGGAAGATTATCAGTCAGGCTGTTCACGGACAAGAGGAAATTGTGTTTGCTATACTTTGCGAGCATTGATATGGGATACATGGGACTAAGGGTCTGAAGACATGTGGTAAGGCGTGTGAAGAATCCTTGTGAATGGACTCACCATTCCGAGTACGAGAGTGCTAAATGTAAAACCATGGTGGGCATACTAAAATCATGGTCTCGGTCCAATGCTTTCTACCGGGAGAGACAATTGTAGCCCATACTTACGATACTTATCAAAATAATGGTTTGAAGACAGGTCGCGCTACCCGTGGCTATGGACCAATACACCATCGTGTTGATGGCTCTGTCCGTCCTATTAACGAGTCCGTTCGGTCCCGATGTGCGGCATTTCAGTCATCGACTCACTTTTTGAAACCAGTCTTGCGGTACCAGAGCAGGAATGTGGTCAATATTGCAATTAGAGCGTCACATGTTGCCTGACGTTTAACAGCTTAGAGCAGGTAAGTCAAGGCATTGAAGAGGAGGACCACACACCTGGGTCGTTAGCCAAAGCTTAGATAACCAATTCCACCTATGAGAGATTTCTTCGAGGGATAATGATATGTTCCTGAGATGTCATTGCCAAATCAGGATGGTGACAGGATGCAATCGGCAGGCGTGATGACACGTACGCCAAAGTTGAAAGTGCTGAGAAAAAATTACGGGACCAATGAGGACCCAGAAAGCAAGGACAAGGACTCTGGGCTCACCTGTGGCAAAAGCTGACGGTAAACCAGACTTCAGTCTATGGGCATGGGACGTTCTGGGTTAAGGGACTTACCGAACTGCATGATAACAAGGGCTTGCTGTCATGCAACCGGTAAGCATCGCTGCAGCTAATATGAGGAGGCACCAGCGCAGTCAACATACTAGGGGTGCTGCGACACAAATGTTCGCAGAAACTGACGACACGGTTACGAGCAGTATAACCCATTAATTCCCACAAGAACTCACGGCTCCAAATACGAAACACAAAGAAAGACTGAACGACAAGGGATCCAACTGTTGTGGAGAGGTGATATGATGTACCCTCCCTGAAGAAAGTGTTGAATGGGGGAGGATGCCATCGCTCAATTGTGAAGAATGCGTACCATTGCGCTGTTGCCAATGCGCGTGGATTGAAATAATTTTGGATATGCAACCACCAAATCATTTTAGTCATGCAGACCCTTGAAAGGATGAACCACGAGCCTGTCAGGACAGATATAGTCTAGAGCCATCAATGTCACATACGTTTGAAATAGAATGACAACCCTTCAGGAGCCGAACGTTATCAGAATCGGTCGTCCGGTCGTTTGAAACATATTACGAGAGAATGAACGTACCAGAGAAATCCAACCTATTGTCGCCAGGCGCTTCAGCGCATCAAACTCGAGTCAACAATGAATGACGTACCGCTCGCCGCGTCCATCTACCATCCTGAGGGAAACGGTTGTAGTAAAGGGCAACCTGTATTGTGAGTATCCCAAAGAGACTGAAACCGTCGTATGAGTGGGGTAAACGCCTGGGCTCAAACATTGATCCCATCTGAAGAAAGTATTCTTACAACGTAGCGACAACGTTCCCAACGAAAAAGCCACCAAAGATGTTTTCCAGGGGTCCCGTCATAATGCGAGCCATGTCGGATAAGCGGGGAAAAGGGAAGACAGCCACTTGGGAGAGACGAAAGGAACGAGGGAAGCCCCAAACTGTTCATTTGCATGCTTGTTCATATATGACAAGAGGTCGGGGATTGGCGTCGATCATGGAGATTACGTCGGTGAAATGATCATTGCCATTCTCCCTCAACATGTCCAAATTGAGCTCTAGGGTGCGAGCAGGCCATGGCCGTGGAATGATACGCCAATGATTGGATCAACGCCAAAACGACCTGGTCCCTTCCAGTCCTCTTCTAAGTGCAACGCTCACTGTGTCGTAGAGACCTAGCCACTGCTGATCGGCTGACCAGTGTTTGAGATTGTGCAAGAGCTACCGCCACGTTGTAAATGCTTAATGCAGACTGCCCCTTGATCGACTCGGCGTCCGCAGGTGAGCGCCGCCACATTCAAAATCCTGCACGGAAACAGGCATGTATACAGCTTGCTATCAAGCAATCAGAGCCTCACGGAATCACCAGCCCGTATAATTTCAGCGCGAGGCGATGATAATTCATTCGTACTGGCACGAGTTGTTATCGCAAGGACAGACTACATCCCTAGTTGGAATCAAGGCTTACAACGCGTGCCTGCGCTATTCTACCATGGAGGAGTATTTGGAAAGGGTGGATGGTTCGAAATACCGGCAACTGAACTAGGTGGAACCCAGCGGATATTGCAGCGAGTGGAAGCTCACGAAAGCGCCCTAGCCTGGTCTTAGGTACCAGATTAAATAAGGCTTGCGTACTGACCTACTTCACTTTAATACATGTCCTGCGTCAGTTGCACGCCCCTGCCGCCATAATGCATCCGCCGTGCGCATCATTCTGCATGCTCATTGGCCACGCTCATTGGTTTCACGTCTGCTGTGGTCGTCGGCGTCAGTCATGCACACGGTCTAGCGTTCCGCATTAACCACTGCCTACTTAGTCCGCTTTCTTCACGACATAGTGTGACTGTTTTGGACTTGCCGTCAGGGGTTGCCCATGCCCTTTGGAAACTTAGGTAAGCTGGACTCGACCCCGGATATTTGTTTTATGCTCCCACTCCACCTCCTGGCTGAGGCCATTTTTTCTCCTGGTATTTTTCTCTATGTCGTACATACTTCATCCTTTGCTTTCTCCATCTTTCATCCCAATCGTCGCACACTGCATCCCAAATCTCCATTTCTCTCCGCGAGCCAGCGCTTGCTTGGTGTGTTTCACTGGGTCAACACTGTAGTACGATAGTTGCAGGGACTGCCTCTAAGGTTGCAATGTGATGGTAATCACATCACGAATGGCCCCCCAGCACAACAACTGTAGCTCAAAACACAACCAGGAACGGTTCAAGAACAACCCCTGCACGCAGCAATTGGTTGCAGGCCCGTCATTCCCAATCATCAACGAGGCGATGCACTCTTATGTCTCACTCTTCTGCACGGCTTCTTTGTTGTGCTTAGCTTGGACGCTCACAGGGCATTTCACATCAATTTTTGATGGATATCGCAATATGATACATTCCCCCTTCATACTCGCGCCGGACGACGCTAACCGCCCCTTCTCCGGGCTCACTTCGCCGGTTATTTTCACACCAACTTAACTCGCTCTGCATGGGATACGGTAGAGATACGCCCCAACATCCTGGATGAGATACACATTTATAGTTAGCTGCTTCTGAGATCAAATTACTGTCATACATTCCAGGATCACCCCATGTATGTTCATGTTTAGGGCAGCTCTTGGGTGCTCCTATTGTTGACAATGCCGTCACCCCTAGGTCCCGGGCTACTCCACCGCAATCCGATGATAGCTCTGGAATATCCAGTTAAACCTTGGGTACACAGCCATTGCGTGTGTAGTTACCGCTTTATTCATATCAAGCGCTTGGTTGCTTGGGAGCCTCATCGCCCGCAGCTGAAGCACTCGTAGACGGATTTTGTTGCCAGTCGTTGCATTTTTTGCTCTCCTGTGTATTGCACCTTCCGACGTTGCTATCTCATCTTGATCATCCCTTTAAGTGGTATCTAATACACTTAGGCCTTTCCGCTGTGTTCATTATTATTATTATCCGATGCCTCGGTCTGCGCTATGCGGCCAATCCATCCGGAGTTCCATTCAACCCCTATCAGTCGCTAACTGGAGGTTTGGAATCGGCCGAACCACAGATGCTACATAAATGCGGTGTGGTGGATGGAACCTTGTGCTAGGTGGAAAAGGTCACCAAAACAATTAAATTAGACATGGAAGGGCTTTAAGTTACAATCTAGCTGATGCCTTTGGTGTCTGTGACGGTGAATACCGGGAGGAATGAGGCGTATCGAGTTGTTTCTCCATCCACTGTGGGATGGGTTTTCTCTTTAGGCACGATTGCATTTCGTTCTGGCCGTAGTCGTGCCAATGTCAACAATGGTGGCTCCACAGTCTTGTCGACTTTGACACCCAGCCAGTTCGGTCCAGTACCAGTGTTGCCCTTGTTAACGGGACCTACATATTGACGGAGCTGAGCTCTATAGTGCAAGCTGAGGCGCCAAAGTCAGCATTTGAGTGCGAGACGCGCACGGCTTCCTCACGTACTTGGTGAGCATAGTGAAATTGTATACAGCGCCGAGTGGCTATGTCCAAGGTCAGAAGGCCGCTTCGACGCCAGTGGAAGTGCTACTCACTATTCCTAAAACGAGAAGGTCTAAACGGCGAAAATGAGTTCCAATGTCCGCTGACCAATGGTGCTAACGTACCAGAACCGAAGCCATGGATTGCGAACTTCATCCGAAAGAAACGTCAGTGCTAGGGATTGTTCTTCAGGTAAGGATACGTACGGTGATACACATGACAATAGCGATTACACTTGTGACCGTTCCAGTGTTTATTGAATAAACAATCAATTTGTTCAAGATGTTGTCGGTTCTGTGGAATGAATCTGTGAGCTTCCACGACATCACCCTCCAAGTCAAACTAACTGCTGAAAACCAGTTCTCTGCCGACGTAACAGGATGGTCATCGAAACGGCAAGTGTGACATCACAAATCGCCTGCCAGCCATTCAGATTGAGCGCGGGCACATCAGAGCAGAGCATGTGCTAACCTCCATAAGGAGCCATGATTCGGCCAACGATCGCTTCTGCTGGGGAACCGTGACGAAATTCGCCATATGATATGCCTGATAGGAAGCAGCTAATGGGTAACGGTTTGGCAGCACGAACAGCAGCACGTAAAAGAGACCACACCTATCCCAAGACCTATTGGACACAGGAATTCGATACCACCGTCGATTCATAGTGCGTGAGATTTCTGGGTTATATACATACCGAATTGCGTGAGAGATAACAGCATAACCAGGCATCCCCATATAATACTCTTACTCACTGCAGGGGTAGGGGGCTGTCATGAGTATTCGCGAGACTGGGGAGATGAATGGTACGTACAAGTATACACGCGGTATGCGAAAAACGATTGAACAGTTGTCGAGGAAACTACCTGAAAACAACACAATTTCTCTCAACCCTCACCTAAGCTCTGTGAGTGGATGTCGAACGCACCGCCGTAGTCTGATGTATTGCCATTTCCCAGGTGAGAGACGGAAGGACGTTCTTCTCAGTTGAAGCAATCACAAAGTACCAATAAAGAGCCTGGGCCGTGCATCCACTTTATTTTCTGTGAGGCGAGTTCTTTAGTTGATGCTAAAATCGGGGGGACTCACAACAGGAGAGCTTGGACGACCCTAGGCAGCACTTTGAACCCACAGTCGTACGATGATCTGGGCTTCATACTCACCACAAAAAGGAGACCTGTTCGGGCATTCCCCATTTTAGGCGTTTATATCATCAGTAAGGCATGATACACCCACTACAAGCTTGATATATAGGGAGTCCTTCGGGAAGGTAGAGAAATAGGTGTGGGTCTGTATTGTGATGATACCGAAGAAGCTGGCGGTATTGTAATTCACGGAGGGTTTTAGGACACTGATGGGAAGACAAGTCCCCTGTGGTGACTCACACAGCAGCGAGCAGCTCACCAGAGAAGGCGCCTCCAAGGATCTCCTGGGCGCTAGTGGCGATCATCGGCAGACGGGATGAGCAAAGAGGCGTGTCGGGTGGAACGGACTCAGGAAGAGAAGGATTTTCAACAGTTTAAAGACCTCTGCAACCACGTAGAGGCCTCGGGCTTGGGGCTGTTACTCCGTCAGATCAATGCCGTTGATGAGGTACACATACCGCCGGAACCGACTATGGGACTATCGCATCAAAGAGAAACATCCAGATGGAACAACTGGCGATCCTTTGCACCGGCATCGGTACGGAGATACGAAGATCGAAGAGGAGGTTTCCCTTGTTCTCGAAATCAGGCAGTGGAGCTCTTGCGGTTGCCTCAGTTTCAGCTTGCCGGCACTGGGCGTTTTATTTCCTTCCGTCCAAAACGGGCTGCAACAAACGCTTTCTTCATCGATGTTGTTGGGGAGCATGCTGGATATGGTCACCATGCATCCTAGTGTCCTTGCAGGTGTTCGCACCATTTCAGCGCGTGCCTTTGGCCGCGCCTCGCAAGGGCGGGCTCTCCGTTGTTTTGACGGGAAAGCCGGAAGATCTCGCTTGGATCAACTTCCTCTAGTTGGGCGCTTCCTTTCACGCATGAATGATTGGCGTTTATGATTCACCCCAGCATTTTAGGCTGTCAGACCGTTCAACGGATCTTGGAATATCAAGTGATGGGGCAATTAAATCCATCTGTGATTATAGAGGCTGGTAACCTGCCTACCACCTAATCACACCATGGATTCTACTGTTCCCAACATGATATTCACTGCGTTTTGAGGCACAATATCCGAGGTGATATCCGAGCTCGGATACGAGTTGGATATCGGATACTTCCCGGATTTCATGTGCTGGCGAAACTACGAAAGATTGTAACAATTGCAAGTCCCCCCAGAAAACCTACAAAACCCCTCTGAGATGAGCGCAAAAGGAAATATAGTTCACTGGAGCACCCTCGAGTATGGAACCGATCTCTAGAGCACTCCTGAGTGCTCTATACCGGTTTTCGTGACGCCCACAAGCGGAATATCATGTGCGAGATGGGCCAGCTGCGAGCCTGCGTTTTTCGCTCGCACAAAGGAGCCCCAGATCGAAGGGTACGTCTCTAATGACGTGAGCACAAGCTAGAACAGGCTAATTGGGTAGCCGAAGAAGCTGTTTTGGTTAGTATGGTAGTTCCAAACCCAAGTCAAATTCGAAAGTTGAGTATTTTTTTTGCTTCATTCACTTCATTTTCTTTATCACTGTTACATGTATCTTCACTTAAGAGGGTGCGTTGGAGGTCAAGCTCGGATACATGTATATATCATTGTTTACATCAAGTTATTGCAACACCCAGAAAAATTCTGTAACGCCCTCGCCCAGCAAAAATCCCATAGCACCTTGTAACACCCAGCAAAATTCCGCAATGCATTATAACAAAATTCCCAGTTTTCCGACACCATGTCAGCATGTCAGGCTCATGCACGTTCGGGTCAGCTTTTGGGTACATAAGCGACCAGTGCATTGTGGCTAGTCAAACCTGCCAATCGCTAACCAGAGGCATGGGGTCGGCCCCAACTACACATGGTGTATAAATGTGGTGCGGTGGATGGAAAGGGGCACCAAAATAATTTAAGTAGACATGGAAGGGCGACGAGTGGTGATGTTACAATCTAGCCAATTTCAAGGCAGCCTCGAAAAATCAGTCTGTGACAGTGAACACTGTGGGGAATGAGCTATATGGAATTGTTCCTCCATCCACTGCGGGATGGGTGTCCTCTCTAGGCATGACTGCATTTCTTTCTCGTCGTAGTTGTTTCAAAGGTATCAATGTCGACGGAGGTGGCTCTACAGTCTTGTCGACAGTAACTTTGACACCCACCAAGTTCGACCTAGCACTAGTGTTGCCCATGCTAACGGGACCCAAACGTTGACGGAGTTGTGTTCTATAGTGCAGGCTGAAGTGCAAAAAATCAGCATTTGAGTATGCTGAGGTGCACGGCTACCCCACGTACTTGGCGAGCATAGTGCAGTTGTATACAGCGCTGAATGGCTATATCTAAGGTCAGAAGGCCGCCTCAACGCCACAGGGGGGAAATGTTGCTCACTATCCCCAACACGAGGACGTCTGAACAGCGAAAATGAGTTCCAAGGACTGTTGATCAATGGTGTTGACGTACCGGAACCAAAGCCATTGATTGCGAACTTCATCCGAAAGAAACGTTAGTGCTAAGAGTTGATCCTCAGGGAAGGATACGTACGGTGACACAAATGATAATAGCGATGACACTTGTGATCGTTCCGGTGTTAATTGAATAAACAATCAACTTGTTCAACATGTTGTCAGTTCTGTGGAACGAGTTTGTAAGCTTGCACAACATCGCCCTCCAGGTCAAACGAACTGCCTAAAACCGGTTCTCTGCCGACGCAACAGGATGGTCATCGAAGCGGCGAGTGTGACATCACAAATCGCCTATCAATAAGTATTCAGATTGAGCGCGGGCGCATCGGAATAGAGCGTGTGCTAACTTCCATAAGGAGCCATGATCCGATCAACCATCGCTTCTGTTGGGGAAGCGTGATGAAGCTAGCAAGATGGTACGCCTGATAGGCAGATGCTAATGGGCAACGGTTTGGCAACACGAACAGCGGAAGATAAAAGAGACCACACCTATCCCAAGACCTAGTAGACAGAAGAATTAGATGTCATCGCAGGTCATAGTGCATGGGATTTCTGTGTTATATACATACCGAATTGCGCGAGAGATAACAATTCAACCAAGCACCCCAACATAATGCTCGTGCTCACTTGGAGGAGGGCTATCATTCAAAACTCGCGAGACAGGGGAAATGGATGGCACGTACAAACATACACGCGGTATGCGAAAAACGTTTGAACAGTTGCCGAAGCAACAACCTGAAAATGACAGAATTTCTCTCAACCCTCACGCAAGCTCCGTGAAGGGATGTCAAACACACCGTTATAGTCTGATGCATTATCATTTCCCAGGTGAGAGGTGGAAGGACGTTCTTCTTAGCTGAAGCAATCAAAAGGTACCAATAAAGAGCTTGCGTCGTGCATGCACTTCACCAGTTGTGAGACGAGTTCTTGATTTGACATTTTGAATCGGGGAAAACTCACACCAGGAGACCTTGAACGACCCTAGGCAGCACTTTGAATCCATAGTAGTACCATGGTCCGAGCCTCATACTCACCATAACAATGAGACCTGTTCGGGCATTCCACATTTCAGGGATGTTTCACCAATAAGACGTGATGCACCTACTGCGAGCTTAAGATATAAGGAGTCCCTTGGGAAGGTAGAGAAGTAGACGCGGGTCTGTATTGTGATAATACCGAAGAAGCTGGCAGTATTGTAATACACGGAGGATTTTAGGACCTTGATGAGAGGACAAGTCCCCTATAGTGACTCACACAGCAGCGAGCAGCTGACCGGAGAACGCGCCCCTAAGGAGATCGTGAGGATTAGTGGCGATCATCGAAACACTAAGCAGACAGGATGAGGAAAGAGGCGTGTTGGAGTGAAGCGGACTCAACTCCTCCAAGAAGACAAGGATACCCAACAGTTTTAAGACTCCGTTGGACCTTTGCCGCCGGCGCAAACCGGGCTCGGGGCTGTTACCCCGTCAGATACTGGTCAGATCAATGCGGCTTAAGTATAAGATACAAGTGCCCACCGAAGCGACCACGGGGACAATCACATCAAAGTGAACCATCAGAATGAATAATGAGTGATTCTTTGCACCCTCGGTACTGAGATAGGGAAAGGAGCATTCTATTTTTCTGACCAGTGAAACGAGCCACGACACAGCCAGCTCGCGAGGCTGATAGTGCTAACAATGATGTGATCTTGGCGTTCTCATGGTGACATCTTTAAGCGCTTTCTTCAACGATGTTGTTGGCGAGCATGCTGGATATGGTCACCATTCATCCTAGTGTCCTTGCAGGTGTTTGCGCCACTTTTGGCACGTTCCCTTGGCGGCTTCTCGCAAGGGCAGGCTTTGACGGAACAAGTGGGAAATCTCTCTTCGCCTAGTTAGGCACTTCCTTTCATTTGATTCATCCCTGCATTCTAGGCTCTGGGGCTACCAAGCAATGGGGGCGTTAATTAAATCCATCCGCCCAATCCCATTGCCTTGTGACGCAATCACGTGGAATTTCCTATGAAATGGTGGGATCTTCGGGAAGGCCGAGCAATTGACCGGTGTTGGGACGGCCATGGATGCACCTGGGATCACTGTACTTGGTACGATTGCCGAGCAAGGCAGAGGAGCATATGAGGGATGAGTCTATATAATGTCATAAGGGGCTGGTGCCGGACACAGATCCCTTCTTACTAGCAGGCCGAAAAGCGCAGGATCAAACGTAGGAATTGCGTAGGAATTGTTGATGTGACAACGTTGCCAGTGGCGGAGGAGCCGGCTAGGCACCCTATTGCCGACGTGGCGTGCCCGAGCCATACAACTTCGCGAAGAAATGCGTTTCCCCGCGTTGTTGGGCAGCACAGCGGCTTTCTGCATCAATTTTCCATTGCGGATTTGACGAGGGATTGCAGGGACTCACTTTCCGACACCAGAAAGGACACTGGGATTACACAAGACTTGGATTTCCGACAACTCAAGGGGCTACGGATATTGTCATCTTTTTGGTCTAATCACACTACATGTGACTTCGGATTCTACAAATGCTTCGAGAGGATCTACAGCAATTACCCCAATACATAACTCTACTCTAAAATCCCCACATGTTAAGTCCATGCGTGGGCTTGCCCTCGCCTCCGTGGATGATTTCCCCCGTCGAAACAACTTTGAAGCCAACGAGATCCTTCCCTCTCTCAAGAACGAACCCGTCGCGTTCGATCCTATCGCTTCCATCCTTCGGCGGCCCATACCTCGAATCGGGGACATAGTCCTCCGCGGCAGCCCTCAGGAACTGCAAGGCTGGCTTACGGAACCAACGGTCAGGAGGTCGTCCAATCGGACTTCCACCTTGAAACCAACCAAGATGACCCCCGGCTGGTGTCACAACAAGAGCGGTCGTCTGACCATGAATCGCCTCCTTAGTTGGAGCGATACCGATAATTGGGTCATCGGCAGAGCTAATGGCGAGAAATGGTACTCGAATTGAACTTAGATGATGATGACTAGATCCCCATGCGTCTGTTATAAGTGTCAGTCGAACATCAATCCAACACAGGAGCCCCCCTGGTGGGGCTTACAGTAGTCATCGGCAGACTTGAAAGGAAATGGAGGAGAATGTCCACCACAGAACCGAATGAAGGCTTCGTCAACTTCCTTCAGAGTTGGATTTTTCTTTAAACTCATAATGTTATCCAGTTGAGGGGCGAGTCGATCGTCTGGTGGTAACTTCCGAAGGGAATCGACTAGATGCGGGGGAGAAATATCAGGTTAGCGGGCCAAGCGTGCGATACGACAACCCACCATGGATTCGAAATGATGCCAGCAGAGTGCCTCCCAACACGGGAGAGTAAAACGTCTTCGGAACGAACTCCGTCTCGAATCTGGGTCCCCAAGTCCTTGAGCAAATGACAGCAGAATACTACTTCAACTCTACCTTCTGCTATTCTTGACACAATCCCAGGGCTATCAAGCAGGTTATATTGCATATCAAAGGGATCGATATAGGATGCTCACACAGGCAAGTGCAACGGCAGCCTGCAATCTACTCTTTTCCTTCTCCTCGCCCAAATAACGAGTAATTATACCGGCACCAAGAGAAAATCCGATACCGACGAGTGGAGCTTTTGGGAATTTGTGTGAAATATACAACAGACCGCAACGCAGATCGTCCGTGTGTCCAGAGCTATAGAACTGAAGTCGGACGCATCAGTGCCTCGTAAGTCTGACGGCCGCCGTATTACTCACCTGCCAGCTAGTGAGAGGTACGTTTGCACCTAATCAAATACCATTTAATGTCGGGTTGGACAAGGTAGAAGGGATGAAATCCTCACATCCTCGGAAATTGATCACGATTCCTCTGTAGCCTAAACCCCCTTGTGACTTTGACGCGCAAGCGTGAGCGAGAACGGAGCGAACATAAGACTCATACGACCCGCCACACAAGCCATGCTGAACTACGACGATAGGTGTATCATCGGGGAGGTCAGGGTTTTCTTCAGTCGTCGGTGTCATGTCCAATCCCAATGTGCCTCCATCAGGGGTTCGAAGCAACGTGCTTAGCTCATACGTGAATAAATGCGAGAGGGGGCAAAAAGATTGGTCCTTACCGCTCGTACAGTATTTGATCAGTCTTGGTAAAGTCCCCCACAGCAGCGTAGCAGGTCTGGGAGTGTCCATTAGGAAGCCACCAGGAAAGTCTGTACCCCTTATATAAACTAGGATCAATTGCATCAGCTAGGCGAGCGCGAACAGGGATAAGTCCACAGACCTTGGCACCTTCGATTCGAGAAAAGTCTTGATACTCATCGTCTCGACCCCCTTCTTGAGAGAGCCGTTCGCAGAACCATTGCCATTGACATGAGTCGCGTCATCGTTGGCGTCGTCGCTGGCGCTGCCAGGCGCCTCCACGCGTTGGCAGACTTTGAACAGCAGAGGTGAGGTCGGATAGTATACATTCGGGATGTGTTTCCCTGTAACGTATCCTACAGCAAGCAAAATTGGGACAAAAAGAATCAGAATGACCTGCAGAACAGAGAGCATTGTCGTCCAAGCAACGCAGACGCGTGAAGGGAAGAGGAGCTATGTCCCCGCGGACCCCATGCAGTACGGGTCCCTGACATTCGCACGCCCATGCGACACGAGGACCCCAGCTTGCTTCATGATTCCCACGGGTTCAATTAGCTTATCTTGAATCACACATTGATCACGCATGCCCAAAACGGCATAAGAGATGCCCGACAGACCCGGCGCTCAGTCCGTCTATTGGTAGGCAGGTTACCAGCCTCTATTAGTGTAGTCTATTGGGGTGGGCCTTCTGAATCCGCTGCATCGATCGCGGGAGAGCTACACGGGAAACCTCAATCAGTGACCAGCCTCTATTGGAATGATCAACTATGGATGTTCCCTTTTGAAATGGAGTGGTCTTACCTACTTCACAGATGCAACGCAAATTACCTTGTAGTCACTGAGCCGGTGGCATCGGTGTTCTTCATCAGCATTGCCTACGATGTGGGTGCTGGCCAATTCCTAGCACAATCCATTCACAGCCCCACTCGACGAGCAAGTTACTCCATATGATTTATCCTAGTCATCGGTTTGATCGAGTTGGCATACGGCGTTCACTTTAGCTGCTTTGCTCGTGCGAAAGTTTGGAATCATTTTTGGGTGAAGAATGAAATAAATCCACTCCAGCCCGACCCGAAATCGCTTGCTCTGGGATCACTTCACACCACTGGTAGGCGATAGAAGTTACGAACAAGCTGAAAACACTAATTGTGTTTTTTTTTTTTGGCATTTTTGAGAGCTCTGAAATGCTCAACAATTCCAGGATGCCAGGGCTAGTGCAAGTCTGCATGCCGGTGCCACACATGTGGCGATGAGGACCAGATAACAATCGGCACCCAAATGACACTGCCTAAGTTGTCAATTACAATGAGGAACACTCATCAATGACCCGGAACTGCCGCGTGTATTGCAAGAAAGCTCAGACTTCATCCAGACAGATGAAATCATGCAGGGAAAGGTGACAGGCCCGAAGTCTCAATGAGTGACAGCCCGTGACTGGGGTTTGCCCTTTTTTACGCGACCATAGGGCAATAAGATAGATTCATACTAATATGACCACTTGTTTATACAAAGCCGAGGCACCATACGTCGGTTCTGCAACAACGTCGCTTTTGCATCTGGTGGCAGCACAAGAGCTTGGCAACACTTGAAAGACCCTAGTTTAATCATGAAGGCTTCTTCTTTGGTGGTGCATTCTTGGAATTCAATCAATGAGTATGCAGGCATTCATCCTCTGGGGACCTAAACATATCCCGTGCTGCAGTGCCAGTGTTTGATTCTAAATTGCCTATGACATGATTAGGGGGTAAAACCCTCTACGCTAACGCGAGTATGTTAGAGAATAGCAGGCCCGAATAAGTGAAATGAGGAGAGGTGGAAGTCCCCCGGACAGAAACCCCCCATCCGTGGTGAGACTCGTCGAATTCACCTGATCCACCCCAGCCAGTGTAAAGTTTGGCGATACAACACGCACTGGGTCCGCGGTATGAGCATATAATGGACGTGCAATTAGGCTCGTTAAACTCAGTCTTATGCAGGCACATGATAGTTACTGAAAACTCTGCAGCTGCACTAAGTCTTATCAGACACATGAATGATATTTCAGATTCAGTAGTTGTAGTGTGATGATTTTGTTGCGGCTTTCCATCTGGCTATGCCGTCGCTCAGCAAATGGGATGTGAAGGCGTAGGTAGCTTTGGGACTCCCACAACTCGATGGTCTGACCACAGAAAAGAGCAAGCCAGTACAATTAGATGTGCAACTGACCATGGGATCCTGGTTCTTCTAACGGAGATATGTCGAGGTCACTGAATGTTTCATATGATGATAGCATGAGACTGGTTTGAGCGGTAGCAGTTGGCTCCGTTGAAACAGCCATAGGGAAGGAACTAGCATTAGCCACTGAAGATGAAGGCAGTGCTGAGCGCTTCATCCTTTCACCAACCCAATCTGAAAACTGGGGGAATCGGGTGACAGTTATCGTGACGAGAAGTGATCCGTCTTATCCAGGACGAATGAACACGGAGCCCGCCGCCCATTGAATGGCACAGGTGCCTGTTTTCTGTCGCGGCGGCCTTTCATCCGCGTCTCGCCCGGAATTCGAAAAAATGAACGGCCGGTTGTAGATCCTGCCGAGACGCGAGCATTTTTTATGTCGACCCGCTTCCATACATGCTGTGGATGCAAATACAACCGACGGGTGTTGTCAGAAAGGCAAGCGTTCGTGCCTAGATAGAGCAAGGATGGCCAAGTGCAATACCATAATACAATCGTAGAGAACGAACATCCATTGACGATATCCCAGCGCTCCGCAGGTGGTGGGAAATCCCGTGATGCCAGATAAAAGGGGAGGTTCGAGATATGGGTGCGTAAGGCGTGCACCCTCGGCAACCGGAAACCGCACAACAATGGCCAATTCGCTCACATTGCCCGCTCGGCCTCACGAAGAGTTTAGAAATTCTGGTGATGGCGGGAAAAGTAAAATCCATACCATTCCTTGTGATAACGGCGTCACAATGGCTTAGGTAGATGAATTTAATCACCCCATTACTTGCTAGTCCAAGATCCGTTGAAAGGCCTGATAGCCCAAAATACTGCGATGATCATAAATGCCAATCAATCGCGCCCGGAAGGGAGGCCTTAACTAGAGGAAGGAAGATGATCCGAACGAAGTCTCCCAACTTTTCCGCCAAAGCAGCGGGGAGCCCGCCCTTGTGAGGTACCGCCAAAGAAGCGCGGCCACCTGCAAAGGCACCAAAATGAAGGGTGACTATATCCAGCATGCTCGCCAACAACATCGATGAAGAGAGCATCTAAGGACGTCGTGGTGAGAAGGCCAAGACCATTTCGTTCACGAGCCAGCCACAACGAGTGTCACTGGTATAAGGGTCCAACGGACAGAGAAAAATAAAATGCGCAGCGTCGACAAGCTGGAACTTGCGTGGACTGAGGCAACTGCGAAAGTCAATATGGCCAACCGAGAATATCATTCTCAAAGCCAGCCCACAGAATAACAACTCCAATGGTCATGTCTGGGATCTTTGTTCCAGTCAAAATGCGGCACGCAGCATATTTAGTTCCGTCTCAATGTCAATGAGGATAGACGACTTACAAGCACCGCGAACGCAGTGATGGACTACGGAACATCACTCAACGGTCCAAAATGAACGAAACTAGGATGGCCCGTGAATGGGATACCTGCACACAGGGACAGCCATAATGAAGCCCACTCCAAGAGGAAAAACGATGGCCCCGAAAGAAGAATGAAAGAATGCCTGGGATCGCGCCCAATGATCGACAGACCAATTTCGTGGCAGATGAGGAAGAGAAATATCACAAGCCCAAGGTAGCCCCGAGGTCCAGATACAGATGCGACTGAGATGCATCAAGGAAGACATGCTGAGGGACTTTCGGGACGCGCCCCAGATTAGTTAGCCCGAGAACCGCACCGTCATATCAGTGACCGAGACAGACCAGTAAGCGAGAAGAGCGAGCTCGCATATCAGTTCGGTGATATTATAACTTGGGGCCGTGTCCAATAAGAAGTAGAAGTGTTGTCGTTATAATTATTCCTGAAAATCAGAGGTAATTGGAAATCAGCATTCAGCGGTTGTTAAAGCACGCCACTCAACTGAAGGATCCAGGACTGGATATGATCAGCGCGGTGGGAAATTCGGTGAGATGATTGGGTGCCCAGGAACTCCACAGGCTAAGTCACAGGTCGACGAGCACTAAAGCTGACGGAGCGCAACCTGTCCTTTGTATTACGAGATAATACCGTACCTATACCTTTCGCAGTCGACAGGAGACAAGGCAATACTGTCACCAAGCCGAATACCAAAGAAGCCCATGACCAATTGCGGGAGAATGTCGAACATCCAGCAGGAAACAGCGGTGGTGCAAACAAATATCGATTTCCCAGCGTGGTAGCAGCGTGGTCATGTCTGTAAACGCTGTGTTGGAAAAAGTTACACCTTTCCGCGATCGCGAGGCAGTGCAAACGCTTCCCCGCACTCAATTTCATTCCATCGGAGCTTCCACTGCTTAAAGGACCAATCCCGAGAACAAGGAGAAAGGAACCTCCTCTCCACTCCTCTACCCCTTCGCTATCTCAGAACCGATACTGGAGCAACACTTCTTTTTTGTGTGATGTCCCGCAGTCGCTTCCCAGTCGGGCGGCACTTGTGTCTTATCGGCCGTATTGAACAACTGACATGCTCCGCGACTGGAGAACGCGCCGATATATCGGCACTTCAGCACCCATCTCCTATATAGGGTTCTGTGAGATATGCTGCTACCTCTTCGCTCCGTGGCCTCTCTGGCCCTCAATATCCGCGTTTCAAATACATCTGGATATTTTGACGGAGTAACAGCCCCGCGCCCCGAGCCTCTACGCGGTTACAGAGGTTTAGGGGAGTCTTAAAACTGTCGGATATTTTTGGAGTGGTTGAGTTCGCTTCACCCGATACGCTTCTTTCATCATCCTATCTGCTTAACGTTTCGATGACCGCCACTAGCGTCCACGATATCCTTGGGGGCGCATTCTCCGGTCAGCTGCTCGCTGCTGTGTGAGTTGCCATAGGGAACTTGTCTTCCCGTCAGCGTCCTAAACCCCTCCTGTATCACAATACTACCAGCTTCTTCGGCATTATCACAATACAAGTCCGCACCTACTTCTCTGCCTTCCCAAAGGACTCTCTATATATCAAGCTTGCAGTAAGTGCATTGCGTTTTGGTCGTGACAAATGCCTGAAATGTGGAATGTCCAAACAGGTCTCCTTTTTGTGGTGAGTACGAGGCTCAGATGATGGTGTGACTATAAATTTAAAGTGCTGCCTAGGGTCATTCAAGGTCTCCTGGTGTGAGTCTTTCTCAATTTAGCGCTCAGTAAAGAACTCGTCTCACAGAAGATGAAGTGCATGCACGACGCAGGCTCTTTATTGGTACCTTGTGGTTGCTTCGACTGAGAAGAACGTCCTTCCGTTCGTTACCTGGGAAATGGCAATGCATCAAACTATGACGGTGCGTTTGGCATCCACCCACGGAGTTTAGGTTGGGGGGTTGAGACAAATTCTAGGTTGTCTCTTCGACAGCTGTTCAATCATTTTTCGCATACCGCGTGTATGCTTGTACGTACCACTCATTTCCTTGGTTTTGTGGATACCCATGAGAGGCTCCCCTGCAGTGAGCACAAGCCGTATATTGGGGTGCCTAGTTGAATTGTTATCTCTCGCGCAATTCGGTATGTATAACACCAAAATCTCACACACTATGAAACTGACGATGGCATCGAATTCCTATGTCTACTAGGCCTTGGGATATGTACGGTCTCTTTTGCGTTCTGCTGTTCGTGCTGCCAAACCGTTTCCCCATATTAGCATCTGCCTATCGTGCATACCATCTTGCGAATTTTTCCACGATTCCACAGCAGGAACGATGGTTGATCGGATCATGGCTCCTTATGGAGGTTAGCACATGTTCTACTCCGATGTTCCCGGCCTCAATCTGAATGATTGATAGGTGATTTGTGATGTCACACTTGCCGTTTCGATGACCATCCTGTTACGCCGGCAGAGAACTGGTTTTAAACAGTTAGTTTGACCTGAGGGTGATGTTGTGCAAGCTTACAAACTCGTTCCGCAGAACCGACAACATCTTAAACAAGTTGATTGTTTATTCAATCAATACTGGAACAGTCACAGGTGTAATAGCTATTGTCATTTGCGTCGCTGTACGTATCCTTACCTGAGGGTCAATTCCTAGCACTAACGTTTCTTTCGGATGAAGTTTGCAATTAATGGCTTCGGTTTTGGTACGTTAGCATCGTTGGTCAGCAGACATTGGGACTCATTTTCGCTGTTTTAGTCGTTCTCTTGTTGGGGATAGTGAGCAATTTTTCCCCCGGTGTTGAGGCAGCCTTCTGACCTTGGATATAGCCATTCGGTGCTGTATACAATTTCACTATGCTTGCCAAGTACGTGGGCAAGACATGCGCCTCAACACACTCGAATGCTGATTTTTTGCGCTTCAGCCTGCACTATAGAACGCAACTCCGTCAACATTTATGTCCCGCACACATGCGGAACACTGGTACTGGGCCGAACTGCCTGGGTGTCAAAGTTACCGTCGACAAGACTGTAGAACCATCACCGTCCCGACATGCCCTCGACTCCAGATCCAGATCCTTAAGTCGGAAGGGCTCTCCTGCATCACCTCCCTGAAGTAGTTCTGGAAAACATTGGGATGATTCATGATGATACGCGCCTCATTCAACCTGAATTGGAGGATTTGTTCGCTCCTACAAAACGATTATCGAAGATAGATCATGATCAAGGCAATAGAAACCGTTGATATTGGTGTCCTGGATACAATCACGGCCAGAAACACATACGCTCGTGCCTAAAGAGAATACCTATCGCTGACTACGATGCGGATCCATTGGCACAGTGGATGGAGAAGCAACTCATTCCCCCCAATATTCACCATCGCGGACGCTGATTTTCGAATGAAATCGGCTAGATTGTAACATAAACACTCGTTGGCCTTCATGTCCAATTTGATTGTGTTGGTGCCCTTTTCCACCTAGCACTAGGTTCCATCCGCCGTACCGCATTTATGCATCATGTGCGGTTCCGCCGATTCCACACCTCTACTCAGTGACTGATAAGGGAGTTGAGGTTCGATGACCGGATAAATGACCGGGTGGATTGAGCGCACAATAGCCACTGGTTATGTAGGATAGTGTCAACAATACGATTCCTTATCTTCCGGGCCTCCACTATCGAACCATGGTGAGGATCGGTCGACAGTTGCGGTTGTCCGCTTTGAGACGATAGTATACAAGATGCGACACGAACATCACTGCCTCCAGTCGAGCTTTAGAGGCAGGTTATTTACTTGGCGACACAAACCCCTCCCATTATGGAGCGTAGCCTATGAACAAAGCAGGCACGTCATTCCCGAGCCGTTATCGCACCCTTACCCACAAACGGAGACCTGGGGCGTACCTTGTAACCACCGAGCTGACGGCGTCGGCGTTCGTTATCAGCATCGCCTAAGATGTGGGCAATGGTCAATTCCTACTGGCGTACGTGACAGTTGCAGTCAACGAACCAATTACTCTATAATTCATCCCGATCATCGGTTTGTTCGAGTTGGCGTTCTTGTCCGAGGGTCTAGAATTCAGATTCTATATATGAGTGCGAACGTATGATATTGACTGGTCGAAAGATAGGCAGAGCACATGTAATGTACTTGAGGAGAGTGCGGCTCTGTACCTGCTAGAAACATGGTGAGCATGCTCTTCGTCCTCTTCATGAGCGGTGGCGTAGCCGCCGATTCCGAGTTCACGAGCAATGTGAGGGATCTCAGAGCGTGGGTGCTAAATGGAAATACCATGTCAGGGAAAGCTGGGGGGGAATCCGGAAAACACGCACTACTATGGTTGTTGACTGCAGCTCTGTGGCCGCGAAGAACGTTTCCGAGACCAGCTGTGAAATTAGTGTTAATCGTTACTGTCCCCGAGGCCACTTTCTCAACTCCATTCACCAGACATTAGTAGATGAGTCAAAGTTTTATGAAATTAGATTGACCCGAGAGCAAGCGAGGTTGGTGAACAGTAAGTTGTAACGACGTAATTTACGCCCATATTTATACGCCCAAGCCCATTACATCGCTCTCACGTTTATAACGAGGTCATCTAGGACTCCTCATTGAAGTGGCGCCAAAGGACTACGCGGCTTGCATGGGACGCATCAATAGTGCGTGCATCTGAACCTCAATACCGTCGAAACAAGCCCACGTCAAGATTGCAACCACACTAGGCCATGAACCCCAACCATTCAAATGATCCGGCACCTGGACGAATGGGATTGACAGGTGGATGCACGTCAGAAATAGATCTAGAGTGTCGATTGGCCGGAAAATCGATCGTGGGAACCTCCAGAACCCTGAGTCCCTACTGTCGTTGCGTGAACTCCCTCGGAGCGCAGTCCACATTACCATCGCGACGACTCATGATTCGACTGGAAAATTATACGAGTATCTGTAAGCGGGACTTGTCAATTACGAAGGGATGACTTATTTTTATATATTTATTTCGAAGACTCCTGCCCTCTCAACAGCGTTTGCAAACTAAATACCTAGAAGTCTTAGACACTCATTTCTGATACCCACTGCTCGGGAAACACAGACACCCCCTGGGTAACGTGGGAGGCTTAGGACAACGGCCGTACGAAATATTGGAATATCAATGTGCATGCGTACTGATATTTTCTTTATTGACGCGATATCAATTGAGGATATCGTATATACCTTTTTGTCTTGATGCACTCTTCATTGCCGGTTATAGCAGGCAGTCGCTATAAGCGATATTAGCGCTAGGTGTATAAAACACACTGTGCGCGGAAATTTTTCACACCCCCTCAGTTCTCTTGTTCGAGACTGAGGTGATATCCTTTTTCTTTTACTTTATTCATTGTATGCGAGTTCTGACTGTATTTACAGACCGCGCGTATAGGTAAAGGAACAATAAACTTAGTTCTCTTGTTCGAGACTGAGACCGCGCGTATAGCTTATTTACTTTACGAAAAACCGAAAAACTCATGGCCTGACCCAAGGGCATCACCAAATTGGCGAAATTCCCTGGTGTAGTGGAAAAATGTACGAACACCCGAGATGGATCCGATCCTGAACGTAATTTGGCAGTCGCAGAGCCGGGGGACTCAGGAGAGAGAAAAGGCGGAACGACATGGAGCAAAGATGAACTATAATTTCCCCATCATAGACACCAATCCCTGAGGACACCAATCCTGAAGACTAGCTATATGACACTACACCTAGTAACCCACCTTTCTAACTCGTAACCAGGAGGTTTGCCAGCCGAATGACATTCATCCATTCATCTTCGGTACCACATCATCTTGGCATCTGTCATCTATTCCAATAGAGGCTGGTAGCCTACGTCTCTCATACCGCTCATACCGGATACATCATAAGGACTGCCATCCAAACGCACGTTCGTTGGGATGACGGTCTGGTGCATAGGCTCAAGCAGACGGTGTATCATGGGTCTTCTGCATTCTCCGCATCGACAATGACCATACAGTCTTCTATCAATCTGTGTCCGTGGGTCTGCCAACCCATGACATAGCGCATGCGATACCCCAAGTTTTGCTGTAATTGAGCGAGTGGGTGACTCTTCAATTATCCGAAGTGTTCTTGTCCACTTGAATCATTCCTTTAGTTGCATCCCCCCAATGCGGAGCCTCTACCGGTTGCGACGGTGAGATGCCCGCGGAAGGAGTACTCGGTGCGCTTCCCTTGTGTTATCTACGTTTTCAGTGGCCCAATCCCGTTCAGTGTTATTGGGGGCCGCTGGAAACAGAACACGTTCTGCTGGTCTGAATCCCATTCATTCATATCCTCGGGGCCCCACTGAGTGGCCTTGGAACTTGCGCATCGGGTTTCCGGGCGCCGACTCCATACTCATTGATGTGCCCCTAGATTATCAAATCTGCGTATAGATACTCCGTTGGCGTCCCTTGCAAGGCTTCCCGTCTTTATCGTCCCCTATTTAGGGCGCGCGATTTGGTGTGCGCTACCAGTGATCAACTGCTTCGTTAGGAGGGTCCATACGACTATGATACGGGAAGCTTGGTGAGGGTGGCAACCCCTGTGAGATGCCCAATATCTTTATCGAAATTTCAAATTGGAGACTGGGAGCTGTGCAAAGCCTGCTCCGGGATCGCCGATCCGTGGCATAAGCGTGTCTTAGGTGTCTCTCTGAATTGTGTTCCCGTTGACTTGGACTCAATGGAAAGACTACCACGTTAGGCAATGGATCATGTGCAGCAGGCATCCCTCTTCATAAATAGTTCGTCAGACTCCGTCGAACATGACAGTTGTCAGTGCTACGTGTTGCGGCTCACATTGGGAGGAGGCCCGGGCAACTGGGTTAACTGTCGCGCCAGGACTTCGATATCCGGTACTATTTCCAATGGGCCAGGTAATTGGATGTGATCTGTATTTCAAATGCTCGATTCCTTTACTAGGGGTGCTGCTGTGTGCCCAGTCTGCCCCCTGTTTGGACCCACGCCCCTGTACCATTCCGTCATATAAGCTGGGCATCCAACCCAACCCGATTACCATCCACCCTCTGAAGACAGGGATTAACACGCTGTTATCTCGCCCCCTTTTTAAGCGTGCCTGTGCCCTGTTTTAGCAAAAGTGAGGTCAGACTTATTATCTCCATATTGAGAATTCAACCTCCTCTCAAGATTTGGATTGTTTCTTACCAATGGGTCAAGGAGGATGGATCGACATAGTAAACGGGACGACGTATGACTGGACCCGGGGCTATGTCCATTCTTATCAGATGTCCGCTTGGGACTTTCCTTCTGTCATCAAGGCCGGGACCTCCGCATCCGTGTACATTGAGTTTAGAGAAAAGTTGGGCGACAAGTGGGAGGATGATGGGGGCGAAGTTGAATTTGTCATTCAGTCCACTCAATCTCCCCGCTTTCAAATTCAAGCCGGGGGCAAGGGAGGGTATACACTTCAGGCATGGTTCAGTAATTTCTGGACCCAAAACAATCCTTCTGGCTCGACCATCCGCCTTGGATGGAAGCACAATGGACACGTAAACTTTGTTCTGTCGGGCTTGTCCGGGAATTTCTCGTCTACGAACCCGCCCTCTGCGTGGATGCAAGCTAATCGAGATACCCTCGGTAGTCGAACACTGAAGCAGATCTGCATTCCCGGCTCTCACGACGCTGGAATGTCCGTCATGAACGGTGGAACTGCTTTCGCTACCCCCGGAAACAGTCTGACACAAAGCTTTGGGATAGGCGCTCAGCTTGCTGCAGGCTCGCGTTATTTCGATATTCGACCTGTCATCAGTGGAGGCCATTTTAAAACCGGGCATTATTCATATGTCGGTTCGGTCTTGCAGACCATCGGTGCAAACGGGCAGTACATTAGCGACATCATCAATGAGATCAATACGTTCACGTCGCAGAACGCTGAGCTCATTATCATAAAGTTCAGCCATACCTTCAACACCGACGTCGGACGAACGTACCCGTCATTCACCCAAGCTGAGTGGGAGAGACTGTTCAACGATCTCCTTTCCATTCATAATCGATACATCACATCTGCGGCAAACCTCACCACCGACCTCACTCTTAATGACTTCATCTGCCCCGCCGGAGGCCCAGTTCCTGCAGTCCTTATTATTGCCGATGTCGAGTCTGATTGGATAACTGACAAGTACAACAACCAGGGCATCTATCCTTTGTCATCGATAAATCTCTACGACAGTTACGCGAACAGTGACTCTCCCGATGCCACTATCTCCGATCAACTCCAAAAGATGCGAGATAATTCCAGCCAATATTTCCTCCTCTCCTGGACGCTTACGCTCCAGGCAGCAGATATCATATCTGGAAGGGCTACGATCAAGAGCCTCGCAGAGACGATGAATCCTTTGCTGTACTCGCGATTAACCGGAAACGTCACCAACTCGGTGTATCCAAGCATCATCTATGTCGACTATATCGACTCGAACGTTGCGCCGCTTGCAATGGCTATTAATACTCGCATCACATCACTTTTGCAAGTCGGATCCTTGGTGTCGAAGATAACGTCGAAACTTTAAGCTCGTAGCGACTGGGGTCGGGTTTATGGTATACGCAGGATTGGAACGGACTACTGTGTCGTGGAATGTTGTGTATATTTTCGTGTGTTCAACTATCTTTACATCATTTACTGCGAGCAAATGTCTCGACTCAGCGGACAATCCCAACCCGACCTCAGTACATGTACGTTGACCACCCTGATCGCTGCTTTCTTTGATATTGGAGCAACATTAACAACGCGATGTGCAGCTGACGTTTGCTCCAAGTTCGGGAAGAGCATACTCCCTAGTAGTAAGCTTCCCAAAAATGAGGCAACCAGACAAGTGGTGGGTGGCCTCTCACGAGTTGCCGAAGCACTACTCTATAGCCACGTTGTGTGTATAAATGTCAGCTCAACGTATAACAGCGAACGCGCATATATCCATCAATAATAGCCCCTCCATGTTGTAGGCTCAGGTCAATTGTTGGAGACTACGAAAGGTGAGATCATTCAGAAGCCCCTCTGGAGCATGGAAAGTTGAACCCGAGGACCTCATCACAGCCCTCATCTGGAATCCTGCCCGCCCTCATGTATGCTGCGGCGCAACCAGGATAGCCACACTGCCACAACATTCCGGGACCGAATAAACGATGAGCCCCGCTCGATATGGAACTCGGATCCAGATATAACCAGCTAGTATATTAGATAAATTCCGATCTATATTGGGATGCTCAAAGCTTTCTCCCTTCCCATTCCCGCTCTCTTCTCCCAACGAACCACCTTCTTGCGTCCACTCACTCGACGAAATCTTAAGAATCACGAATCCGTGCCTCGATACAATCTTACTGTCAGGATGGCTTCAAGCAAAACGATTGCGGTCCTTGACGTCAACGAACTGAAAGATGGGCAGATGTGAGTATAATATTCCCGTGAGAGAGGGTCGCAGTAACTTTTTCCTCTACCACTACACAATATCAAGTAAAGAGGTCGACTTTGACTCTGGAAAAGTTCTTCTGAGCAATATAGGAGGCAAGATCCACGCAACCTCTGCGTACTGCACGCACTATGGTGCTCCTCTTGCCAGTAAGCGTCAGCGGCACAGTTACTCACTATATCAGAATTACTGACGTTAAGCGTTTCGTAGAGGGTGTCCTTGTGTCCTCTGGTCGAATTACATGGTACGTAATCATACTCCACTCGTTCATCATCACCGATTCAACGACTGACTCGTTACGTCATTTGCACTCCCCGCCGAACTGTGGCATTGATCCCAGCCCATGGCATGGTGCTTGCTTCAACGTCTGCACCGGCGATATCGAAGACGCGCCCGCTCTAGCAGCCATTCACTCTTTTAAGGCTACCGTTAAAGACTCCAAAATATATGTTACCGCTGACCCATCTCTCACCACCAATCAGAACAAATCTCGCCCACCGACTAACCGTTCGAAAGGTCTTTCACTTTCCGCCACCGACCCTGGTGTTGTCATCGTAGGGGGAGGAGCAGGAGGTCTCGCGACTGTGATCGGCTTGCGAGAGAGCGGTTATCCTGGGAAGATCACAGTATTGAGTGCTGAACCACATGCGCCGATTGATAGGACGAAATTGAGTAAGGCCCTGTTGACGGATGCGAGCAAGTTGGAATGGTATTCTGCTCAGACACTCGTTGAAACGTTCGACGTCAATCTACGCACGAGTACTACCGTCACAGCAGTTGACGTTGCCGGGAAGAAGGTTTTCGTAGGGTCCGAGGCTGTTCTCTATGAATATCTTGTCCTCGGACCTGGTGGAATTCCGAGGAGATTACCCGTTCCTGGAGCGGATTCTCCAAATGTGTACACGCTTCGCTCTGTGGATGATGCTAAGAGGATCAGTGACGCTATTGGACGTCCGTCCATCCTCCCGGGCAAAGTGGCTAATGTGCTGCCCGGAGGGAAGAACTTGGTAATCATCGGAAGTTCATTCATTGGGATGGAGCTCGTGGTTGCTGTGAAGGACAGAGGGTTAGCGAGCATAAGCGTTATTGGAATGACGAAGTTCCCGTTCGAGGCGGTGCTGGGAGATAAGATCGGCGAAGGATTTAGGAAGGTGGATTTAAAATTTCGTCGGTAGCCTCACGTTCCGACTTACATTCTCTGTCACACAGTTCCACGAAGGCAACGGGGTTAAGTTCTATGGAGAATCCAAGGTCACAGCTATCGACGAAAAGTCGGTTAGCTTTGAATCTAATGAGGGCAAGAAGACCACAATTCCAGCTGATGTCGTCATCTTGGCTGTTGGTGTGGGTCCCGCTACACAGTTCCTGAAAGGTAGTGGCATCGAGACGCAGAGGGATGGAGGCATCATTGTAGATGAGTACCTGCGGGTTAAAGGCGTGGAGAAGGTCTTCGCAATCGGTGGGTTATCTCCGCCTCCTTAATGATACCGGCTCAACGCGCATGTTAAACCACGTCAGGCGATGTCGCCATCTTTAAGGAGCCCACAACTGGAGAACAGGCGCGCATCGAACACTGGGATGTTGCGCAGAATCATGGTCGTTGCGCCGCATCTGTCATCGCGGGTAAACCCCTTCCATTCGATAAGACACCGTACTTTTGGAGCGCTCAGGGTCAACAGCTAAGGTACGCGGGGTATGGGCACGGCTATGATGACATCGTCATCCGCGGGGACCCTGCGGCCTTAAAGGTGCGGCTCTCTCCAGGGTTTTCTACAGTTCAACTTGAGAGCTTAACAAGGAATTTGTTCCATAGTTCCAAGCGTACTATACAAAGGGGGACAAGGTTATTGCAGTTTCAACCATGCAAGCTGATCCACTCGTGAGCAAGGCGTCCGAGTTATTTAGGCTGAATAAATTCCCTTCTGTGTCAGAAATCAGAGCTGGAAAGGTGGGTCTATTACTCATGGTAATGCAATGTGAGAGCTGACTCGGCCGGAAACATCTCCAGGATCCACTGGAGATTGATATTTCCTCGAGCGCTGTGGACGTTCGCCATTGATGCAAGATTTGGATATTAGGTCCAAGTCCTTTCGATGGAGGTGGTGTCAAGGAATGAACAACAAATTTGAAATTATCGTATTGTCATGCTCGTCTGATGCTGTATTTTTACGAAGCGGTCACCAACAAGATCGATGTTACGCGAATATACAACTAGCCGAAGTTATGCAGTCATTCTCAAGGGCATTTATGAACCTCGACGAACTCGTTGAGGGCCGGGAAGGACACGCGATGAAGCGGGTCACTATGCCAGCCCCCGGACCCGGTGATGACCGTGGTTACCTCGCTCTGAACCAAAATCACAAAACCACATCTCGTCAGGCACGGAGCAGATTTTGTGTGGTACTAAAGAGAAGTCTGACAATGGACCTGGAGGAAGAGGTAGGATCCCTGATAGCGAGTAGCCTCGGAGCTAGGAAGGGAGATACTTGTGGGCGATGGTAGGTCTATAGATCGTGTGAGGCATTCAGGGGACTCCGTCACATCCGAAGTCCGATCCCAGGAAGATTTCAACACCTTCGGGTTCCTAGAGCGGGCGAAGGATCCACCTCAGATCATTCGCAATGAGTCCACCAAAGGCAAGCGTTTCCGGATTCGGATTGGGCAGCCAGTCAACCAGAGGATGGCGGACATGAATGAGACAACCCAGGGCCAGATACCTGAAGTTAGGACCAACCTCAAGAGCTGAAAATGAGAGCAACGGAGGTGCGCCGCATCTACACATTGGCACGACGTTCCAGGGTGTTCAGGATGGATCCGATATTATTGTCATTCCAGAGAAGCGTCAAGTTACGGCAGAATTAGAGCGGAAATATTGAAATTGAACTCCCGGAGACATAGGGAGACCAAGATAGACCGTTCCCGAAGTCATAATAGAATTCTGTATTCACTCAGCGCGAGGCTTTTATCTAGTACGACAAGATTACACTTTGAATAATTCAGGTTTCATATTCTGCGGATATCAATGTGTATGATGAGCAAACCCCTTACAGCAGCTACCACAAACTCACCAGTTTGCAAAGACGTGCTAAGAGTCCAGAAAGCTGGATCAATGTCCCCACACCCTCGAGGATCCGCATATGTGTCCAACCGATCTCCTGGGGGACCAACGGTAGTGAATATAATTAATGTTATTTAGACTGTTAACTCACTTTGATGAATTCAAGCTTCGTATACTCGGGAAGTCTGAGAAGCACGGAATGAGAAGCTAGAAGAAGGGAGAAGCACGTCACCGAACTCATCGAATGTCTTGACCACACGAAATATTGTCGTGATAATATCTATTGCGCTGTAGCCCTGATCCCAAACATCCTTCAACTTTTCCATTGCGCCATCAATATCACCTTTCTGGCATGCCCTAATTATTGCCTGGATTGCGATTGGGTGTGGCTGGTCGCACACTTTGAAAACATTGGTGCTGCTGACGAAGCCAGATCCAGACCAGGTAGACTGCAAGTTGTTTATGGCTTGCCGCATGTCGCCTTCGGAAGTGAATATCAACGCCGAGATACCCTCATCATTGTATTCGACCTGGAGGGGATTATTGACGGCGTGGTTGACAGTAGCAACCATATGTACGAGCCTTTTCGAGTTCGCATATCTCAAGTAACCGCTTCAGAATCTCGGCATCTTTTAGCTTTGAGTAACGGAGGATGGCACATCGGCTCTGTATAGGTTCGATGATTTTGTTGGAAGTATTGCACGCTAAAGCGAATCGTGTTGTGTTTGAGTAAATCTCCATGGTCCGACGCATGGCTTGTTGAGCGCCTGCAGTCATGCTGCGGAAGTTTGAGCGAATGCAAACGTAATGAATGCCGAACACTTGTACCTATCTGCCTCGTCAAGTATAACTATTTTGTGGCGGCCAGGCGGGAGGGTGACCTTCTTTTGGGCGAAGGTTTTGATCTTATTTCGCACAACATCTATGCCTCTGGTTAAACCTTCAGTTTGACGCAAGGATAACGGAACCAGCGACGTCTTGACCTTTCATCGGATGCATTGAGCTCCAGGACCCCTTCTTTATAGGAATCACCCAATAGTGTATGGGCAAGACAGTGGATGCTAGTCGTTTTTCCAATTCCAGGTAGGCCCTGCAAATTGGTATCAGAACCAACTCTGCATCGCAAACTGAAGCAAAGTAGCGTACGGATATTATAATGTGGGGGCAATTTCCTTCGCGAGCAATGACCTTTAAGCGATCGATTGTTTCTGAGTTGCCAACTACGTCCTCCAGCTTTCGGGGCCGGTACTTTTCTACCCTGTGTCGAATGAGGTTGGGTGAGAATGACGAAATTAACGTCCATGGAGGATTTTTACTCGCCAAGGGAGCTCGTATGCTTCGGGCACCGAGTCATCTCCGGAACCGTCTTTTGCCATGGGGTCGAATGGTTGATTCTGCTTCACGTTTCCGCGACGCGTCTGACGCGTTTGCTTCCGTTCTCAAGTCAAATAGTTCTACTTTAGTGCTCATACATTGAATGATAATGCAACAGTATATAGTCCTCCGAGAAAACTTGAGCTCACCCGCCCAGATTGAGATAGAGATTGGTCTAGGCATCGACGACCTTCAAAAGATTTCCACAGTGAGGCGCATTTGGATGGCCTCATTCTTCGGCGATTGGCTTTTTGTCATTTATGCTCCAGTGTTAGAATGGTAATCCCCTGCTCGACATTCGAGCATCGCCGTTGAGAGTAGTCACCAGTCACTCGATCATAATGGCACACGTTGTCGCACTGCATTCGAACCCAAAAACCACTCTGCCCGTCCTAGGCAGGTTACCAGCCTCTTATGTCTGTTACCTTCGTTTTTGCTCTCGGTCATTTGATAATGATCAGGATATGGATGATAACACGTACAAACTGGTTTACAATAGATACACGTACTGGTCAAGTAACAGTGGGCATGAAAAACATGTCGAGAAACTTCATGTGCTTTGGTCGGGTAATTACTGTATGTCAACAAGCCGTGGGGGGACAATGCAGTAGCCCACGACACGACACTGCCATGTCGCGCGCAAAATGGAAGAGCCGAGCGTCTCCCGAAACCTGCCTTCTCCACGAATTGACAACAGTCAAGCCCCCAGTAACCATGGAAACTTCCCGTCCTACGTTCCAGCTGCGGCCCGCGTCCAACTACCATCTTATAGTATCTACACTCACGCGAGTGTCATGGCCGTCGACGATCCGTCAAAGATCGGTCTAAACAATATCATGTCGATCGTGATCCCGATCAGCTGCGTAAAGAAGGCTTTCGCTGCGGAGATATCATAGTTCCAGTATTGGGGGAAGGGAGTTTGTGTTATGATGGTAGTGAGACGGCCCAGGAGACTTGTCGCCACGCATACACAAAGAAGACAGGTTGGCAAGCCACGAAGCACAGAATCACCGTTACGCATGACGGCCGCTCTTTGTTGGAGCGCCGTTGCTGCGATGCATGAAACGTTTTTCCAGTTATCATCCTTGTAATCGACTCGACAGTGGAAGGAATTGCGTATTGCTTTCCCAGCAAATGTGTTACGTGTGAACGTTTGAGCACCACCATTAATGCGGTGCCACTTCTCTGACAGTTCAAGTCACCCTCAAATCGACATGGATGTAAACCCATGATTCCCACTAAGCGAAGGTTCAGCCGACTGGCTCTGCCATGCTGGCAGGTTCGTTTTGTCGTTCAAGAAAGTTTTCCCTAGCCATAGATCACGTTGTGATCTCGTCGATGGTATCGAGTAGATATGATGCACATTCGAACGCAACGTTAAGGACAAAGATGACGATGAAAAGCTCGATTTCATTGCTCGGGGCCCGCAAGCAGAGCGCCACTTTTGTTAGGGACTGCCAGGAGTTCCACACCCGTGTGGAATTGAAGGTTTCCCACGAAGGCAACATTCAACGCCATTTACTTTGTGGTGGCATAACTTTTCTCCGCCTCTGCATTTTCTATCTTACAACGGCCTTGCTTCGTCGATCAACGATTGATATGACTCCGCTGTGGTCGGGATCGGATTGGTGTAGCACTGGGTGGGGGCTTCTCGCTTCCCCGGCTAGGCGGCTCAGCCCGTAACATTGTCACTAGCGATCTGGGCTTAGAAAGCGGTTACTTCATTGTCCGATCTGTCCGCGGACTTTTGAAAGCGTCCCTTCGAATTCTTCAGACGCCTTGATCCACAGGTGGGAATAATCAAGGCATGTGTCGCAGCCCCTAGAGAGACTCATCAATCGCCGGATGATCACTGCATGGTATGTGTGACTCAATGAGGACCCAGTTGTTACCAAAGGATGGTGGACGTCGTGCGTATCAAATTTTCAATCCTAAGATAAGTTTTGCGTGGACTCGTTCTGCCGTTGCTCGAAGAACCCGGGAGTTGTCGAATTCCGTCTTCGGCTGGAAGAGGCTGCTGTCACATCAGGTGGTGTGCTAACTCATGGTTACGCCCAGCCCCAAAAACTATATAGTGCACCGCCTCGCTTTCACCCAACCATTTGGCATATTATTTGCAACTCTGTCATATGTCGGCGCGTGAAGTTACCACTAGTCGTGATGTCTACAAGGATTTGCACCGCTCCATGGTAATTCGTTGGGTTGATCGGCCTTACAGTATGGAAACGGAGCATTCGCATTTCCCAGTTCATGATAAATGTCAATGGCTCATCCCCAGCATGCGCGGATGATCGGAGTTGGCTACAAACCCCACAAACATAGACAGCAGGGAAGTCTATTCACCTAGGCTTTGCTCCGCGAACGGAAGCAGGAGGAAATGCGCACGTTGAAACACGTACCCTCCTCGTTTCATGCGTCCAATTATCACTCGGTCTCAACCCGATCACATAAGACTCAGAAGCAGCGGAGATCAATGAATCACTCTTTGTATCGCCTCGGATGCTTATACATGGGTAGATTAAGGCTCACACGGCTATCGGATACTTGTTTTAGAGGACATCGGCAAAATGTTCAAGGTGCTAATCCATTCAACATTACAGTCAGTGACTCTGTCATTAGAAGAGACGGCAAGTTCGGCGTTATAGTGCTCCTTCAAGAAACGTCACCTGCCAGGCACAAGCATCTTCTCATATACTATGGCATCAATTGGTCGACATTCGCGTATAAAAGTGTGGCTTGCAGTTTTGCTTGCTCACCAGTGCCTCCCTCTGCTGGAATGAAGGGGGTCAAGTCATTTTTTATCATCGCATCTGTTGTCGCCACAGCTTTAGCTGCACCGGGATCATGGCGTAACAAATGTAAGAATCCGCGAGTCCGAAAAGAGTGGCGATCCGAGTCCCTGGGATATAATGGTCGGAAGGCATTTGTAGATGCTATCAAGGTCTGCTCTTCCTTATTATTTCATACCTCTAGCCATGTTAATTGGGGTTGTACCCCACTGCCTCTTCAGTGTTTGAGCTCCTTGCCTCATGATCCTGGGCTTAAACCCACTGGCGCTACGCCTGGACTCCCTCCGATTAGGGCTGACAGTTCACGATATGACGACTTCGTGTATACGTAGGTACTTTGCAGTATGACCTAATACAATTAGCTCATCCCGATGCTTCGGTCGCCCCCAGGCATATGGATGCCACCGACAGGTGATAAAGTTTAAGACGCAATCTATTTTACTCCTTAGCTAATCGTTGATTTAGTGCTCATTACACCGGCATCTTCTTCGGTTGGCATCGGCTGTTCCTGAATACGTTGGAGAACATGCTTCGAAAGGAATGCCACTATACCGAATCTCTTCCCTTCTGGGATTGGACGTCCAAGGGTTGGTTCGACTCTCTTGAACACATATTATGCATTGAATAATGGCAACATGGCTGCAGATTACCACGACATCGAGCATTCGTACATTTTCAATGCCGATCCCGAAGTCGGGTTCGGTGCATTTCCAGGTCCAGAGACAAACTACACTGTCACGACCGGAGCCTTCCGTAATTTGATCCGCGCGTATCCATACACTCATCATGTTCAGAGGAATTACAGCCTAACTGTGAGTCACTCCCGGATATGCATCGATTTGTTGTATGAAATAAGACTCTGACACAACGATTAGCCGTGGGAGGAGCCCCGACCCCCGTTCACTTTTCGTAAACCACATCTTCAGGCGAATACAACCCTCACACCCAAGGAATGGAAGAGGCTTGTGACTGGTTTTACTGGGAATTACTCAGCCTTTCAATATATGGTCGATGGTGTGCGGTGGCAAGGTATGCATAGTGCCGCACATCTTGTGAGTCATTATTTCCACCTTCGAGACCTTGGAGTAACTTGACGGGTGGTGCAGATCATCGGAGGGCTCGGAGGGGACGCGTCAAATTTATCTTACTCACCAAACGGTGTGTAAACAGTCTCCCACCTGGCAGTTGTTCATGAGTGCTGTCAACAGACGTAATATTCTTCCTCCTTCACTGCCAACTTGATCGTCTTTGGGCCGCATGGCAAGCACACTCTCCCCATAATAGGCATGCCATTGGCGGGGGTCTGACTCAGGATATCACCAATTACGACATATATCCGACCGGGAGGGGTACGCCAGTTACGTTGGACACCGTTGTTCCTCTTTCGAATCTCGGCCCCGATACGAAAATCAAAGAGTTGATGGACACGGAAGGCGGTGTCCTATGCTACAAGTATGAATATTACTGAACTAACGTGCATGCAGTGTTCAGAAGGCCAATGGACAACTGGAGAGTGATGACCTGTGCACTGGAAACAAGTCTTAAAGATGTATTTACCATCGCTGAAGCTGCTTGGGGGTCATGAAAACTGAGAGAGTTGCCGAGAGTATGAGTTACCCATTTCAACAAGTGTTGAAAGAAATAACCACTAACTACGGTTCATATACGTTAGCTCGCAGTGCTGTTTTTGCGCGCATTGCAAGAAAACCTCTGAACAATTGACCCAGCCGCTTTGGGCCTCCATCGCCTCCTGCATCCCACATCCCCACGGCAGATCACTCATTGAGCCACCATCGTACAGTATCCAGTACCTGCACCCACGCAAAGACCTTACCTATTGTTGTTAGCCTGCCAAAGGTCAGTCTAAGCAATATCAGGTCGAGCCTGTGCAGAGAATTTCGCGGGTGAGACGCCACACTTCGAGAATCGCAGACGCAAGGTTGCGGGACTGCCATCCACGAAGCACAGGATCATCGCTACACATACAGCTGCCAGGCCCCTAAGACGATGGTAGGTCCCTGTCGAGGCCCGACGCGCCATTACCTCAGGTGTCTTCATACTACATAGTCTTCCATTATCGACGCCCGGCCCGCACTCCGGACAATTCTGCACTAACTGTGACATGAAGAAATATTGCCGACATGTGTATCTCGACTTCTCATCAACTTAAGCGGAAAGTTCCCCCTGAATAATGTGGATGTCCTTGCTTCTCAACAGCGGAGAATCCAAGCACCGAAGGCAGCATCAAACGCTGTTTGCTGAGCTTACATCACTCTGGTGCCGCAGGGTGTCCTATTCTATATCTTCGCACATTTCCTGGGATACTCATTCCCCAAATCCTGTCATGGATCCAGGAAGACCGTGACGTCTACTTCATCACCGCCCTCCTGCTACCTCACATGGCGATACTTCGTCGATCGTCGAAGAAACATTGGCTCCGTCGTTGGTCAGCATCAGACTAGTGTGCTCGGCGGAGGTTTCTCGCTTTCCTGTTCACGAGGCTTAGCTCGTGGCACATTCACTAGCCCAGATCCGTTACTGTCCTGTTCAATCTATCTGGTGACTTTATCCGCCATCCAGAGGTGGGGATAAAGGGACAGAATTGAAACCGATCCCCTGTGCCCATACCAAGGCTTACCAATCACCGGCTGATAATCGCATGGCATTCGTGGGCCAATGCTATCTTGAGGGCTGATTGTCGCTCAAAAAATGTCGGATATAGTAAGCGTCGCGTTTGAGGTCCCTGCACTCGTCCAGGTGGGCTAATTTATGGGCTTGCTGCGCCGTTGCTGGAGGGTCCGAAGGACTGTCGCATCCTCCCTTCAGCTCGAAGAGACTGTCACCATTTTAGGTGACGTGCCCGAGCCCTGATTATGTTAGTATATGCCAACACTCGGAGTTGCTGCTAGGGTCATGGATCTTATCATAGGAACAAAGCATTCGCTCTCTCCACTCGGCAATGCATCCGGCTCCGGTGCGTGTTGCGGCTTGGGGATAAGTTCCGAACTTCCCAGACATGAACAACTGGAGGGTCTGTTTAGCCCCCTGAATGGAAGCGAGTATGGCAAAACAGATAGGAAGAAAGGGAACCGATTTTCCAAGCCGGGATTACCAAGTAAGCTTTCGGCTGAAGTCGCCTGGCGGGTTCAGTCTGTTCACCATATTGTCCTGAATCGACATTAGTTGGCGTGGGATCTCTAGGGCGCTGGACTGAAGTAAAACCCACACCATCGCGCACCAGAGACTCGTTTCGTGCCTTTACCGATTACTCTGTCTCTATTCGCAAATGGACCCAAGCATATGCAGATGGTGAAAGCGTACACGTGGCGTGTGCGTCACGTCAGACTAACGAGAAAGAAATTAGTGGGTCGATTTTTGTATCGCCTAAGGCTGGGAAGAATCACCAACCAACTTCACTTTTCCTTTATCAGGGCCTATTCCCGGCGTGGGAGTTCCTCGCGTGTCTCCTGTAGCAGAATTGATCGGTCTTCGACATACATATTGCTCCCAAGTTAGCAGTGATGCATGCTTGGGAATTTGAAGGCTCACACGGCCACCAGCTACTCTTTCTCGGCTGAAAGCTAAGTCCCATTGGACCAATGCGGGAGGTACTAAATTATACACGTTACAATCAAGGGCCCTGTTATACCGAGATATTGCTTGCAGCTGACTGTGAGCTTGGCTCATCCCCGCATGGAACATCCCCGCCAGGCACAAGCACTTCCTCGTGTAACTATGGCTACAATTACTCGGCATTGCATATATAGCTGCGGTTTGCGGTTTTGCTTGCTCACTTCCTCCGCTGTAATGAAAGAATTCCTCCAGCTCAAAGCGTTCATTTTCCTCGCATCTGTTGTGGTGGTGGCTTTAGCTGCACCCGAGTCATGTGAAAACGAATGCAAGAATCCAGGAATCCGTAGAGAGTGGCGATCTTTGGGATTTAATGATCAGAAGGCATTTGCAGATGCTATTAAAGTCAGTCCTTCTTTATTTCGCCTCCAGTGATGTTGATTCAGGCGATGCTCCGCGGCTTCTCCAGTGTTTAGCTCCTTGCCTCATGACCCCAGCCTTAAACCCACTGGCGCTACGCCTGGACTCCCTCCGATTAGTTCCAACAGTTCGCGGTATGATGACTTCGTGTATACGTAAGTGCTTTGCAACACGCTGTAACCCACTGATCTTGATGCTTTGATTGCTTATAGGCATATGGATGCCACCAACAGGTGAGAAAACTCCGAGTTACGATCTACCCCGTATCTTTATCGTTGACCCAGTGCTCACTTCACTGGCATCTTCTTTCTTGGCATCGGCTGTTCCTGAACACATTAGAAAACATTCTTCGAAGTGAATGCCACTATACTGGACATCTTCCCTTCTGGGATTGGACGCTTGGAGGTTAGTTCGACTCTCTCGGACACAGTTATGCATTGATTTGGGCAGTACAATGACAACATGGCTGCAGATTACCACGACATCAAGCATTCGTACCTTTTCAATGCTGATCCCGAAGTCGGCTTCGGTGCCTTTCCAGGACCGGAGACAAACTATACTGTCACTACTGGTGCCTTCCGCAATTTGATCCGCGCGTATCCATACACCCATCGTGGTCAGAGGAACTACACCCTAAGGGTGAGTCGTACCAGTATCATCATATGCATCGGTCCTCTGTATGAGTTGAGCCTGATAATCGGCTAGCCATTCGCTTACGACCCACTACTTCAAGCAAATACTACTCAGACACTTGAGGAATGGAAGAAACTTGTAACTGGTTCTGTCGGGAACTACACGAGTTTCCAATATTCAGTTGATGGTGTGCGGGGGGAAGGTGTACACATTGCTACACATCTTGTGAGTTGACTGTTTTCACCTTCTAAATCTTGGTGTCACTGATTCTGGCTGCGGCGGACGTCGCAGAGTATCGGAGGGGACGTGGCGGCTTTATCTTACTCGCCAAATGGTGTGTAATTAGTCACCCTAGCTCACTGACGACCATTCATGAGTGCTCGTATCAGACGTAATATTCTTCCTCCTTCACTGCCAACTTGATCGTCTTTGGGCCGCATGGCAAGGGTACTCTCCTCAGAACAGGTATGCTATTGGTGGAGGTCTGACGCAGGATCTCCTCCATTATGACACATACCCGGTCGGAACGGGTACACCAGTTACGTTAGACACCGTCATCCTTCTTTCGAATCTGGCACCGAATACGAAAGTCAAGGAGTTAATGGACACGAAGGGCGGTGTCCTGTGCTACGAGTATGAGATCACTGGATCAACATACATGTAGCGTTAAGAAGACTGATGGAATAGCTGGAGTGGCTGATGGCGGAAAACATACTTCAAAGTATTCATGTATATGAGAACCGCGAAGACCGCCGTGAGCGGGAGTTAACGTGTCCCCACTCCCTCATTTTTGCTTTTGCTCTCATTCTTGGTGAGAATGCGATCATTATATGCACAAACTGGTTTGAAGCAGATGCACGTACTAGTAAAGGAAGCGGGTCGTATATACATTGGGCGGGTAATTATTGTATGTCAATAAGCCTTGGTGCAATATAATTATTCTGTGCGATCTATACGCGGCAACCCGCAACGCCGCTATCTCGTGTGCAGGCCAGAAGAACGAACTTCTGAACAGTTAAGCGCCTCCCGAAACCCAACCCCACCGATCGGCGACAGCCCTGATGGGACTTCCCAGCAACCATGGCTGCTCCCCATCCCACATCCCCGCCGCAGCCCACGCGTCTAACCACCATCGTATAGTATATAAGATCCACACCCACGCAAACACCCTCCTTATCATCGATGACTTGCCAAGGATCGGTCTAAACAATATCATGTCGATCGTGATTCCGATTGGTTGTACGAGGAAAAATTTCGCCGCTGAAATATCATACTTCCAGAACTGCAGAAGGGAGGGTTGTGGTGGTGGGATGGATCCTGGGGGACTTGCTAGGCGTACACGAAACATAAGGCTGAGATGGTAGAGCCCAGAAGCTACGAAGCATAGGACCATCGTTACGTATGCAACTGCCGGGCTAAGACGACGTTTGTTTCCTGCAGGTTCCTTGTCGTGGTTCGATAGACCGTTATTGCGATGCACGTCAAGTTTCTCATTTAGGGTACCGTTGTTGAGCACCAATCCGGCACTACTCCGGATCCCATTCTGTTGCGGGCCACCTTGGGTCGTGGTTGACTTGTCGACGGAAGGTGAGTAGTCTGCTTCTCGGGCAGATGAGTCGCGCGTAGACGGGAATAAGATGTAGATAAAAGGGTGTGCGAATCTCAGAAAGAATTGCCGGTAGGTAGTGTGCCATGCCTGGCTCCAGAAGTGGGGCAATGAGCCGGACATTAATGGATTGTCAAAAGGAGGCGGCCAATTATCGAGGTCGGAGCAGAGACCTAAGCCGAGGCAGAGAACGAGGGGTATAGTGTCCGATATTACGTACACCACCTGGATTTCGAAGAAGAATTCGAACGTGCAAATGATCTGCTGCCAGAGTGGTAGAAGAGAGGTGAAAGGGGTATGATTTCCGGGTGATCGTGTCCTGAGAATGGGAGAGATCACGAAGTAAAGGTACGAATTGGTGAAATCCAGAGCGAGATAGCTGAGGAATGCAGACAAGGCGGATGATAGTGCGAATAGTCGTGGACTGGCGGCTTGGGCGGCCCGATACGTGGCAACTTTTGGTGATGCCCAATTCCAATGACGGCCTTCATAGAAGCTGGTTCCTCTCATGGCGTATAGCATGTCTAAGGAATAACCAAGTCTTCTGAGGGGTGTCGTGGGGAGTGGGATAGGGTTTCCAGTGCCATGGTCGATGTAGTGGGGTGGTCTGCTGTCGAGGAGTGTGAGGAGACATGCGTCCACCAGTCGGACCATACCGATGGTAGTAATCGTCCCGACAAGCACGTAATTCTGCCATGTTTTCCATGAGTAATGTACTATTAGCTCGTACGAGGACGTACAGTTGGGTAGAGAGCCCCATCGAATTCGACGAAATCCCTCCAACAGAAGTCGTAGAAGGCGTAGAGGCCCAAAGGGGCTAAAGCCAGTCGAAAGAGTCGTGCCGTCGTAGAACCTTCATACGTCAAACTATACTGACATGCAATCACGATCCCGAGGCCCAGGGAGAGGGGTGGGAATAAATTTATGAGTTTGTCGAGCTGAGGGATCATCCTTTACGGCGAACCCGCAGATTGTGAGTGCTGGCGTGAAAGACGCTCTACGTTCTTCAGACTAAGAGAACGTGGTCCTGGTGGTTGTGAGACTGCGCAGACAGGATGTAAGGAAGAACTCCAGCGTGAGAAGAAGGAATGCGGCGGAGGCGCTGCATGCAGCTGACTGATGGATGATGCACATTACATGCTTATACCGGTTGAGCCAATCCAATCCAACCTCTCGTTTCGTCTCGGGTGGGGATGGCTAAAGTCTACCGGTCAGAGTTTTGGTGCAATTGTGACGCGCAGGCGGATGTCGTGCGTTTCACGTTCTCACAGTTCGGTGCCGCTTGAGTCGCCGGAACATCGTTCGGTTGACTCGCACGGAGCTAGCACGTAACTATAACTTTCCTTGGCCTAACGGGCTCTCAATGATTTACCGATCCCTGACTGTTTGGAACTACAAGTCTGTGTTGCGAAATAGCTGGAAGATGCAGTTCATCTCTAACCCATCTCAAATAACACGTTGTTTAATCGCCCGAGTGCAAGTTAATGCGTCCAGCACATGTCTCATTCTTTTGATCAACTTCCTACGTTCCTAGACAATCCTTTCGGCATACGGGAAGGCAGTTATTCCCCGCTTGTTGGGCCTATAATGCAATTATCCACGTAGATTTCGAAGCTGTCTGGGTAGTGCAATCGGATTCACCGAGTGGGTGTACTTCTTGCAGCTCAGCCCTGGAGATGTATATTGAATGTTGACATGGGAGGCAAGTCCGGGATGAGCCCAAGGAGCCCTACAGCGATAGTTCATGATGTCCGAAGACTCAAGCCTTCAGGTACCGGTCCCCCAGGTATAGCTTTGTCAAAGCCAATGTCAGGATCCCAATAAACGTCACTCAGGGTCGATACTGCGTCGGGCCAGCCACGTTCTGCTTATGGAGAAAGGTCCTAATTTGCGTTTGGGTTCCATCGTTGTCTTTGGGGCCTTTGCCGTTAGCCGTCGGACTTAAATTTAAAGCGATGAGGAATGTCAGTAGACCATCACCTATTAACGTATCATGCAAGTGCATCTAATTGCCCCAGCAATCGATTCATGAGGTCCCGAAAGTTGAGATAGTTTTGAGTCCAAAATCGCAAGCAATATCGTCAGAAACCTTCGCATGTACCAATGGGCCTAAGCCGTGGCCCGAATTGGATATGTGCATTCATCCGTATATATGCCCAACGCATTTTCTGACACCGCTAAACAGGAATTCACGCAGTGTCCCATTGGTCTGACCGTTCTGTTGTCGGGCTTATGAACTGGATTGGTGGTGTTAACAATTCCCGCTACTCCGTAGCGGGTCCTACGTTTTTTTCTCCCAAACTCAATTGTCCTATGCACAGGGTCCATTCTCTGCCCCATACAGTAGATTCTATTCCGCTCACTGCATGCTGGTGGTCCTGAAACCAGAGTGTGCGGTGGGTTTGGAACGAATCTCGGCTTCGTCTCAGCCAATAGCAACGTTGAGAGTGAACATGCATGCAATTGTAAGAGTAGCGGGATCTGCCGCTTCAGGCGGCGTTCCCCAGTCATCTGTGTCATGTCAGAGTAAGAACTGGTTGGTATATGACGAGCCATTGAGACAGCGGTGCGATGGATAGGATTCTTATCCAATCACCAGAGACAGGAATAAACGAGTCAAGTCAACATGAACAATCAGCACCAAACAATCACACATAGTGGTGCTGGACGGCCTAGCACACAGTTTGCTTTAAATTATAGTTATAAGGAGTGACGCTCAATAGATCCTATTCCTGGCCTGGGATGGGAAGCCTGAGCGTCAACCAGGGACACTTGGCGCCCAGTTGAGGGGGAAGCTGAGTGTTCAGAAACCGGTGTGACTATCCCAGAGGGTCCAGCTGTGGCCACAAATGCAACAACGACGAGTAAGAATCGCGTCACCAAGCGAGGTCTATCTGACCTCCGAAAGATTGTCTATCAATTATATGGGTGACCAGTTCCGATTCTAGTGGCACATAAACCATTGAGCAGAACGCAAACGCCAATTTCCCAGTCCTTTCGAACTCGGCACCAGAAGCTAGGTTCCCACGGCCCTGTCTTTAGTTTTTCCTGGTCGCGAACTGGTCACCTCTGGACCACCAAGATAACCGAGTGGTTCACCTCCTTGCCACTGGTGTAAGCGAGATCTATCATGATGCCTGGCGCTACTCTAGAGTACGCTTCTACAGCCCCTTCACCCCCACCACGATATCCCCGTCTGCCACCACATTACCTTCTCCCATCGGGAGAGCCGGATTATTTGAGGCTCATATTAACATCTAAAGTCTACGATCTGATCAAAGAGACACCCCTGGTCCGTGCACCAGGGCTGAGTTTACGATTTGGGAATGAGATCTGGCTCAAACGAGAAGATTTGCAAGAAGTGTTCAGCTTCAAGATCCGGGGAGCGTACAACTTTATGGCAAATATTCCTCAAGATGACAAGTGGAAAGGAGTCGTAACATGTAGCGCGGGTAAGCTGTTCCCGATTAACTCCGAAGGAACACCCTGCCAACGTTATTTGACTGAAGATTTATGATGGTTGGATGATTTGTAGGGAATCATGCCCAAGGCGTCGCGCTGTCTGGAACACACCTTCAGATACCCTGTACCATTGTGATGCCAAATGGGACCCCATCTATTAAAGTCAAGAACGTTGAGCGCTTTGGAGCAAAAGTTGTCATGCATGGGGTCGATTTCGACGAAGCCAAGATTGAATGTGCCCGTCTCGCCGAAGCACATGGGCTCATCTATGTTCCGCCTTATGATGATCCCCTTGTTATAGCGGGACAAGGCACGATAGGGCAAGAAATATTGAAGCAAACACCTGATAGTCAGACTATCGACGGTATCTTCGCCTCCATCGGAGGTGGTGGTTTAGTTGCGGGAATCGCCTCATACGTAAAACGAATAGGCTCCCCCAACACCAATGTTATTGGCGTGGAGACGGTTGATGGGGATGCTATGGACCGAAGTTTGAAAAAAGGCGAGCGAGTAACATTGAGGGAAGTGGGCCCCTTTGCCGATGGGACTGCCGTCAAAATCGTTGGAGAAGAGACTTTTCGCGTATGCAAGCAACTGCTGGATGGTGTTGTCAGAGCGGACAATGATGAAATTTGCGCTGCAGTCAAGGACATCTTTGAGGGTACGCTCTGTGATTTTTGCTGCTTTGGCCGTTTCTCAGTCAGGGAGTACAGATACTCGCTCTATCACAGAGCCATCGGGTGCTTTGGCCCTAGCTGGATTAAAGCGATATATCCTCGACAATGACCTTGTCGGGGCGGGGAAGCGTTTTGTTGTCATTGTCAGCGGAGCGAACATGAACTTTGACCGACTGCGCTTTGTCGCTGAACGCGCCGAGCTCGGAGAAGGGAGAGAAGCTCTTTTTAGCGTCGAGATACCGGATGTTCCTGGAAGGCAAGCACCTCCGTTGAATCACAACCGCGGAAGGCTACTTAATCGAGTGGATTCCTAGCTTCGTGGAACTTCACAGTGTTATCCATCCACGAGCTGTCACGGAATTTTCTTATCGCTATAGTTCGATGCGTCATGCACACATATTCCTTTCATTCATCCTTCAAACCAACTCAAGGAGCGATGAAATTTCAACCTTCATCTCCCAGCTCAAGTCGAAAAACATGGTCGCATACGACATTAGTGATGACGAAATGGCCAAGAGCCATGCAAGGTACATGGTTGGCGGTGCCAGTGACGTACCTGATGAGAGATTGTTCAGGTTTGGTGCGTTGATGTGCAGTGCCCGCGTGTTCGAGATATCGACCTGCTTCGCACAGAGTTCCCTGAACGACCTGGTGCCCTTCGAAAGTTCCTTGCTGGGTTAAAGAATGATTCGTGGAACATATCTCTATTCCATTACCGGAATCATGGTGCCGGTACGCACAACGCATCTTCTGACAAACAGTCTCAACCATTCCCCTAACTTTACCGCCAGATCTCGGCCGCGTATTGGCGGGAATACAAGTCCCTTCGAGTACGCAAGCCGAGTTTGAGGATTTCTTGGTTAAACTCGACTATCCTTATGTGGAAGAAACCAGTAATGCTGTTTATAGACGGTTTTTGAGGGCTTGAATGGAAGAATCTCTAATGGGCGGCTTGGTGAGCTGCTAGAGACAACTCTATCTATTCGGATGAGATCCGGGAACTGGAACGCAGGCTCAATACCATACATCGTTAGAACGCAGGTATAGTAAGAGTGTATGTGTGATCAACTAGCGCTACAAACCCATGTGCGAGACATGACGAGCGTATAAATGCATGATATAATAAATTGCCTTGTGTATGACGATGAGGGGTCTTGTCCAATGTGAATCCAAAACAAAGAGAATCGTTAAAACTTCCAGTCGGAATCGACTGCCATTGCCCAGGGGACTACAAGAAATGAGATACGAATTCTAGAAACGAAAGTTACTCACATTTAGTAATTAGTGACTTGGTGAACAGCTTTTCGACAGGTACGCCGTTCCCTTTACACCAGGCAACCGTAATCCTATGGGGCATTGGCAAAAATGACCTTAATGGCGATAAGCCGTACCCACCGAGGATCCAAGTAGTTAATTTTACTCGTTCCCAAGCTGACTTCCTTCAGGTTGTCCCTATCTTGACGCTTCACCTTGGCAGTCTTGATACGCTCATCAAGCTTATCAATGGCGGCTATTACCTGAGCCTCGGATTGAGACTTCTTAAGCTCAGCGTGCGCAGTACCACGCTCGGTCTTCAGCCGATCATATTCCTCGTTTATTTGGTCAATCTTCGAAATGAGGTTGTCCTTGGGGATCGACGGCTCGCCCTCAGCCTCCGCCTTCTCGTTGTCTTTTTCCCACTTCTTGGTAGCTTTCTCAATCTCCTTCTCCCGAGACTCATCTTCGTACTCTGCAATCCATTCATCATCTATATCACTCTCGTCCTCGGCGTATCGAGGATCAGTCTTGTACTTAGAAGATATCTTGAACAAAGCATAGCGGAGTTTGCGACGTTGGTACTTGATGGCACGAATCTATGAGGGTAAGAAAAGGGTGACTCATGTGTTACCTGTGTCCCAGAAGCCAAAAGGGACTATACCTGATTTCCAAGCTTCTCCATATTCGAGTCGTGGTTTTTGTTGACCGCCTTCTGGTGGTTACAGAGAATCGCTACTTGCCGGTTGGCCTCATTGTACGCAGCGATTTTCTCCACTACGGAAGCGTCTTTTGGTGTTCTGTTGCTGAGCTGATCTTGGAAGGTGATGGAGGCGTTGAAAGTACGGAAGACCTTGGCCGAGAGACCGCTCATCCACCCGGTGAGATACTTGTTGATTTGATTCGGCTAATAGAATAAATCCCTCATAAGCGCAATAAATAGATGGGATCAGAAAATAAAACGCACGGACACCCGGTCGAACACCGCGTCGCCAATTGTCTTGGGTGGCTTCTTGAAAAGCCGAATGTTCTTGTACACCTGGGGATCAACGGACACAGTGTTTACATATCGGATGGAATCTTTACCCAGGAAATCGAAGCAGAGACGGTCTGGAGGCTCAAGGGTGATGTGCTCATAGCGAAGCGAACAGCAACCCACTGTGTCCGCCTCGTCCTCGCCCTTTTCGTTTCCTGCTCGGAGAGCGAGTCTGTCAATGAGGTAAAGTGCAGTTGCTAGTTGGCGATCTATCATCAATTTCGACGTCAAACTGTTGGTGTAATCAGCTCTAATCAGGTCAACGTGTTTCTACGGGAAAACATTCTAGTAATTAATGTTATGTGGGAGAGTTGCCACTATACCTTGAGTTCGCGAGCCTTCTCGAACTTCTGCATGTCGCTCTGGCCTTTCAGGGAACTTCCGGCGGCGAGAAAGACGTACTTCAAGTTTCCATTGACATTTTCTTTCCAATGGACCAGCCAAGTCACAGTGTCATCATGAATTATCTTTCCCCACTCGCCAGGAACATTGGGAGTGGGAATGGGCACACCCTTCCCAATATTCAAAGTGATGTCCTCGGGAGAGAGTCGAAGCTGAGCCCGATAATTAGCTATCGGAGTCAAAGGAACCGGCGCCATGTTACCTTGAGAGCTCCTTTCTTGGGGTGTTCACCACGTCCCCGGAAGAGACCAGGGGGCTCCGCCCTGAAATTGCCTACTTTCTCCTTTCGTCCATCAAGCGTGCAATAGACATACTTCTCCTCCAGCTTAGCCTTTTCCTCCTTCAACTGTTTCTTAGCACTGGCAGGTAGAGCTCTGGCCTTTTCGCGTTCCTCTTCAAACCATTGTGCCATCGTCGAAAAATCGCATTTGTCAAATTCGGCGATTTTAATCTTATTCCTTGGCTATGAATCTTGTGAGACTGCAACACAGCAATAATAAGCATTGAAGGGCGCACAGGATGACGCTTAAGGACTTCGAGGAAGTCATGGAAAAAATTCTTCTGAAAAACGAGATCTTTGGCATGTTCCGTATTCAACATTGCAGCAAAAAATCCAGCAACCTCTTCAGATTCCGGAGGAAGGTCAACTTCCCGACCTAGACAGAAGTCATCACCCAATTCACGACTACGGAGAATTGTAGCTCTGGCGACATACCACTGTACAACAGCTTCACATGAGGAGGCAAAGGTTGGTATAGCGGGGGGAACAATATGCCATTGTGCTCCAGTGTCGTCCACTTCTTGGAGCCATCCTCAACAGCCCCCTGCTCCCACCAACGATACAATTCCTCTTCCTCTTCCTCGCCTTTAGATTTCTTCGGGGATTCCGGCTCCTCTTTCTTGAACTTTTGCTTGACAGATTGGGATCGAGGTGTCTGAGGGGCTTTTGAGGTTGACGGCTTTAAATCTTCGTCGTCAGGCCCCTTCTGTAAAGAGAAAATTAGTGGATGGAGGAGGCGCCCATGCTAATACACTGACCTTAACCTTTTTCTTCGAACGACTTATCTTCCGTTTCGCATCATCTCCGGAAGAATCGTCATCGGAGTCTTTCTGTTACTCCGGATCAGCGTGCTAAGACTAGAAGCCACAATACGAGTCCAACCTTGACCTTCTTGGTTGCTCTGCGCCTAGGCTTTGGGTTAATAACAGTCTCGGGAAATGGAACATCCGCTGGCATGGGAGATTCTCTCTTTGGTGAGATAGCCTTGTTCTTGTTCTTGACCCGAGCACTCAGAGGAAGATCATCGTCGTCACTGGAGGGGTTGGGCGCGGAAGTTGTGGCAGCGGTCTTAACAGCGGAAGGAACACCTGAAGCGACGGCTCTTCCATTGGCAGAGGGAAGAATCGCCTTAACGGGGATCCGTTTCGTAGGCGAAGCGAGAGGTTCGTCCCCGGAGGATGATGATTCAACTTTCTTGCGCTTACGGCCTGGGCGTTCTTCCGACTTCGCAGTTGTGCGAGCCCCATGGGATGAGCGCGAACTCCTTCTCTGCTTCTTAGGCTGGAAAAGTTGGGTGTAGGAGGAAGAATCGGGGGTGAACAAGGAAGAACATGGATGGTTAGCCAAGATGCTGGCATGATTGATTCCGTCCTTGAACCAACTCACAGCTGGTGTGCCATTGACGGCCTCATCAGCATCCGAAGAAGGGAGCTGCCTCTTCCCATTCTTCATCGTACTCCCGGCGCCATTGACGCGCGCAGTAGCCGGAGTGCGATGCAAGGGGATGTCTTCCGAGTCACTGGATTCAACCTTGGGCATGATTGATTACTACACGACGCGAGTTTTCAAACAAATTTGAAGGCCCGACACTCCGAGCCTGTGAGGGTGAGTTGTGAGTGACTGGGAGGACGCGCACACAGCGAGGAGAGGGGATCCTGGGAGGACCACGCAAAAAATCCGCTAAGTCTTTGTATCCGGTGATTAAATAAGCCAGCTAGCAACCTCCCATCGTTGCTTCGTCCACACACGTGAATCCATAATGTGAGTACTGTGGGGTTACTTTCCGCTGACCGCAGATCATTATGATCTCTTGTTATGCCTCTTAGTCATGGCGGACGGACCTCTCTACCGCGATCCATGGGCTCGTCGCGAAGCTTGGCGCAAGCTCCCCATTTTCTCAAACACTGCCCGCATCAGAAACCTCTTCCCGGGGTTCGGGATTGCACTTGTTGCATTCGGCACTTATCTCGTCGCTGATCAATTTATGTTGAAATCATCATCACATGAACACAAATCTTCCCATCATTAGATTTTCTACTTGTGAGCCATCCCAATCGTCTTGCAGCTACGACGAACCTGACATTCTGGCAGCCTGGAGTGCATGAAGGAATGTACATATTTACATGAGGTAAGAATTCAACTATGCTTCCTTACTACCTTCATCATTTACTACTTCTTCATCCCCACGTAATCCCGACACTTTCACGAAGTTTTCCATCATATAGTCAGCTCCTGAAATCTGCAGAACTGTTACTGTATGCGTATGCTCGCCACTTTTCGGCATCACTTACCCACTGTAGCACGTCTCTGACCCAAGATGGGAACACACGGGACAGTGCAACTAAATGAGCATAGAATGGGAGCTTGATGTCCGTTGACTCATTCGCGTCTAATGCAGCTATGATCGCCTTCACTACTTCATGCGAATCCAGTGGGGGAGCAAAGAAATGGAAGAGCCATGCAGGCAGTGGTGAAGGTGTTTCTGTAGCTGCATACGACGAACGTGAGAAAAGAGGAGTATGGATGAATCCCGTTGTGACAAGTGTTGTCCGGATCTGCGGAGTGCGGTATCTATTGACTAGATCCTTAGTAAGGATACGAAATAGAGAAACGGTGCACTTACATCTTGTCAAGCTCGTAGCGAAGTGATTCATGGAGGCTGATCACAGCTGATTTGGACGCGCAGTAGTCCGCCATTCTTGCTATACCCGCAAATGCAGTGACAGATGATACCGTGACCTACACTCTGAAAGATGAAGAGGATATAATCAGAGATCTTGATGGAGTCGGCTCACGATGTGACCAAAACGCTGCTTCACTATACCGGGCAAGAAGGCTTTGAGAACCCAGAAGTGGCCGAGAGTGTTCACGGCAAAAGTTCTTCAAGTTGGATTTTGATTTAGAAAGAGACATAATGAGCAAGAAAACACACTGATTGATATCTTCAGCGGAGAGTTCAACGAGCGGCTTTCCCTGAACAACGCCGGCATTGTTCACAACAATAGTAGGTTGCCCAACCTAGTGAAAAATGTATCATACCGTGCGCAATGCATATAGTTGAATGACTGGCTTTGACACACCTCTTCGATTATTCTTTTCGATATTACATTCACTTCTTCCCAGTTGGATATGTCACATTTGTAGTAGTGGACGTTGTCTGTGACATCTGCGTGTTAAACGGTAGCGCGATCCAGAACGTGGACTGACAGTTTTCTGAGACGATAGGATTGACATCGAGGACAACAACGTCAACATTTCGCACAGCAAGCGTGTTAGCAAGAAGCTCTCCAGTCCCAGAGGCCCCTGTGGTATGATGGGAGTGAACAGCTGCCTTCTGAGGGATCATTGATTGCCCACCTCCTGTGATTAGTACAATTTGGTTTTCCCATGAAGTTCGTGCAGACTGATACAACAAGCTCCCTCCATTCCGCCATAATTTGGAGATGAACCGCAAACTCCCTGTGCAGGATTAGCTCCTGTGTCATGCTATATACTTGTCACTAGGCACTTACAGAACATGGATAGTAGAAAGAACCAACCAGCACTCCACTTCACCGCGGGGGCATCCCACTGTTGGCGCTGAGACGCGACAAGTAATGGGATGAACGCGGTGAAGAAAGGACCTGGTAGAATGTAGCAACGCACATGAGTGCTCTGGCAACACCTAATGTGCATGCCATAAGAGGTAGTGCCCACTGAATAGAGTGCGACTGAGCACTTTAATGAAGACGTCGACGTCGAGCACCCCAAGGGTCTCTGGAATATCAGAGAATTGGCCGGATGGCATAGAACCACAAGAATAGAAGTGAGAACGTTGTTTTTCAAGGGTGTTCCAGCACTGAAGAATGTCTCCGTCACTGCCCGGAAGCAAAGGCCTGGTGACCGATCATCATCACTTGCACCCCTGCTGAGATGAAGAGCCGCCACTTCACAGGCCAGGCACTTCCTCATTCACGGTGCTCAATCAGCATATGAGGACTTGTTAACCATTGTATAAGATAAGCAGCAGCCCTCTAAGCCAGTTGGTTAACTAGGCGCGCGCCTAACAAATGCTAACTGGAGCATTCCAAAGCTGACGTATTTAGACTGCGCGCTGCCGAGAGAAGCCTGGTGTTATCTAGCTCTTCAACATTCTTCGACTCTCAGATCCCAAATTCTCGTTGTCGTTGTCGTGGTAAAGCCGGAAGCAACCACAGAGCGGGCCTATGTTCGGCCTAATGTTTGGCCAGAAAAACGCCGGTGTCATTTCGTTCATGAAAATGGCTGATTTTACCACAACTCTTAGCTTTTTAAACTTGCTAGTTGGTTCACCTAAAGCACCCTATTGTTATCAGTGCTAGCTTTTACAGAGTACATATGTTATTTCCACATGGAACGCCAACCAAGAGAACGATGCACGTGTCTCGGGACCGCCGACAAGACTCCAACCCAACTGAATTGGTTTGTCCAGATTAGGATACCTCAGTCACGTCCAAGACTCGCTCCTAGCGATGGACCAAGGCTTTCTTCCCCTTGACCCTAAGAGTCACTCGGGACAATCGATATCCGGTCAGTGTCATCATCGAATGTTGATTGAGGAACGCCCCATTGAGATTGCATTGACGCCCGACCCATATTTGGCCTTCCTTGACGACGCCGATCCTTTCCTCTTGCCTGGCGTCCAAATACTGTTCTAGGCTCTGTCATACTGCCGAATGAGCGTCCAGGTTCATTTAAGTCCGCTCTGCATGTCATCTTTGAAAATATCATCATCCAAGATGATACACGGACAATTGATGCGCAGAGTGCGGCGCTATTGCCTTCCTACGGTTGCGAATATGCTCTTGTAAATTCTCCTGAGGATTACGGTGCATTTGTGCGCAGAATCACTATAACGGAACCACTGGTTTTCGCCGCTTTGGAATCCCTCGATAGAGCTTCGACTCCTGACAATTCTCGAGAGCGTGATGCACCAGCTGACTCACTAGGAAGTTCTGGGAACGACTTCCCAGAACAAATCAACGGGATAATGCCAATTCCGGCAAAATATCTAGAGAACGTACTTCGGACGTGTGTAAACCTTGAAGAATTCTCGTGGATATCATCGACGCCACCCCCAGATGGCGTATGCGAAGTAAGCCGGAGTTTATTTTTCCCACCGCCTGACTATTGATGTTTTAATGTAGGTCCTTGCAACTTATTGTCCGAGACTTATCAGTTTCTCATTTAACCCTCCAAATCCGGTTCTTGCTGAATCCTCGCCCCTCATCAAATCAGGACCTTCCCAGCTCCGCTGGGATGGACCATCCCTATCTTATCTCTCGGCTTTGCAGCTAACAAGACTTCATGTTGGCCGCCTAACTCAGATTGGCGCCAAAAATTTGCTAGCATTCTTCACTAACACTGTGGACTTCTCTCCTCTGGAAGAAGTTCAGCTCAACTTCTTATGGTTGGACGATACCATATGCGAAGCACTTGGTCAAAGTGCTCGAAAATTAAGGCGGCTAAGGCTTGGAACTAACGGGACAAAGCTAACGGATCGGGGTGTATTAGCTATATTGGAGAGCTGCGATACGTTAGAAGAGCTTGAACTCAGCGAGGTGCAAGGTTCGCTTTGTCGTTCTGGACATCCAGAACCAATTGCTCACCGTTTACTAGGACGGCTTTCACGGGCACTTTGGACCAAAGTTGAAGACTTCCCACCCAAATTGCATACTCTCAAGATTTCAATCAGTGCCGAAGGTCCTCATCATTCGTGGACTGCTGAACACCTCCAGTCACTTCACTCTCTACCCTTCTCTGTGTCATCTATTTCCATGCTTTCCGTCTGCCGCACAGTCAATCCCTTTGACGCGTCTGGAGTGATCGACGAGGTCGCAGCCTTGAAACCAGTTCCCCAAGAGTTTCTGGAGAAGCTAAAAGATGAAGGGAACAGTATTACCCGTCTCGAATGTGATTGGTGGGCTTGGACGCCACTTGACCTAAAGGAGCTTCTTGAGGAGTGTCCTGAACTGGAAGAAATTCGGATTACGCTCAACGCACCCTTTTCCAAGTTGTTCAACCTCGCAAACATTTTCGCTAACATGCTCAAGCTCAGAAGAATTGGAGTGGTGATACCTGAAACGGTTGCCCCTGCAATAGTTACGGTTACCTCGCGCGCTACGTCGCGGAAGTTGAGCCAGTACGGATTGTTGACCCCAGGATCATCCCCAGTCGCGCCTGTCAATTCGCTCCCGACGCCAAGTCCAAGCTCTGATATCAAGACTCCAAGCAGAAAACGGAATTCATCGTCTCCGGGGACAAATATCGTTGATCTTGCCTCCCCAACATCAACTACCCCGTCCCAAGGTTCAGTCTCTTTGCAAACAAGACAGAATACAGCTTCTCCAGTTCATTCAGTGAACAAAATCCCTCCTTTGTCGTTCAATACCCCGTATACAATCAATGACCCACACATCCCAAATCTTCGAGATATTCTAAAATTCGCCCGTCGCTGTCCAAAGCTTGAATTCATTGAATGGTATGGAAGAAATGGCCGTGGATCGTGGGTCGTATCGCGTGATAATGGATCCTCGTCAACCGCATCGAGCAACCAGGGCCCTGGAACGCATTCGTCTGGTAATTCGAGTGCTCCCACGGGTACATCGGCGATTAAGGTCGACCATGTCGCTCCATCTCTTACCACTCCCGCCGAAATATCTCGTTCAGAGAGAGAAGAGGATGCCATTATACATGGCTGGACGCCGATCGTTCCGCGCGCTGGACGAGAGTGGACTGGACACGGCGCGGAGGCCTATAGAAACTCGCTCGAGGAGGAAAGGAAATCTAATGAGAAGGAAGAGAAAGCTAGTCGAGGATCTCCACCTGTTTCCCCACAAGCCGAATCCGCTTCTCTCCCTGGTTCGAGTGGAGTCTCACCGACGAAATCTTCCAAGTCCAGGAAACCTTCTGTCTCCGGAAAAAATGAACTCGCGAACCTGGGATCGAAACGTAAGCCCTCGATAGGCAATTCTGCTGCATTGAAACCAAACGCCCTTGGTCTGTCATCGTCAACGAGCGTCCCAAAGTCCGACTCCCGGAGGCCCTCTCATGCAAATTCACCTGTCTCTGCTCCTGCGCACTCATCAAGGCCTACTTCTGAATCAGCTGGTGCCCGAAGCGCAGCGCAAATCAGCGAAGCGCGCAACAAACCTCAACGTCGGAATGGTAGTACCCCAGCTTCGTCTGGATCCGGAGGGACCGGGGGAAAGGGGAATGCTGCTTCTGCTAAGAAATATTACAAATCTGATGTGCGAATTAATGGGGCCACTCCGTCTATGTCCGTCCACCCTACGCCTACTGAAGGAAGTCATGCTGGATGGGCCGCCAGTAAGAAGGGCTCAGGTGGATTAGACCGGGGGAGGTCATCAAACGGGAGCACGAGGGACGAGAAGGGCACATCTGTCCAAGCCAAAAACTCAAATGGTATCGTTGCGTGAACCCCCATTTCACTTTTTAACCCTTCAATTCAAATTGCCCTTGATCATAGCATACAAGGCTACTGTACATGTACATTGAAGTTAAATTACTATCTTCTCTTGAAACCGCTGGCGAACACAGTCGAAGAGTCGAAGAGTTGGGGGGAGTCTGTCACAACGCACATGATCGCTCAACGTTCGAACAACTGCAGTCTCCCTTGGCAGTGAACCATTAACAGCCTAAGCACAAGGCGTTTCGCACGCAGTGACGCTTGACATTTGCGTATCAGCACCACAAGCAGAGCTTGAGAGGTTTGACCTCTTAGCAAAGCCTCTGACCAGGTCTGTAGCTGAAGTTTGAGCTGCGACTCCAAGGCTATGTGTGAGATTAGAATGCTTGCATTCGAGGAGGCTCTTTGGCTTTGATCTGGTACGCAGGTGAAAGGATTCTAGCAGAATCATTCCCCGACAAGATGGCCAGCCGGCCTCCAGCATGGAGTGGCCAAACTTCGGCATTTCGCAAGGCGTTGGTCATTCTTGTTGCCTCTGGTTTGGAAACCCCTTATCTATCTTTAAGTGTTTCTCCTGACGATTCGCACCGAGGCCACAGTCGCTCTCCACATTGCTCCGCCATGAGTAGCGACTCGAGGCAACTTTAAACATTTTCGTTGGGAGATATTCGTATTCTACCACCCTGAATCTATTGGTGATTTCTTCCGTTTCCAGATATTGACGTTCACATGTATTGGGGGAAACACGGCTATCCCAATGATTTCCATCAAAAGAACTCAGGAGAGTAATGACAGGACGAGAGGCAGACCCGCATGCCAGTGACCAGGTCGGGTCGGGGATACTCGGACGTTCTCCCAATGTGCACGCGAAAAAAAAAAACCATTGGCCTATTGCATATCAACCGAAGTTAGTTCCTGGCACTTGTTGACATAGACACCGCACTATGGCTGGCTCGTGCCCACGACAATTCCATCGACTTGAATTTCTATGGCTCCCGAGAAGAGTAAATACATTTAAGACGTGATTTCTCCTGCATGGATAAACACTCCCCAACTCTCCATCAGTCTTCTAGGTATAGATGCATGATGCATGCTAGTTCAGTAATACTCATACTTGTAGCATAGGACGCCGTCGGTCGTGTCCATCAATTCCTTGATTTTCGTGTTGGGCCCAAGATTCGAAAGAGGAATGATTGTTTCCAACGTAACTGACGTGCCCCTTCCGACCGGGTACGCGTCGAATTTGAACAGATCCTGTGTCAAACCTCCACCAATGGCGTGCTTGTTATGAGGGGAGTGTGCTTGCCACGCGGCCCAAAGGCGATCAAGTTGGCCGTGAAGAAGGAAGAATATCGGGTCTATTGCGAGCACTGGTGAATGGCCGGTAGTAAGCAGGGAGACTGATAACATACCATTTGGTGAGTGAGATAAATTTGCCATGTCCCCTCCGATGCTCTGGGGCATCCGCCAAAGTTAGAATTAGTGACTCCAGCATTTTGAGTTAATAACGCACAAGATGCGCAGCATTGTGCAAACCTTCCGCCCGCACACCATCGACTGCATATTGGAAATCCGTGTAATTCCCAGTGGAACCAATTACAAGCTTCTTCCATTCCTGAGGTGTCTGAGTGGTGTTTGCTTGGAGGTTCGGGTTGTTAAACGTGAACGGGAAAATTTGCTTCGCGAATGGCTGACCAGTGTGTTGTCAGCGCCTTAATTTATACAGCGGGCCAATGACTAGGGTGACTCACAGTTAGGTTGTAGTGTCTCTGAACGTGGTGGGGGGCTGGATACCCCCGGATCAAGTTACGGAACGCACCAGTGGTAACAGTATAGTTTGTTTTTGGTCCTGGAAATGCGCCGAAGCCGACCTCAGGATTCGTGTTGAAAAGGTACGAATGCTTGATGTCGTGGTAATCTGCAGCAACTTGTGTCATTATGCTACCCGAGCCAACATGTGGCAATGTTAGCGTAGTCGAACTAACCTCCGAGCGTCCAATCCCAAAAGGGAAGATATCCGGTATAATGGCAATCTTTTCGAAGAATGTTCTCCACCGTAACCAGGAAGAGTCGATGCCAAGCAAAGAAGATGCCGGTGAAGTGAGCGCTAAGTCCGGTAAGCTCCAGAAAATAGATCATAACATGGATTTTTTATCACCTGTTGGTAGCATCCATATGCCTGGGGGAAATCGAAGCATCGAGATCAACAGGTTATAGCGCAGGCATGCTGCAGAACACTTACGTATATACAACGTCGTCATATCGTGAAGTGCCAGGCCTAACCGGAGGGAGTCCAGGCGTTGCGCCGGTCGGTTTAAGGCTGGGGTCATGAGGCAAAGAGGTCAAACACTGGAGGTTGAGGTGTGTGACTTAAATTAGCATCGTCGGAGGCATGAAATGGCAGGAAAGAGCAGACTTTGATCGCATCCACATACGCCTTCTGACCCTTAAATCCCAGAGATCGCCACTCCTTGCGGATTCCTGGATTTTTACATTTGCTGTGATGCGGCTGAGGTGCAGCCAAGGCTGCCGATACAGCATGTGCGAGGAGAATAGCCATCTTGAGCCAGGAAAGTGCTTTCATCACAGCAGATAGAGGACCAAGCAGTAGCGCGAGCCTCAGACTTATATACAATGTCACTCAATTAGAACCATATGACATGACAAAATGCCCCTGCCTGGCCGGTGATGTTCTCCGAGCTGCGGGCATTCAGAGTGGGCCAAGTTCACAGTCGTCTGCGAAAGGCATCTTGGAATAATAGAGCCCTTGATTGTGATGTGAATGACCCAGCACCTTTCACACGATCAAGGGGGTTCCAACCGCAAACAGTAGCTGGTGGGTGAGCCTTTGTGTGCTCGAGCATAGATCATTGCTAACTTGGGAGCAGCATACATAACATGCAGGGAACGCAACCAATTCTGTAGGCAGGTTCCCAGCTGTAATTAACGAGAGTGGAACCAATTCTGGCAATTACATCAGGCGTGCGATGCTTTCTCACGCTAAGAACAAGTGTCGGCAAAGGAATCGACAAGCTGAAGCGGGGTGTCGGCATTCCCAAGCCCGAGGTGATCCAAAGTGTGACTTATCAATCTCATTAGCTTGATCAACGCACTCGCCACGCGTGCGATCTCACCCCTGAGTTTCCCAGGCATGTTTGAGTTCGGATGCGGGTGAACACATGGAGCAGGAAAGCTATACGTCTCAGCGTGCGATAATGGGGCCCGGGGAGCCTGCGTTTATCGAAGATCCTATGGTGTACAGGGTAAATGCATATCATGGAACCCGAGTTGAGACTTGAAGTGAGTTGTGTAGCCTCGGCGCAATGGATAGACGGCTCTCTATTCTGTCTGCTCAGGTGAGAATTAAACGGGTTTCCATTTAAAGAGCTAAGCTCGTGGATAAATTGTCTACATTTTTGTACTCCATAAAGTACTTCCCGCCCCGAAGCCCTGACAACGACGTCGTATGAGACCAAGAATTGCAAACGAGATGAGGCCACATCCAACGTTCCTTAGTCACGACCACGTCCTCACAACCACATCGACTCACATACCATGCCAGCCCGCATGCTGGTGAGTCTCTACGACACTAGGGGACCGGTTCTGTTGTTTCCACCTTTGAATGACATTCACAAGGATTTGAAGGGACACTTTTGAGATTACCAGACAGAAGAATAGCCGCCATTCTATGCCGAGATCGCTAGTGGGAGCGTTACGAGCCAAACTGCGTAAGCATGAAAGCCATTGAGCATACCAATCCGAAGTTGACCACGACGGTGTCAATGCATCTAAGGTTCTCTGGGAGATCAACAGAACAAAGCTACCGTTAAATAGAAAGCGGGGCGACTGAGAGAGGTAGGGCCACTATTGAGTCAATGAGAGCGGAAACAAGGCAGTGATCCGACGAAGGGGCTTTTAAGTCCATCGTAGAATTGTGGAGAATAGGAAGATGCTCCCAAGTATCTGCGAGGATGTGAATGGCCGATTCCGAGAAACCCACTTGACCCGTGGGAATCTTCCAGCGTCCGGTTCATGTTCCACCGTGCCCGATCTTCCACTGAGGCTTCAGAAAACCATGAGCTCCTTCCAACCCCATCGCGGGGTGGAAGAGACGGAGATGCCACCCCTGCATCCTCAAGGCGTCGCGCACAGCCTGGCTCGGTCCTGAGTGCGATGCTGTATGGAGTTGCGACAACAGCTCTGGGACGTACAGTTCCGAATGCGGATGCAGAGACTGATACTTTCACACCTCCAAGAGGTGAAGGTGTGCACGATCGTGTATTGAACAGGGTAATGGGTAAGGGGGCTGAGACAGTAAAACCTGCGAGTTCGGGAAAAGATGCTGCCGGAGGCAATGCGAAAGTGGAAAACGAGGACACTGAGGCCAAGGACAAAAACAACAGACAAGATACAAGTCCCACCATGAAAAGGACTAGGGATCACGCTCCTGTACCCCTTACACCCGGGGGTGTGTTCCCTCCTGGTCCCGAGGATATTTTCGACCCTGCTTCCGGGCACCTTGTCGGTTTGTTGCGGAATGCTGTACCTCTCGATGAGGGCGAGTCTTCGACTACTTGTGGGTCACATCAACTGCAATTACTAATAGTGTAGACTGCTCATTGCGCGGTGTCCAGCCAGGAAGCGACACGACACATCTTCTGACAAGATGTGGGCTCAAATGGCCAAGATACGGTCAATTCAAAGTGAAATAGCTAAGATGCATGCATCGTTAGATACCGCAGGAATCGTCGTGGACAGCATCAAGGACAGGAAAGGGACGGCATCCAGTGCTGCATCAATGCGGAGTGCGAACTTGACTGATCCTGGAATGGGTTTCTTTGGACGGAATAGGAGCATGAGTGAGGCTCCGCCCCCTCAAGTTTCTGACGACGAATTTGCAAGGAGAAAGGAAAATGTCGGCGAAATCATGAAGAAAGTACGTTCCCATTGAGTATTTCTTCGTGCTAAGCTAATTGCATCGTATTTAAAAGCTCAAAGTGCTTTCGGAGGCTGTTACCACCTTGCATGCCCAACCCCCGCCTCCTCTCGACTTCCCACCTGCTTCCCATGCCACCCATTCTCACACCGACTCACTATCCCCCTCAAACTCTCTCGACTCTGGGGCCAATGGATTCGACTCGCCCAACCAAGCTTCACCAGTGTTCCATTTTGACGTGCCCTCTTCTCACTACGCCAAGTTCACACCAATATCCAGTCCCCTTTCCGCCCCTCCCTCTCGCTTTGCATCTCCCAATTTAGCAAATAACCCGCCACAAAAGGCAGGCAGCCCCACACCCGTTGCCCCGGTCCCAGGCGGATCCCCAGCCATGTCCAACTTACCTTCATTCCTTGTCACCTCCTCCCTCAACTACGGCGCCGGGACAGGGAGCGGTCCCGTTGTAGACCGCAAAGTAAACACTGTCCCTCCTAACGTGGGTTTAAATTCATCCCAGTCACTATCCTCTTCGAATCCTCCTTGGCCGCTTAATGTCCCGCTCCCAACGACTCATGGAACGAGAAAGCTTTCGACACTATACGAACCACTAGACAGTCCTTCCTCCCCCCCGTTTCAGCTTCCCACGAGTAAAGATTTTGACCCATCTACGACGAGCAGATTCCCAGGAGAGGAAGGCGAGATGTACGACTTTGTCGAGGATTCTGGTGTGGAGAGAGGGGAGGGACAAGACTCCGGGATGCGGGCGGATTACGCTCATGCACACCTGTTAGATGGTGTTGTAAATGACAGCACGACCACGGGAACCAAGTTCGCACCGGTAGTCCATGATAGTCCAGTGGGTACACCTACCAGCTTGTATCATGAGAGGGGGGATAGGTAACCTCAACATACGGAAAGACGCCCTCCCAGGTAGCGTGATACTAAATGGGACTGCAGGTGCTGCCCTGGTTATCCAGTACTCCATTTCCTCTTGCCTAGACAATGTCCTTACCAATAATATTCTGCTGGTTGAGCAATGAAACCTATCATTTTGCGCATTGAGCGCCGCACCAATACATATCCTCGACCTCCCATCTCCAGCCACATACGTACACCTTTCTCCCTCCACATAAGGTTCCCGTTCCGGCCCCAGCCGTTCGATGCGAGTAGGAGGATCACTTGAGGGATTGAGCGCTATATGCCACATAATATAAACGTGGAGTGGGAGGTACGCCATACACACGCCACCAAGAACTCCGAGTTCATTCCGATCGTTGGCGGAGCACGTAGATCATGACGGGCGCCACATACACACAAGCGCCATTTGAGGCGGCGCGACTGCACGTGTAAGAGATCGTTGGAAGATTGATGTTGCCGCCGTAGCCAGCGATGGATCCTCTCCCTAGATGTTTTGCAGTAAATTTGGGTGCCGCAGGCTGGGCTCAGTCACGGAATTAAGAAACATATCTGTGGCTATCGTGATACTGATCGGAGTATGGGATGGTATGTTTTATAAGATCTGAGTTCGCGACGTCTAAGCACGATATCAAAGTGTCATTAGATATCGTGCTCTCAGCTCACAATAAGCATTTCGGGTGTGTGGCACAAAAGGACAAAGCGCTGCAGATTGAAGTAATAGAACAACAAAGCAAACTGCACAATTACATGGAGCAAACATATTTTTGGCTAGGCAACCGTCGGCACAAAAGGCACGTCAACATGCTTGCCAACTGGGTAAAACGAGTTGTTATACAGGAGTCAGTTTTTTGCCAAAGCCGGGGTTATTCGATGTGAAGGTAGCATTCCCAACCAGTCCGCATGCACGCCAGCGGCCACGAAGCAACAATGTGCTTGACCATCATATATATCGGACCCCAGCTAATCTGGGTATCGATGCCCGACATAGAATTCGAATAGCCAAACCTGTCAGACGGGTTTAGCCGGAAACTGAATGGGATTAGGGCGCAATTCAGTTTCTTTACTTAACCTATTTTGGCAATTACCATGATGCGCGCACTCAAATCCACGTTCGTTCAAGCTATGTTGTCGCCTTTGCCGGAGAACTCAACCTTGGAGTTGATTCGCCGACGGTTGGGCTGTGAAGGATGGGGTTGTTGGTGCGCGAGGCGAGGCATTCATGGTATTCCAACAGAGGCTGGTGACCTGCCTACATCCATGGGCGATGCTAGCGCGCAAGGAAGCGCGCGGATAATATGTGATGTGATGAGGCGATATAAGGGTGAAGCGTAGTTCGTGATGGCTCGTGTGCAATCATGCGTCCTCAGTGTTTGAATGGGGGACGATCGCGCATTGAACTGGCCAACGGTACGCTTCCACCATGAAAACGTAATGGAACATCACCCCGTGATGATGGGTTCGATCCTTTTGTGTGCGCGCGCCAGCGCTATACAATTGCCTTTCTTCAGGGCGGCCTTATTATACAAGCGTTAGGACCGTATACGTGCCGTCACTTCCTCTGCCTCCCTCCTTCGGTTCCTCGTTGGGTCTTTCTCCGCTCGCTTTTGACGATAATATTGGGTATTTCTGCCTGATCCATCCTTAAGCGCCTGCCCACCCTTACCGCCTTCCATCCAATCTTAGGAGCATGAGACGGGTTGCAGGACGTGCCGTGCGGAAATATAAGCCCGCCTCTTTGGGAATCTTCATTCACGATAATCGAATGCCGTATAAACTTTGGGTTCACCCTAAACTCGAAGACCGGGATGAAGTATTAAATGTCATCCGGGTACGTCAGATGAAATGCCTGTCCTTCCCGATCCCTATTTCCCTCAGTCTGAGCGGCACCCTTCTCCAATTTCTTAGACAAATGGCGGAATAGTTCTTCCAGAGGACAAGCTCGCGCCTGCCACTTATGCAGTTATCAGCGACAACTTGTCATCTGAGGACCTAGCGCCAGTATACACGACCCATGGCACACAATTGGGATTTCATACAAGTGGATTTTCCATTGTGCCATTTCCGGAAAGATTCTCAACGATCGTCCATACATCCTCATATCGCGAAGGTCATCTCCGAATTTCGATGTCGAAGACAGTTCGATTCCGCATGATGCGAATGAATCAACCCCTAGGCCGGAGGTGGGGTTGGGAAGGGATGCATCACTTTGGTGGTATGACAGATATTTTGGACAGGGAAGCTCGAATGCTGAATCATTCGGGCAACCCGTCCTGGCTGAGCTTTATCAAGAGGATGGTGTAATCCATCCTTTTGATGCTCGTGTTCGATCGCGCTGCAGTGATAGCGCTGGCGACGACAGTGCTGTATCTCATAGCTTGATGGAATCAGCAATTTTTCAGTCAAGCCTCACCCGAGGGGGTGAACCGCACACTGTCAGCTCGCCTCCCTCCGAATCATACTCTCGAACAATTAACTCCAGCGTCACATCGCCGCGAACACCTCCTCATTCCCTTCCCTTTAGATGGATTACTCGAAAGAATGGATCTAGAGTCCGGAAGTATAAAGCTTCTAGGCGGAATAGACGGGGAAATCTTCGTCACCGTAACACGAACTTTCACGCTCAAGACCCATCCTGGCTCTGTACACCCGCGCAAGATGGGAGTAGACGCTACTAGTGCGACCGAAGCTGCACCTCGAACTCCAAAAACCCACTATTTGGACCCTCATTCTCCCGCGCAATTTTTTAAATCTGGCCCGCCAGTCCTACGGTTTCCCCACATTCTCACCGCTCCTAAACCTCTGGACTCAAGTTTCTTTCCCATCATTTATTTATTCGGAATTACCGTCACATTGAATTAGTGGATCGGTCAAGGGAACGCTTGTTGTTATTGATTTAAAAATGTTGTATTTTTATCGCCCAGCCAAATGAGGATACATACATAGTTTCATGTTCATGAACATGGTTTGGTATCTGGAACGTGCATGATTCTAGTGGCTGCGCACAATGAAAGCGGGTGGGGAGGGTCATCAGGGGACCTAACTAGGTTGGCATGCATGTACGATGATGGAGCGCCGAGCACGCAGAAGCGGCTCAGGGGATGGAACGACGAATAAAAGGAAAAATATGACGTCCACGAGCACGAAGGAGGGTAAGATTATGGGTGATTGTTCAGCATGTTGGTTGGAGGGGGAGGTTAAGCATTTTAAGCTCAGAGGGTATCCAAGCCTTCAGCGGCGCAGGTGATGCAGTGTGTATTTACACTTGTTTGTCTCGAGTCGCCTCTTGCTCTTTACGGCGCTTCAAGTTCAAGCTTCAATAGGAACGGCAAATATGACCCCCGGTGGATGAGCTCTTACGCCCGTGGGCTTGGTCTGCGCTATAAGCAGTACATTGCTATCGATCCTCAATAGCCTCTATACTGCATATTTTATCAGAGGGGGGAGTTCGTAATCGACTTCCAACTTTAGTCCACACGACTTAGTAATAGGTATCACACGTCCAAACCCTTGATGACTATACACACCAAGTCCCATCAGGGTAACGCAGTTCATTTGCACCAATTAAACTTGTCCAAATATTTCTCAGGGAACACAGAGACTCGTCGAAGCGGAAAAATTAGGAAGAACATTGCCTATGCACTCGTTGACAGCACAGTGATGTGTCGTGGCAAAAGGTGTTCAAATGCCTTCTTTTGGCCTTCCGCAGCACCTGCCTCAACGTTAAGCCTGTTTGTGCCAACGTGGTGTGGATTAAGTTGCGCTGGGAACTTTGAAATTCATGGGGGCTCGAGGTTGTCATAAACTGATGAGCTGTGTAGGATCTCGTGAGAGGCGAGGTGTGCTGAGCCATGTCATAAAATCGCAGATGACATCTGGCCCGTTCATGTGCCCGCTTCAACGTGAAACAAATGCGCGGCTCAATGTCCACATGTAGCATCAGCAAAGTTCATGATTGTCAATCGTGATGAGTCGGCTGAAATGGACTGCTAATGTGTTGTTTTATGTTGACATCCCAAGTTTGAACAGTGGAAAATTTGAAGTTAATCGTCCCATTAAAATAACGAACACGACTGGATTACCCCCGTTGTTCGTCAAGAATATCTGCAGGATCTCCTGAGACTCTGGTGCGGAACATCGATAGCGTTGTGGGGAGAAATTAACGTACACCTCCGAATGCGTTTGACGTGCTGGTTATGATGAGAAAGACGTGGAGATGAATGCATTTCCCATTTTATACACGACACGGCTTGATGGTCTCTACGATCCGAGAATTGGCGAGATGAGTCCCGAAATCTCTTCGTGAGGTTCCGGTGATATTTGTGGGATGGCCAGTGATACAGAGGAACTGATGTGACGGCATACCTGACGACGGGAAAAGATTGGGGCTCGGGTATCCCGATGCCTAGGCAGCTTATGACAAGAATACCCTCTTTCTTCCTACCCGCTTTCCATTGATGGGAGGAGTAGGATATGATGAGCAGCAAAATATCTTCCACTCTTAGCTCAAAGCCCTCCCGTCGGGTGTAATTGAATGGTGTATTTCTATTTCGAGCCAAATCCAGCCATGAGGAATAATGCGTATATCCCTCTCTCGATCTTCCAGCTGCTGGGGCCACCTTTGATGCGTGCGATGAGAGATAGAAGCAAGCGAAAGGTGGGGTACAAAATGCAACCGTAGAATTCTGGGGCCCTGTACCTTTCCCATCTCCTCCCCTTGTCTCCTCTCCACCCATCCTCTTCCTCTCCGGCCTCTTTTGCAGTAGAATTTACTAGCTGTTAGGGATTTTCTGGATTAGATACAGTGATGAGAAGCTTTGGCGATGTGGCCGCTAATCACCTGCAGGGCTATAAGCTCCCTGCGCCACCCAGACGCGGCGGTCCAAGCAAGCTTCGGCTCCTGAAGGAATTGAGCCTCACGCAATGGTTGATGTTTCTCTGTACGTTTTTCCGTTCTGTATATATATGATTGCTGATTTTGACTCCTTTGTGGAATTTCCAGCTGGTTGGCTTGCATGGACGTGCGACGCGATCGATTTCTTTAGCGTCAGTTTACAAGTAACCAGGCTTAGCCAACAGTTCCACAGAAAGTAAGTGCCCAAATTCGACTCTTTAACTTGTTTGCCATGACCATTACGATGGCGACTGAACGATGAGCGTGCCTCGCTAACGTCATTTCATTCCCATTTTGTGACGCGACAATAGTGTACACGACATCACCACCAGCATCACCCTCACCCTCCTCTTCCGTTCTATAGGGGCCGTAATCTTTGGTCTCGGTATGAACGTTCCTTCCCCTCAGCCTCGCCGTAAATATTGATTCATTTTTTCTCTCCCTTGCTTTATCTGACCATCCTCCATCCACTCGAAAACTCGCTTCCTCTAAACATAAGCCTCTGACCGCTATGGTCGTAAATATCCTCTCATCCTCAACCTTGCTATGATTGCAGTGCTCCAAGTATTGGTCTCTTTCACTCAAAACTTCCACCAGTTCTTGGTCTGCCGTTCCTTATTCGGTTTGGCCATGGGTGGTGTTTGGGGTATGGCTAGTGCTACAGCATTGGAGAACTTGCCGGTCGAGTTGAGAGGTGTAGCAAGTGGCGTTGTGCAGCAGGGATATGCACTCGGTGAGTGGAAATATTTACTTCTACTCCTTTGAAATTATGCTGACTGGGCGTCTTCCTGGACTGTTCGACGGAAGGATACTTGGTTGCGGCCGTGTTTAGCCTTGTAAGTCAATATTTCATGGCATTCACTTCCAGCTCTCCTCCCAGCGCAACAGTAATCACTGAATCAATTGAACTCATCCTTCATTCACAACCCCACCGCATTTACCTTCTAGACCGTCGTTCCCCACAACAAACACGGCTGGAGAAGTCTCTTCTGGTGCGCATGCGGTTTCACCACCACCGCAATCCTGCTCCGCCTCTCTTTACCCGAATCCGAACTCTTCCTCCGCAACCGACGTGAGAAGAAAGAAAAGGAATTATTAGCCAAGGATCTCCGAGACCAAACGGGGAATGGGGCAGCGCCAGTGCAAAAGAGTGCTACACAAGTATTCATCCAGGAAATTGGAGAAATGTTCAAACGCCACTGGGCGTTGTGTATCTACGCGGTGCTTTTGATGAGCGGATTCAATTTCTTGAGTCACGGATCTCAGGGTGTGTATTCCAGGATCATTTGCCTGGGCTGAGATTTGTTGACGAATTTGGGTAGATTTGTATCCTACCTACTTGAAGGAGAGTAAAGGGTTTGATAACTATCACTCTACCGTAGCCACTATCATCGGAAGCTGTATGTATTTCCGTCCCTCCTTCATTCTAAGATCTCACTCATTGCCTCACCCCCTTCGTCTAGTGGGCGCTATTTGTGGAGGAGTAACTGCTGGTTACATCTCCCAGTACCTCGGTCGTCGCCTTACCATCATCGTCTACATCCTCTCTATCGGATGCTTTATTCCTCTGTGGATTATCCCCAATTCGTTCGGTAAACTCGCAGCCGGTGCTTTTTGCGTACAGTTTGGCGTCCAGGGAGCTTGGGGTGTTATTCCAATCCAGTTAGCGGAGTTGAGCCCTGCGGGATTCCGTGCTACGGTAAGCCTTGCCAGAGTACTCCGTTTATTTGAAACAATTCGTGGCTTCTTTCCCTAGTTCCCTGGCTTGATGTATCAATTGGGTAACATGATCTCATCGTCTGCCGCTCAGATCGAAGCCAGTAAGATCCCCATTCCACACTCGAGGAGTATGGTTTAATATTAATCCCTTCTCTTGGTACTACCTAAAAGTTGGGGGGGAAAATCTCCGCACGACACTTAACGGAAAGAATGTTCCTGATTACGCCAAAGTTCAAGGGTATATTTAAGGTTCTTTTTCCCCATTTTCGTCCGATTCACTCCCTTAATTCCAGCATCCTCCTCGGAACCGTTGCCGTCTTCACAATTCTTGTTACATTCCTTGGTCCAGAGAATCATTCATCTCACTTTGGGGATGATGTGCCTGCCCTTGAGCGAGGCAGGGGAAAAGGCGACATAGTTGTTAGTTGCTCTCCTGATAGTCCTGGGGGTGCAGAGGAAGAGAAGAAGAGTATTGGGCAGTCGAGATGTTTGAGCGTGTTTGAGTGAGCAAGTCTTTGTTAATGTGCCCCACTTGTGAGAGAACTAGCGTAGGATTAGCGCTCAGTTCACGAAAGTAGAACTAGAATGATATTAGTGTACCTAGCGTAGGATTAGCGCTAAGTAGAATACACAACAGTCTTTAGTAAGAGTAGTCGCGCAAGAAAGGTAGACCTCACCTCAGTTCACGAAAGTAGAACTGAGGGAAACAAAAGAGGTCGCGTCCAGTGGCTTTTAAGCCTAAAGCGACGTCGATCTACAAGAAAGACAAGAAAGGAATAAAGGAAAATCTCTGGCGGCTGCAGGTCCGTGCGCCCAAAATATGGGACGTCGATATTCCTTCCTAACTTCTAACACCCCCACTCGACGTACCATCCGATCTCCGGAAAAACGTATCCTTCCCTTGTAATCCCAAAGCCTCAGCGAACTTGTCGAATTTATCACTTCCCAATGCTTTCGTAAAGATGTCGGCGAGTTGATTGTTTGTAGACACATATTCGAGTTCGATTAACTTGTTGTCGACACATTCTCGGATGAAATGATGTCGAATCCCGATGTGTTTTGTTCGCGCGTGAAAAGCAGGGTTGTTCGCGAGTGCAATAGCACCTTGATTGTCGATGAGTAAAGTAATCGGGGTAGGAATGGACACACCAAGGTCACTGAGGAAGCGTCGAATCCAGATGGCTTCCTTCGCAGCGTGTGTTGAAGCCATGTATTCGCCCTCTGTACTAGATAGGGCTACTGACGCTTGTTTCTTCGAACTCCAACTAACGGCAGCTCCAGCCATCTTAAAAACGAATCCAGATATCGAGCGACAATCACGAGGATCTCCTGCCCAATCTGAATCTGAGTATGCCATCGTGTCGTCGTCCTTTGAGTATCCGTTGTAAGTTAAGCCGCAATCGCGAGTAAGCGATAAGTAACGTAAAAGTCGATTGATCGACGTTAGGTGTTCTTGTCCTGGGTTAGCCGAGTATTGGCTGAGAAGAGTGATCGCATAGCTGATGTCGGGTCTACTTCCCAACATGGCATACATAACGGATCCAAGGCGAGATTGATATTGTCGTGTATCGGTTTGGGGAATTTCATAGTGAGGTAATTTGAGACCGAGTGCGACAGGCGTGTAAGTAGGACGTGAGTTGAGAAAGCCGAAACGTTGCAATACGTCTTCGACATAGCGTTTCTGGGAGATATGGATTAGGCGCTGAGCTCGATCTCGAGTGATTTCAAGTCCGAGAAACCAGTGAATTTCGTCGAGATCCTTCATCTTGAAGGTAGACATGAGAAGTTTCTTCTTTCTTCGAAGGAGAGAGAGGTCGTCAGACAGGATCATAAGGTCATCGACGTACAGCGCGATGATGCAGATATGTTGCCGTTTTGAGCATATGAATACCGCGTGATCCGAGTCGCATCGGACAAATCCGATCTTCATCAACTCTTCCTTTGCCTTCATGTACCATGCTCACGAAGCCTGCTTCAACCCATAAAGACTCTTTTGTAACTTCCAGACAATACCTGGTCTCCCGAAGTCTGCACTTCCTGGTGGAGGTTGCATATAGATCTCGTGCTCCAGTTCTCCATTCAAAAAAGCCGTGGTGACATCCATCTGATGAACTTCAAGGTCGCGACGCGCAGCCAGGGCAAGGAGAATTCGTATCGATGACCATTTCACGACAGGTGTGAATGTTTCGTTATAATCGATCTCATAGACTTGACTAAAACCTTTGGCGACGATTCGAGCCTTGTAGCGTTCGATCTTGCCATTTGATCCTCGTTTCAGTGCGAATATCCATCGGCATCCAACGATATTCGAAGCGTCAACATCTTTTCGATTAACTGGCACATACGTTTTGGTTTCCCTTAGTGCTTTGAGTTCATTCAAGCATGCTTCCAACCAAGAGTCTGAGTCGGGTCGGTTCATTGCCTCGTTGTAGGTGCGTGGTTCGTTCCCTGTGGCGGTCATCGCCCATGCTGCCCCCACTGACTCTGGTATCATCTTCTTTTTGTTGTAGGAACTGACGTTATATCGGTCGTCATCATCTGGAATGGGAGCGTGTCGTAGTCGAGTCGATCGTCGAGGGAGTTCGGTGAGTTCCTCGGGTGTCTCGTCATTATTACCTGATTCCTCTCTCACGTCTTCCCTTCCCTCGTCCTCGTCCTTCTCTTCTTCTTCTGTTGTCGCCACAACATGCCCCCTCGACTCCACAATCGGCACTTCAATCGTTACTCGCTCCGAGTCGGCGACCCCTTCAAAGAAATGCACGTCCCTAGACTCGAGGACTTTGCGCGATGTGGGATCATATATCAAGAAGGCCTTTTTGCCTTGGGCAACGCCAATATGAATCCCGGTGAGTGAGCGATCATCAAGTTTACCTCGTTGATCTTTTGGGATGTGGAGTGTGGCTTTACAGCCAAAAGTTCGGATAGTGGAGACAGTCGGTTTGTTCCCTGTATAGCGTTCGTGAGGAGAGATGCCGTTGGGAAGTGATGAATGGGGAGAGACATTTTTGATGAGAGCGGCATGTCGAAGGGCATAGGGCCAGGAGGTACGTCCGATCTGAGACTCAACTCCTTTCATCATCGCGATAGCCATGCTGACCAACGTTCTATTAACTCGTTCTGCTACCCCATTCTCTTGCGGAGTCTGAGGGTTAGTCTTTTCATGGAGAATTCCCATACCCTTCAAGAATGTGACGAAGTCATTCGAGAAATACTCGCCTCCTCCATCTGTCCGCAGGGTCTTCAACTTCTGCCCGGTTTGCCTTTCCGCTTCAGCAAGGTATTCCTTGAACCGTTCCAGAGCGTCACTCTTGTTCTTCATGGGATAGACGGTAAGGTAGCGACTATAGTCGTCTACGAAGGTAATAAAGTACTTATATCCTTCTCTCGTCTTAGTTCGGACTTCACAGATGTCGGAGAAGACGCGTCCAAGAACTTGGTCGGCTCTGGTATGTGTTTCGGATGGGATTGGGTTGTGATGGTGGGAAGACGCTTCGCAACCTTGGCAGAAAGTTGGTTCTTCGGGTGATCTTTTCCCTAGTACGTCCATCCCTTTTACCATTCCACTGCGCATCATATTAAGGATAGATTCCTTTGATATGTGGCCTAAGCGCGTATGCCAGATGTCAAGTGACGCGCTGGCTGTTACAGATCGTGCCAGATTGGCGTTTTCTGGTGCGTTGATAGTGGATATGAAGGCCTTTTCTGTACCAACAACTGTTACAGGTAGTCGGAATAGGCCGTTGTCAAGGGTGGCTATGGCGATTAGCTCATTAGACGAGTTGAGGATGTGGCAAGTCTTGTCAAGGAATCGTACTTGGGCACCGGAGGAAGAGAGTTGCGGGACAGAAAGGAGATTGTGGGCGATTTTTGGACAATGAAGGACGTTACGGATGGTGGTGAGTCGAGAAGAGTCTCCGATTCTGATCTCGACTTCGATCTGACCAATTCCAGGTGCAAGAATCGATTTTTTGTTTCCAAGGATTATCTCTCGAGGAGGATGAAGGGGGCGATAAGCGGTAAACCATTCTCGATTCCCGCATAAGTGCACCGTAGCGCCGGAATCAACTACCCACTCTGTGTGGCATTCTTGACCGGAATATGTTTTTTCCGCAGAAGCTAACAGCATTTCAACTTTTGTGTCGGACGTGGCGACTTTAGCAGACTCTCTAGAGGGTCCTGCAGGTGGCGTTTGCTTAGCCTTCGCTCTTCTTGGTCCCTTTCCTTCTGATCCTCTGCCCTCTGCCCAGCATCGCTCAAATGTATGACCAAGTTTTCCACACTTGGGATTAGTACACTGAACGTTAGACTTGGGAGTGTTGGGTTTTTGACCGCTTGGTTTCGGTGAGTTATTCCGATCAGGTTTTGGCGTTTTAGCCACCATAGCGGCAATACCGGAAGAATGTTCTTTACGTTTTTCTTCACGGTAGATTTGGCGAAGAAGTGTGGCAGTATTCAGTTGGGAGGAGTCATCGACAGTTGCGACAGTCAGGGTCTTAAAGACCTCATATGAAGTGGGAAGGGCCTCGGAGATAGCGATTGCAAAGCCAGAATCAGAGACGGGTTGACCAAGTACAGCCAGTTGGCTACGTATTTGTCGCATGGCGTTGATCTGGGGTTCGAGTGGTTTAGAGTTGTCAAGTTGGAAGCGATGTAGCTTGGAGGTAAGGATGCCAGCGTCATGAGAACCGAGACCATTGTACTTATCAGACAAAGCTTGCCAGACTCCTCGAGCAGAAGTTTGCTCTTCAACGGACATCAAAGGTTCGTCGTCGATATAGAGTTTTAGTTGAGTCATGGCTAACTTATCCTTTTTTGTCCATTCAAGAAGTATCGGGTCATCGGCGTCGAGCCCCTTTGGCATAACAGTGCCGTTAGAAGAGGGGTTGACAACTTCCCAAACATTTCCAGCCTCGAGGATGAGTTTCATCCTTGATGCCCAAACTCGGTAATTCTTCCCTTCGTTATCAAGGGGTTTTATGGAATAACGAGAACCATCAGTAGATATGGCAGTGGAAGACATGGAGAGGGGTGAGGTGGATGGGTACGGAGTTCACTGGGCAAATAACCTGTGAGAGAACTAGCGTAGGATTAGCGCTCAGTTCACGAAAGTAGAACTAGAATGATATTAGTGTACCTAGCGTAGGATTAGCGCTGAGTAGAATACACAACAGTCTTTAGTAAGAGTAGTCACGCAAGAAAGGTAGACCTCACCTCAGTTCACGAAAGTAGAACTGAGGGAAACAAAAGAGGTTGCGTCCAGTGGCTTTTAAGCCTAAAGCGACGTCGATCTACAAGAAAGACAAGAAAGGAATAAAGGAAAATCTCTGGCGGCTGCAGGTCCGTGCGCCCAAAATATGGGACGTCGATATTCCTTCCTAACTTCTAACACCACTGAGGTGTCGGATACCGTCTATTAGTTGGGTATCCGCATCTGCAGGCTTTTCCCTTAAATACATGTTCAAGTGGCATCACAACAAGTAGTGAAATGTGAAAGACAACCAATACATTGGCCTATAGAAGGGGGTTCTCAGGAGGTTCAAAGAGGGCCTAGGCTTTTTTTGTATGGGAACATCCCAGGATGT